AGGTTCCTCGGCTACTCAGGGCTAGGTGTTCCTAGGCGAAGAATTTTGTTGCCCTGGGGTTTCTTGGTTGGTCGAAACTTAGGTTGAGGGTTTCTGACGCGAGGGTTGTGTGTTGGTCTTTGCATGACTTTGGCGTGCTGTCGTGTTTCCCATTGCGTCCAGTATTCTTGAAGTTCCTCTTGTGCGTGCTCCAAGTTTGATGCGGGTTCCCATGTGTTTTCTTCGTGTCCGTAGTTTTTCCACTTGATTAGGTATTGTATTTCTGTGTCATCGTGCTGATCGATGTGATCGAGGATCCTTTCGACCTTGTAGTCCTGTTCCGGGTCGACTTCGATGTGGTCTATAGTTCGTGATCCTTTTGGTGCTGGCTCGAGAAGTGAAATATGAAAAACTGGATGACACTTCATAGTGTCTGGTAGTGCGAGTTTGAAGTTGACGTTGGATACCTTCTTCGTGATTTCGAAGGGTCTAAGTTTCTTGAAGTCTAACTTATCGCTTGGTCGTTTTGTTTTGATGTTCCGGCGGAGAAGGTATGCGCTATCCCCCTCCTTTAGAGTTGGTCCCTCAACTCTTGTCTTGTCAGCGTATTTGCGCATGCGTTCGCGCACAAATTCAAGGTCTCTGGGAAGATCTCGTTGGATTTCCTTGAGTTTGTTGATATCTGCCACAGCTTTCAGAGCTGTTGGGCCTTGTCGGGGTTGTCCATAGGCTGTCGGGTTGAATCCGTAGTTCAAGTAGAATGGTGATTCTTTTGTACTTTCTCCTACTGCGCTGTTGTAGGCGAACTAGGCCATAGGTAGCAGTTGGACCCAGTTGTTTTGCTGATAGTTGACGTAGCAGCGTAGGTAGGTTTCCATGATCTGATTGATTCGTTCTGTCTGGCCATCGGTTTGCGGATGGAAAGCGGTGGACATCTTGTGGTCAGATCCTAGCTGCGAGATCAGGGATCTCCAAAACTTGGAAGTGAACAGCTTGTCTCTGTCGGATACGATTTCCTTCGGCATTCCGTGTTGGCTTACGATCACCTGCAGAAACTTGTAGGCGAGGTCTTCTGCAGTGCTTGACTCCATGTACGGAATGAAGTATGAGTACTTTGTGAGTCTGTCGACGATGACGAGGACACTGTCGTAGTGGACGTTGGTCATCGGTTCTCGGGACTTAGGTAACTTAGTGACGAAGTCCAGCGAGATGGATTCCCATGCGGTTTGCGGCACTGGGAGCGGCTGTATCTTTCCATAAGGCTGATGTCGGCTGGGTTTGCTTTTTGCGCAAACCTCACAGTCCTTAATCGCTAAAGATACTTCTTGTCGTGTAGCCGTTTTGTCGTAGTGTTGACGGATGCGTTTCCACGTTTTGGTTACGCCTTGGTGACTATGTGCGGGTGCGGAGTGTATCTCCCTAATGGCTTCAGGAGACATCCTTCCAGGCGTGCTGGTACTGTCTCTTCTGGCCATCATTAAGAGTCTGGCTGCTGGCACAAGGTCTCCGTTTTTGTCTGTTTTGAGGATAACTCGGGTTTCCTCAGGTACCTGGACCTTGTGGTCCGGTCGTCGGCTGAGGGCGTCGGCCCTGCCGTTCTCCTTGCCCTTCCGGTAGATGATTCTGAAATTGAATTCTGACAAGAATTCGGACCATCGAATTTGTCGTTTGTTAAGATCTTTCGATGTGGTGAAGTGTGCAAGGTTCTTGTGGTCGGTATATACTTTGACCTCGTACTTGGTTCCTGAGAGTTGCGGTCTCCATTCTTTGAATGCCTCGATAATTGCCATAAGTTCCTTGTCGTATATCTGGTAGTTGAGTTCTGGGCCGTGTAACTTGCGTGAGAAGAAGGCGCAAGGGCGTAGTCGTCCTTCGTCGTCTCGTTGGCCTAGTTGTCCTCCTATAGCGTAGTCTGAGGAGTCGGTCTCGACTTCGAATGGTTTCTCGGGGTTTGGTATAACAAGTATTAGTTCCGATGTGACTTGTTGTTTGATCTCGTTGAAGGCTTGTTCTTGTTCTTCTTCCCATTGCCAGGGAACATTTTTCTTCGAGAGTCTCGTGAGAGGGTCGTTTTTGTCTGAGTACCCTTCTAGGAACCGTCGGTAGTAGTTTACATATCCAATAAAGGATTATACGTCCTTAACGTTCTGTGGTGTAGGCCAGTCTCGTACTGCTGCGATTTTGTCTTTGGACATTTTGAGGATTCCTGGGGCTATCGTAAAACCTAGGAATTCGACTTCTTTGGCGTGAAACTTGCTCTTCTCGGGTTCCACTAGGAGTTTGGCGTCTTGCAGTTTCCGCAGTACTTGGTGTACGTGTTTTTTATGGTCTTCCAGAGTCTTGGAGAAGATTAGGATATCGTCGAGGTAAACTACGACGAACACATCTAGAAATTCTCGTAAGACGTGGTTGATCATCGTCTGGAATGTCGCGGGTGCGTTGGTGAGTCCGAAGGGCATCACAAGGTACTCGTAATGTCCTCGGCGTGTTCGAAACGCTGTCTTCCATTCTTCACCTGATTTAATCCGGATCAGGTTATAGGCTCCTTTTAGGTCGAGTGCTGTAAACCACTGTGCTCCGTGCAACAGGTCTCGTAGTTCGGAGATGAGCGGTAGTGGGTAGCAGTTCTTGATCGTAATGTCGTTGAGTTTCCGGTAGTCGACGCAGAGTCGTAGTTTGCCGTTCTTTTTTGGTACGAACAGGATTGGGTATCCCGCTGGTGATGTAGAGGGTCTGATATATCCCTTCTGTAGATTTTCTTTGAGGTAAGCGTCGAGTGCTTCCATTTCTTTCTGGTTGAGTCCGTAGATTGCTTCTAGCTTTGGCTCCTTCCCTTCCTTAAGGGGTATCTCGTGGTCGTAGTTGCTGTGTTCCGGGAGTCCGGTCTCGAGTTCTTCGGCGAATAGCTTCTGGTATTGCCGGTATTCTTCTGGGATAGACAGAAGTCGGTCTTCCTTGCCGATGTCTGTTGCTGATAACGTCCTGGCGTTTGCATCCTTTATCCGTAGGTATGCTAGAAATCTCTTCGCTTCAGGAGTCTTGAGAGGTTCGTTTGAGGCACCGTTCCGTGGTTGCTTCTCAGTGACTGAATCCTGGTCCTAATGGAGTTGGCCTGTTCTCCAATCTATCCGTGGGTTACTGTCGTATAACCATGGTCTTCTAAGGATGACATCGTACTTGTCTCCTATCTCCGTAATATCGAAGTTCAGTCGCTCATTCCGGCCATGGATCTGCAAAGGGAGTTGCGCTGTCTCCATAGCAATGCGTCCTCCGCCGTACTGGACTTGTTCTCCTTCAACGGTGCTGAGTTCGTAGCAGTCTTCGGCTGCTTTTCTTTTCCAGGTTATCTTTCTTTCATTCACCGTTCTTGGTGATATGAAGTTTCCTTGGGCTCCGCTGTCGATCATGGCGGTAGCTGTTCTTCCGTTGAGCTGTATTTGGACTTGTACATGCTCGTGTCGTTGTGTCGTGGGCGTCGTTGCGCTACATAGGGACCTTGTCTGGACTGCCTGTCGTTGTCCCTTGTCTTCGGTAGGCGAGTCTAGTTTTTTGACTGCTCGTCCGTTCCTTGTTCGTCGTTTTCTTGCTGTTTCTTCCATGCTTCGTCTTTCTTGATATAGTGGACTCGGCGCTGGTCTTGGTAGCAGTGATACCACTGTATTTCTTCGTCAGAGTCCTCTCCAGAGCTGGTGTCGTTGACTGAAGCGACTTCAAAGGCGACTTCCAGTTGGGCATGTTGGCAGGCAACATCGCGAGGTGTTTCCGAGTCGTTAGGGGTGTTCTTGGTCGTTTCTGATTCGACCTGTTCTTCTAGTTCTTGGTTGATCTGGCGGATCCGTGCGGGATCTCCTTGTGCATGTTGTCGTCGTTCGATGTGTGCGTCCAGCGCACCGAGTTGTCGTTGCCATATAGGGTTTTGTGAGTCCTGTTGAATCCGCTGCAGGTTGGCTTGTCGTCCTGCGTAGAGGAGGTTCAGTCTTCGCTGATTGTCTTGTTCTAATTCCTCGTTGTCGTTCATACTGTCGAGCTGTTCGATTGTCTTGCGCTCGATTTTGCTGTTGCTTCTATATCCTACAGCGAGGGTCCGTTTAGGTGCGTTGGTGGTGTCGTAACCAGATCGTTCTTGAGGTTTCTGGGGGTACCATCCTGCGTGTTCCTTACTGCTAGAGTGGATATGGCAGTTGTCATCGAAGCAGGTGGTCCAGTTGAGTTGTTCATGAGGGATCGTCTTCGTGGCGATACTCGCTTGTCGTTTCTCTGGTACCGGTTGGAAGCGTTCCTTCTTAGGTGACCTGCATTCGTATGCTAGGTGTCCAATCTTCTGGCAGTTATAGCACTGTCTATCTTTCTTCCAACTGTCGTTCTTTTTGTCGTTTCTCTGTATAGCACTAAGGTCCATTGGTCCACTGTGGTGACCATAGGCAGTACTTTGTCGGGGGTTGTTCCAGTTGTTGCGGGGTCTATTGTCGTTTCGCTGGTTGTTAAACTAGTGCTGAGGCTGCCACTAGTACTTGCGTCCTGAGTTAGGGTTTTGTCGTTTTTCGCCTCTTTCCTTTCGTCGTTCGAAAAGCCGGTTGTCGATTTTGATAGCGAGTTCGGCGTACTAGAGAAAGTCGTCAGGTCGATCAATCTTGATGATCTCGTCCTTGACTTCGTCTTTTAGTCCTTGATAGAACATGAAGATCTTGGTTTCCTCGGTGAGGTCGAGTTGAACGCTAAGTTGTCGGAAATTGGCGGAGTAGTCTTTGGCGGACTTAGTCTGCTTAAGTTGTGCCAGATCTCGTTCGGCTTGTCGCTTTTCGTCGGGGTCTTAGAAGAGTAACCTGAGCGTATCCTCGAATCCTTTAAAATTGGCGTAGATGTCGCGGGTCTCGGTGGTGCACTCGTCGAGGGTCTCGCATTTAAGGTATTCTTCCTGGATTGGTTCAAACCACTTGAGGGCCTTTCCTCGGAGGTAGGTGGCTGCGTGTACTACTTTTTCGGTTTCGTTGGTGAAATCTCCATGGTGAAAGTTCTGGTAGTTTTTGACCTGAATCAGGAATCCTTTAAGGGTCCCGGGGGTTCCGTCGTAGGTGACAGGCGCACTGAGCTTGAGCTTTTGTCGTCCTCCGTGGACGGGCGTGGTGACGATGTTGGCGGCGGCCCGGAGGGTGGTGATTTCCCCCTGGAGTTCCTGGATCTTCCGGAGGTTGGCGTCCCCCTTGATGTCTTCTTCCAGCTTCTTGTAGGCCTGTCCAGCGTGCTGGAGTTGCTCGTTGAGGTTTTCCATTGCTTGTCGGTTTTCGTTGACGATTTTCTGCATGTCTTTTGTCTCGGCTTCTTGTTTCTGGATTATGCGTCGGAGCTTATCGTAGCTTTCCTTGGTGAAAGAGCCATCTCCATCGGAGTCGTACTTGAGGTCCGGCATGTCGAAGTCCTCAGTGTTGGCGGGCTCCTGCGCGAGGCTCTGAGGCTGGTTGCGCGAAGAGGATGAGGATCCTGGAGTAGGTGATTTGGCAGAAGCGCGAGAAGACATCTTGTCTATACTGTTTAGTAGTTCTCAAAAGGTGACTTACTGAACAGGAGCAATCAAAGTGTTACGGCCAGCTAACTGACAGTGGGTTTGTGTTAACAGTAAGCCAGGGATTGACAACAGTAACAGTCGTTCTGGGGTCTGGTCGATTGAATCGTAGATCTTCAAAGGTCTTGGTGATCAGTCAAGGCCTCAACAAGAGTCGTAGAGTAGTCGTCACTTAGGTATAGCTGAAAGTACCGGTTAGGGTAATCACAAAGTTGATTGCTGAAGAACTAGGAAAGGTAGGACTCGAGAGGACTCGAGTCCCAACTATATACAAGTCTGGTTCCATGCTGAACACTTCCTGATCCTGGGGGACCGACACCCAGGACGTCGGTCCATCGCCATGGACCGCCCTTGGCACCGTCGGTCCTGTCCCAGGACCGCTTATCGTCCGTCGGTCCTGCTTATCGTCACGTGACCTGTATCCTAGTTCTTCCGTTCCGTGGGGGTTGTTACGACGTAACGGCTGACGGCCGTCCCTATAACCGCTGAGCCCCTGCGGGGTCGTCGTCAGTGGTCTGTTAACTGTCGGGTCGTAACATTCAGTGAACTGGCGGACGGCGAAGGAACGGCGTTTACTTCCGAGAGCTTCTCGAATGAACTGTCAGAGGCTTCAAAGGGCAGCCAGTTGCTCGGTTTCGGAGACAGAGCTTCATTATTACAATTCAAATTGATATGAGTTGCCTCTAAGAAGGTTATAGCAGGAATGGGATCCGGAAGTAGTGCAGGAGAGTTGATGTATGCCATGTCGAAAGCTAACACAGCTGTGACTGCGAATATTGATTTTTATTGGTGAGAGGAATGCCAAGCTTAGTCGAGTCGTTTTGAAGGTAAGATGAACAGACTAATCATGGATGTTATGAGGAAGTGCTCACGCATGTGTGAAGTTGGCGAGGGTGAGCAAGATATTTACCGAAAGCTTCCTCAATGAATACTGTGGATTTGAAAAAGCATCGTAAATTTGACGTGAGAAACTTTAATCTATAGTATTTGGAGTTGAGCGAACAATGCAACAACTTCACACAGTAAAACTGTAAAAGTGTTCTTGAACACCACAAAGAGAGTAAATTATGAAGCCCGGGTGACAGCTCTTGAGGTGGAGTCTTTGTGGTGCGCCTTACCTCTGACAAAGACTGGAGTGGGATGACTTGGAAACTATGTCTTTCGAAATTGCTGGACGCGGCTTGACTATTTCAACAAGGCCTTGACACTGAAACTAGACTTTGGTTTCTGGAGATATCTTGTATGGACTGGAAGTTGAATAACGTCGCACACCCACTTCTCGCACACCCCCACATTTCGCACACCCATAAATCGCTCATGTAGAATTTTACCCTCTTCAACATTCTTTAATATCTTCACCACTTTTACAGCGATTATTATAATTCTTTGAATAGTTACTCTTATACGCTTAATGGGCCAGTATACGGAAACAGAAGTCAATCAAGCTCTCAATGCAGTTGCAAGTGGGCAGAGTGTCCGAAAGGCAGCTCATGATGCTGGAATTCCACCATCAACCCTCCAGTCTCGATTAAAGGGTTCACAGGCAAGAAATGTAGCTTTCTCTAGCTTCCAGAAGCTATCTCCAGCACAGGAAAGTCACTTAGCTGAATGGGTGCGTATCCAGGCGGCGTTAGGGCTGCCGCCAACACATCAACAACTCAAGGAATTTGCCCAGCGAATCCTAGACATCAGAGGCACTACCCAGCCACTTGGGAGAAACTGGATTCAGTTCTTTATTAAGAGAAATCCATCAATCAAGGTTCATAGAGCTAGAGCCATCGATTCTAAGCGTGTCAATGGGGCCTCAACTAATGTAATCAGGCAATGGTTTCAACAACTCGCCCTTCCAGAGATCAAGGCGATCAAACCACATCATCGCTATAACATGGATGAAACTGGTATCCTAGAAGGCAGAGGATCAAATGGCTTAGTACTGGGATCATCAGAAAGCTCATCAATGCGAAAAAAACAGCCTGGGTCTCGGGCTTGGACAACTATGCTTGAGTGTGTCTCTGCAACTGGTCAGGCGCTTCCTCCACTTGTTATTTATCGAGGGAAATCGGTTCAACAACAATGGTTTCCTCTTGATATCCATAAACGTGATATTTACAGTGGTTGGAAGTTCACAGCAACTGAGAATGGCTGGACTTCAGACTCTACAGCTGTGGAATGGCTTGAGAACATCTTTATCCCTCTGACTAAGCCTGATCATCCCTCTGAGCAGAGACTATTGATCCTAGACGGTCATGGCAGTCATGAAACAACAGAATTTATGTATCTCTGTTATAAACACAAGATATATCTCCTTTTCCTACCGCCACATACATCCCACGTTCTCCAACCTCTAGACCAAGCAGTCTTTGGGCCTCTCAAGGCGACCTATCGAAAAGAGCTTGGATACCTCATTCAACACAACGATTCTACAGTTGTAGGCAAACGGAACTTTCTTACCTGCTATGGAAAAGCACGCCAGATGGCATTTTCAAGCAAGAATATCAGAAGCGGCTGGAAAGCAACAGGACTATGGCCCATTTCGATAGCTCGACCGCTCATGAGCCCTCTACTGCTTGAGAATGCTTCCAAGCCCTCAAAGCCAGGCTATTCTACGCCTATGAGGGCCTCTGATGGTGGAAAAGACGAAAACTGGGCATCTGCTACATCCATAGTAGCCTGGTCAACGCCCAAGAAGACAGTTGATCTATATGATCAACTTTGTCACAGTTAATAAGTCGTTCTAGTCATTGTTGTCTATTAGGTTAGGTCTATCCTAGGTCTAGCGAACAGGTGGTCTAATATACCTATAGGGCGGTCTAGGGCGACAGTATCGCCCCACGTGTGGCAGCCCCACTGGCAGCCACACTGGCAGCCCCATAACTGTGGCATCCCTACTGTTGTGTCTAATAGAACTGTGACAGGTGCCCGTCCCGAAAAAGACGATCGTCCCGATCGTTTCGGCTGCCTAAACATGACTTTAAACGGCTTAATAACATGACTTCCTTAGGCCTCTATTAGTGCGAGGCGTAATAGGGGGGTATGCCTAAGGCTGGCTGTAATTAACTGGCTGGGCGTAACTGTCTGGCTGGCTGGCTGGCTGGCTGTAATTAACTGGCTGGGCGTAACTGTCTGGCTGGGCGTAACTGTCTGGCTGGCTGGCTGGCTGGCTGTAATTAACTAGCTGGGCGTAACTGTCTGGCTGGGCGTAACTGTCTGGCTGGCTGGCTGGCTGGCTGTAATTAACTAGCTGGGTTGGCCCAAAGCGGGCACTTAGTCCCTTCTGTAGGCCGTACCATCCTAGGGCCCTATACCGGTTCCTTTCCACGGGCCTAAGGTGATATTCCCACCAGCTGAGTGCTTTACCTCTGAGTAGGCTCTGCCATTCTCGGAGGACTTCGTCTCGAGCGTATGGATTAACGATTTTCCTTCCAATTGCTAAGAGCCATAGATCTACGTCTCGGTAGCATAGTGTCTGTTGGTCATAGAATATAGGCTCCCTGCCGTACTTGCTGTCGGCGTCGGGCCAGAATACTCCGTATCGTTGCTGAATGTTCGTTATGGCTGCGAATCTTCTCCCTGGGTCTGGTAGGAAAAGCAGTTGCTGTTGTTGTCGTTGAGACTGTAGCATAGTCATACAGAGGCTAATTTCGGTATAGATATGGGCATGCTTAGCGGCGTTGAAGAGGGTCTGTAGAAACGGCGCAGAAGCCCGTTCTATAACTTCTATGGTCTGGCCGGCAGTCTCGGCAGTAGTCTCGGCAGTCTCGGCAGTAGTCTCGGCAGTAGTCTCGGCAGTCTCGGCAGTAGTCTCGGCAGTAGTCTCGGCAGTCTCGGCAGTAGTCTCGGCAGTAGTCTCGGCAGTCTCGGCAGTAGTCTCGGCAGTCTCGGCAGTAGTCTCGGCAGTCTCGGTAGTCTCGGCAGTAGTCTTAGCAGTCTCCTGCTGTGGGATTCCAGCCCTACAGGCTGAGGGCTGGCAGCCCTGTTGTAGGTGTCGGAATAGGGCGTTGCGAGATGTGAAATCGCTATAGCAGATGCGACAGCGAAACTGGCTTCCACAGCTATTGGCATAGACGTGGCGGAAGAGAGCGTTCTTGCTGGGGAATCTAGCGCTACACTTCCGGCAGGGCTCTGGGCGCTGTTGGCGGGTCTGGATAGCCTTGAGGTCGTCAATTGACGGCCATACCGTTGGGTCCCACGCTGGCGTAGGCGTAGAGGGATAACGGCGTTGACGGTACGAGGGGTGATGGTCTCGCGTAGGGTCTTGAGGGGAGGCGAATAGTATAGCTGGTGCGCGCATATTGGCGGCGTCGGCGTTAGCAGCAGCGTTAGCAGCAGAATTAGCCTGGTGCGGGCGGATTGGCCACGGTCTGGTGTTTCTCAACGGATTGAAAAAAGTAGCTTATTTGCCCATGCTGAAAAATTAACTATGAGGTCGCGAGGGATCGCAAAGTAGGTCGTGCTACCACTTGTCACAGTTAATAAGTCGTTCTAGTCATTGTTGTCTATTAGGTTAGGTCTATCCTAGGTCTAGCGAACAGGTGGTCTAATATACCTATAGGGCGGTCTAGGGCGACAGTATCGCCCCACGTGTGGCAGCCCCACTGGCAGCCACACTGGCAGCCCCATAACTGTGGCATCCCTACTGTTGTGTCTAATAGAACTGTGACAAACTTAGCTTATTCAGCAAGTTGGATAAAGATCAGCAAACGCAGCGACTGTTGTTTCGGAAGGTTCAAAAGGGATTTGATGAAAAGGACTATCAATTGGCTACAGCAGAGAAGAAGATTGCAATGTTGGAAGCAGAAGTTGAGGCTGGAATGGTACGGAAGCGGCGTAAGGTCCAAATGAGCCCAAATTCGAAGTTTGCCAACATTGAGGCAATTCACAAAGCCCAAATTGAGGCTGGCGAAATTGAGGATAGCTCAGATGAATCTAGCGAGCCTGAATTACCTATTAAAACTGGCGATAGTATCACAGTTGCAGGAGACGAATCAGACTTATAGTTATGAAGTTGATGAATACCTCATGATGACCCAATTTATGGGTGTGCGAAATGTGGGGGTGTGCGAGAAGTGGGTGTGCGACGTTAACACTTTAGAAGCCTCTGTTGTTTCAGTAAGAAGAGACTCGAGATCTGTACCAGCAAACGATCAGGTTTTGTCAGTTTATACGAGCCCATTCAGCTTGCCTTCAACGACCATAAAAAATACTCACCAAAACAAACGGAATTGGAGTGAGTCACCCACTTCATGTCTCTTGACGCCAAGTTTAGACTGACGTTCTATGGTAGTCTGGTTGGCACCATCTTCAACATGGTCCTTTACTGCTCGATTAACCCTGATGATGGCGGAGAAACTCCAGTTGGAAACCCCCTTTAGCGCACCAAGTTTTCTTAACGACGAGATATACCCCCTAAGATGGAAGGCCGCCGGAATGGACGACCAGCCTGACATCAACGGCCTACCCTCTATCGAGCATGCTCTTTATCTCTACAACACCGTCAAGTTTCATCTAGGTCAAAATTACCAGTTCCTCGACGAGAAGTCTTTCATCCAGAATGTAGAGGACTTCTATTATGGGAACCCGGCCCAGAAGGCGACTGAATCACGACTCTGGTTCGTCCAGTTCCTCTTGGTCTTGTCTTTCGGGCAGGCTTTTCTTTCAAGATCAAAAACTCCAAAGGAGCCGCCAGGTTCCAAATATTTTATCCGCGCCATGTCCCTTTTACCGGACCCCACATTGCTGTGGAAGGACAGTTTGTTGGCTATTGAAGTTTTAGCCCTGGCCGGACTATACCTGTATTCAATTTACCAAAGAGAATCAGCACAGTTATACGTAAGTTTCTCGCTTAGGTATTGACTGCCTTTACTAATCAGAGCGTGTCCTCCACAGGTGGCCCAAGCAATACGCATAGCTCAATTAGAAGGGCTGCATACACAACTACCAGAAGACGCCCTTGGGGCAGGTACCGTAGCTCGTTGTCGTAATCTTTGGTGGACCCTATATATAATGGATCGACACTTTTCATGTTCTTTAGGTGTTCCAATGAACACACAAGACATTGACATATCGACGTTACTCGATCCACCAAGCGCTTGCTCACAACAGGATGCAACCCTTGGCCTACGAGTAAAGTTGTCCCATCTCCTTTCCTCCATCATTAACAGTAAGTCTAGGACTAATAGCGTGATATGCTCTAATTCTAACATTATCTCCTAGCTGTATATAAGTCCGAAAAGAAGCCGTTATGGGAGTTCCTCGAAGCTACCAGGTCTATTGTCCACACACTAGCAGGGCATGCTCAAGAAATCGAGCGAATTACCCGCGTCAAATTCCAGAACTCGGTAGATACTATGCCAAAAGGCACAAGAGATATAACCTTACTCTATCACCAGGTCAGTTACAATTAAATTGTTACACTACAAAAGAGTTCTAACATGAGAAGTGTGTGGTTATTGCTACACGTCCGCTCTTTCTGTCTGCACTGAAACATCAGCTGGACAATTTTGAACGAGCACGAGATTTGGAAAGCTTCTTGGCCCCTCTCACGCCATTGATGTCTACCGGCATTAAATCAGCTGTTAAGACTCTGCAGATATTATCAGGAGAAGACAGTCTACTTGGTAATTATCACACGGTCGTAGCTCGGAATATTTGCTTATATCCTACCAGAAGTCTTTCTGCCTTTCGATCTCGAATACGCCTACGGTGCCGCCATACATCTCACAATCGCAAATGCCCTTTTCCCCTCTACGGCAGATCTTGATGGACCGACGCATAGCCGGCAGGCTCATGCAATTCTAGACGACATGATTTACAAGGGTAACTCTGTGGCTGAAGTCCGTAAAGCTGAGTTGGTTCACTTGGAGTCCCTTTTCGGCGAGCTTGCTACAAGGGTTACGATGCCCAATCCTCTACCAACGAGTCTCCCAACACGCTTGAGGGACACAGAGCCAACAGTGAGCGATGCTGAGTGCTCTACAACCACCGAACCCGATCTGATATCCATTACTACACTAAGCGAGTCTCAGTCCATCTTTTGTGCTCCAGAGACACCAAACAACGTTGCATTTCTCGACAGCATCGGGATATCATCTGATGACTTTCTCTCCATTGTAGAGCAGATGGATAATCAAGATGACATTGACCTTCCTTTCACAATGTTGGACTTGGGGCAGTTTTGGAAATAGTCAGGTCTGGAATTAGTCAGGTCAGCTGGATAGGAGTGGATTTGCTGTGGCAAACAGGAGCATACATTTATGAAACTTTAATACTTTCTGGGACGCCCTTCGAAACCGCTACTTGGTAATGGTGTTGAACAACAGTTATATGCGCTTTCTCTTGGCATATTTTGTAGCTCAAAATTTGCAGAAACACAATTACCTCAAGATTATGCGGCTGTTTTATATTACAGACTGTACAGACATATGATATCTTCGATGTCTCTCTTCTTCTGAGGATAAGCTAGCCTCATATAACCCACGCAATTTTAAACAGACCCCTCTCCATCACCATCCAGTATGATAATACGGGTCCCATGACTGGTGCCTCTGGACATGAGGCTGCTGTTGCTGAAATGGCAGATAGCTAGGATCGTTCCAGGCAAGGTTTGACGAAGTCTCAGGAGGAGTTGTGACTACTGCAGATGATGTAGTCGTCGGAATGATCTTCAAGTCGTACATCGATTCCATATTGTATGCAGAACTCTGGTTTACATTTTGCGTATGCGTGGAATCAGTCTGGAGAAGAGGAGCTCCTATCGTCGTGTATGCTTGAGCCGTGTTCTTGACATTCGATGCGTGATAATCTGAAGGCATGTGACCCGATAGACTGTCCTCCAACCCGACTGCGACAGGTGTTAGCAATTTAAAGAAACTCCAACTCCAACTTCTCATAGTACTTACAAGCCAAAATATAGAATAACTCTGCTACTACAGGGACCCAAGCAGCTAGGGCTAGAACCTGACCAAAAGTCCATTCGTCGTTCTTGTCAAGGCCGCCTGCAGTATCGATGATCTTTTGCCGGAAATGCGCAAAGTAGGCCAGAATTCCCCACATGAGGAAAAGATTGATCCAGGCGATTAGAAGACGCCAGATTCCTCTCCAGGTCTTGACCCACGGCTTGTCGACCATACCGGGTATCTTGAAGCCAGTAGTGAGAAACAGCGTTATGACGAGCCACAGGAGAGGCAATGCAATAACTAGGAATTGCGTGGCTTTGACGACCTGCCAGTACTGAGAACCTCTTTGATCGCAGTCGAAATTTCTGCGGCCGCTCTTACGCTCGTCATAGTCGATCTCGGCTCTCGGCGCAAGGAAGACAACGGAAGCGCTGAGGCCCCAGAGAATCAAGAGGACCGACCGATGCAACCACTTGCGATGACCCTCGTGCTTCACTAAAGCATAGAGAAGCATGACTGGGAAGACGGAAAAGTTGGATGCGATGAGCGACAGAGGCATTTCGTAGACCGCTTCGCCAGACGGTAGGTCCGGGTTCGTTTTACGCTTTTCTTCACCCTGAGTTATGCTTGAGTATAGCGCGGCTCCAAGCATTGCGACGGCAATGAGCATGGCGCCGCCTAGAAACATGTCTAGCGATCCACGGAAGGAATCAAGAATCCGATCGCTGACTGTTTGCGCTTGTTGCGGGCGAGACTTTTTCGGCTTGTTCTTCTTGAAATATAGGATGGTTTGGTGGATTGTAAAGGCAATGAGATACATAGTCCCGAGAAGGGCTTCGAGGAAATATGATACCACTACCTGCAATCTCAAGTTAGTTCGTTGTCTCGAGACTAGAGATTTTCACAGCTAAGTCACTTACTCCGATGCCAGAGAGATCTTGGCTTCCCGTATATCCAGCAGCCTTGCAGTACTCGGCTGCACACTTTTGTTTCGGATCGTTGATCACGAGCGATGTGAAGTTCGGGCTGAAGAGCCAATAGTCGGGAAAGGCCTCGCCCGCCGGTACCGGTGTGTGCGCCATATTGTATGTGAACCAAGAGGCAATCTCGACATATAATGTGGACAACTGGTCGGCCTGAAGGCTATGCTTGGGTACTGAGTAGAAGAACAGCGCGGCTGATAGCTCCAAGCTGTTTCCGCGAGTTTGACTTGGTTGCCATGGATCTGGTTGGACCAACGCACCCAGCCATTGTCCCCATGCTGTGCAATTGCTATGAAAGTTGAGCTGGTCCCAGGTCAAATTACCTGGAACCCATTGATCGTTGTAATTCATTTTGAAGGAGCCTTTCCACAAGCTCTCGGCGGCTTCCTCCCGCTCATAAAAGTTTGCTCAAAATGCCAAACGAAATTTGAATATGGTGGAAAGAGAAGCTGCCCAGGGGCTCCCGAGTAAGATGGGGGTGAGAAAGCATTTTTAAGCCTTGCGGCTTTCTACAGGAGAACCGATATGGTCTCACATTGCCAGCCACAAAACTCTCAGGCACCACAGCCGCACTCTTATTTTTCTTTGATTGCTTAGGTCGCCTGTCCTACGCTCTTCCAACATTTCGCCGGTTCTATGCAGCTGAACCATGGGGCTGACGACTATAACAAAAAGGGTATGACCCGTCCAAACTAGTGTGATTGTGAGATCTCCTAGCGCAAGCCACGGCCTCTAAGCACGTCTGCGGGCTCCCTGGCCAGGCAAGGCCAACCACTCAGGCTATCTCGTCGGCGCCAACTCGTTTGCAGAGCGTGTGACAGGAATTCTGGCGGAATCATCCCGGAAACCCAGCCGTTGGGACATGTTAGTCACTTGGCTGGCGGCTGCTAGTAGAGCTTGATGATTGCCTTTGGGCTAATAAATGCCATTGGCGACGCCAAAGCATCGTCATCAGCACAGTTTAAGATTTCTGCAGTTGTATTCTTCAGTTTATGTTCTTGAAATTACATAGTTCACTCATAATTCTTAGTTACTTCTATAGTCGATTATATCAACTGCCGTGTTGAGCAAAGGCACTTGCGATCGCAGCTTTATAGTTTCCAGAGGTTTGAACTTTTCTGGTCAAGAGTCGGTAGGGTTTGAATTACGCCCAAGTGAAGACGATCCGTCCTTGTAAGAAAATTTATTCAAACTTATTGTGTTATCATGATACACAATAGTATAACACTAAATGCGTAGGTGGTATGAACTCACTAGGGACTTTGATGTCACAGCTCAATCATATGCCGAGTGAATATCTGCCCAAGGTATTGTAGCGGCTTGTTAATCCTGTAAACACAAACTCTCTTCAAGGTAGCCATCTTCGCGTATCATGTACCGGCTGCAACCATGAAGACAATCTTCAAAAGCGCCTTGCATTCGAAAGCTTACAAGTAACTCATGATCGGTCAGGTGCATGTAGACTTTCCAGACTTATCCGAGCAATCACTGATATGTCTAGGTGAGCAGGCTCATAAGGTAACATTACACCATTCCACATGTTGCTTTTCAGACGTCACCTACATATGAACAGTAGAACAACTACAAGATATAAGTTTTGAGTTTAACGCCGTAACGGGGAAAGCATTTCCTAACTAGTCCTTTAGTTCCTGAGGAGATCTCGATTGAGGTAGGGTTTACTTGAGTAATGTAAGCTCTAATGCTTACAATTGGCCATTTTCTCAGATGTAACAGCCTATTCCGGTGTCTCCCTTTCTCAGCCAGTTGTCCGTCCTAGGCAGATCGAGGGGTCTTATACATGATCACGAAGTATCAACATGTTCATAAGAAAAGTGATAGGGCTTGAGCGCCGCGGTGGCTGAAAAGAACGGTTTCAATGGTTTAGGCGCGCCACATCGAGAGGAAATAGTTTGAGCCCACCAGCCACTGGAATCACTGACCAAAAAAGCTTCTATTGGCGTTTTGATTAGCCTAGACTATTAATGTGTCTGCCTTACACCGTCAAGGCTGAAAGGTAGCTCCAACGTTCACAGGGCATTTTCTAGCCGCTTGCTAAAGCCCCAGGAGGTTCGGCTTAATCTATTTTTAGTTTTATGCAAACCGCTAAATACTTGCTTCGATTCAAAGATTTCCGGTTCATTCCTGGATCTAACTCGAATCTGGCATGTGTCTACCACGGTTACGGCGCTTATCTTGGTTACATCTTCTACACCAGTAATACCATGCTTCAACTCAACCCAACTATGTACATGTAATCTGAAAAGTGCTTCATTTGCATTTAACGGACTTTTTTCATCTCATTCTTCTGACGCTTTACCGAGAGCTTACCATAAAGATGCGGGTTTGGGCCGCTAGTTAGGTGACTCTTCGCTCAGGGTATTCCCTCTTTTCTAGACCTTGGGGAAAATCAAAGCCTCGTTTCTCTTTCGGCCAAGCCACAAGAGTAAAATCATCGTTCGATTTGGTTTCAGAAGCTTTATCTTCTCCTGGAATACTGAGGTTGCTTTGATGTTATGGCGGAGGTAAGCATTAGCTAGGTCTTTAAGATGCCACATAGCTCCAGTAGGCAAGGGGTCAGAACAACTGTCTCTGCTTAGAGCTCTCAAGTGGATTGTCTCTGCCTTTTCAGTATTTGAACAAATCAAAGCCAATCGTCCCACTTGGAACAATGTTTATGCCACACGTTAACCTCATTGTTCTATTGTTACATTTCAAAGAAACACGTTAAGCTTTTACAAAGACCACAAAAAAAGCAGTGTTCTTATAGCAATGCTTTTGTTTCAAAGATGATGATTAGTATTTCTTGGCTAGATAGGAACTGCTTCTCCAATGCTCCAAGCAATCCTTGCAATATATTATATGAGAGCAGTGCAAGTCCGATTGAAGTACAATACCTCAGTCTTAGATTTCTTACCTGCACACAAAACTCATATTGGACCCATCTCACACAACTGGCCAACAACTTTTAACTTGAAAGCTATCGCTGCCATGTCCTGTCACCGCGAAAACTGCTCTGGAGCCGCTAAGCCTCTTGTCCAGACCTCTCTGCAGTCAGAGAAGCACATATCCTCGGTTCACTTTACTACTCTTTCCCCGCAGTACCCATGGCCTCAGACGCTGTTAGCTCCCAGCCTCTTCAAAGTGAGACCGATGCCACTGCGGGTGCAAACCTACCTTTGGTAAACAGCAAGACCCGTTTTTCGACCAGCAGCTCTTCCAATGGTGGCCGTGTGAAGGAAATTGTGGCTGAAATAGAGGCTCGCAGCCATCGTAGCATGAATTTGACCCAGAGAAAGGTCTGGTGGAAGCAATACTCCTCCGACTTACCCTCTCAATCCTCTGCCTTGAAAACCCCGGGAGCAGAAAGCAGACCTGAAGGTGAAACTGGGGCCTCAACTATGTCTTTAGCCACTGCGATGACGAAGGCATCAATTACCGACAGTGATAACACAGGCAGCGAAAAGAGCTGGATACTTGTAAAAGACTCTGATCTGGACTAAATATACCTAAAATACATGTGTTTCTGCTTTCCGAATGACTTTGGTGCACGCGATGACTTGTCAAGGCTTTTGTTCTGGTTCTGCTAAAGGGCTTGCCTTTTAAGCAGAGCATACACTATGCTTCGTGTTGCATCATGATGCAACAATGCATCACGCCATCTTTGTTAAGATTTTACTTGCCTGTGATGGGAGAAAAGCTTTGTGAGGTGTTACAGTTTCCTTAATCTTAACCACGTAATCAGCCATGAGTATAATGGCTCCTAGTTCTGGAAGTTACATATGGCAAAGTGGAATGGAGATAACGTCGCACACCCACTTCTCGCACACCCCCACATTTCGCACACCCATAAATTGGGTCATCATGAGGTATTCATCAACTTCATAACTATAAGTCTGATTCGTCTCCTGCAACTGTGATACTATCGCCAGTTTTAATAGGTAATTCAGGCTCGCTAGATTCATCTGAGCTATCCTCAATTTCGCCAGCCTCAATTTGGGCTTTGTGAATTGCCTCAATGTTGGCAAACTTCGAATTTGGGCTCATTTGGACCTTACGCCGCTTCCGTACCATTCCAGCCTCAACTTCTGCTTCCAACATTGCAATCTTCTTCTCTGCTGTAGCCAATTGATAGTCCTTTTCATCAAATCCCTTTTGAACCTTCCGAAACAACAGTCGCTGCGTTTGCTGATCTTTATCCAACTTGCTGAATAAGCTAAGTTGATCATATAGATCAACTGTCTTCTTGGGCGTTGACCAGGCTACTATGGATGTAGCAGATGCCCAGTTTTCGTCTTTTCCACCATCAGAGGCCCTCATAGGCGTAGAATAGCCTGGCTTTGAGGGCTTGGAAGCATTCTCAAGCAGTAGAGGGCTCATGAGCGGTCGAGCTATCGAAATGGGCCATAGTCCTGTTGCTTTCCAGCCGCTTCTGATATTCTTGCTTGAAAATGCCATCTGGCGTGCTTTTCCATAGCAGGTAAGAAAGTTCCGTTTGCCTACAACTGTAGAATCGTTGTGTTGAATGAGGTATCCAAGCTCTTTTCGATAGGTCGCCTTGAGAGGCCCAAAGACTGCTTGGTCTAGAGGTTGGAGAACGTGGGATGTATGTGGCGGTAGGAAAAGGAGATATATCTTGTGTTTATAACAGAGATACATAAATTCTGTTGTTTCATGACTGCCATGACCGTCTAGGATCAATAGTCTCTGCTCAGAGGGATGATCAGGCTTAGTCAGAGGGATAAAGATGTTCTCAAGCCATTCCACAGCTGTAGAGTCTGAAGTCCAGCCATTCTCAGTTGCTGTGAACTTCCAACCACTGTAAATATCACGTTTATGGATATCAAGAGGAAACCATTGTTGTTGAACCGATTTCCCTCGATAAATAACAAGTGGAGGAAGCGCCTGACCAGTTGCAGAGACACACTCAAGCATAGTTGTCCAAGCCCGAGACCCAGGCTGTTTTTTTCGCATTGATGAGCTTTCTGATGATCCCAGTACTAAGCCATTTGATCCTCTGCCTTCTAGGATACCAGTTTCATCCATGTTATAGCGATGATGTGGTTTGATCGCCTTGATCTCTGGAAGGGCGAGTTGTTGAAACCATTGCCTGATTACATTAGTTGAGGCCCCATTGACACGCTTAGAATCGATGGCTCTAGCTCTATGAACCTTGATTGATGGATTTCTCTTAATAAAGAACTGAATCCAGTTTCTCCCAAGTGGCTGGGTAGTGCCTCTGATGTCTAGGATTCGCTGGGCAAATTCCTTGAGTTGTTGATGTGTTGGCGGCAGCCCTAACGCCGCCTGGATACGCACCCATTCAGCTAAGTGACTTTCCTGTGCTGGAGATAGCTTCTGGAAGCTAGAGAAAGCTACATTTCTTGCCTGTGAACCCTTTAATCGAGACTGGAGGGTTGATGGTGGAATTCCAGCATCATGAGCTGCCTTTCGGACACTCTGCCCACTTGCAACTGCATTGAGAGCTTGATTGACTTCTGTTTCCGTATACTGGCCCATTAAGCGTATAAGAGTAACTATTCAAAGAATTATAATAATCGCTGTAAAAGTGGTGAAGATATTAAAGAATGTTGAAGAGGGTAAAATTCTACATGAGCGATTTATGGGTGTGCGAAATGTGGGGGTGTGCGAGAAGTGGGTGTGCGACGTTAGTGCCGGGTTTCATAGGTACTCTATGAGGGCGCTTTTACCGTTCTCGTCATTGTCAGACCCAAACGCGGCTTCGCAGGAACGTTTACTTCCAGTTGAATACACATCAGAAGGCCGCCTTCTTCTTTCCTGATTGCTTCTAATGTATCATGACTAGATTCAGTGCCAATGACCCCAGCGAAGGGTATGAGAAAGCCCAACCTTTCCGATGACAGTCCTTTGGAAGGGACGTCTTCATATTTGCACTTGACCAAGCGGCGCTTACAATTGGCACACGGTTCATCTCCTGTGCACTTAATCTTGCTCGTGCGACAGGGAATGCAGCTAAAGGGTGAGGAAGTCAGGTTACCGACATAAACACGCGGCTAAGGAGATGCTTACGCATTTGTTGTTCGCCTTATTTTGCGACGTTCGGACTCCATACTCAAGATATCACCAGAACGATATATCTAACAGAGAGGTTCGTAAGAGTGGCGAGATTGTGGTTCTCACCAGGAATGGCGGCGCTCAAGAAGGGCCAGCTCATTCTCAACGCACGTTCATACAAGTGATGCAGCGCCCAGGACACTCACTGGTCACAACTCGTTCAGCCTACCAACCCCGCCGTGCCCGCTAAAGATAGGTGCGGGGAAAGGTTTGTAGCGGCAAGGAGATTGCTAGCCAGCGGGGTCACGCACCCCGCAAAATTTGTTCAGAGCACACACCATGTTCCTTACCCCCCCATCCCACGATGGCGACAGTCCGGGGAAGCAACTATGACACATGGTTAAAATATGACTGGACGGATGGAATCTCTTCTTGGTTAGTTAATTGTAGGCTATACGAGCTATTACGTGCTCAGTTCCTTGGTAGGTCAGGGCGTTGAGTGCAAACTTGACTCCGATGGATGTTGATCTCGGAACTCGAGTACACACCAACGATTCTCTGAACTTGTGGCATTGCTGCCCTTATCATCAAAACACAAAGTTTCGTGCATTATCTACTGCACCCTTTTATCTATCTCCCGTGCTCAAGTTCTTGTTCTCACCAGAGTTTAGATAAGGACCATTTCTCTAGGCTTGAGCATTTATCTCGTCGTGTAGCCTGTCTTGAATCAGCGAATCTAGCCGATACAATCGTTCATATGCGGGGTAAAGTGTGAAGTGAAGGACAGGACAGGGATCGGGAACAGGGATCGGCTCGGATGGCTGGAATATGGCCACTACTATGTACGTAGAACCGCTAGGGGAACGCCCATCTAAGTAGCTCCCATTTGGATTGCCGTTCTGGGATGGTTATCTGTTGGGTTCCACTAAAGAACATGAAAATGGCTAACTCTCTGAAGTCGCCCGATAAGTGCCGAGATCACCAACATCGGCAGGCTCAGTCAAGTTAGAGAGAGGATATACACCATTGAAGGAAACAGAAAACTACCTCAGAGCACTGCATAGGCCCAGGGAACGATCAAAAGCATCTGGGTAGTTGTGCAAGATTCTACGAAAAGCCCGGAACTGCTAGTGATGCTGGTACTACAATCACTGCTCATTGTTGATTAATTTTTGCGGAGCTATTAACTTTTTTCTTGTAAAAAATACTTGAGGAGATTATCCGACTTGTTTACTTGAAGCTTCTGATCACACCGCTGTGTTTAAATGAGCCAATAGGGGCTCCAAGCCAATGGGCCAATGTGTGGCGTATTTTGATGAGAATTTGTGATGATGACGAACAGCTACCCTAGCCAACATGTCTAGGGGCAGGTCATTAAGTCATATTATCACCAGCACAGCAAGTTAGAGAGTCAGAGAGCTATCACCCATTTTGCGAAATGCACAGAGTAATGAGGTATGTACCACTAAAATAAACGCATGAACACTCTGAGCTTCTAGATCCCGCAAACTCTTCACTTGCACACAACAGCAGTATTGTTAGATCTAAATAGGATTACTGATACTATTCATCTAATATGTCTCCTCAGTCCCCGGTACAAATCTATGCTCCAACGTCGAACTCAATGGTTCCGAAGCCCTCAAATGTGCATGACCAATGTCCAGTCTGCTGCATTGGCACCGCCTGAAGGCAACTGCCAGGAAGAATCACTTGCCCAGCCGAGAACTCGACATCATACTTCGAGAGCTTGTTCACCAACCACGCCACAGCTGAAATGGGATTCCCCAGAATATTTCGAGTGTTGCCTGTCATGACTTCTTGGTCATTGAAACGCAATACGCCCCGTGTGTTGCTTAGATTCAGCTCTGTTAGTCTGCGGGGAGTGCCACCAAGAATAACAGCAGCCGTGGAGCCATTATCCGCCAGTGTGTCGGGGAGGTCGATCGCCCAGTTCTTAACTCTAGAATCAATGATCTCAATTGCAGGGATGGCGTAGTCTATTGCGTTGATGACGTCGGCGACAGTAACGTTAGGGCCCTTGAGCGGGCCTTTGAGAACGAATGCTGGCTCCAATTCGACATATGGCTTAATGTAATCCTTTAGGGATAGAGTAGTGCCCTCATAGACAAAGGTGCTCCCAAGGAGGAAGCCATAATCGGGTTGATCAAGTCCAAAGGCGTCTTGCATGACCTTGGCAATGTTTCCAAGCTTGTACCCCACGAGCCGGTCACCATGCTTACTAACGTCGCACACCCACTTCTCGCACACCCCCACATTTCGCACACCCATAAATCGCTCATGTAGAATTTTACCCTCTTCAACATTCTTTAATATCTTCACCACTTTTACAGCGATTATTATAATTCTTTGAATAGTTACTCTTATACGCTTAATGGGCCAGTATACGGAAACAGAAGTCAATCAAGCTCTCAATGCAGTTGCAAGTGGGCAGAGTGTCCGAAAGGCAGCTCATGATGCTGGAATTCCACCATCAACCCTCCAGTCTCGATTAAAGGGTTCACAGGCAAGAAATGTAGCTTTCTCTAGCTTCCAGAAGCTATCTCCAGCACAGGAAAGTCACTTAGCTGAATGGGTGCGTATCCAGGCGGCGTTAGGGCTGCCGCCAACACATCAACAACTCAAGGAATTTGCCCAGCGAATCCTAGACATCAGAGGCACTACCCAGCCACTTGGGAGAAACTGGATTCAGTTCTTTATTAAGAGAAATCCATCAATCAAGGTTCATAGAGCTAGAGCCATCGATTCTAAGCGTGTCAATGGGGCCTCAACTAATGTAATCAGGCAATGGTTTCAACAACTCGCCCTTCCAGAGATCAAGGCGATCAAACCACATCATCGCTATAACATGGATGAAACTGGTATCCTAGAAGGCAGAGGATCAAATGGCTTAGTACTGGGATCATCAGAAAGCTCATCAATGCGAAAAAAACAGCCTGGGTCTCGGGCTTGGACAACTATGCTTGAGTGTGTCTCTGCAACTGGTCAGGCGCTTCCTCCACTTGTTATTTATCGAGGGAAATCGGTTCAACAACAATGGTTTCCTCTTGATATCCATAAACGTGATATTTACAGTGGTTGGAAGTTCACAGCAACTGAGAATGGCTGGACTTCAGACTCTACAGCTGTGGAATGGCTTGAGAACATCTTTATCCCTCTGACTAAGCCTGATCATCCCTCTGAGCAGAGACTATTGATCCTAGACGGTCATGGCAGTCATGAAACAACAGAATTTATGTATCTCTGTTATAAACACAAGATATATCTCCTTTTCCTACCGCCACATACATCCCACGTTCTCCAACCTCTAGACCAAGCAGTCTTTGGGCCTCTCAAGGCGACCTATCGAAAAGAGCTTGGATACCTCATTCAACACAACGATTCTACAGTTGTAGGCAAACGGAACTTTCTTACCTGCTATGGAAAAGCACGCCAGATGGCATTTTCAAGCAAGAATATCAGAAGCGGCTGGAAAGCAACAGGACTATGGCCCATTTCGATAGCTCGACCGCTCATGAGCCCTCTACTGCTTGAGAATGCTTCCAAGCCCTCAAAGCCAGGCTATTCTACGCCTATGAGGGCCTCTGATGGTGGAAAAGACGAAAACTGGGCATCTGCTACATCCATAGTAGCCTGGTCAACGCCCAAGAAGACAGTTGATCTATATGATCAACTTAGCTTATTCAGCAAGTTGGATAAAGATCAGCAAACGCAGCGACTGTTGTTTCGGAAGGTTCAAAAGGGATTTGATGAAAAGGACTATCAATTGGCTACAGCAGAGAAGAAGATTGCAATGTTGGAAGCAGAAGTTGAGGCTGGAATGGTACGGAAGCGGCGTAAGGTCCAAATGAGCCCAAATTCGAAGTTTGCCAACATTGAGGCAATTCACAAAGCCCAAATTGAGGCTGGCGAAATTGAGGATAGCTCAGATGAATCTAGCGAGCCTGAATTACCTATTAAAACTGGCGATAGTATCACAGTTGCAGGAGACGAATCAGACTTATAGTTATGAAGTTGATGAATACCTCATGATGACCCAATTTATGGGTGTGCGAAATGTGGGGGTGTGCGAGAAGTGGGTGTGCGACGTTAACTGCATTCTTCACAGTGACCCTCTGGACCTCGAAGGCACTATCGGCGTCGAGGTTGGTCCAAGTCTTGGAAGGAGGATCGATAGGCTCCCGGTTTATACGGGCATTACGGAGAGCCTCAGAGATTGCGTGCAAGTCGTCGTCATGCATAATGGCCTGAATAATATGTAGTATGAGGAACGAAAACGAAAACGAGATCTGACAGCTGAACAGAACAGAACCGGCTAACAGTGAAGAAAGAGGTCAGGATGTTGCTGCTATGAGATGGCCAGGTGAGTTGATATTTGTATCTACGATACTGGGCGAAGCTGTTCTTATGCTTGAATGTGTTCTTGCTTACACCGTGAACATGTTCGGACCAGTGGCTATCTTTCCGACAGAGACCGACCCAATACCGGCCATTCAAAGCCAAGTTAAAGTCAGCTTTTCGGAAACTTCTTTAGCTCCCCCGGCTTTGACAGATTGTGACTTCTTTTGACATCCGTGATCGGAGATAGACCCGAATGCCATTCTGCAACAGATTGCGATTTTTGGCGTTGTGATCATGTCTACCCTGGCCTAGTGGTCTAGACTTGGTTGATGGCTGGCAGGCTAGTGGATGTGCAACCAGTCTCGGATGCACCAAAGCTCCCGATCCTTGTTTGAATGACACACCCGAAACTAACTCTGCCCCAGCTTTTTCCCACCCGGGTGGATGACCGGCCACGGCGGGCTTATATCTCGGTTGATCACAACTTAAAACTGAAGCAGCCGCATTCTAATCCTGAAGCTACTCCATGGCTACGCCCTGTTTTGCCATGGATGCCGTTACACCATTGAATATCAATCCCGTTAGATCCAGTCCTTAGCGCGTTTAGTTTGGCTTCCCCAGAAATCAACCCCCACGGCTTCCACTTATTACCCCTCAACCCCGGTCGTGCGCGATTGTAATGACTTGAACCTGGTTGGTTCCAAGCAGCATTCACGTAGTCTAATCGGGCCCCTCGGACGCGCTCTCAATCTTGCCGAGATCAAGTTGAGAAGCAGGACAACAAGATAGCAACTCCACCTGTAAGTTTGACCCGAGGACTACGAATGGCATCTATCTCGGGCTAGGTCTCGGGTGCCTGGAGGTCACCCGAACCTTACGAGCCGACAAGTTCGAGCTGGGGTATTTGGTGCCACATAGATAGACCGTAGCTTGGTTACTAGGTAGAATCGCAGACTGTCCATATCCATATCATTCGCCGTGGCTTTGACAAAACCTTCTTAAACCCCTCGAAACCCTGACATTTCATGCCGTCTCTCCTCCAGTCGACCACTACACATGCATCGCATACCACTCTTTGAATTCAAACCTTGGCCACTTAGTTGGCTTGCCACTTTACACCAGTATCATGAACTCCTCATCAACAGAGACGGAGCCTAAGCCCTCGGTGACGATGATCGAGTCAAAGTCCAAAATGGGCGACGCAAGTGAGGTGACGAGTGGCGAGATCATCCACAATCACGAAAACTTGCAACGCCATCTCACGCCCCGTCAAGTACAATTCGTCGCAATCGGAGGCTCTATAGGAACAGCTCTATTCGTGAGCATTGGTTACGGTCTTATGCGCGGAGCAGCGAGTCTTTTGATCGCGTTCGCCCTACACGCTTGTGTCATAGCACAGGTAAACAACTCGCTTGCAGAAATGACCGTTTTCATGCCTATCAGCGCTGCCTTCATACACCACGCTGGTGCCTGGGTTGATGAAGCCTGGGGTTTCATGATAGGCTGGAACTTCTTCCTTTTTGAAGCCCTGTTAATCCCATTCGAAATCACGGCCCTGGATATGGTCTTGACTTTCTGGAGAGACGATATTCCTTCGGCTGCCGTCATCACTGTGTGCATTGTTCTCTACGCGTAAGTCTGGCACTCTCACAATTGCTATCAACTTATACTAAGACATTTTTGTAGAGCATGCAACGTTCTTGTCGTCAAGTACTTTGGAGAAACTGAATTCTGGTTGGCGGGAGGCAAACTTCTGCTGATTTGTATTCTGTTTTTCTTCACTTTCATCACGATGGTGGGAGGAAATCCTCAGCACGACGCCTACGGTTTCAGAAACTGGTCTAAGCCGGTAAGATTTATATCTATCTTGTTCCATTTTGACCGTTAAAATCTGGATTGTGAATAACCGTTTCATCAGGCCCCCTTTGTCGAATATATCGATAAGGGCGACTTGGGACGCTTCCATGGTTTTCTTGCCGCGCTATGGCAAGCCGCCTTCACGATCGTTGGACCCGAATATCTAGCTACTGTCGCCGGAGAAGCTCAACAGCCGCGAAAGACCATGAAATCGGCGTTCAAGTCGGTGTACTGGCGCTTCGGTATCTTTTTTATCGGAGGCGCTTTGTGCGTTGGAATTGTTCTTCCAGCCAACGACCCTACGTTGCTGAGTGTCTTGAGTAACGGAGAGACGGGCACTGGTGCTGCCTCGCCCTTTGTTATCGCCATGAAGAACATGAACATTGGAGTACTTCCTCATATCGTTAATGCCTTACTTCTGACCAGTATTTACTCTGCTGGTAACGCCTATGTCTACTGCTCTTCCCGCAGCTTGTACGGACTTGCACTCAACGGACACGCCCCCAAGATCTTCACCAAATGCACCAAGCAGGGCGTTCCCGTTTATTGCTTACTAGTTTCTGTCGCATTTGCCTGCCTTTCTTATTTGAAGTTGGGAAGTGGTTCGATTACCGTTTTGACCTGGTAAGCCTAAATCTTTCTCCTCAGGCACCGAAACATTTGCCCAAGAATGACAACAGTTGCTAACTGAAGAAGGCTTACAAACCTGATCACTGGCGGAACTCTGGTGACATACATCGTCATCTGCGTCAACTACCTCTTCTTCTACCGAGCTCTCAGCGCACAAAACTTCAACAGATCTGACCTTCCTTACTGTGGCTACCTGCAGCCCTACGGTACCTATATCGCATTGGTGTGGCTCATCGGAGTGGAGATCTTCTACGGCTATGCTATTTTCCTCCCCGGCCGATGGGACATTGGTTCCTTCTTTAGCAACTACACAATGGCGCTTCTCGCTGTCTGTCTTTTTTGCGGGTGGAAGCTATTCAGGCGCACGAAATTCGTCGAGCCTGAGCATGCCGATTTGGTTTGGATTCGTCCGGCGGTCGATGAGCATGAGGCATCGATGGCTGATCGAGAGGAAGTTGGAATTCGCAGGAGAATGGCACAAATGCTGAAAGTTGACTTGAAATTTGGTCGGTCGTCGAATGGTTCGGCCTAAGCTGGTTGAGAACTAGGTCCCCAGCCGGAAGGATGCTCACCCTGAGAGAGCTACTGAGAAGGTTGATCAGTCGGCAGCCATGCGCAGACACCACTTTAGCTTGATGACTCAGTAGGGATATCTGTAGAATGCAAACAAATGCAGTCCAAGTCACTTTGTGCATGTGTCGGACCTGACATGTCATCTTCCCTCCAAACCCCCGGATGAGCAAGGGAAAAACTCAGCCCCGGACAAAAGCAAACTTCCTGACGCAGTTTTTGGCTCTTCTGCCATCTCTACCCAAGTGAAGCATTCACCAAATCATGTTCGTGCCATAATTCTGGGGAGCGCTAAAGTTAGGAAATCAAATCTTCGATGGTATTGAGCCATCTCTACATGATACATGGAATACTTCGAAGAGTCTGTACAAATTTCTCAAATCCCCCAGGTTTTGAGGCATTAGTTCATCTCCGACAATCTTAGGAACATGACCGGATTGTGGGGCTTACTTCTTGGCGTAGTGCATCGAATAAATAGGTAAGACATTGCACTGAAAGCCTGCGGATTAGCTGGTGCATCAAGACTGAACTTGGTGACAAACGATTGTACGGAACGATGCTAGAATTCAGAGAGTATCAAATGTATGACTTCTTGCGGTCTGATTTGAATGCAGAGCTCGATGACATTGCACCCGGGAGTTCAGAAAAATGAATAGGGGATGCATCCGGCATCCCGCAGGCATGTCCCGCGCCGGATTCACATCTTGACCGGACATCTGGTCGGGGTTGTCGCTATGTGCTTATCCAACATCCACACCATCTGCAAAAGCCAAGCGGCCCAAAGGCTGAGTTGGTAAACAATCAGAAGAAGGCAATGCAAGCGTATGACCGATGGCATCATGTGCATCATAAATGGGCCTCACATCCAACCGTTTGGGCCGGTAGAAGACAAATGGAACTCGTACTCCGGTGAGGCCGCAGGAGGTATGTGCACCATTTTTGCGGAGCCGTATTTGGTTTCACGGTGGAGATTCTACTAAGCTGCACTAGGTAATGATCACCGACTTTAGGATTATCCCGCAGAATCTCTCTCAATGAGATGCTACGTAGTACATAGTAGTAACCGCTATACGGGAGAAGAAGTTGTTTCGAATCCTTAACTTATCCAAAATGCTTAACGACCGTTTGAGGTGATGGCGCCGATAGCGGCTTGTTTTTAGGCCAAATCTCACCTGGCCAACATGACGCAGGGGGGCTAGCGACAATGATAGCTGATTAAGTAATGTTGATCCGTGGTATGTAGGCTCGTTTGTCACTTTGCTCTACTGTCCTTCCATCTACGTGTTGGAAGTCGCCAATCTCTTGTTGGGGGCCGACATATTAGGTTTCTGCAGCACGAATGCCGCATGTACACTATGCCCGATCTCGGTTTCCGCGGTTATAAACATCGGATATCAACACTCTACAGATACTTTCGACGGGCTTCCACCAGCCACTGTGTGGGGAAGGGTCTAGCGGGTTGATCGACTGCGCTTGGTTAGTCTCAAGGGTTCATAGTGGCGCATTCAGACTCAGGGGCTTCTGCCGTACTCCTCTTCTTAGGCAATCAGGGCCCCCAAAATCTCCTCTACGTGTGAAATGAAGCTACGTGGCAGGGGCCCAAGAGTGCCCAGACATTGCCGCGTTCGTTTCCTTACCACAGAGCCGTGCCGACATCCGGGGCTGTGTCTACGGAGTGGACCTTGGACCCTGACGCGGTCATCCCGATTGGACCGAAAAGAGGATAACGCGCGGACATTCTGAGTCGAGACTTCATCAGCCTCTCCCCACTATGGCGGCGGTGTAAAATGATCTTGGGTATCACAAGCTTTCTATCGACCCATTGTTGGAGGCTCAACTATAGCTTAAAAGTTATATAAGGAAATCTGGTTCCCCGCATCCCGGAGATGGATTGTCATAACATAGATCTCTGGTCTTTAGAAACCATCAAACACAAACCACAGTCACTCTATCTTCAGCTAATAACTGAGGCATCATGAGCTATTACGGCAACAACAACAACGGTGGCTACGGCCAACAGGGCGGAGGCTACGGCGGCCCTCCGGGTGGTTACCAACAGGGCGGATACCAACAAGATCGTCCTGGCGGCGAAGCCAACTCATACTACAACAACGGCGGCGGCCCTGACCAGTACTCTCAACATGGCCAGCAAGGATATGGTCAGCAGGGATATGGCCAGCCCCCGCATCACCAGCAGCAGGAGTTCTCTCCCCCTCCCTACCAGAACCAGGGCTACCGCAATGACGGACCTCCTGGTAGCTACGGAGGACCTGGCGGCCCCGAGGGCGAGGACGGCGAACGTGGCCTGACTGGCGCTTTGGCGGGAGGTGCTGCTGGTGCTTTTGGTGGTAACAAGATCGGCGGTAACTTCGGCCACAGCAAGACTAGCACCGTGATAGGAGCTATTGCCGGCGCCTTTGCTGGCCACAAGCTTCAGGACGGTGTGTCGGACTGGAAGCACGAGCGTGATGAGAGGAAGGAGGAAGAGGAGCGCAGAGAGGAGGAGGAGAAGCGCAGGAGAGAAGAGGACGAGAGACGCAGAAGAGACGAGAAGCACCATCACCACGAGGAGCACCACCATCGCCACCATGACGAGGATAGACCTCGCGGTGGTAACTTCGCCGGTGGCTTCACTGGCTCTTCTCGTGACATTCGCATCGACGCCCACGGCGACTACAACCTTCGCGCATCGTGCAGGCGCCGCGATGGCTCATGGCAGGAGAGCTGCATCAGCCTTAACCGCATCCTCGAGAATGACCAGGGGAGCTTCCGCTGGTCTTCCGGTAGCAGCGGTGGTGGCAACCAGAGCTACACCGTTCAGCAGGGCGACACCCTTCGCAACATTGGTGATCGGTTCAACACCAGCTGGGAGGAGATTGCCAGACATAACAACATTTCCAACCCCGATCAGATTTGGCCTGGCCAGAACCTCAACATTTCAACCGGCGGCGGCGGTTCCGGTGGCAACTTTGGTGCATCGGCCCGCGATGTGCGCCTGGTCGATGGCGGACAGCGCTTGGAGGCCGAGCTGTCCCGCCACGGACAGTGGGTCCGCAGCTCTATCAACTTGGACGAGAGAATAGGAAACAACGACGGCACCTTGCACTATGTTTAAGGGATGCTGGAATGAGATGGCGGCGAAACACAAGCGTTTATGAAGCAAATGCATTTTAGCGACGGCGAAAAAGTAGATAACAAATGTTAAATTTATCTGGAAAGCCTCAAACTAAAGGCTTGATCATTATTTCATCTATGTGCGCACATAATTCGTGCTTTGTTGACTACCAAGCTCTTTACATGATGTTTTGCATTGCTGCCAGTCAACCCTTCTAGTCGGCTTTATGTCCATAAACTTGCCTACAAACGAGTTGAAATACCTCCTGTAACAATCATCTTGATCGTCAAATAGTCGTCTACGCCGTACTTGCTTCCCTCACGACCCATGCCAGAGTGCTTGACACCACCAAATCTACGTTATCTTGTTAGCATCTATTTCAAAGCTGTGACGAAGATGAATTTTGGTTGACTTACGGTGCGGACGCATCAGATATAACGCCAGTGTTGATGGCAACCATACCAAACTCCAACTGCTCAGACACGCGATGAGACCTGCCCAAGTCGTTTGTGATGAGGTAGGAGGCCAGTCCGACATCGGAGTTGTTGGCCCTCTTGATAACCTCCTCCTCAGTCGAGAACTTCGTCAGCGCCGCAAGAGGCCCAAAGGTCTCTTCCTGTGTCACCTTCATATCGTCGTTGACGTCGCCCAGGATTGTAAGCTCGTGAAAGTTCTTACCCACGGAAGGAAGTGATTTTCCGCCGTAGAGAACCTTGGCCTTCTTGCTCACGGCGTCCTTGATGTGCTCCTCCACCTTGCCAACGCCGTTTGTCAAGGGACCGTGAGTAACTGATCCGTCGGTACCATGGCCGACCTTGAACTTTGAAACTTCTTCAACTAGCCTTTGGGCAAACTTGTCGTAGATACCCTCCTGGACAAATATCCGGTTCGCGCACACGCAGGTCTGGCCAGTGACTTTGAATTTAGAAATAAGAACGCTGGAAATGGCAACCTCAAGATTGGCGTCGTCGAATACGATGAAGGGGGCATTGCCTCCCAACTCCAAGCTCAACTTCTTGAGCGTGTCGCTCGACTGCTTCATCAATAGCTTGCCGACTCTGGTTGAGCCGGTGAAGGAAATCTTCTTGATAGTGTCCGACTCGCAAAGAGCGAGTCCAAGTTGGGGCGTGTTATCCAGCGCGGTGACAACGTTGAGAACACCAGGAGGTACGCCAGCGCGCTCAGCCAAGACTGCCAGGGCGTTTGACGAAAAGGGAGTAAGGCCGTCGGATTTCATTACCACGGTGCATCCAGCTGCGAGTGCGGCGGCGACCTTACGGGCACCCATGGCAAGGGGGAAGTTCCACGGTACAATCAGACCACAGACGCCAACCGGCTCTTTGATAACACGGGTTCTGTAGGTCGGGTTGCTGTGGGGGATGATGTCTCCGTATATCCGAGAAGCCTCCTCGCCAAACCACTCGAAGAAGCTGGCGGCAAAAAGAGACTCGCCCTCGGCATCACCCTTGGCCTTGCCGTTCTCGGCGGTGTTGATCTTGCCGAGATCTTCCTTGTTCTCGACGAGAAGCTCAAAGATGCGCTTGATGATTCGGCCACGCTGGCGGCCGGATTGTGATTTCCATAATGGGAACGCTTTGGCTGCTGCGTCAATGGCCTTGTTCAGGTCATCTGTGTTGGACTCAGGACAACTGCCAATCAACTCCTCTGTTGCGGGATTGTACACATTAAAGGTTTTGTTTGAAGTCGAGGAGACCCATTGTCCATCGACGTAGGACTTCTCAACAAAGAGGCTGGGGTCTTTCAGAGATGATCCGAATGAAGGAGGCATTGTGAAGAATGGATTTGTATACTGAGAAACTGTCAAGAGAGAAGACCTGGTATTGAATATCTCGCCAGCTTGCAGTTTATGTGAACAAGCAATCTCGGAATGCACCTTGTTGCTCAGCTCATTTTATGCTCGTAGGTTGCTCCAAGGGATGTGCATCGTCCGTTGAGTAACCGGCCGTCCGACCCCTGTCAAGCTATCCGGAAGCAGTAAAATAGATGAGATCCGATTATTCCCCACCATTGACATGCGGGGGTTGGGGGCTCAAGAGGGGTGAGGGGATGTGCTTGTCTCGGCTTTGGTGGGGTGGGCGACCAGGATCGGAGGCACCCTTCGGGTCGGAACCTAGTCGTGTAACACATCAACAAAGCCGAAGCCACTCGGACGGCCAACTCCCCCCGCGCAAAGCTTTTTATCAATCAATGATCACAAGGGCTGGGAAAAGGCATGTGTGATTTCCGGCCCAATCGAGATTTGGTTGATATCTCTCGGGTCGGTACCCAACATGATTCAGAGTTACGAAACCATTTCGGATGGGGGCACGATCATGTGGTCAGATGGCCAATCATGACAATCACCGACCATCAGTATTATGCTTCGAGTGAAAGCCACGCGGTCTAGACTCTCCCTCCCCTCACTCGAGCTTATCTATATTAATGAGGTTGTCGTGAAGTTTATGGTGTAGAAGAGGAGAATCTGATCGGAGTCAACAAGCAAACGACAGCCAGATAATTCAACATCAACATCAATCTTTAAAATCTTGAAATACATTTGTCTTTGAGACGCCAAATTTCAAAAGTAGCAATGGCCGAAGTCATCTCCGCAACTCCTTCTTCTTTGGCAAAGTTGAAGTTTAAGCCTATCATCAAGGATGAGCTGACATCATCCCCTTCTACTCAGTCAGCGACCTTCAACCCTGACCAGCACCTTGCCTTCGTTGAAGACCCAAAGAAGCTCATGCTCAAAGATGTGGCACTTCCCGAAGACATTGGAATCTCTACCGTTGCTGCCTCTGAGCCCTTTCCTCTGTTCACCGAGGAAGCCATCAAGACCATGAGGCAGGAGATATTTACAACTGAGGTGTGGGAGAACTGCCTGCACAGCACCGAGTTCTCTCCTTGCCAGTTGCGAGGACATTGCCCCAAGTAAGATAACCACAATGATTATATTCCTTAATTGTCTCTGACTTGATATTTTCAGATACGCACCTTTCATGAACCAAGCTTGGAACGACCCGAAGACTCTGGAAATCATCTCCAAGGTTGCTGGTGTTGACCTTATTCCCAACATCGAGTACGAGATTGGCAACATCAACATCTCTATTCAGAGCGCGAGCAATGACAAGGCCAAGGTGGAGGCCAAGAGCGGTGACAACCTCTCAGTTACAAAGTGGCACTATGATGCCTTTCCCTTTGTCTGTGTTGTTATGATGAGCGATGCCACCAACATGCTTGGAGGCGAAACCGCCATCAAGACCGGCACAGGAGAGGTTCTCAAAGTTCGAGGACCGCAAATGGTAAGAGAAAAAAATCCTGGCCCTGCAATAGAATGCACATACACTAACATATTCGAAGGGCTACGCCGTTGTTCTTCAGGGCAGATACGTTGAGCACCAGGCCCTAGCAGCGATTGGCGGTGCTGAGCGCATCACCATGATCACTTCGTTCCGGCCCCGCGACCCTTGCATCAAGGACGACTCCGTCCTCACGTCCATCAGGCCCATCTCTGAACTGTCTGAGCTCTACTACCAATGGGCCAAGTACAGGGCTGAAGTAGTGCAGGAACGCCTGAAGGCCATGCTCAAGACTTTGGAAGAGAACCACGAGGCTGGAAAGCAGACAGACGTCAAGAGCATCAAGCAATTCTTCCAGCAGAATGAAGAGTATCTCGCGATTACAAACAAAGAGATTGTGGAAACACGAGGGCCTCACCGGGAGTGGGAAGGGCTTTGAAAGAGGGGTGCAGCAAAACGCGAGAGTCATAGTTGCGCCAGAATAGGACAGAGATGAGACGTCCTGGTGAGCTTACAGAGGTGGGGGGCTTGCAGGGCCAAACTCTCATGGAGTTGAGGGTCCATGAATGGCACCTAAAATTGCAAAATTTGTTTTCAGCAACCTGTTTTGGTATTTAATTGTTAGCAAGGCTTGTCCTAGTTTAATGCATTCATTCATTCATGGCATACAATATTCCACCTATGAGCTCTCTTCCTTTTGTTCAGGAATAGATGCTGTTCTACAAGCAAAATCATAGAATGGAGCTCTTTTCGGAGTACTTCAACAAATGTGCGATGATGAATTCAGTTGTGCTTGTAGAGGCGAATTCAAGACTGATTGCAATGTTCCGACTACTTTGATATCGGCAGTGAGTCTCCAATCTCAAACAAGGATCCACAGATGACGTCAAGCATGGTCTCCAATGGACTTTACGATTTATATCTCTTAAGAGATTTATTCTGGAGAGTTCCAGCTCCAGATGGCTCAGATAGGTATGCTAGAGCAGAAGAGATGCAGCATGAAATGTATCCTACCAAGGGTCGTGCAACCATTCTAATTGAGAAGTTACTATACGTCTCAACTTCAAGTCTTCGTCTTCTTCCTACTAGTGTATCAGTCGAAACTTTGAAATCCAAGGCAAAGTGGTAGCTATTATAGTATGACGCATCAAAAAAGCCGGAGACTAGAAAATCACAATGATAAAGTTAACTGAGCGAATTGTCGTGTCGCATGAAAGCGTCAAACAGAAGTTGCACTATTAAGGGCTTGATTCTGAAAATAATGAACTTTACCGGCTTGAGCGTTTAATGACGTGATACGGCTCAAGTTCTGTAGACTTAGCCAAGTCTTTTTCGTCCGAAGATAAAGACCCCTGACGTCAAACCCTGACGCTTTTAGTGTGCTAGGTACTGTGTAGAATTCTCTGTCAATTGACGCATAGTATTGTCTCCAAGCTTTGTTCATCCAGTAAATACAAGTAGTTTGAGAGTTGCAAGTCAAGGAGTTCAAAACGCAAGAAGGGGCGAAAAGACTCGTTAACACCAGCATCACGGCGTGCGTCATTATTGGAATCACACTCAGAGTCTGGACTCCCAAAGCCCCTGAACAACCTTGCAGGCTTTCATCTTAGCCTGTCTTTTCTACTTCTATACTATTTGGTTTCCATTGGTCTAGGCCAGGTCTACCAGCTCTGATACCTGGGAAATGACGATGTTAGCATACGAGCCCCAATGACCCTATGTTATCGCCTCGTCTTTCCAAGGACGAACGATCGTAGGCGGTTGCAACCCAAAAAAAGATATCTAGACGTCGGCCAAGCCACCAAAGCCTATTGGAGCAGTTGGCACACGACCTGCGGCACCAAAATGCCGGCACCCAAGACGGACGGTTCCAATTGGTCAACCGCCTGCAACGCTCGGCTGACCCGCATGGTCTCAGTGGCGCGAGCACTTGCACGGAACCTTGTGCCTCTGCTTGTGGCTGGACATTGAACAGGACTTGCTTCGCAGACGCTTTTTTTCAAAATTCTAAGCCACAAACAGGCCATCGGGATGAACCTTGGGGGGTGCATGGCGGCTTGTCGGTGTTCAGAGTGACGTGAGTCTAGGTTGTGTGCGGAGCCCGATTGCGCGGCCCCTCATGACATGAGCCAAGTTGGGGTCTTTGATCCCAGTGCCGTGCTGGGGTTGGCATCTTTGCTCTCAGCCGACTAACCGGGATGACGCACGAAGGGTCCTGAGTACAGCCTCAATGCCGAATTCTATTGAATTCTATTGTTGGTCGAAATCTATAAAACCAAGCTGGTTCCTCATGACTTGACTTATTTCATCACTTCAAACTCACCAAACAAACAAGTAACTCAATAAAGAATTACCACTTAATTCTTCTACAACCAAAATCACAACCACAACTACCAAAAAAATAACACCGAAAGCCAAAAGACACAACGGATCCAATCTACCAAATCTGAACTACAAATACCACTCAAACTACTTCTATAATCAAAAAGACATCACAATGTGTTTCGGCGGATCCAAACGCAGAGCGTACGGCGGAGGCGGCATGGGAATGGGACCCCGCCCAGCGGTTGTCCAGACTCATCACCACCACCACGGCGGCATGGGTGGCGGCGGAATGATGGGTGGGTCTCGACCCTGCGGGCCCCGGCACGGATACGGGGGCGGCGGCGGCTTTGGCGGAGGACGCGGATTTGGTGGGGGCTGGGGAGGACGACGCCGGGGTCACTGCTAGACTCGGCAAGCCTTGTAATGATTAAGCGGGCATGACTTTTGCGGCGATATTGTGTAAGATTCAGCGGGTGATTGGATAGGGTTAATGCGAACCAATTGGACGTCTCAACATGTTTGAGACCTTTGAATATTGTGGTGAACGACCAAGTAGCTGTTCATGTGCTCTTGCGGTTACTACTGAGAAGTAAATGGCCATGGCGCAAATGGTTGTCTACGTCGAATACCACAGTGTTTTATCCCAATCAAGAGAACAATATATGTTCCTTTGCCTATGTGCTGGCCTGCATGAAGATTATGCGCCACAAGATTCAGCAATGTGATCAATAACGCGACATTCCAATGGGCCACACCTGGTTTTGTAGGATTTCATTCCCCCAAGATCCGTGATTGGTGACTTTTTGTGCTAGCAATCTCCAATGGGAGATTTAGTACCAAACTGCAGTCATTTTATGGTCATCAAGGGCCTAGCAGACACCTTGTTCTCTGGTCTCCATCCTCGTCATCACATTCAGAGGATTCCATGCGGATGGAGGTCAGCACTAAGGGTCCTTGTTTGTAAACTTTGGCAGCTTCCGATGCTCTCGTAATCCGGCCATCCTATCAGCTGCGTCGCACTCGCTTATATGTCAATGTTGCGGCATCCAAATTAACCCTGTTTGGGAACACATGTCTCTGCCACTCGTGCCACTGATTAGTTATCGCACCCGGCGGGGGCAGAATCTGAGGGAGGGACTGGGTGTTTAGTGCCACTATTTGAAACGCTGTGGAGGCCATTGGTTGGTACGTAGCGTCTGAAGTCATAGTAAAGCGACCCCCAGAGGGAGAAATAAAAGCATGAGACGGCGGACCGTCGGCCTAATTCATTGACACGTCGCAGGCATACCCGTTGTAAAATCACCTCCATCGCATTCACTACCATTTGACTACAGTGCCCTGCGCGGGGTATCAATCGATAGGGACCGAGGTAAGCAATATATTTTACCAAAGAATAAGTATCAGAGACACGGTATTTTGATGATGTGGACCTTGAATGGTAGTGCCGTGGCTTACTGGCACTCGATGGGACGACCCAAATTGCTAATCGGGGTGCAGCAAATGAAATGAGGATGCTGACACCTTCTGTCATCCCAGTTCAGTTATAAATGCAAGGTCATCACACTCCTTCAGCAACCAGAAGACCTCAATCTCCAACACATCTTTGACTCCTGTAATACTACCCTGCGGCATCTCGTCAGATCCACTAAAAGATGAACGATCTGCTACTGGCGCGGGTCGCCAATCTAGGCGGCTCAACATCTGTATCCTGCGGTGCAGCTGCGGCCGTCGGCCTGCTTTCGCATTGGCTTTACTTTATTCGAGGACCAAGGGTTCTGGCGAGTACCAGAATCCTCATTTTTTACCTTGTAGCCTTAGCTTCGTTGTTTACCAAGGCCGTTTCGAACCAGGGTCTTTACGATGGCCTACTAACCTATGTGACGATATCCGGGTCGTACTTCATCGCCCTCTTCACCAGTATGGAGATCTACCGCCTCTGTTTCCATCCACTTCGACGGTTCCCCGGGCCAATACAAGCAAATATAGCCAATGGATACATAGCGTGGTTGAACAGGAACTGGAAGATACATGACCGCTACGTGGAGATGCATGAAAAGTATGGTGATTTTGTCCGCGTCGGTAGGTTCTCCTTGGAAATTTTATCGCCCGAAAATCACTTGTACTGAGTGCTTCAATTTGCTTCCACAGGACCAAACGCCATCTCAGTAGTAAATTTGGACGCCTTCAACAAGATTCACGGTCCGCAGGCGAAGAGCTCAAAGCGAGGATCTGGGTTTTACGATAGCCTTGTTTCGTTCGGCGAGAGAAATCTCGACGTCATCTTGGACAACGACGAGCACCGTGATAGACGCAAGATCTGGGATCTCGCTTTAGGCACCAAAGGTACGCAGTGATCGCCCCGAGCACTTGGGCTACGTGGAACATGATCTGATGGCGTCTGGCCCAAACTTGCAGCTCTAGAAAAGTACGAAGTGGAAACTCGAGCCGTTCTGCGAACATGGCTGGGCCGCCTCGAAGAAGTCAACGGCAAGCCTATCGATACCTCACACTACGCGAAGCTCATTCCATTCGACAATATGGGCCGCATAGCTTTCAGCCGCGATTTTGGATCTGTCCAGGAAGGACGGGCGGGTCGTATACTTGACATCATCGGAGCAGCATTCAAGTTGAATTCTCGCATGGGACAGACTCCATGGCCGTACGTTATACTAAGCAGCCTGCCGCGTGTCGGAAAGTTGAAGGAGTTTGAAACTCTGGGAGTACGTCTCGTGGACGAGAGAGTTGCTGTGAGTGATGACCCGTAGCAGGTCTCAAGCTTTCTGAAAAGCTGATCGTCTTTCGACCACAGAAAGATTCGGAAGAGACTCACGACATGATGAAATACTTTCTCAACGACCTCAGGTCAGAGAAACCCAAGTCGTTCTACAATATGAACATAATATACTCCGACTCATATGCAATCCTTATCGGAGCAACGTATGAAAACCTCCGTCAAGTCATTTGCTTTGCGCATTCCTTGCTGACAAAATTTGGCAGCGATACCATATCCTGCGTTTTGGGTTATTCCTTTTACTTCATGGCAAAAGACGCCAAACTGCGGCAGCGCCTTCACAATGAGATTGCCTCAGCCCGCGGCAAGACAATCCCCGGAGAGTTCGCTGCTTCTGACCTCGCCAAACTCGAGTTTCTAGAGGCTTTCATCAAAGAGACGATAAGAATGCATACCCCCGCCGCACTCAACGGGGCGCGGGTCTCACCTCCCGAGGGAGTGGTGGTAGATGGGACATACATCCCCGGGGGTGTAACACTCATAACTCCATTGCACCTGTACCACCGAAGTAAGTCACTTACAAAGAGATGGACGCTTTTGAAAAAAACGGACTGACGTGAAATAGGCGAGAAGTACTGGAAGCAACCGCACGAGTTCATCCCTGAGCGCTGGACCACGCGGCCTGACCTGATACTCGACCAGAGGGCATATGTCCCATTCAATTATGGTAAGCATGCGCTTGCAGTAGAGACATCCAGATGATGATGGAGGCTAACTGATTTCCAGGCCGCTTTGACTGCGTGGGCAGACGACTGGCGTACAACGTCATCAGACAAACCATTGCTTACACTCTTTGGAACTATGATTTCACGTTCGCACCCGGCGAGGATGGAACTAGACTTGAAAGGGAGGCGAAATTTCATCTCATTATAAAACCCGGAAGATTGGACTGCGTCTTTACCAAACGGCCAGAAGCCGAAGCTTGATCTTGTCGCCGATGGACTGCTGGGATGCAGTGATGGGAGCTGGGCCAAAATAGCCAATAATTACCGGATGACAGACTTTGGAAGTGGCCAAGGTTTTAAGGAAGGCAGTTCTGATGATCTTCTGAACAGAGAACAAGGAGATTGTGAACACACGGGGGGGGGGGGGGGGGGGGGGACGTGTTTAAATCGGAACCAAAATTGTGATGTAATTTTAAGCACCTACTTCCACGCCGAACACGCTTCATAAAAATTAAAAATGATTTTAAGCCATCTCTTGCGCCTCCAAGAATCTACGCAGAGATCCGTCGAGGCCCCTCAAGAACCTAAGTCTAGATTCTTCCAGCCATGGCGTTTTCCACATTTTCCCGACCAAGTGAAACTCGACACTTCGCTAAACGCTTACTTTTGGCTCGATGAAAGTACAGTGATCCAATTATAACCCTGAGACCCCAGGATTATCATCCGATCACACTGGAACCTGCCACCGGGTTGCAACCCACTCGAGATCTCTTTCGTGCATCTCGGCTGGTATATACACCCAGCGTTGTTCGTCCTTCAGCCACGTACGACTTGGGAGCATAGCCTCGAGCATGTAGTAGTTGTCGCGGTGGAACGGTAGGTCCGTGGTGACAGGACCTTCTCTACCAAGGAACTCGTCAGTTTGAGAGTTAATGTCCGTCTGCGTCATCTGGAATCGGCGGCGCTTGTTTCCCTTGTTTTCGCTCTGTCTCTTTATCGCTGCTGTTGTGTTCTTGAGATGGCTCTCCAAGATGCAGGCATGCAGCAGAGGGGAGCCGAGAGCCCTGGAAACAATCTCGTTGGTTTGGGCGATTAGATGCTGGTTCCACTCTGGTGTCTTCTCCCCTCGGGGCATCATCGGAATCGGGTCGCCCTTGTCAAGGTTGGTCTGCCAGTAAGAAAAGTCGACGACGTTACAGAGTGCGTTCCATCTAATGACACAAGTAAGGCATGTGCAAATATGATGGTAGTCAGCGACTGGGATGTGTTGGTAGCGGCGGTGGATGGCGAGTGCCTCCACCCTCCTGGGGTGCTGGAGGCGGCTATGGACCTCAGGATTGACCTCGTCGAGAGGAACCGGCAAACGGAAACATTTCTCAAGAATAGGATACCGTGCGGCTATGATCTCACGAGATAAAAAGGCCTCATTGTGCTGGATGAAATGGTGGAGTTCGCGGCAACTTCGGGATAGTCTGAAGAGGTCGCTTGGTAGGAGAAAGCTCATGATGTTGTTCAGAACTTCGTTGGGCAAATGGAATAGATGGGTTTGGGATCCGGCCTTCTTAGTCGTCTTCTTTAACATCTTCCGTTTGAGCCTCTCGGTACGCTTGGAGCGAATCTTGAGGTTCCCTGTCGCAGCTACACGGTCACTGTCCGTGACGGCCTCGGTGGCTTCGGCTCGTGGCACATCATCAATTTGAGAGCCGTCTGCAGCGATGGTCGAGGCAGCATCGGTGTTTGTCTCGGTTTTGCCAGCTTCACTCGTAATCTGAAGACTCTTCAGGCCCTCCTCTAAGTTGGAGGGAGGACCGCTGTTGAGGATGTTTTCCTCCTCTACACCCATCTCTCATGGATGAGATTATCGCCCTTGGAGACAACAGATGCTATGAACTGGTTGACAAAACTAAGGTTGGTTCAATTTAGGTACATTGTCGCCACTATGTGTTAAGCTGCTCCTCCACCCTTTGGGAAGGCAATGCGTCACGCCGAAACCCCGCCAATCGACCCAATTGACGGCAGCGATAAGGCGCACTGACCACCCTGAAAGACCCGAAACTGGAAAGCACTCTCGCCTCTTGCTCTTTCCTGGTTGTTATGTGCTTTTCAGGATTACATCAGCGGCAGAAACCCAAAAGACCGACCCTCACCGCCTTCTTCTTTCATAGTCAACACCTTTTGTGGGTGGCAGGCCTCGCCGGCCCGTCACGTGGGCTGACGGCCGCCACCACTGGTCTTAGCCAGCCTCCACAGCCCTCTAGCCAGTTAGTTAGTTCTTCCAACCAACAACACCACTTTTCCCATTCTGAGCGTTCTGTGCTGGTTTCGCCCACAGGTTATGAGCCCAGCGTTATTCTTTCGGAATAACGTCGTTTTACCCATTATTCTACTCGTCTGTCAATTTTCTATTGATTCACGAATTTTTGCGATTTTATTCGCTTTATTTACCCTTCTGTGCGATTTTCTCGCTTTCTTTCCTTCCTCTTCGCTGACGAATTTCACTTTCTGACGCGACATTGGCTGCCTGGCGCGCACGAATATCACGTGGCACGCGACCGACCACCACAACCCACTGGTTTTCACGAACACCACGGTCAACAACAGACTTTTCAGTCACAACTACAACTTTTACTTCGATTCCTCGTTTTTCACGAGAATTCAACCATTTCAGCTTCGGTTTTTCGAACCAGCCCATCAGTTTCTCGTATCTTCTACGAGTATTCATTCTTCCCTTCGATTCACCGTATTTCTACGGTCGGATCTCACAATTCCACCCATTTCTCGTGTTCTTACGCAAGATTCTCCCTCCTACACAATCCAACAGCACGCGTAGGTGGCAGCGAAAGTAAGCCATCTAACGTACAGACACGCCTCCAAAGCTGCGGCCTCGGAGAAACGCCTGTGATCGAGGTGCGACTATAAGTCTGTCCCGCACTGTTGTGATACCCTCACTTTCACTTCAAGATGTCTCAAAACGACTTCAAGACCGTCTTCACGCCTCTTCCTCGCCTGAAAGGTGAATCCAACTGGAACACATGGCGCATGCTTGTTACAGCGACCCTGCGAGGATACGACTTCGAGATATTCCTCGAGACTGACGTCCCTCGCCCTGCTGACCCTATCGCTGCAGAGGAATGGAGAAAGAACCGTAACGTCACGAATGGTCTCCTCATGAACGCCAGCGAATCGGTTCTTGACAGACTCTGCACAGCGGGTTGGGTTGACGATGGAAACCCTTACGAATTGTGGCAGGCGCTCGAGAAGCACATTCCGAGAATCTCACAAGACGCCACAGCTGCCCTTGTTGACGAGTTTGCCAAGACCACCGCCAACGATCACAAGACTCTTCACGATGCCCTCAATCGCTGTCACCACCTCAGAAAGCGTATTGAGACCATTCACGGTCGTCTGCCAGACTCCTTCCTCGCTGTTTTCCTCCTTAACTTCTTTAAGGACCGACTTCCCGATACGTACAAGCATTTCACATCGAAGGGCGCCACCCATCCCACGTGGAATGAGGTGGCTGATACGATTTACACGCTTGCCCAAGACGAGGATCAAAAGCGCAGTTATGCCACTATTCGCAACACACCTGGAGGCAAGTCTGCTGGCAGTGGGGGTCCTGCCTCTCCAGCCGTCACCACCACCGTCACCTCCACTGTCACTGCCTCCAAGGAAAAGAAGAAGTGCGACCACTGCAACTGTGATCACGAGACCACAAAGTGCTATGTCGCCCACCCCAATCTCATCCCTCTACACTACGTCAACCGGGATAAGTTGATTGAAAAAGCGAGAAAGCACGTGTGTGGCGATCGCTGCCGCTGGGATCAGCCTACTTCTGTTGATGGCACCCGCCAGACTGTTGTCAGAGCGTCACCTGCCATCTTGGGTCAGTCTGCCCTTGCCTCCATCGCCAGCCCAGCAGTTTTCACTGCTGCCCGCGATGACCTCATCACCCGAGACGATATCGTTCTCGATTCTGGTTGTACTACTTCAACCTTCAACAACTTGCGATATTTCGTCAAGTACGCTGAAAAGAGCGATTTGACACCTTCCACTTCTGCCTCCGGCGCCCCAGTCCGGTCACTTGGCGTGGGCACCGTCTTCTTCCAGACCCAAGACCCCACCAACCCTGACGTTATTCACGATTGGACACTTCACAACGTTGAGTACAACCCTTCCAGCCCAGCCAACTTACTGAGCCCTGGAAAACTTCGTCGTGATCACGTGGAATATGATTGGCAGACCTCAAGCCTCATACACGTGACACAGCGCACTTCCCTTGCCAAAGTTCATTGGGTTTCTGACGTCTGCGTCGTTGAGACTCATGATACTGGAAATCACGTGCCTCGAGATATTGCTGTCAGCCTCGCCGCCTTCCGGGCTACCCAGCGACCGTCTCTTGAACTGATGCACCGCCGGCTGGTTCACGCCCACCCATCACGTGTTGTGGAGGCTTGCCGCCGTGTTGGCATTCGGTTCACAACGTCAGAAATTGACGCTTTCTTCTGTGAGTCTTGCCATCTCAGCAAATCCACTGAACGGATTAGTCGAGACCACCCACTTCCACTTACGAGTATTGGCGATGAAATTCACCTTGATCTCGTTGGTGTTCTTCCCCTATCAACAAAAGGGAACCGTCAGGTTCTACACCTCATGGATAAGTATAGTGGTTACCACTGGGTTGTTCTTCTGCCCAACCACAAGTTTGCCACCATCCTGGCAGCTATCAAGAAATGGGATACTGAATTCTACAGTCTCACCGGCCTCAAGCCCAAGGTTTGGGTTTCTGACAATGCTCCCGAGCTAATCAAGGTTTTCAACGACCCCTACTTCGAGGGTACTCGCCACAACACGACTATTGCCTACACGCCTTCCATGAACGGTACTATTGAGCGTGCTGGTCGTACCATCGTCGAAGGCGCCCGGACACAGCTGATTGACATGTCCCTTCCAGAGGAACTGTGGGATTACAGCATCGATTCGGTGACTCAGATTCTCAACCTCTTGCCCACACCCTCCAAGGGTAACTTGAGCCCTCACGAGATCATGGCGAGAGAGCTGAACTTGGCTGCTGAACGTGAGGCCCCCCACATTGAACATCTCCGAACGTTTGGCTGTGCTGCCTACGTACACAAGAAGGGCCCTCGACGCCCTATGCGCTCTGCCAAGATGGAACCACGAGCAATCAAGGGATTCCTCGTCGGTTACGGTTCTCTTCGTGGCCACATTTACTACGTTTACCTGCCTGATCGAAAGGAGGTTATTCGCTGCAGAGATGTTCGATTTCGTGAGGAACCGCACAAGACAGTGTTGCCTCCAACTACTGGCACACCCAACATTGATGAAATTGAACATGATGCTGCGTTTGTCGAACCAGATATCATCATCCAGTACACCATCCGTCAGAAGCCTATTGAAGGTGAAAAACCCGTGACTGGTGATCCCAAACCAGATGAGACCATCGTTGAAAAAGCGATGGCACCCACTGATACACATCTCATGTCTCCGCCACCAGAGAACCTGTTGGAGACCACTGCTACACCTCGTGACAGCATTACTAACGAATTGAATGATGACGAATTCGTCGCTTCCGTGGAAACAATGGAAACTGATCACCAGGACCCTGATTCCCTCTCCACGATTGTTGAGGAAGCAACGAGTCAACCGGCAGAGTCCTCTCGACCTCGCCGCGCCTCAGCCCAGCGACCACCTGGTCACTACCGAGCCGCCAGTGGCGTACGCTCCTATGCTAAAAAGACTTTTCTATCTGCTGACATTCCAGCTTCACTAACTTCTCGTCAATTCTCTCTCAGCGTGCTTTCTGCTACTGCCCTTTCGAAAGTCCTACCCGACGGCGTGGTGATCCCGAAGTCCTACCGTGAGGCGCAGAAGAGCCCACAGTGGCCCCAGTGGGAACAAGCCTTCGAACGAGAGATGACTCAATTCACGGAAAAGGGGGTTTACGAAGTCGTTTACCCACCACGTGACGCTAAAGTCCTGCCCGGCAAGTGGGTATGTGACATCAAAACCAACAAAAACAACGAAATCGTGCGCTACAAGGCCCGATATGTGGTTTGTGGAAACCACGAGAAAGGTGACTGGTCATCGCAAGAGGTTTACGCTGCAGTTGCCTCTGCCACCGCAACCCGCCTTTTCTTCGCAGTTGTCGCACTTCTCGATCTTGAATACGAAGTATATGATTTCGACACTGCTTTCCTAGCCGCCTCGATTCCAGAGGGGGTTAAGGTGTACGTCCGGCCCCCCGCTGGCTACGCCACTGCAGACAACAAGGTTTGGCTGCTCCACAAGGCACTCTATGGATTGAGAAAATCACCACTTTGGTGGTTTCGACTTATCAAGGGTGAAATGGAACGAATTGGCTTCACTGCTGTTGATGGGGAGGTTTGTCTCTTCGTCAATCACAAGATTAAAGCGTACGTTCTTATGTACGTCGACGACAACGCCATCGCCGCTCCCAACAAGCAAGTCATGATGGAAGTTCGTCGTCTCCTCGAGAAGGTCTGTTCTCTTAAAGACCTCGGCGAGGCTACCGATTTTCTCGGTTTCCAGATTGAACGCGACAGAGCTGCCGGTAAGATTTTCGTTTCCCAAGCCAAGTACGCAAAAGCAGTGCTTCAACGATTCGACTTTGATGGTTTGAGTGCTGTCAAGACGCCTATGGCGACCACTGACGATCTGCCCGTCACCTGGGACAAGAACGAGTGCTCGCTTGACGAACAACAACTTTACATCGAACAAACCGGCTGCCTTAACTTCCTGGTGGCTGGAACTCGCGTTGACATGGCCTACACCGTCAGTAAATTGTCACAGGCGAATTCAGGGCCTTCTAAGGCCCATCTTCGTGCTATTAAGCACTTATTCCGATACCTCAAGGGCACCGTTTATCTCGGTATTGTACTTGGAGGCATCCCCACGATCAACGAGTTGGGGCTCTACGCTGCTGCAGATGCCTCTTTCGCTGACAACAAGCCATCACGAGTCTCGACAGGTGGTTACGTCGTCTTCCTCGCTGGTGCGCCGATTGCTTGGAAGTCAAAGAAACAGACTTTCGTGACTTTGAGCACCACGGAGGCTGAATTCATCAATCTCACACCTACGGCAATTGCTGTGAAGTGGATCAGACGTTGCCTCTCCCAACTGCTCGGCAAACCCATCACCACGCCTACTATCATGTTCACTGACAGTGCCAACGGCTACGACAACGTCATGAACCCACTCAACGAGGCACGAACCCGCCACATCGACGTCCGATACAAATGGATCATACAGGAGGTTCACACTGCGAAAAGCATCGAACTCCGACTCATCAAGGGCGCTGATATGGCCGCCGATGGACTCACGAAGCCACTGGTTGCGGTCAAACACAAGGAATTCGTTCGTTTGTTGGGCATGGCGGAGGGATTGGATTGAGAGGGGGATTTTGAGACTGTGGGACTATTGATATTGAGACTTCGGGATTCGGAGGATTTCACGGCCTCCTATTGGCCAGGTTTAACCGGTAATTGACCGAGTTTTCTAATAGTTGAGAACTCCTCGGATTTGGAGGATTTGGGACTTTTCCTGTATTTCCTATTATTCTACTGCTTTTTCGCTGAGGAGTCTGAGAGGGGGTGTGGGTGGCAGGCCTCGCCGGCCCGTCACGTGGGCTGACGGCCGCCACCACTGGTCTTAGCCAGCCTCCACAGCCCTCTAGCCAGTTAGTTAGTTCTTCCAACCAACAACACCACTTTTCCCATTCTGAGCGTTCTGTGCTGGTTTCGCCCACACCTTTGTCAGCTAATCACCATTTCTCACTGACGACTGTTACAATAATGTCACCTCTCTTCCAGGAAGCTCGCAGTTGTGGAAAATTTGATGATGCAACCTAATTACAAGTTCTTTGTCTGTCTTGCGTATCGACTGTCATTAAAAGACGACTTTATGTAGAGCTTGCAGCTCAGCCTTCTCCAGAACACAATTCCAATCCATGTCTCAATGACCATAACCTTTCCTGCAGCTCGTTCTCTGTCACAATAGCTCAAAGGACGAGACAGACGAGCAGTCAAAATAAAACAAAAACAAAAACCGAGAAAGAAAAGAAAAACCAAAAGGCAGTACCATGCTCAACCAAGTCCGATCCTGTATGCCCTCCTCCAAAACGCCCCCAAATTCCATGCATCAATAGGCATGATCCGTAAGTCGTGATTGTGAGTGAAGGTGTTCGGCGCGAGGTCTTAGACAGAGCAAGGGTCGATGCCATAACGGACGCTCCAAATGTCACCGCCAGCCGAGCCAACTTCATATTCCCGGAGGAGTGCGATGCGGGCGGCCTCGGCCTGGCAGCGCCAACTACCAAAGCGGAACTCGACAAAACCCATCTCGCTGTTGTGGAAGTGGGTAATGACTTCGTCCTTGTCAAACTGAAAGCGCTCTTTGAACCAGGCAGTGAGGCTTTCCTCGTTGACACATCGGACGTTGCCTTGGATCAGAAGGACCCGGCTCTTGTTGCCGTAAGGCTCGAACTCAGCCGATTTGATTCGGTTAAGAGAGACTCGGGCAACCATGCCTCCGACAATGAGGCGGCGGCGAGGGTCGCTACACATGGTGTAGAAGTTCTGGGCGCCAGAGAGCTCGAAAAAGACCACTTTGGCCGCAGCGGTGCTATGGCCGGCCGACTGCTGAGGGGGGTTGATGACACAGCAGTAAATGCGACCCATGCCTTGAATCTGGCTGAGGAGCATGTTGTGAGTGCAGTGGGGCGGCAGGTTGGTGATCCAAAGGGAACAATTCTTCGTGTGAGGGATGTCCGCCGAGTGGTTGCGAGCGATGGAGGCGTCGCCGCCGTAGTTGGGCGAGATACCATGACGAACCTTGATCTCTTTCTGAGGATCATTTTCGGGATTGACAGCCTTGGAACGCCGAACCGCAGTCATAGGATGGAAGCCCGAGCTAGCAGTGGTTCCATTGGTGGATGGGACATTGAGAGCTTCGGTGCTGGAGGACTGGGTCTGGTTCACATTGGAACGGGACAGCTGCTGGGCGGATGGGCCAACGGGGCCAGGGATGGCAATTGAAACTCCAGCTAGCTGGAGAGCGAGCTGATTGTAAGAACCAGGGATTCCGCCACTCTGAATTGCAGGGCCTTGATTGCCTAGAACTTGAGGTTCAGTGCCGTGAGTGTCATGGCTGGCAGGCATTTGGCCTTGAGAACGCTGGCCAGAATTGACAGGAGGTCGGTAAGTGTCTCGAAGGCCTTGCTGCATGATCCCACGGCCACCCTGGTTCGGGAAGGCGGGGCCTTGGGCTTGGCCGTTGTTCTGACGTTGAGTCTGAAGTCCTTGGGCGGCAGGAGTATTGCGAACGCCAACAGAAGATAAGTTGTAAGAGAAGTTTCCGCGAGGAACCCCACCTTCGAGCACTCTAGGCTGTCGTGGAGCTCTGATAGGAGTCTCGGGGCCCTTGACATATTGACCGTTGGCGTTGTAGGCAAGGCTGCCTCGAATGAGGTCATTGAATGTGGTCGCACTCAAGCCATTGACAATCGGCGCAGTGTTGTTACGCTCGACACCCTCCACGCGAGAGAGGGAAATGGAGGAGAGGGCCGAAGACTGACCGGAGCTGAAGGAGGAGTTGCTGGTCCGGGCATTGTTGCTCGAGGCAGATTCATGTGGGTTAGAGGTCTGAATAGACTGAGAAAAATCTTCAAAAGGGGGGAATCGCTTCCAAGACGGGTCTGAAGAGTTGTTCGAATCCGGGGTCTTCATAGAGCTAGATCCAGAACCAGCGCCCTCAGGGGCACAGGCAGGTTCGCAAGCAGAAGAATATTCGCAAGTGCCAGAGTTCTCGGAAGTAGGAATGCTGCGGTGAGGGCCGTACTGAGAAATCTCGGAGGGAGTAGCAGGAGTCATAGGGACAGCGGCGATGTCGTGGCTGTTGAGGGTTTCAAAGGTGCGCGGAGCCAGATTGATATTGAGGTTGGACATGTTTTCATTCATGACACGAATAAAAGACCAACCCTGCGTAGCGCCAATGTTGTTCTGCTCTTCACGCAGCTGCTCGGGCGAATCTTTAATGTGCGACATCCTGACAAATTGCTGCCGTCGAATGGGTCTTGAGAATGCTATCTAAACAAGACCCGCGTGATCAGTATTGTGAAGCAGTTAGAGGCGTCTCCCAGATAAAACTCACTGTTTTTCGCGATGGAAATTTCCCAAAGGTCAATGGGAGCTTTGAATTTTGATAATCGAAGTGTGTAATGTGAAGACGAAAGATGAAAGATCTGTGGGATGATGGGATGTAATCTCTTGTGCTCTGCTTTGTTGAGATGAAAAGTGTGCGTTTGGAAGGAGGATGGAGAAGTACCAAAAATAGTGGCTCGACAAGACGAAAGGACTGGTTCTTATGTCAAAACCGAAGAGGGGACCAAGTTAAGTGTGAGTGTGAGGATTGGTGAATGTGAGACGAGGAGCCATCTAGAAGGCGGTTCAATATACGCGGAAAGACCAGAACTCAGGGAAGGTGCCCGCTGTGGACTAGGCATAGAAGAAGTGAAGTTTTCAATTGCCTGTTATAAAGTGAATTGGAAATGAAATAGGCATTCAAACATCTTTGCCCATGAACGCCTGAAATTGCGCAGTAGAGGGAAGGTGCCTGCCAGAAAGGGAAATTCGGGTGACAATGAAGTGATCTCTGCCTACCTTACTTTGTCTTGTTTTGCCGTTGTGTCAACAAAGACCTCCTTGGAGGTATGGAAACTAGAGGACCGCGTTTTCAGGCAGCAATAATGTGGTGAGGCGAAGACGGCCTTGACCCAAATTGACAGTGCAGATAGAAGGTAGTCGAAGGGAAAGAAGTGTTAAATCTAATTCAAATGTAGCCTGAGCTTGAGGTAACTGAATTTTGATGGCCTTCAGTTGGATTCAAATTCAAGTAACCTTTGGTGATTCTTTTTTCTTGCTTAAAAGGAAAGAGGGAAGATGGTAGATTGGTCCTTTCTTTGCAAAGTGTGAGATGTTTCGAGCTGTCAAAGACGGGAAGACGTGACGTGACATGATGAGGTTGATCTGAACATGGCCTCTACAAATGTTCCGAGAAGTCAAAAGATGCGCTGGATAAACATCAAATGATACAGAAAGTAGCTGGATCAGATCATCGGAAGCTGCCACATTTTATGGTTAAAGGTAGTGACTCGAGGTGTCAAGTCATGTATAGGTACCGAAGATTCAGTTGTCATGGACCAGAGCAAAACTGTGGTATTTTCAGGTAGTCAAAATACAACTTTTTGCAGAAATACCTCCCCTTGTTCTGAACGAGAAAATCGAGCAACTGAAAACCAAGCCAACCCCTGTGGTCCTTGAGCGATCGAATACAACAAAACACAAGACACATCATAGCAGACTTCAAAATGAGCCTATGAGTTGGAACTACACCAAAAGAGAATGCAGAGCTTATATGCCAAAAGTATGTGCCTTTTGTAAAATAAAAGAACCATAAATTAGCCGGCTTGTCGGCTAGAATTGACATTGAAGGTTACCATTTTGGGGTGAGTGCCGCGAGGTAGCCCGGAATCGTTCGGTCAATAAGGTACACAGGCAAGGTGAAAAGGCTATACAGAATGCCAAAAGAGGCAAAAACCAGCCCAAAATCAAACTGATTAATCTATATGGACGAATTTTAAAAAGTTTAATTATGACACTATGGCAGGAAGATATCAGGCATAATAGACGCACAACCTGGCAGGCGTTTGTGCGAGGACTGAATGCATAAGCCCCTTCATCGTTTATTTTTCTCAAGTTCCCACTTCCTGTCTTATGAAGACAGCATTCGAAAGGCCGCATTCGCAGCTGGAAACTCCATGATGCTCGAAAGAAGTGAGCCTTTCAAGTATGACTAGTAAACATGAAATGTTCACATTCCCCAAAAACAAGATGAAGTCGAGTCGGATAGATCACAAGTCCCTACATAGGAGCAGCAATTGAGACAAATGAAATCTAAAGTTAAGGTTATCACTTGAAATCGGGATTAAAGTTTTGGAACGACGGATTCAAATTGACTGACAAGCTGCCAAGGCTGCTTAAGGATCGCGCGAATCCAAAGCCGATGTCTCATCTGCATTGCCTTTTCCTTTGGTGTTCAGGTATAGTGCTCAATACTGTCTGAAAAATAGTGGCATGATCTAGAACATCTTACAAAACAAATGTGACTTTCATTGATAATTGAATATTCTTCAGACTGCGCTTGGTACATGGTACTGCCCGCAATCCAGCTTGTTGCAGGTCTTAGCTGCGTCTTTATCCCATTGTAAAGCGAGAGATGAAGATGAACGGGCAAAGTGACAGTACATCTATGTTCCAAGGGCACAAAATAACGGGAGACTTATTAAGCCTAGATGCATCTAACTTCATAATAGTTCATATGGTACAGTGCGTTGCATTACCCTATAAAACATTTTAACTGACAATGTGTGGTTGTCTGACAACACGAAGGCATGGCGCCTCCGATGATTTATTTCTTTTAGAAGCCACCACAAACCGACGTTTTATGCTTTGGACACCCCGGCCACAATAGCAAGGTGTCAGTACTTATTTGTCCATACTTCTTAATCGGTCTGCTTCCTGAAGCTATCAGCAAGATGGGCCAGTTGTAATCGAATGGTGTCCCAAAAAGTATTCGAAGCTTTGTTGAATCCTAAATACAATTACTTGGTAGTCGTCCAGTATAATTTATTTTGGCTTGCCATAATTAGCAAAAAAAAAAAAAAAAAAAAAAAAAAAAAAAACCTTGTGTAGACCATTTCAGATTAAACCCAGTGGCTTCCAAGTTTGTGAAGGCCGTCAGCTCCTAATCAGGGTTGCTGCCCTTCGGCCGGGACAGGTGACTGAGGATGACAGCAGCCCAAGTTGTGGCTTTCCACCCAGAATTGCAGGCTTGAAAGCTCAAATGTAATTGTCTTGCAAGTTTTGACGTCCTTTCAAGATTGTCGCGGACATATCGGCCGGTAAACTTGTATGACTGAGACAACCACACTCCCCCCCTGAAACTGTACCTATCTCTGTGCAACACACGACCAAGTATCTTAGGTAAAAGGCCGAGGAGTTTTCTGCCTCGTTCTAATTCCCATGGGTGGTTTTATTGGGAGCGGTTTATTGCGCAACAAAACCAGTTACTTCGAGTGGACTTCAAGTGACTGCAGATTGACTTCCTCGCACTATCCCTTCAGACTAGCTGGGCTGAAGACAGCCTCAATGTTTTGCCTACGCAGGAGGCTATTGCAATATCTTGATTCTTTTTTTTCGCCTCCTTTGGTAGCCCTCGTAAACAACGGGTCGATTCCGCGCTCCCTTGCACAAAGTTTTCTCGTCCTACCCGATTGTCGCAGGGGATCAATCATCTGTCTCACGCGGAGCCAGCGCCACGGAATGGGAAGATTCTTGAATAATCCGGAGGTAAGATTCCTGGTCACCCGGCAGGGATGGGAGCAGAGACTCAGGGTCCCACAAGATCATGCGGGGCATGGGCAAAATAAGAAAAAAAGAAAGCCCATGAATCATCTCTATAGCCAAGAAATTGAGGATATCACAGCCGGAATGCTTTTCACAAAAGTGCGAAACAACAACTGCCGCGTCCGAGCAGCGAGCCCAGAGCGACTCGAACGAGGCACGCGCTATCAATCTTTTGCACATCCAGAGGCCTGAGAGTTGAATTGGTCAGCTTCGTTATTGCTTCTTAAATGTGACGATCGAATGATTTTCTTGCATCTGGCATTTGGTGTCGGGCGGTTACACATCACATGGAAGCCTACATGCATGGATCGACTCGATGGCCCAACCAATGCAGCGCTCAAGGGAACCAACCGGATCTGGGCTTTTCCAACAAGACAAGGGGCGTAGATCGATCTCGAGAAAAAGAAAGCTGGAAGAAGGGTGCAGGGGGTTACATTGACCCCAAAAAGCCCCTCAGCTCTTCTTTATCACGGTCGCCTCGTTGTGACCAAACCTTGCATCATTGTCTGAGCTCGCATCTCTCATTGCTTGTTGAGGCCCTCGGATGCCCTGATAATTGCTTTTTCCTCCAATGATGAGAAAAACTTCTGTGAATTCTCTCCCCCTCCCCCCCTCTTCACTGCTGACGAGCTACCGGCTACTAAACAATTATGTAACTTCGTAACGTGCACCGTATCGGGCGCTGTTCTTTTCTCAGCAAGGGAGGGGAAACACGACGGAGCGCCAGATGACGACCCGATGCATTAGGCCCCCCTCCGGCTCTCCCTCCCTTCTTCAATAACACGAGGGTTCACCTACGTGGAGTCACCGCAAAACAGGGAACCCAATGTCTCGATTTAGCGTGACATTGGGCGAGCTGACTCCAGGTGGAAAAAAAAGATTGTTTACTCGAATCTTCTCCCTTCATTCGATCTACCGAGCCCAACCAGGTGGATCTCAGACAGCGTGATGTCTTTATTATTATTCTTTTTTACGAGAAAAATTTTCATTGCCCAAACTCACCTGAAGCCAACGCTCGTTTGGCCCAAATTGTTGGTGCAGCAGTGTATGGCTTCTGTTTTCCCTGTAAGCCAGCAAATGTGGTGATGCTCCCCGGTTCTCGAGTCCGGGGGGTGAGAGATTACGCGTCGGCCTCATACTCGGGACATTCCCTGCAATGACTGCTCAGTACACAGCAAAGATCTGGGGGCGTTTGATATCGGCCGAAAAGCTTTTCAAGCTGTATTCTAAGCATTCAAAGAGAAATGATGTCCATTCCATCGGGCGATCACATTTCACGGTGACTAAGGTTGGGCTCATCTGTCCGCCAGCCGGGGCGGGGCGGGATATGTCCCGGACGCTCAGCCGAAAGACATGGCACCAGCTGCCAAAAAAGGTTCATCGAAAGCCACACGCACAAAGGGACGAGCAAGAAAGTTATCTTTGCAGCACACTAAACAAGCAATTATGGGACTAATGCCTCCGGGTGCAGTTCCGCATGTCTTGTGTGATTCTCGAATTCCATCCCGCTGGCTCGCCCAAGGTCCCCCCCCCCCCCCCAGTTCTTCTAGGCCAGGATGAGACTAGACGGCGCAACACCAAAAAGAATCCGGACGAACATGGCCAAGCTGACCAACATGATCTTGCTTGCGAACCCCACTCAACTCTCCATGGCGTACTGGGGTGAATGCTGCTTGCTGGTCTCTTTCTACTTTGGGCAGGAGTGTGGACAAACATGGCCAGGGTGTGTGTCCATGCCATGAATACAAAAGCCTAGGTCTGCTCGCCATGTTATTGCCATATCTCATCAGATCTCTCGAGCCATAGCAGGTGCTTCCATTTGCAGAGACAAGAGAGAATCGTTCAGATCACTTCTTCTTCTCTTCCATCTGACAGTGACAAACACATCATGGGCGGCTTTCCCAACGCAAAGGGCACATCTCGTGTTCCTCTCTCAACTTCCGGAGAGAAGGATATTGAAGTCACCGTCACCCAAAACGGAGACGATGCGATGTTCACCAACGAAAAATACGTCCCAACTTCAGTAGCAGCCCCGCCAGAGGACTTGCAATCAGACGACGAGACGAGCAGCGTTGCCAGCGAGCCCAAGAAGTTGGCAATGTCCACGGCCCGGAGCATTGCACTCGTCACGACCGTCACCGGCGCAAGTTTTATGAACGTAAGTCAACGCCCGTTGGAAATTTCGCCGATCGGCTCCGAGACATATTTGCTAACAAAAAATACCGCTCAGACCCTCTCCATCCAAGCCGTTGTCATCATCCTCCCAACTATCGGCCGAGACCTGGACATCCCGGAATCCCGCCTGCAATGGATCATCTCGGCCTACTCCCTGACCTTTGGTTGTTTCCTCCTCCTATGGGGTCGCATCGCCGATCTGTACAGCAAACGCCTCATCTTCGTTGCGGGTTCCGCCTGGGTTGCCGTCATGACCATCGCCAATGCTTTCGTCCCCAATGAAATTGCCTTTGACCTGTTTCGTGGCCTACAAGGTCTCGGCGCCGCCGCCAATGTGCCCACCGCCATCGGCATTCTGGGCACCACGTTCCCGCCTGGCAAAGCGAAGAATTATGCATTCAGCGCTTATGCCGCCGGTGTCCCTCTGGGCAGTGTCTTTGGCACCATCCTCTCCGGCTTCATTGCCCAGTATGTCAGCTGGATGTGGGTGTTTGGCGTCCTCGGACTGTTCGCGGGATTGGTCGCTGTGGCAGGTTTCTTCTTCATCCCTCCTGCACCAACGCCGCTTCACCAGAAGGAACTCACCAAGAAGAAGTCAGTTGACTGGATCGGTGGCGGACTCATCACGGTTGGTCTTCTTGCGCTGATGCTTGCCCTGACCGAGGGCAACGTCGTCGGCTGGCGCACGCCCTGGATCTCAGTCCTCATCATTTTTTCGCTCATTATCATCGCCGCCTTTTGGTTCTGGCAACGCCACCTGGAGTTCAAGACGATCTATCCTCCAATCATGAAAACATCAATCTTTCATAGTGTCAAATTCTGCGCCGCTCTCGCCATCATGGCGCTCTGCTTTTCTTCGTTCAACAACTTCCTCGTCTATGCGACATATTTCTATCAAGACTACCAAGCTCAATCTATTCTCACCACAACACTTTATTTCCTTCCTACGGGCGTTGCGGGGATTATCGTATCCTTGGCTGTTGCCTATCTCATTTCCCGCGTCCCGACGTATCTAGTACTGGTCTGCGGCAACGTTTCTGTTTCCATTGCTTGTATTCTGTTTGCTTTACCTATACCGTCAACAACATCATACTTTGCTTACGGGCTGCCTGCGATGATTCTCTCAGTTATTGGCGCGGACACGGCGTGGCCTGCACTGACGCTGTTCATGTCAAAGGCATTGCCTCAGGAGGACCAAGCTCTTGGCGGCGCACTCATCAACTCTTTCGGCCAAGTTGGCCGGTCTATCGGCCTGGCTATTTCTACAGCTATTCAGACATCAGTGATGGCTCATGCCAGAGGCACATCTGTTGAAGAAGTGGGAGGAGTGAAGGAGTGGGATCAACCGTCATTGGATGGTATCAGGGCCGCTTCATGGATGAACTTCGCCTTGGGTGTAACATCTCTTATCATCGTGTGTGTATTCTTCCGGAGCTCAGAGATTGTCGGCCAAGCCGAACCTTATAAGCCTAAGAACTCTGAGAGTCAGGAGACTGTGGCGGATCCGAATAACACGGATATTGAGAGCAGATAGATTTCATTGTCTCATCTTGTTAGATTATTATTAGAAACATACAATATCCTGTCGTACTTTTAAATCTCATTACCTCTTCTTAATCTATTGATCATGACCTATCAACCGTTCAAAAGCTAGAGTATCAGCCGAGAGCAGGCAAGATCAAAGTCAATTTCAAGGCTGCATCAACCTCATTGCTGACAGTTGACAATAATCAACCCAGCAATCCTTCCTTCCGCTTGCCCTGTGCCATCCCAACGAGTCCGAGCCAACCCCGCCCGGGAGAATGTGGGTGTCCAGTCAGGCGGTTGAATGAGTATTACAATCAATATTTCGCGGTTCTCCTTCCCTATGCGAGGCAATACGCCGGTTCTGCCCTAGCACCGATCGCTCTTGGCGATGCCAAATGAGGTGGTAAGACGATGTTTGCCTCCATGCGAACCCTGTCCCAACCTCTTCAACGAATGCGTGAAGAGAGCAAACATCTGCAGGCAACTTTGCGGTGAAGAACCAACAAAGTCTTTTCCGAAGACCCTAGTTCCCACGGCCAAAAAGTTGCAAACAAGCAAATGAGAATAATCGGGGTTATTTTTGCCTGTAGTAAGGATGACTTCCATATATGCATGTCATCCCGGATATTGACTACTACCATCCGGGCCGCCACGCTTGGCCATTCAAATGTCACACTACCATCCGTCTTACTGTCGGCTATGTCCACGGAGACTGAAAACACCTGCCGATAGGCTCACCTAGGCACTAGCGAGTGCGCTTCATATAGTGAATTACCCAATGCCACCATGACATTGCATGCTCTAGATTAGCCACAGTTAAAAGAACGTATACAATGAAGAGTGAACTATTTGAAATGTTGATAGATAAAGTCTGTGAAAGACCGTTCTTAACTGCCGTGATCTGTGGAGTAAGTCCAACTCGGTGTTCCCGATATTCTTGCAAGGCTCAACATGAAGTGGCTTAGTTTACTGATCTTGCCTGCTGCTCTGCTGGGAGCGGCGGCTGACCCATTCCACTCGCAGGAGGACATAGACTCTGGAAAGGTCCTACAAGCTCTGAGCAAGAATGCCTACGACAACGCAATGGCGAGACTAGAAAAGTCTCGGGTTGGTTGCACAATACAGAACGTCAGGGTTCGCAAAGAATGGTAAGTTGAAGTGTACGTTCAGTGATACGCTCTAATTTGAGATAATAGGCGAAAGATTCCCGGAGAGGAGAGGCAAGCTTTTGTGAAAGCGATCGAGTGTCTTATGCAGCAAAAGAGTCTCTACCCAGATGTCGAAGGAGCCAAGTAAGCCGGCTATCCATCATCGGCCGTAAACGTGGGGCTAACTGTAGAAGATCTGCTTTTGACGATTTTGGCGTCCTTCACTACTATCTCACTCCTTATGTTCACCTCTCGGTATGGATAAGTGGTCCCTTAAATGACTTGGCTAACTTCTCAGGCATCTTTTCTCCTGTTTCATAGATACTATGTCTACAGTTACGAGGACAGTCTCCGGAGAAAATGTGGATACACAGGTATAAACAAACCCTTGGCAAGACTGAGTGTTCATGACGATTTCTAACGTCTCTTAGGGACCTTTCCTTACTGGGAGTGGGGCCTCGACGCTCACAACATGTCCGCGTCGCCGGTATTTGATGGATCTCCTACATCCCTAGGCGGCAACGGCGTTTTCATCCCTGGTCATCAACCCGCTGTCCCAAATACGCCGGCAGGCTCAGGAGGTGGTTGTGTTCCCAATGGTCACTTTTCCAACTACACCGTCAACTTGGGCCCTTCCAGGGAGCCCGGAGAGCCGCTGAGGCACAACCCCCGGTGTCTAAAGCGGGATCTAAACACGCACATCTGTGCTCGTTGGGCGTCCCTTCGTAACACGACAGACACAATTCTTCAAAGCCCCACCATTGAGGCCTTTCAGGCTATGGTCCAAGGTGATGATCGGTACCCGCCGGCAGCGTCCTTGGGCATGGCGGTGCATGGCGGAGGCCATTATGCCATCAGTGAGTTTACAAATGCTGACGTAGGTTGAAGAGTGCTGACGAGATAGGCGGCGATCCGGGTGGTGACTTTTACTGGTCCCCTTTGGAACCCGGTTTCTACCTCCATCATGGTCAGATTGATCGCATGTACTTTGTTTGGCAGAATCTGGATTGGGAGAACCGACAGGTGAGTATCTTGGGTTCAGCAGAAATCTGAAAGGTCTTGCTAACATATTGGTCTTCAAAGGGAATCTTTGGTACTGGCACCATGAAAAACGTTCCTCCCAGCCCAGACATGACCCTTGACGATGTCCTAGACATCTCTCCCATCAACCTCCCCCGGCAGCTAAGAGAGTTGATTGATACGCTTGGCGGGGACCCGTTCTGTTTTGTGTACGAGTAAACATGGCTTTGATACAATTGTCACTCTTTGATAAGGACATATAATGGGATATTGAATGTGTGGTTAAGATAGTGAAACAAATGGTACCACCTCTCATGTTTTAGCCTGCAAATGCGAAGAGAAGAATGTCCTTGAGTCGACATTTGAGACCTTACTACAAGTGAGCAGCTTGGTTCTGCTGGCCGTAGAACACGTTATGGAGTACTACTCTTTATAAGGCTGCAGATTGCCTCGGATAATATACTAAATATGAGATTGGTGTCTTGCTCCTACTAGACATCTACTGAATATTTGGGCTCTGTGTCAATAATGCTACACCGTTTCGGGTTTTTATTTTAGAATTTTTTTTTTTTTAAACCTTATCCTTTCAAAATCTTGTAGATTATGGAAGGATGAATGAAAAGCAGAAAGTTAGTACGCCAATAACCCAAAATCAAGAGATTCATTCCAGTTAGAATACCCACATAGAGAGGAGCGCCTAGAGCTAAAGGAGAACAATTGAAGAAGCAGAACTAGACTGGGAGACTAAAATGAGGGAACAACAGTTTCACAAGGTAAGGTATGACAATGTGTTCTTAACAACTCGTTTGTTCACTAATCTCTTTATCTGATGCAACATTGTATTCGGTTTCACTGGAACAGCGCTACCATGTTTAAAACTCAAAAATTCAACAGCACTGCCCCATAAACCTTCAGTGAACTGACAGGCGAACCCCAAATGTACTATGTAGCTGTTGCGTGTCTCAACAGATGAACACACCAGGCCAATGGAAAAGGGACACGGCGCATTGTCATACACAGAATTCATTGCAATTTCTGCTTCTACTTCTCCAATTGACGATTTACTGAAGCCACAACCAATAATTTGCATCAGTTTACGGCGCCCTTCAAGCGGCACCGCTCTCATGTTAACGGCTGATAATCCAGTGGTTCCGATTGGCCCGTCTAGAACCAGGCACCACTTTTGATGAGCGCTAATGCAGCTTCGCGATCCCAAGGGAGTAAACGAGATCCACTCATTGGCCCTACATTTTGGCATCTGAACGGCTGCCATTTAAAGCCTTATCGATCCCCTCATCGGCATCTCTGTCATCTTACATTTGAGACTTTCCAAAGATTCTCAGCATCAGAGGTCAAAACAGCAAACATGTCTCTCCTGGATCTCGGCGACAGATTGGGGCCTTCGGGCAGCCTAATCGGCGCCGGCCTCGTTCTTCTCCTGGCCTACTTCATCATCAACCCAGTGTCACTCGATCGCGAAGAACCACCTTTGGTGCGCCCCAAGGTCCCATTCATCGGACACATTATAGGCATTTTCCAACACTCTTGGTACTACCTTACCATGGTCTAGTATGTTCTCGCTCGGGATATCTCCTCCCCGTACCAGTGCTCCCAAACAGAGTCCTAAGATTTCACAGCCACAGGTCCAACAAACTCTCAATATTCACCCTCCCAATGCTCAACGGTAAGATGTACGTCATTGCAGACCCGGAGCTCACCCAATCCTTTCTCCGCAACCGCCACCTCAGCTTCGACCCTCATCTCCGGGACACCATTCTCGGCCTGGCGTGTATCCGCCCCGAGACGTTGGTCATCTGGGATAACCCGGATTTCTACATCCCCTGGGTGAAAATCATCTACGACCACATGGGGGGCAAGTCTCTCCTCCAGCTCAACACGTCTGTTCTCAGACACATGGCAGCCAGCTTGAACGGGCTAGACGCGGCAGGCTTGCAGGTGGAGGACCTGTACAAATGGAATCGCGACATTCTCACCCTCGCCAGCACGGATTCCCTGTACGGTGAAAAGAACCCCTTCAGGAGAAACAAGGAACTCATCGAGGCCTACTGGTTTGTTTTTTCCCCCCCCACCTCCCTCATCACCCTGACCCTCTGCGTACCTTGGATGGATGAAAATTGACAATGGAACAAGGACATACGAAAGGGAAATCCCCAAAATGATGCCCAATATCCTCCCGTCCCTAATCGCACCAAAAGGATACCGTGCCCGAAGCGACCTGATCCAGGCCTTCACAAACTACTTCAACGCCGGCTACGACGCGTCGCCCGAAGTCCCACCCCTGGTCAAGGACCGGTGCGCATACGCCTCGAAATTCCAGATGCCCCCCTCAGAGATCGCCGCCATCGAACTCATCTTCGCCCACGGCGCCCTGTCCAACACCTTCCCGACGTACTACTGGCTCTTCACGCGCGTGTTCAATCAGCCCTCCCTCGTCGAGCGTCTCCGCGAGGAAGTATCCAGCGTGATCGAAGAGACCGGGACCACGAGCGACGGGCAGCGAAAAGTCACTTTACACGCCGAAAAGTTGGAGGAGAAGTTGCCTTTGTTAATGTCTTGTTACCGCGAGACCCACCGGCTATCCGCCGACGGGATCATCGCCAGGAAGGTGATGGCCGATACGACCATCTCGGACGGGCAGAAGAGGAGCTACGTCCTCAAGAAGGGTTCCCATGCTCAGGCTCTGCAGGGTGGTATGCAAAAGGACAAGGACATCTGGGGTGAGAACGTGAAGGACTTTGTGGGAGACCGTTTCCTGAAGTTGGCCGAGGAGAAGGGGGAGATGGTGTCGAGTTACACGGCAAGGGGCTTCTTCGGGTTCGGCGGCGGGAAGCATATCTGGTGAGTTACCCCCTTTTGACGACGGACGAGGTGTGGATGACGAGCTGACAAGGACAAGTCCTGGCCGGTTTTTCGCCGGAGGTGAGATTCTCGGGTCGATGATCTTGCTACTTTCGAGTTTCGATGTTACAACACCGGAAGGAGGCGCGATTCCGGTCCCGGGGGCGACCAAGATTCCCGTCACTGGGTCCATGGGCAAGCCGGTGCCTGGTAGTGACTTGAGGGGGAGGATCACAAGACGACCAGGTTGGGAGAACGTGCAATGGGAGATTGCCCCGTGATGATCAAGTCATAATAGTAATATTGACGTGATAAATGTGATACAAAACAAAACAAAAAGACTAAACATGGGTATCTTGCGTATAGAAATAATTATCCCGTCCTCTCCAAGACGGCGACGTCAAAGTCTCCTTCCTCCTCCTCCTCTTCAGGCTCATCGCGAGCTAGCTTTTTCAATCGCTCTCTCACTGCAGGGTCTTTCTCTAGTTCCTGCCATAGCTCCAAGCGCCACTCGTCGGCGCAAACATCGTTCTCCTTCCGGACCCAAGGCCATCTCCACATGCCGTTCAAGATCATGCTCCGCTGAAAAGTGCGGAAGATGGTCTCCATTAGAATAAACACGAGGGTGACGATTATGAGCGTCAACCACCAGACAGGATCCGCACCAAAGATCTTTGAGAACCCGTCTCGAACTGCATACGGGCTCGGTGCGGGGGTATAAATGCCCGAAAGAAAGGCATTCCAAGCCCACCACCCTGAAAAAGTGATGAAGAATGACCCCATAACAATTGCTGATTTGTGATGTGTCTCGAGGATGCTGCCTTAGGTTAGTTAAGTCGCGCAGAATTCGACAGAGATATGACTTACAAGCACTTATAATTAATCCAAACGACACCAACAGTGAACGCAAGATCACCCACAGCAAAGAGACCCTGGTCGCTCGAGTGTGCAAACCACACATATCCCGCCCAGACGCCCCAGTAGGCCAGTACACCTTGACACGCCGCGGAGAACATCCATCCGGTGTACTTGGCCAGGTTGAGACCCATGTTTCTCTGTCCGTACACATACAACTCCGGCACAGCGAGGAGCGTGTCAGCGCTGAGGTCTTGTTCCCAGATACCCATGCAGATGACGCAGAGACTGGTGAAGAGCGTGTTGAAGACGGTCAAGCTGGCCATTTCGTACAGCGATGTTCCCGTGTATCCATTGTATCGTTGGTAAAGCGCAGTCGGGAGGTAGAAGAACATCTCCTTCCAGAAAGTACACAGGATAAACTTGGCAGTTCGAACGTAGTTCCATCGGCCATGGACCAGCAGCAACCGTTGTAGAAATCGAAATTGAGCAATTGCATAATCAGCCACTCGTGCAGCTTGAAGACCCTCGTTGCCTGAGATGCCGACGCCGACGTGACTAGCGGAGATCATGGCCAGGTCGTTGGCGCCGTCACCGATGGCAAGAGTGAGACCGTAGCCCATGCGACCCCCTCTCTTTTTGCGTAGCTGCGACCGCACCGTCTTGACCATGAGTGCCTTCTGTGCAGGTGATGCTCGACAGCAAATGACGGAGTCGACAAGTGGGACAACAGAGTAGAACTGCGCTGTCAATTCGGGAGACTTCTCGACGGCGGCTAGAGTTTGGCCGTCAATAACCACAACGCTGTGAACCATGCCAGAGTGTAAATCTTCCGACAATGCAAGCAGTTGACCAGAAAGGTCTCCTTTGGTAACATCGAGTGTGTAGAGATCCGAAACCGGTTGGCAAATCCGGGTAGAATGTGCGATATTGATGGCCGTCTCACGCTTGTCACCCGTCAACATCCAAATCTTGATGTTGGCGCGACGAAGCTTATCAACTGTCTCCGGAACACCCTCCTGAAGCTTATCCTCAATGGCGGAGGCGCCGACAAGATTGAAAGACTGCTCGATCGTCTCTGCTGCAGCCTCAATTTTCTCTTGGCGGTCGGTCAAACTGGTGGCTGCGTCGTCGAAAGACTGCTTCCAAGCGCGATAGTCCTGCTCGGGGATGAACTTTTGCGCAAACAAGAGAGTGCGGAGGCCTTCAGTGGCAAAATCGTCGAGGTGCTTAAAGCATCTTGTAAAAATGGTCGAGTCGTCCGCAATTGCGGGGTCGTCAAGAAAGGCAAACTTTTCAGGAGTCTGATGTGCCAGGCCAGATGTAGTGGGTGAAGCTTCAAAGGAAGGGGTGCGGATGGTGATGGACGGACGTAAATAGTCTCCAGATTTCCGTAGCTTGCTTGCCTCAAATGATACACTACGATCCATCAGTGGTCTTGAGCTTGGCCCGGGCGCATTTCGCTGTAAGGCTAAACTTCGTCGCAGCGTCATGCTCGCGCGACCGCCGATGCTAATCCTTGGCTCTTGCTGCTCGCTCTTCCTCAGAAGCTCGTGTTCGAGATCAGCGCTCTTTCTCACATCCTGGGCCTTTTGCAAAGCCAGATTTGCCATCTTGAGTCTTGGGAGGATAACCGAGTCGGCGCCTTTGCAAATGATGCAGATCCGTCCATCGGGGTATCGGACGATGATGGACATTCTCTTCCGGTGGCTACTAAACTCAATGACGTCCAGAATCTCAAAAGTAAGGTCCTTTTCAGGTTCCGAGGCAAGACGCAGGGTGATGCTTGTGGAAGACCGACCAATGACTGTATATCCGAGCTCTTGGGCGGCCTGAATGATTGCTAGCTCGTCTGGGGAAGAAGACTGGTACTCTATCTCTCCGTCTCTCATTTCTGGGAGACAAGTGTGGCACAGGGCCATGGCGAGGATATAGTCTTTTGCCCTCCTAGCGAACAGCGAATGGGGCCTCAAGGAGATAAACTCCAAGAGGTCTTTGGTCGTGACTTCAGGTTGAACGTGGTCAGGGCGGCCTGTTGACCTCCATTGCGAGGATGACCTCCGTGTAGAAGGCGCCCTGGAGCGGGCCATTGAAGGCCTACCGAAAGATGTTGGGGACTGGAGATAATCATCTGTACTAGCCTCGGGCCGGATGTACTGTGTCGAGACTCGGGGGCCCTTTTTCGCTTCGGACAGGGTGTCGGTTGAGCTGTTTTCGCACTCCAGATCCACGTCGGGTTGATGAAGCCATGCCGTTCCTGCGATGCTCAATTTGCGGAACTTCATGACGTTCTCAGTAAGAGTTCCGGTCTTGTCGGTAAATATGTAGCCAACTTGACCCAAGTTTTCTAGGATGGTGTTGGTATTGCAACGAGCCGGCGTATCCGTTTCGGGGTGATACATCTCAATGTCGGAATTGAGCATGAGCAGCTGGCCAACTTTGACAATCTCGAGACTGACATAGAGGGCCAGTGGAATGACGTTGTTGAACTGAATGATGTAGCCGATGACTATCTCGTGGAGCTTGACTTGGGCGTCTTGGAGATACCATGTTCTTCGCTCCTGCGATCGCTGCCACATTATGTAGCCCACAGAACAGCCGACAGACAAAACCACGACATAAAAGGCTAGGGTGAGCACAATCTTGTTGGCCACAGTTTCGAGTGCGGGCTTCTTAGCTTTGGGGTGCTGATTGGCGTTCATACGGATCTTGCACTCCTCTCCCGTGTTGACGACGATACCGATGGCGCATCTAGTATTGCGTAGAATGCTTCCGCGGTAAATGACTTCGACCGAAGTCAGCGGCAACGACTTTCCGTCAACGGTAACCTTGCCGTTAAACGTATATAAATCTGGGTTCGGGTCTTCGACAACAAATTCGGCATCGCATGCGTTGATCCCCTCGACTGTGTCACAGCCTCTGATGGCGGTCGATACTTGCTTGCTTTTGAGATTCGTTTCACCGTCGAGGGCCATTGTCTCGATGTAGGCCAAACCATTCTCTCCATCGGCATGCAATAGTACAATGTCCGCCGGAATCGCTTCGTCTCGCTTCAGCTTTATTACGTCTCCAACCTCGATATCGGCCCATTTTGTCGCCATCCATGGCTCATCCGAGTCATATGACTCCAGGTCATCTTTCCCTCCGATCTTATTCCGAAGCTTCGACAACCAGTTCTGGTGAGTTGCATCATTGCGCCGTTTGTGGTGTTTAAGGACCTTTGCTACGCATGCATTCTCCACTTTGTCCAGCCTGTGGCGTTTGAAATCGTCGTAGCCTTCTTTCGCGACAGTGACTAAAACAAAGAACAGCAGAGGTAAAATCCTGTCCCGTCGGTCAGCATAAACCGCCCATATTGGTGCTTAGGAAGTAGGGAGGCGAACGTAGTGAAATTACCAGTCGTCGAAAGTCCAGGTACAGTCTGTGGCACACCGACGCATAGGAAGTAAAAGTTGCCGATGCGAGAGAACTGGAAAAACAATTGTTTTGGTATGAAGTCATATACCGTGTATCGTGACGTTCGGATGGCGTTGGAAACGTAAGGATGGCCACCCCTTCTTTCGTCACTTAGTGGTGTCTCCTGATCAAGGCGAAGAGGGATTTGGCGTCCGTTCTTGGATGGTGGTAAAGACTTTCGACCAAGGACGATCTCGAAGAAGACGCTTCTGCACCAGGTGAGCGCATCACGCCTCGGCGACGCATCGGACCACCGCGATTTCCCCGGAGAGACGCCGTCGGGGCCGCACGGCGCATTGCCTGGCGGCGGCTTATCTTGTTGATCATGCTTTTCGTCCATTGTTCCATCAATTCCAACGAAGTTATAAACGAGTGACAGATGTTGGGGTTTATTTTGTCGGGTGGATCACGCCCGGATCAACCAAAGAAGCGCAATATCGCATCAATTTGTTCAAGGCAAGTGACGTTCATACGGTCGCATCAGATGTAGTCTCTCGCACGCGGCGCGCGTATTTTGGTTGAGTGACTCTCGATGATTGCTAATTTGATGGCGACGGTTTAACAAGCCCTGACCTGCACAAACCTGTGTTGAATAATGCAGCGAAAAAGCGCCATTCTGTCGCCTCTCCGCGAACAACTGCTGTGATGACAAGAACAGGTGAGAAAAGAGGAAATCGTGGGGAGAACAGGATCCAACTGAGCAGGGAAAAAGAGCGGGCATCGAGTTCGTCATTCACGACACGCGAGTGGGTTGCCAAGGCCCATGGCATCCTCGCGAAATTAAACGCTGCAGGATGCTAAAGATTACAATAATCAGCACTCCTCAGTCAATTTTCCACACAACCGTCAGCGGGCGGTTTCCCCGTTGGTAGCAGTTTTCCGTGCTGATCTCCCCACGTGGTGGGAACTACGGCCAAGGGTTGTAGCTGGCGATCACTGAACACTTGCTGTGCATCTCGGGTGGCTATGACTATCTGCAAATCATGTCGGGTTGAGGATAACGCAAGGCCGCGCAAAGCAAGTTGAATGGATGCTCAGATGAATATGGTGATGGTGGCAATTGCAGAGACGAGGAGTTCAGCTGAAGGTTTTCGGCGACGCAAGGTTTCCAACAAGCTCGACGCCATTGTTTGCCAAGCTAAAGGACCCCAACATTGCCAATAAACTTGACACCTGCATCTGGCAATTCTGCCCACGGCACCTCGTGTGATGCAGATCAACCGGGAAAAATCCCAAAGTCTAACACCATTAAATCGAGAGTTTTCAACGGTCAGCAACAAGCTCAACGCCGTCGTCTGCCGAACCTGCCAGTCGCACCTTGTCCTACACGCGATGAAAACGTGACTTGCAGAAACCCGAAAGCTTAATGCCCTACCCTTCCTTAGATTGCCGTAGAATATTCCGTAGTATCGGCAAATGAGAACGGATGACCTAACAGCGGCTTGACCTCCTTCGGCCACACTGCCAAAAGTGTCGCTAGCCGCGAGAGACGCCTCTAGCGGGGTGTCTACGGTCCCCGATTGTCTCGTTTAGGCCTCGACAGCGAAAGATCGGTCGACGAAATATGCCGCGGCTCCGCGTCATAGCGGCCCGGACCTCAACCTTCGGGGAGGCATCTGATCGGCTAGCCTATCAAGGCTCTATCTGCGGGAAAAGCCACGGTACCCGAGGGAACGATACAGCACGGATGCCATCTGGTGTCTTGAAAGGCCAGTATCGATGAAGGCGATTTCGGACTTCTCGGGAGCCATACAAAAGAGGAAAGAAAAAATTGAATCAGGCAAGAGATGGTACAGGCAAGATCCCTCGATGAGACGTCGCAAGATGGTGGAGTTGAACGAGTATACTGCAGTTCAGGGCCAACACCGCGAACGGTGGCACACCACTGGCACGGTCTCGGAGTTGGGAGTTCGGCATTTGTTTCCAGCGGCGTCTTTGGATGTCAATGGGATGATGCCATCGTCCCTTATCTCCTTGGTTGGGGTGAAACAAAGAAAGAGATTGGAAAAAAGGGTAACGGGGAGCAAAAAGAAGAAGAAAAAGTATGAAAACGAGGGACTTGGAGGGTTCGTCTTCTGTCAGAGGGAAGGAGACAACAGATAGCAGTAGTCAACTATCCGTACTGCGATACGTATACAGTGCATGAACTGTATTTTCCCCTCCAATTCGAGAGAAATACTCACAGAAATTTACTGTGCGGATTTCACCTTCCACCCACAGACACTAACAATTTCACCCCTTGTCTCGTCCCTTTTTAAGCCTCCTCAACATGCATCATCCATACCCGATTTTCTCCCCGAACCCCCTGAAATGTCAGAATCCTATTCAGTCACTGTCACAGAATTAACTTTGGATGGAGCCCCTAAGGTTCGGAGAATTCTTTTGCATTTATACATCAATCAACGAGTGTCTGGTACCTGTTATGGTGGCCACTAACTACTCCACCCCCCACGGTTTCTAAATCGCCCTCTCTAGTCACTCACAATGAACGGTTTGGTTCGGAATATGCAACAGAAGAATTGAAGAAGAAAAAAATATGTCTTTATGCATATAGAGAGGACGAAGAGAAACAATTAAAACAAGAAAGTGACGCCTGCCAAAAAAACAGTCCCGGGGGGAAGTTGCTAAACAACCCCCCCTGATGCAATGTTGTGTATAATGTGCCCGCAAAATGCTAAAATTCTCCTTATTTGGGCGTAGCTCCGGCCGCTGTAAGCTTCTCGTTGATGAACTGGGCCTGCTCGTCGGCCCGGTTACCGTAAGACAAATGTGCGGGCAAGATGGTGAGCGTGCCTCTGCAGACAGCGTCGCCACGGGCGCAGATGATGTTGGTCTTGTCCTGGGGGAAATCCGTGATCTGGCCGCCGTCCTGCTGGAACTGGGTGTCGCCGAACATGAAGGCGGCAACGATCTGGTCCTTTTGCGCCTGCGGGAGATCTTCAACGGCACGGTGGGTCACGGCCGCACCCTGGCTATAACCGCCCACGACTAACATGGAGTTGGGGCAGTCTGTGTTGGCCTTCGCGATGAGCCGCTTCATCTCGGCAATACCCTTGGGGTCCGCACCGCCGGGAAGTGTGTTGGTCGCCAGGCCAGCTGCGTAGTCGACACCCTCGACGGCGACGCTCTTGAAGCTGGCCTTGACGCCGTTGGCGGTTTGAGGACCGCAAATGGTGCCCATGTTGCCCGTCTCGGTCGAGCCGCGAGCAAAGACCATGATGACCTCCTTGCAGCCGCCCTGGGTGAACTCCTTGGCGGTCGAACCGACGCGGCCTCCTCCCCTCTGGCGGGCTTCGAGGTCGCGGACCTCAAGTTCCTCGTTGGAGGACTCCTGGAGAGCGGGGAACGCAGTCGCAAGGGACGCGAACGCAAGGACGTTGGTGAACTTCATTTTGAGAGATGGAGAAAAAGAAGAACAAAGTTCAAAGGAAGGAAGACTTCGGGGAGTAGACTGAGATATAGCGTCGCAAAGAGTGAATGACTTGCCTCCAGGGCTAGAATGAAGATGGCGAGCTAGCTGCTTGTGACGTTGGATTTCTTGTGTACGGATGATGATGAGATGAATAGGGCTAGAGAGGTCCTGCAGCCATCTTTATACAAAAGTTTCTCTGCGTTGATCCAAGCGGTCGAGCCTTTGGTGTTGAGACGACGAGTATCTGTTTAGATTGCCAGCCTCGGCGCCGTTTCCATCATTCCATTTCGTCCCAAAGTCATGGGCTGCTCCCCGACCCGAATCTGGCCAGTCGCATCTTTCGAACCGCCACTACCAACAAGAGGCATCCCAAGACGGCGTCTCTTGGCTTGTAAGACACATCTGGGGTTGTACATGAAAAATCTCCTGAGGCTTAGGCAAAATGTGGGATGGAGGAAAGTTCCGAATCGCAAGTCTGTCCGTTTTGGGAAAACACCTCTTCCCTTGAGGCGAAGCACGGTCACAGATTTCCAGGATGTGGCAGCCAAGCCGTCGGTTTACGGTAGTTGGCACCCTCTCAGCCTGGTCCAACTGGCCGGTTCCCCCTGTCACCTCTTCCTGCAACCAGATTGTAGCATGGCCGATGTCGATTCAGTGGGGATCCAAAGGCAAGGGGGGAGAGTGATCGTTGCAAGGTACCGAGGCATCGCGAGTTTGCTTTTCTTTGGTAGTCTAAGACCGATAAGGTGGCCCCATCGAGTCTTGTCAGTTGAGTGAATGGGCCATCGTTTCGAAGTAATTGTTTGCAGAACGATCCAGGATCGACGAGACTGGGAACAGGCGACTCTCTATGGAAGTTTACACTTCCGGCCTCATGCAGGCGACAGTTTGCATCATACGAAGCCAAGGAGATCACTATCGGCTCTGAAGTAAGAATACGAGCAATGACAGATGACATCCCTTAGCGGTTACCACTGCTCGCACTCGTTCGGCAGTCCAAAGGGTAAAAGATTGCAGTAACCCCAACTAGAAGGGCGATGTACCCAAGAGGGACGAAGCACGTAGCAAAAAAGGCCCTATTCAGCCCATCTAGCTGTCAGTCGGGCCTCCGAAACAATGACTTTGCCGCTTAGCAAGAATCGGGTTGGAGGGCTCCCACGAACCACGAGATCCCCTGATGGAATGACGGCGCTTGTCGATAAAAGTGTAGCTTGCGAAATTGACCATGTCCGTAGTGGGCTCGTAAGTTGGGTTGAACACGATACGTTCTAGAAGTTCCAACCTGAAACTTGAGATGACCAGATCGAAACGAGAACACGCTTACAAAACGGGACTCCTGAACAGGGGCGGACCTGAGGGGCTGTGGCCACTTGGTGAGCAAGACGCTCGTTGCCACGACTCGTCCTGACGTAAAAACCAGTAGTGACATCCTGGGTCTGACATCTGGTGTGGTGGGCAGAGGTACAGACCTCGGAACTCAAGGAGGCCAATAACCTTCCGGAGCCGTAGGCGATGTTCTTGCCGCTTGACACTTGTCAGAGGACCGAGCGCGGGACAAACCTCTCCATAAAGAAAACACTATAAGCGCAAAGTTCGGGCTCCGGCTGATCGGAAAGGTAAGATTACTGGGGGAAAAACTGGGGTGTGTATTAAGGTATGCTGACCGAACGGTGAACATGAAAAGAAATATGGCGTCAAGCCGGCGGTTTGAGAGGAAACGGCTTTGTCGAATACGCAACGCAACCACTTACCAGATGGGCGGTCCAAGCATTCAAAAAAGAAAGATTTGCGAAGGGATGCGAGGCAGAGTCCCCTGTGCTGATCCGACAAGTTGGTCGAGCGTTTTAGTCATACTTGGCGATGAGAGCAGATTTTCTCCTCAAATCGTGGCGCCAAATCGCCCTTGATGCAAAATAATGAGCCGAGTACGCATAGAATGATGCGAATCGGTGAGCCGAGGTTGAAGGTAGAATTTGAGATAGTAGCCCTTGTCAAGATGAGACAGGGGAAAGTTTAGAGAGGGGGCCGTGCAACGAAGACAACAATGACGAGATTCCGCTCCGACCGGATCCGACACTTGGCCGTTGTGGAGCATTCCGAACTCGGCCCGGGTGGTCTTGGCAAAGTGACACTCTCGTATCCCTCACGTGACTGACATATCACGTAATACGATGATCGGCTCGGTCAATGTTTCTCCCGCAAGACCGTGCACAAGTGACGTCGCCAGGTCCCTCTTTCCCTCCTGCAGTGCAATCCTGGGACCCTGGATTCGGCAAAACTCTGGTTGCCGCTATCAGTAACAGCCTCAGCAGTTCCAGCGGTCCACCCCACGAATTGTGGGGCCTTGGATCGCTGAGCATCGCTCTGCACTGCAGCCTTCTCCAGTTGTCACACGGCCAACTCGTTACATCGCTGATCCCATCCCGTGATAATCTGATAGCTCACAAGCTTCCAGCTGCCGACACCGCCCGCCTTTTACTCCGTCTGCAGCACCGCTCTGTTGAAGCTGTTCCAACTTTAGCCTCAGTTTTCTTAGTCACCACAAGATCTCTTTCGACCCCGTTAATTTCCTGCATCTGTATGTCAGCGACAGTCCCGCCTGAGCTCGAGCCTCGTCCCCCACAACCCATCTCTGACCTCGACCGCTCGCCTTAGCTGGAGCTTTCAGTCTTCGACCCCGTACTCACCTCGAATATCCGTGGTGTATGTCTCCTACAGATCCTGCAGATCATTCCTCCAGCCTATCTGGCAGTGCACCAAATGACAAGGTTGCCACTTCGATAACGGGTGCTGAGACCGCGGGGTCCAAGGCTGAAACAGAGCTCGCCAGCCTCGAGGAGAACGATGGCCATAGCAAGCCTAAGCTTTCTGCAAAAGCAGCCGGCAAGCAGCAAGCTACAGACGACCTGATTGATTTCGGCGATGATGCTCCAGTTCTCGAGCCAGCGGCCGAAGAGGCTGCCGATGCGGATAGCAAGCCATCCGAAGGATCAGTTCAGACCGCCTCTGTAGCTGGCTTTAAAAGCACTTCCGAGCCTATGACCTCTTCGATTGCGACTCTCAAGCCTACAAGTCCTCTGCCGCCCGAGACAGCCACCCAATACCTCACGATAGAATCAACCTCAGCGCCTTATGTCGACCCAACACCGCCAACACCAAAGACTTCCCAGCCTCCATCCCGAACTCCTTCAAATGCAGGACCCCGACGTGTGTCATCCGAATCGTCCCCAACTAGATCCGACGCCGGTTATGACGAGCGTAGATATGCCAGCGAAGATGAGCAGGAGAACGGATCCCGTTCCGAGATACAGAGCATCATGGAACAGTTTACTGGAGATGGAGGACCTGGGGCTGAAGAGGTCATGAGTCCAAGGCTGGAAATCGCATCCCCAATGCTTGGCGGCCCCAGCATTCAGCATCCGCCGCGCAAGTCCAGCCTCGAGCCTCTCGCTCCGTCTCTGTCCCACCAGGTACAAGAACTCCAAGGCCTCAGGATACACACGGCTTCTCCTGCAAGCATTCTATCCCGTGAAAGACCAGTCGAAGACCAGGGCCCACCTGTCCCGCCCAAGGACGGCCCTCCTGCAACCCCAGCACGCTCCCACGACGACAGGCAAATGAGCGTCGACTCACAGATGTCGCCAGGGTTGCACCGTCCTCCGCCTCCTGAGCCAGAGCCTGAGCCAGCGCTTCCATTTGACTTCCACCGATTCCTAGAACAACTGCGAAACAAAAAGGCCGACCCCGTTGCGAGATACCTCAAGTCTTTCTTGTCCGAGTTTGCGAAGCGACAGTGGATGGTACACGAGCAGGTCAAGATCATCAGCGATTTCCTTGCATTTATTGCCAATAAAATGGCTCAGTGCGAAGTGTGGCGCGACGTCTCTGATGCCGAGTTTGACAATGCCCGCGAGGGTATGGAAAAGCTTGTCATGAACAGGTTGTACACACAGACTTTCTCACCGGCAATTCCTCCGCCTCAGCCAATCCCGGGCGCGAAGCCCAAGAGAAGAGGGGGCGAAAGACCTATGGGACCGGGCAGAAGAGGGCAACACCAGGAAGACGTAGAGCGGGATGACATCCTGACACAGAAGATCAATATCTATGGCTGGTTAAGAGAAGAGCACCTCGATATACCGCCAGCCGGCGAGAGCGGTCGACGTTTCCTCAAGCTTGCACAGCAAGGTTGGTGTTGGCAATTCACACTAATATGGAAGTTTACTGATTGGCCACAGAACTTTTGAAGATCAAGTCCTACCGCGCGCCACGGGACAAGATCATCTGCGTATTGAATTGTTGCAAAGTCATCTTTGGTAAGCCTGCACCGTATATGCAACCGCATTCGCCCTCTATGTGCTAACTTGTCTTAGGTCTGCTGAAGCACTCCAAATCGGATTCCTCTGCAGACTCCTTCATGCCTCTCCTGATCTACGTTGTTCTTCAAGCCAACCCTGAGCATTTAGTCTCCAATGTTCAATACATCCTCCGTTTTAGAAACCAAGAAAAGCTTGGTGGTGAGGCTGGTTATTACCTCTCCTCCTTGGTACGTAGCCCTCAACATCAACTCAGTTGCTTAACTAACTTTTTCAGATGGGTGCTATCCAGTTCATCGAGAACATGGATCGGACGACATTGACCATTACAGACGAGGAGTTTGAGAAGAATGTTGAGGCTGCCGTATCAGCCATTGCTGAGAAGCATCGACTGGACTCGCCTCATCCCGCCCAAGAACCTGTATTCTCTGAGAAATCCGGTCTCAGCTTTCCACCGAGCGAGTCTTCAACAACACGACCGTCTCTGGACATTGCCGGCGGAGAGTCATCAGTACCGCGCCGCTCCACATCGTCCAACGAAGGCGTAACAGAGCCAGAGCAGGCGCCGATTACCGGTCTCCTTCGCTCAATACAAAATCCTCTCAGCACAATTGGCCGTATGTTTTCGGACGAACCTTCGCCCTCACCCTCTGGACCTAGCAGGGCTTCACGAACCCCGGTGCCCCCGGAGCGTTTGTCCCCAAGGCCCAGTATGGAGATTGAGGGACAAGCCCCCAGCTCTCGCCATCAACTCTCAGCTGAAGAGGCTGCAGCCAGACAGGCCAGTGCTGAAGCTGCCGAGGCTCAACGCCTCCATCGCGCAGAACATAACAACGTAGTTGAGACGCTGTCTGGCATGTTTCCCGACCTTGATAGGGAGATCATTTCGGACGTGGTATACCAGAAGCAGGGCAGGGTTGGATTGGCTGTAGACGCCTGCTTGGCCCTATCGACCTAGGGCATTGCATAGTTGAATGAACCAAAGCGCCAGTAATACGGCAGTCAAAGTATTATCTTCTCCATTTCAGTAGTGATGTTGCGTAGCTTCATGTGTTCAACCCGTAAGAAACCCTGGAGGCTATGCCGACGGTCATGCTCGCGATTGGGCATCAGAGACGTTGCGATTTAGTAACATATTCATTGAAACGCAAGCCGATTATAACTGGCTGGTTTCTACAGCATGATGTAGCACATTGGAGCTATGGTCGTCTTCAGGTATCAGCACATTCGGCATGTATCCCCGATGAAACTTGACACCCCATGGTACTCCGTATAGCCTTATCCAGGTCCACTTAACATAACCTCGAGATGATTAAGAACCCAGAACAAGACTCAGCTAGTTGATTTCACCTACCCTTTATACAAATATACAAATTCGTGCCTTTCCACGCTCGCGTCAAGCAGCCAACAACCCAAGACCAGTTCATGCTTGGATCAATGGAGCCGCTCACCAACCCAGTAGACGAACCAATGATGCGCCGCATTCTTGAGACCGTCTCATAGCTGCGTAAAATGTAACAGCACAAGAGCGAAAGTTACGAAGACTTTATCAGTGCTTATCACGCTCTCTAGGCGGAGCTCCCTGTTCGGCTGCCGGAGCTGTACCACGTTTGTGACGTTCTTATACGCTTGTTACCGGAGCTGCATGTGCAGATAGCCTCGCAAGGGATCCCGTCGACGCGGGAGGAGCTGGATGGTGCCGCGATGAAGGCGGAGGAGTTGGCTAGTTTGTTGGGGTTCATGAAGGCGGCTGAGTAGTTGCTGGAGTGTAAACTCTTGGGGGACTGGAGGAGTATATGATGGGCATGCGGTTGTGGACCGTTGGATAGGATCGGCAGCGCACAAATTCGATCAAATAAACAGGCAAATGTTTCATATTTGCTACCTAGATACATTTGATTAACGATTCGCAGCTAAATGTCCAAGTTGAACACCTGTTTTCTTAGAAAAAAGGAACATTCTTCCTCATAAATGTGTCTTACAAGGATTTTTCATAAGCCGTTGATATTAAGCTTCTACAGGTTCTGGAAACAAATCCAAATACTTAACAGATGTGATTGAACCTAAGAATCGGTGTTGGGTTATTGTGGCATCATCTATTATTAAGAATAGATACAGCTGACTAGTTCGACAACAACGTTGTTCCTCGGTGTTATTGTGTTGCATTAACGAGAACACCGTCCAGTATATCTCTACTTCGTCCCCATTACCTTCCGTGGAACAGTACAACTATGATATTCAAGACATTCTCATGCGTGTTCACTTTGTGATTTTTTAACTTTTCTTGCCTAAAATTCCTATCTACACCAAGCTTGTTTCTTTTTTTACACCTAATCTTTCACTAAAACGAAAAACCTATACTTCTCAAGGCAACATGCAGCCTAAGCTGGATATCTGCGTTTTTAAGGTTCCCGATGACTTCAAAAGTCCAATATTACATTGTTGAATGGGAAATTCCTCTTTAGTTGCGTTTGAGCTATTTCCTAACTTATCAATTCCTGATGCATGACTGCAAATTATAATGACAATGCTAACGCTAGAAAATTGAAAATTACTGAATATAGTGATTTTTCCGATCCTATGTGTGTGAGTTTGCAAAGCTAGCCTCTCTTTTGTACCTCTATTGTAGCCTAAGCACTCAAGAGGGCCTGGAAGATAGCAGCATTGGGACTATCAGCGATTGAATACAAAACGCATAAGCACCCACACATATCGACCCTAGGGCCTCTCTCATCAAACTTGTGAATTACTGGAAGATTCACTCAACCGGCATCCTCAAATCACAACTTCTCTAACCAGAGACGACTAAAACTCCCGGTTCCTTGAGTGCTGTTGTTGACGTACGCCTCCTGGTCAAAGTGATCACAGCTTCCTGGTAGTGTTATCATATTCGCTAGCTCAGGGGATTGGGTATGGACATAGAAAAACCAAAGCTTTGAAGGTACTGGAGCCGTGAATTCTCCAAGTACTGCGCTTGTCTCTTATTTTGGCGACTCTTTCCGTAACAAGTGGTATGAATGGTGACGTCGTTCGTGATAGTGAAAGGAAAGGTGCCTGTAAAATGAACAACAACTTTTGGTCTCTCCCAAAAGCATTGAATATAAGGTACTTATGAAAAAGGGTTTTGAACCCGAGACAAAACCGGCTATGTTACGATCCCTTTTATGAACCGGAATCAAGAGTGGCGAGCTAGAGACGATCCTGATATCTGAGCAGCCGCTTCTACGTACTATTTGATGTCGCCTTTTTCTTCTTGGCCTTGTCGTTCGAAAATGCATTGAAAATGAGAGTTTAATATATGAAACCCACCGATTTTTCAAATATCAGAGCTTATCGCATACTTCAATAAGTACGTCTTACGGAGAAAACTACCCGAGAAACTCTTGCAACAGTCGGAATACTGGCCCCTGCGTCCAGAAGCCCGGCACGTAGGGCTAGAAGTCATCCCTTCCTCTATTCTACACGTGACGCGCTGGGATACCACCACTCCCTCTTTCATTTCAAACCCATCACTTCTGACTGTACTTTATTGCATCATGAGAAACCTGCGAACCAGTGTTTATTGCTTTAAACTGTAGGAGACTTGAAATCCATGAAATCTATAGTAACGCAGAAAACTGTTGTTGAACTTGATGGAGTTCCAAAAGGTACTCAATAAGCCATGGTTGAGGCAGTGAAGGACTACTTAAAGATAACAAATGATCTTGAAAGTATGGAAGATTAGCTTTTCAAGGTGGCCGAATAAATGAACGAAGTAATTACGATTCAGTTGGCTTCTGGCCAGTTACGAATTCAATGTTTATCCAAGAAGAAGATGCAAGGTATGTATTGTCAAATAAGAATTTGGAACTCTGGACCTCTACATCTAGTGTGAGGGTTACATCGCAGAACTACGCACGACAATAAAGACAACGGTTTCATGAAAAGACAAGAAACCAATGAAAGAAGCCATCTTTATCAACGAAGCAAGATGTAGGGATTAACTTCCGGGGCATAAAGTTGAGGGCTATCTCGGACTTCGCTTGTTCCCCAACTTGAGCCAGTCTCGCTGGCATCTGCCAAGATAAAATGTGCCGTTCTTCCTTTCCGGGCCCACATGCTACGGCTTGAAAACACAAAGGGTAGTCTAGAAGAAATTGATGAGAGAGGACATGTAGATGGGCCATGCCAAAAATTTCGGAAACTCTGGAACCGATAGTTGGACGGGGTGCCTATTGATACTGAGACAGCAAGTTCTACACTGCAAGAAATACTGCGAGAAAATATGCGACTGTGACGCCGTTCTCCCTCTTAGGCAGTCCATCATCACCTTTACCTCGAGTTGAATTGCTGTGCAACAGGGCTAATGAGAAAATTCGATGCGCGCAGCTGAAGTTGTATGAGTCCAGCCTGTGGATGACTCGCGCAAGTGAAGCACAGGAGTCTCCTGGTTTCGTGCAAAAGTGAGGGGCTCACAGGTCTTTATGATCAAATGGCACATTGCATGATGGAAGGGAACCTCACCGTCGTATTGGAGACTATTCAGATTGTCATGATAATGCAGAGGCCGCGCAACTGTAGGCAATCGGGAGCACACATGGCGGAGATGGCCCGCTATGCGGCCCTGGTCAAGGGGCCCGGGTCAGTGTGAATCCGACCAGCAGCGAAGACCCCGGCCAGGGGTTGGGAGCAGGGGCCCTGAATGAGGTCACTGACAATTGCTGAGGCAGCTGCAGAGCAAACCTAACAAATTAACCTTAATGCTTAACTCAAACTCTGCTAACATGTCTTCAAATCTATGCTTCAATCCTCCCACACCCACCGCATCTGCCCCGTTTTGCCCTGACAAGCTCCCCGAAACCACGGAACCGCCCTGAGCCACCTTTTACTCCTTGCTAGACAGGTATTTAAGTGGGAACTGACCTGATTTCGTTTCGTGCTTCCTCTTTTTTTTTCTGCTTACAATGTCTGCCATGGTGGCCCTTACAGGGGCTTTATCTTGGCGGGGGTTTCGGATGACCTAAGATGGAGAATCTGCAAGGCCTTCACACGCACTAAGGAGCTTGGGGCTCAGCCGAATCTCAGTGGGATGGTCAGTGCCCCAAAAACCCCTGAGCACCTCCACGTTCGTCTGTTCCTCAGAAAGTCAGAGGGTAGCAATGAGAGGTACGTTGGCCAGGCTGATGGCATGTGTCAGGTACCGTGTGCGGGGGTTTGAGATGTCTACGGAAAAGAAACAAACCAAATCGACTTCATGCGAGGTTGTGCAAAGGTCTGCTTAACATATGCTGTAAGTCAATACTCAAAAGAAGCCAGAGCCTTTTAACGCCAGCCACTAAGCTGTCATGGATTTGGCTTTGACCGCCAATATTCATATGAGAATCACTCTGGCCAAGTACAAAAGACTACGCAAGATATGGCGATCCCATTCCATCTTGCACGCATTGTGGCAAAAACGCTGGTTCAGGCGATGGTCGCGTAACCATCATAACAAGCCAGGGAGGAATTGGCGAAATGCAGAGAACCGAGGGTATCGGGTTTCACATCAGAGGCTTAGTTCAAGTTGAGCCAGAACAACCTCGTGGCCTCCTACGGCTGTACTCGATTCCGGTCTGCCTCTTCTGATTTCTAGGGGTAGTCACTGGTCTGACAAGGCAGACGTACCCCTGAAGATCCCGAACAGACATACTCAGCCTCGAGTCTACCTGTGCCCAGAACATCCTCCACCTCGGCCATGTTTTCGTCTTCAGCCCTGGCTTAAGCCCCTTGTCAGAGCCGCAACCTAAAACAGACAGCCCTGGTCTTCATCCCTTCCTTCAGAAACCATCCCAATGCTGTTCAGATGGCAGCTGGACTGATGATTTCATCTCATTCGTGTCAGCACCTTGCCGTGAACCCGCTATCGCTCAGGGCTCCCCGTCTCTCGACATCAACTCCTTGTCGTATCCATCACGGATTCTATGTGGCTGTTCCAATACCTATTGTCATGTTTCCGGAGAGCCTCATACCCTGCCAGCCCTGGTACTGGTACCGGGAGGTAACAACAAGTCTATGACTCCGTCGCTCACACCATGTTCCGGCACTCCCATGCCTACGCCAGACTAAGATCCGAGGTTTTGGCCATTGTCTTCGTAGCTATTCGTGCATCCGATCTTCCGTGCGCCGGGTGTTGCGGGCGATGTGCATTGGCAAGACCCATCAAACCATGAGCCAAGGCTCACGATGACCAGCCCCCGTCTGATATAATGACTTTGTCACCCTCCTTTCCAAAGTTGTAGTGATCAGCAGGTCTGTCCCTCTTACCTTCATCCACTCGCGCGTTATTTTCCATTCGTTTCTTTCTTGTAGCCAGCCATCACTAGCTCGCTGCATTTTTTGTTTACTTCGTTTCATTCAAACTTAGAGACCGGTATCTCGACCCTGTTCAGAGGCGAGCCTCGTACATTCCTTTATTCCTTTCTTGTTTGTGTGTTCTTTCCATTCTTTTGACAACGCCTTACCGAATCCTCGACGTCGACTTAGATCGACTTCTTCAGACTAGACCATCATGATACTCTCACGATACGTAATCATCTCATGGCTTGCCTCCGTGGCCTTGGCTGCTCCGAACCCTCCAGCACCACCGGCCGAATGTCAGCCCAAGACCGAAACCGTCGTTCACACCGTCCACGTCCCTACAACAGTCCACGAGACGGTCCACGTCACGGTTCCCGGAGAGAAACAGACGGTTCACGTCACCGTCCCTACCACAGTACACGAAGTCAAGACCGAGATTAAGAAAGAAACCAAGACCGAAGTGAAGACTGTTCATGTGACAGTCCCGACGACAGTCAAAGAGACGGTTCACGTTACCGCACCTCCGAAAATAGTCAAGGAGACGGTCCACGTCACGGCAACAGTGACCAAGGAGCAGACCAAGACGGAGAAGGTCGTCGAGACCAAACCCGTCCACGTCACCGTCACCAAAACCGAGGAGAAGAAGGTAGTCCACACTGTGCCCGTGACGGTGGTCAAGACAGAGAAGGAGGAGGTTGTCAAGACCGTCGTCCGCACAGAGTCCGTCCCGGTGACGAAGACCGAAACGAAGAAGGAGATCCAGACTGCAGTTTTGACCCGGACGGAGACCAAGAAGGAGACCGAGAAGGTCCCCGTCACTCAGGTCCAGACATCAACGCTGGTTCACACGGTTGTGGCCACCAAAGTCGAGACGAAGGAGGTCGTTCGGACTCAGACCGTCGCCGTTACCAAAGTCGAGACCAAAAAAGAGGTGCAGACGATTCCAGTCACTCACTTCCAGACAAAGATCGAAACTAGGGTTCACACCCAAACTATCCCCGTTACTCAAACGGAAGTCAGGACAGCTATCCAGACAGTGGCTCACACCGCGGCTCCCGTCACGCATGTCGTCACGTCGGAGCGCGTTGTCTCTGTTCCAGTCACTGTTCCCGTCACTCATACTCAAGAAAAGATTGTTACGTCCGTTCAGGAACGCCCAGTGACAGTATCTGTCAGTGTACCTGTTCACGTCACCCACACGCAGGAGAGGGTCATCACGAGCACTCAGGTGGTGACCTCAAGACAAGAGGTCCCTGTTCATGTAACCCAGGTTATTACCAGAGAACTCCCGGTTACTCGAGAAGTGACTAGGGAGCTCCCAGTAACTCGAGAGGTTACTAGAGAACTTCCAGTTACTCGAGAAGTCACCAGGGAGCTTCCAGTCACCAAGGAAAAGATTGTTACTCATGTAGTCACCGCCACAGCGGTTCAGACTCTGAGCCAAGTGCAGACTTTCACAAGCATCTCCAAGGAAACGGTTCATGTTACCCTACCTCCTCAAGTTGTCAAGGAGACAGTCCACGTGACGCTTCCTCCGAGTGTCGTCAAGGAGACGGTACATGTCACCCTTCCTCCCCAGACTGTCCGCGAGACAGTTCCTGTTCACGTAACACAGACTGTCCACCAGACAGTCCCAGTTCATATCACGCAAACCGTTCCTGTTCATGTAACGCAGACCGTTCACCAGACCGTTCCCGTTCACGTTACACAGACGGTTCCTGTCCATGTTACGCAGACTGTCCCTGTTCACGTTACTCAAACAGTCCGTCAGGAGGTCCCCGTCCACGTCACGCAAACAGTCAGCCATTGCGCTACAACAGTAACCGCCGGAGCAGGCGGTGCGGCATCCCCACCGGCCGTCCACCCGATGCCTCCGCCGGCTCATTCAAGCCCCCCGCCGGCGCATACCATGGCCCCGCCACCTCCCGCACACACCATGGCTCCTCCGCCTCCCGCACATACTCCTCCGCCGGCAGCACACACCCCAGCGCCTCCTGCTCACGAGATGCCTCCCGCAGCTCCCCCGGCTCACACACCTCCTCCCGCAGAGGCTATGCCTCCTCACCCTCCAGCGGAAGCGCCAGCTGCCCCTCCCGCTCATGAGGCTCCAGTTGCTCCCCCAGCCCATACAGTACCCCCAGCTCACGCGGCACCACCAGCTGAAGCAGCTCCAGCCCAGCCGCCAGCCGAGAAACCCGCGGAGAAGCCCGCGGAGCCCGCTGCTCCGCCCGCACACACCCTAAAGATGAGATTTATGCCGCGAAAATACTAATGATGGAGGAAGACGTGGAGAATGTCGAAGGAAAAGCAAGTGATATAAAGTAGCTGATGGACTTGGGGGGGTGGGGGGAACATAAATGTGTCCTTGGCCCGATGCGGGGAATGGGAATAAGGAAACAAGGACTCGCGTATTATCTTTCTTCTTATAACGTACATGATAAGCGAGTGAGACAGACAAGCGAGTGAGACAGTAAACCAGACCTTCGCGACAATAATATCGAAATCTATAACAAGAAATCTTAGATTGATTAATACTACTCGGATTCCTGTTCTTCGGATGTTTCCTCAATAAATTGACATGTTCTCGCGTTGTGGCCTGTATTCCCGCATACGCCACACCGACGATGAGTCGTCTCAGACCTCACTTTGCGACCACTACTCCGTCGCGTTTCCTCTTGTAGTTGCGTGTCTGCCTCTCTTTGCGACTGTATATCCTCTCCAGTAGATATAGTAAGACTTCCTCCTTTCTGTAGACGTGTTTTCTTAGCCCTTCGACGCCGACTTAATATTGCATTCTCCTCTCGAAGGATTTGAACCTCTGACTCTAGTAATGCTACCCGATGCCCTAGTCCTTCTGTCCCTCTGGCTAGCTTACTCACAGCACTATAAATTGATGCTGGAGAGCTGCTTCGGTGGCGTGAGATTCGACTCTTAATAAAAGTAGACTGTGATCTTGCTTCGCTTGGGTTGCTCGGCGTCCTAGAGATCCAAGGGTCTGGTGTCTGAGGGACCCCCTCCTCAGGCGTTGGCGTTCGGAACTTTACATCCAGCTTTGAGAGAACACTTTCTGCATTCAAAGGGACAAGTCCAGCTCCTCGGAAACCTCCCTGGATATTTTTCCTCGTAAAAGACTGCTTAAAAGCTTCGTGAAATGCTGCAAAGAAATCTTCCTTCGAGATATGGGTTGTGCCTCGCCGCATCTTATTCTCAATTTGCCGACCGTAGGCATTCTTTAACGGCTGAAAACAACCAACATCTAAGGGTTGAAGTAGATGAGACGAGTGAGCCGGCATGCACAGTGTAATAATGTTGTTTTCTTGACAAAAGAGCTCGAAGGCTGCGGAGTGGTGACTTTCATGACCATCAACAACGAGGAGGCGATATTTCCCAGACGTACGTGGTTTTGTATAAATGTCGAAGTGTCTGATCCAGTCAATACCTCTCTCGTTTGTTGTCCATCCATTTTCAGACGTTGCAATAGCCCAATCGCCCGGAAGAGAGGTTTCTGTATACCAGCTTGAGAGGTGATACTGGCCTGCAACGATGATGTATGGCGGGATGCTCTCCCCTTGGGAATTAATAGCCTGGATAACTGTAACCCATTCCCTATTGCCAGGCTGTGTCATCTTCGTATTTGAACGCCTTTCAGCACTTGTAACAACCATTCCAGAAGCAATAACGCCCATCATAAAGCCGGTCTCATCAAAGTTGTAGATATCAGCATCAGCAATACCATACTTCGCAATTGTATTCTTCACAAGCGAAAACCAGCCACGAATCACCTCTGGATCTTCGCATTGAGCTCTCTTATAGTCATACTTGCGAAAGAAACGCGTCCTAAGCTGTGGTTGTCGCTTGACGAAATTAGAAGCCCAGCGCTTCCCAACTGGAGGCGCGTCGCGCTCTGCGAGAAGTCGATTGGCCATTTCTTCCACACCACTCAGCCGGGGAGGAAATGATCGCGCATCTAGGTCGAGAATATACTCAACTATTGTCTTCTCTTCTAAATCTGATAAATTCCGTGAATTAGGCATGCTGTCGCGTCGTGAGACTATTCCCTTTAGTCGCCGGCTTAATGTTGCGTGACTGACTGTATAGAGTGCACCTGCGGCCCGAGCACTAAGTTTTGGGTCATTTCTCATTGCTTGAAGGGCAATTTGTAACCTTCTTTCAATACTAGCTGATTCCATGATTTATTGTAGAGGAAAAGGTGCCGGTCGCGTCAAGGTGCGACGGTCGCGGTTTACTGTCTCACTCGCTTGTCTGTCTCACTCGCTTATCATGTACGTTATGTAATCTAAATTTTTAGACGGTAGCTATGACGCTGGACGAAGTTTGATACCCTAACAGCCGGCCTTCAATGGAGACGTAATACCTCTTTATTCTATGACATGAGTGGCGGTCAGTATTGAGTGAGTGAAACTCTTGACTGCGAATTCTGGAACATTAGTTCTGTGGAGATTGGCGACTTACAGTAGAAACATTGTAGCGACGTCGGCATTGCAGAAATGGGAGTGAGGTTACTTGCAGATCAACTTTACTTTTATTGAATCAACAAGGGACATTAATCGAACATATGTGCCAAGTCTCAGACTTGATGGATCATGGCAGAAACAACTGGCTGAAATCACTGCATATCACTGTATGTAAGTTGCTCCGAAGCCTTTGGGCAGGTAACTTGGGTATAAATGTCTTATACATCTGGCCAATAGACCGGCTGCAGAGAGACACTCTTGGGTAAGGTTTGATTACGTGGGGGATTGCCGATCTTTAAGAGACCGGGCTCTAGAGCTCTTAGGAACCGTGTAGCACTTTACATTACGCCTCCTCACATTCGTTATGAATCATTCGTAGCCATATTACAACATGCATCGTCTTCCATTACCATCAAACGCTTCACATCAGATAAGCGGCAAGCATCGAGAGACCGGCCAGAGAAAGGATCGCCCCCGGGGCAGTGACACCGGCTCCGTTGGCCGGTACGACCGACGACGACGGGGTTGCCGTGGGGGTGCCCGTGGGAGACGTGGCGTTCGTCTTGGACGCGTTGAACTGAGAGACGACGAACTTAACGGCATCCTCCGTGTACGTCTTGAAGTAAGAGCCGTGGACGGTAGTGTCGTTACCAAGGTCGCAGTAGATGTCGCCGGTGTCGCACCATGACTCGATCTTGGGGGCGTACTGCTCGCACGCGGTGATGTTTTCGCGAGGGAAGAGCTAAGAATCAAAATTTTCGTCAGTGATACCCCATTCGCCTGCGTCAGCTAACGTTGTCTCGACTCACCCCGTTTCGAGTGCTCGTGCCCCGGTTCCAGGTGGCACTGGCGTTGTGGGTTGGGTCGCCGAACAGGACGACGGCGATGACTGCGAGAATATGAGCGATCTGGGACGAAGATTCAGGTGTGAGTTCGGATGAACATACCACTTTGGTCCACAACGGAGGAGGGGATGGGTGATGTGGTGTTGAAGTCAATCTCGAGTCCATCATCTTCTTCTTCCTCGACGCTACCACACAAGATGTCGCCCGCAACGTGTGCGCCCTATATTGCAGTGTCAGTGAGAAGAATGGCTCAATCAAGTAATAGTCGCCGTGGCCGGAAACCCCGTCGTCTGACAGATTGAGGATTTTCATTGTTCCCCTCGCCAAAGACCGTTTAGGGTGTCGTTCTCCGTAGAGAATTGACGTACCTGAGAGTATCCAAGCAGGGCCACCTTCGATTGGGGGCATCTCAAGTTGTACTCGGTCAAGGCCAGCTTCATTGCCGTGGTGCCATCGACGACAGAAGTGGAATAATTGCTCAGCGTCGCAATGTAATTGATCGGCGCGATCTGAGATCCGGGCACGGCGGCGACGACGCCGTCGGCGACGCTTCCGATTCTTCCAGAACCAGGAGCCTCGCCACTACCGCGGGCGACGATGAGGTGAACACCAGTAGCGCAGGTGTTGGTCGAGTTTTGGGCTGCGGCACTAGCAATAATGCCAGCAACGGCGGCGGTGGTGGCCTTGGCCTTCATCTTGAGTGTGTGATTAAAACCTGGCTACAGCGGGATCGATCGATTAGAGGGCGGACGGAGACAGATCTAACAAACAGAGGAAAACAACGGCCAAAGGCTCGGGGAGACCGGAGAGGTATTTATCACAGCGGTGTCATGAGTGGATGACGTCGCAGACTCAACCCTCCTTGGCAAAAAGAAAAGGCCTAATTGTAAGCAATAAGTCGAATTGGCCCACCACGACAAAACAATAGTAGATGCCGCGCCATCAAGTCGCAACGCGCCCGGCGCAATTATCGGAAGCTGAGGGACTGTTGAGGTCTGAACCACCAGGGGTACCCCCCGGACACCCCGGTGACGAATCAGACGGACCTTTTGTTTTTCACCGAGCGCCGTTCATCGTCAACACATGTTTGAACTTTTTTGGACTTTTCCAGCCAGAGTTAAGTCCGAAATCAACTGCCTCACAGGGTTAGTGCCCCGCAGTTCATGTATTGATGTCCGTAAGGGGGTGGAAAGTAATAGGAATCCAGAGTGCGATGAGGGGGATGGAGAGAACAACAGCCTCGGTATTGCATCCAAATCCAGCATCGCTCACTTACCCTGGACCCTTTAGGGTGTATTTGACTTGTTTTTGCATCCACAATTAGGCCCGCTGGAGGCCGGGTGACCCGACGAGGTTGGGGCGAGGTTGGAGATGGGTGGACTGGGGGGGGTGTGGGGGATGCGGGGAAGAACGAATTCAGTCTGGATGTGATTTCGTTAAATCATTGATGCGTTGTTGTGGTTTTTTGCTTCTGAAGGTTGGCTTTTATCGATGCGGGGGTGAAGCTGAAATACATATGTAGGTTGTATGCATCTTTCAAGCCACAAATCTGGGGGAAGAGAAGGGTTGTTTGCTGCGAAATTTGACCTGTGGGTTGCCAAGTCCGTTTATACCGATGGTGGACTCCAACCCCTGATGTCATCATCCATAGCTTAAGCAACCCAAACGTAGGCTGCTTCCTTTTTTTTGCGGTGTGCTTTTATTGTACAGATTAAACCAAAGCGTTCATTGTAGTTACACATTTGCAAGGCGATTGGTCACAGAGATCATGCTGTGAACTTAAGAGACCACTTGACAAAGTTTGGGATGAAAATTCGTCCACAAATCCCTCCAGATTGAACACGATTCGTGGGTTTGAAATGTCCAAAAACCATTGAGTCAGTGATATCCAAATCTTTCATTCTGCCAAGGCTTGGTTTGGTGTCACCCTAGCTGACGCACTCTTCATCAGCAGGGGAGGCGTCGATCGTCCTCAAAAGCAGCTCTCAAAGTAGTCAGATTGACGTTCAGCCCCAACTTTTATTCTTCCGACTGTAACCATCAGATTTCTGTGGAAATATACAGTGATTGTGTTACTTAGTCCATCAAATCACCTCTTGCATAGCGATAATTGTGTATTTCATCTTGACCTGGTACATTAAATAATGACCTCTGTGTGTAAACATTTATCGAACGTGAGGCAGACTTCCATCTATATTCTCTTTTAGTATTTTCCTTCACGCAATATAAAACTTTCCGAGATCGCCTAGTACAGTCCATGTCATCTGGGATTGGTGAGCCACGCGTCCTATGATTTGATTAAACAGCTCTCAAGTTCCGCAAGGGGTACAATATGTGTATTCTTACCATCTTTCAAACTTGAATGATGGTGAATGAGTCCATGGATGCTCTACTTGATGAAGATGGGGCAAGTAACGCGTTCCTAGTACCAGTCCAAACACGCTAGGTGCATCACTAAGTAGATTGTAGTCCATGATTTTGCCTCTTCCCGAAGAGGGTAAAATCATAGAACGATGACATGATAAAACGCGATTGGTTCTTTGCATTTATATCATCTACTTTTAGCCGCATGACGCATATAATACATCAGGGCTTGTATGTAGGTCTGAAAAAAAGGCAACATAGTTTATAGTTTATATTTCCATTACAGCTTTGATAGAACAACCATGTCTAATAGGTAACCGTCACACACTTCCCGTTCCAAGCATTGAAATCTCCTTGCACAAGCTTTTCAAACATCCAGTTCGCCAAGTCTTCTCTGCTGATCGTGTATCCCACTGTTACCCCTGGTTCCTGTCCCTCAATCGCAACAAGCTCAGGATCTTCAATAGTCCAGCCAACTCGGAGGCTCTCGGTACCCTTCTTAGAACCATTTATAAGGAGCGGGGGCCGCAGCATCACGTATCCCCCTAACGGCGAATCCTTCTCCGTGGCGGCTTTCCGGATTGCCACCTCCATTGCCCTGGTATCTGCTTGGGGGACTCGCAAGAGCCATATGTAAAGCGGTATTAGGGCCAACGGTTGGTCGCGCTTGGCCCCGTGGCCAGTGGAGGAAATAGGTACAAAGATGGGCTTCTTCTTTAGAGACCCCTCAGCTTTGAGTTGGCGTAGTGCATCGATTGCTGCAATTGCCGAGTCTCCTGTGATTGTAAGATCCTGCATCGAGACAGGTTTGAAAGGATTGAGCTGAAATTTCGGCAAGGCGGTAATGCCACTGAAAATAATTTCAGGGTTGTGTCGAAGCACTTCGATGCATGCAGAGACTGAGCGAGACGATTCACCCTCCACAATGATCAAATGGGTATTTATAATATCCTCAGGAACATTGTGAGACCTGAGGATTTTATGCAACTTAGAGGCATCTCGGACGACTAGATAGACATGGTTACACAGAAAGGTCCCATAGCGAATCGTTTTCGTTGACTTACGGGCTACGGCTTTGTGTTCAGCCATTAGCGTCCAGGCCAGCAGACGACTCAGCGTTGCACCTGTGGCTCCGATGAACGCTGCCTTAGGTGCCATGATGATTTTTTTATTCTTCGCCTCGTTTTCAGCATATAGAATGTCGTAAAGACAGGAAACGTCAAGTAAGCGAGGTTGATGAAAGGGTTTCCTGGGTTGGATGTTTTTGGCACATTCAACTTCTATAAATCTGAATAATCTTCGTTTCGGGATCCGCGCCGCCCGGAATCGGGACAGGCGGTGTAATTGAGACCCGACTCCGGTGAGGCTGCTCCCTCCATCTCGGCTCAAAGCCGTGAGAGTCCGCTGGTTACGATACAAAGTCCGCCCAAACTCCACCCCGGATTACTCCGCCTATTCCATCAACAACTGCCAAGGCGGCGACATGGAGGAACTCACCTCCAACGGAGACAGGGAAATAATCATCTAGCACCGGAAGAACATTATCTGAAAATTTCAGGTAGTTTTTTGATCTTTTTGATAACGTACATGATAAGCGAGTGAGACAGACAAGCGAGTGAGACAGTAAACCGCGACCGTCGCACCTTGACGCGACCGGCACCTTTTCCTCTACAATAAATCATGGAATCAGCTAGTATTGAAAGAAGGTTACAAATTGCCCTTCAAGCAATGAGAAATGACCCAAAACTTAGTGCTCGGGCCGCAGGTGCACTCTATACAGTCAGTCACGCAACATTAAGCCGGCGACTAAAGGGAATAGTCTCACGACGCGACAGCATGCCTAATTCACGGAATTTATCAGATTTAGAAGAGAAGACAATAGTTGAGTATATTCTCGACCTAGATGCGCGATCATTTCCTCCCCGGCTGAGTGGTGTGGAAGAAATGGCCAATCGACTTCTCGCAGAGCGCGACGCGCCTCCAGTTGGGAAGCGCTGGGCTTCTAATTTCGTCAAGCGACAACCACAGCTTAGGACGCGTTTCTTTCGCAAGTATGACTATAAGAGAGCTCAATGCGAAGATCCAGAGGTGATTCGTGGCTGGTTTTCGCTTGTGAAGAATACAATTGCGAAGTATGGTATTGCTGATGCTGATATCTACAACTTTGATGAGACCGGCTTTATGATGGGCGTTATTGCTTCTGGAATGGTTGTTACAAGTGCTGAAAGGCGTTCAAATACGAAGATGACACAGCCTGGCAATAGGGAATGGGTTACAGTTATCCAGGCTATTAATTCCCAAGGGGAGAGCATCCCGCCATACATCATCGTTGCAGGCCAGTATCACCTCTCAAGCTGGTATACAGAAACCTCTCTTCCGGGCGATTGGGCTATTGCAACGTCTGAAAATGGATGGACAACAAACGAGAGAGGTATTGACTGGATCAGACACTTCGACATTTATACAAAACCACGTACGTCTGGGAAATATCGCCTCCTCGTTGTTGATGGTCATGAAAGTCACCACTCCGCAGCCTTCGAGCTCTTTTGTCAAGAAAACAACATTATTACACTGTGCATGCCGGCTCACTCGTCTCATCTACTTCAACCCTTAGATGTTGGTTGTTTTCAGCCGTTAAAGAATGCCTACGGTCGGCAAATTGAGAATAAGATGCGGCGAGGCACAACCCATATCTCGAAGGAAGATTTCTTTGCAGCATTTCACGAAGCTTTTAAGCAGTCTTTTACGAGGAAAAATATCCAGGGAGGTTTCCGAGGAGCTGGACTTGTCCCTTTGAATGCAGAAAGTGTTCTCTCAAAGCTGGATGTAAAGTTCCGAACGCCAACGCCTGAGGAGGGGGTCCCTCAGACACCAGACCCTTGGATCTCTAGGACGCCGAGCAACCCAAGCGAAGCAAGATCACAGTCTACTTTTATTAAGAGTCGAATCTCACGCCACCGAAGCAGCTCTCCAGCATCAATTTATAGTGCTGTGAGTAAGCTAGCCAGAGGGACAGAAGGACTAGGGCATCGGGTAGCATTACTAGAGTCAGAGGTTCAAATCCTTCGAGAGGAGAATGCAATATTAAGTCGGCGTCGAAGGGCTAAGAAAACACGTCTACAGAAAGGAGGAAGTCTTACTATATCTACTGGAGAGGATATACAGTCGCAAAGAGAGGCAGACACGCAACTACAAGAGGAAACGCGACGGAGTAGTGGTCGCAAAGTGAGGTCTGAGACGACTCATCGTCGGTGTGGCGTATGCGGGAATACAGGCCACAACGCGAGAACATGTCAATTTATTGAGGAAACATCCGAAGAACAGGAATCCGAGTAGTATTAATCAATCTAAGATTTCTTGTTATAGATTTCGATATTATTGTCGCGAAGGTCTGGTTTACTGTCTCACTCGCTTGTCTGTCTCACTCGCTTATCATGTACGTTATTTCTTTTGATATTCTTGACATTTCATTCACGCCCCCAATTCTTATGACCAGGCAATGATGGGCTTGACGACATCGCCACGTTTCATCGCCTCAACGGCCTGTTCAAAGTTCGAGGACTCAAAGACCTTGATCAGTTTTTCAACTGGGAAAATACCCTCCCTCCACCATTGAACCATTTGAGGGACATAATCTCTCGTCCTGGAGTGTCCTTGCACAGCCCCGAAGTATTGCTTGCCACTAACCGTGAAGCTCTGCATATGGATCGAGATGTTTGCTTCGGGCATTCCAGTTCCAACTTGGATAACTTTGCCCATGTACCTGGTCGCATCAATCTGCGCAGCCAGCAAAGGTGGGTGAGCACTGGTATCAATGCTGATGGTTGATCCAAGTCCCTCTGCCGCCTCCTTGATTTTCTCTGTGACTTGCTTCATGTCAAGCCCTGTGGTGTTGATAACGTGGGTAGCCCCAAGAGTTTTCGCAAGCTCAAGTCGGCTTTCGAGCCGATCGATTCCAATAATGGCCTTGCATCCCTGGTTTTTCGCCGCAATCACGGCTGCGAGGCCAACTCCTCCCATGCCAGCAATGGTAACACAGTCATTCGGTCCAGCCTGAGCAACGTTGATGACAGTTCCACTGCCAGTTTGCAACCCGCATCCAAGTGGTGCCAGGATCCTGAGGTCGTCTCGACTCAAGCCAAGTCCTGCAACATTAACGATGGATTTGTCGCTCACGATGGAGTGGCGAGCAAGACTTGACTGTCCAAAGAAGCGACCGCCAATTCCATCAGAGAACACGGGCTCACCCATGAAGTTTATCTCGAAGAAGTTGGTGCAGTGAGATGGCGGCCCGGTCTTGCAGACATGGCATGTCCCACAGTATGAGAATGAGAGGAGGACGGGGTCGCCTGCCTTCACATGTGACACACCGCTGCCCACTTGAACCACATAGCCAGAGCCTACCGTATCAAAATTTGTTAGAAAAGGCTCGTCTCTGCAATCAATCGCCCGTGATTAGGTTACCTACCCTCATGACCAAGGACTCTTGGATAGTATACGCCAGGAACTCCTGCATCAGCCGGAGTGTTGCCACAATGCAGGTCTGTATGACAAATACCGGAGGCGACAATCTCTACAAGAACCTCGTCTTCACGGAGTTCTCGCAAAGTGACAGGTTCGATAGCCCATTTGCCTTCAGAAATGGGGCCCCTAGCCACAATCGCCTCTGACTTGAATGTCATGCTGTCAGCCTTTGATCAGATTCGAAATTTCGAGATTTACACAATCATGCCACACGAGCATGCAAGATCTTCTGTGTAACTATGTAGAAACAGGCTTTTAGAATGAGAGTGAGTTCAAATGCAAGGACTAAAGAAGAGGGGTAGTTGGATGTGAGGGGTTGCGTTGGCGGTGATAAGCGGAATCGGCCGATCGCGCTCAAACTGGATACTTAGGTAAACCCCTCCTCTAATCAAATTGATAAGACGAAAATCGGGAAACTACCTACCTATTTGGGGTTGATCATGTAAAGTCTTTGCATAACTCAATTCCTAACCCACTTGCGCATTGGATGGAAACAAAATCTAGGCCACAAGACATAAGTGCACGAGAGCCATTATCTTGGTGGCGAACAAGGTGGGTCTTTAACTAAACCCAGAGTGGTATTTGCGTTTTTATGCTTATTTGCCCGTCTGTTGTCAGAGTTTAAGGGGACAAAATGACTATGAATTACGGATCCAAGGTAGATGAACAATGCAAGCATTGCCTGTCGAGGGAATATCCTTAATAAGAACAAATAGAAATCAAAACAAGCAACTGTTCAAACGAGGGGCTTCGGAAAACCACGCATAGTTGACGGGAGTTGCATCGAGTCGTGCCTTTATGATTTTCAATTAACGTCCCACACCCACTTCTGGGCACCCCCCACATTTGGGCACCCCATTTACACCAAAAACGCCGTTTTTCGAAATTCTATATTAAACTAAATACTTTACTTATTAAAGAGAATAAATATATATTAAATAGATTAAGACTTAATTATAATACTTAAGTAGCTATATACTAGTATTATTGATAATAAGTATTATAAATTCAAGGTTTAACATTTATAATACTAATTTACCTAGCCTATATCTTAATATATAAAATAGGTAGAGATATTTAACTAATATGATTAGAATTTTTAAGTAAGATATAGTAGATTTATATATTCTTATACTTAGTAAAAAATTCTTTAAGCTTAGAATAATATTTTAAAATTTCCCTTAAGAAAAGTTTCTATTATAGAATTTTAACCCTTAATTATACTATATTTACTAAAGTAATACTTTTAAATCTCTTTTAGATATAATTATATACTTTTAATAAGTATAAATATTAATTTCCTAGATTTTTTAAATAAGTATATATGAGCGAAAATATATTTTTCTAATGTTAAGGAATACTAGTAAGTTACTAGTATCTACTAACATTTTAAAGCTTTTAGTTTTAAACTTCTATATTATAACTATTATTATATTCAAACCTTTATAAAAAATTAGATGGCTATAATTATACTTAACATAGTTTATATATATTTTCTTTTCTTAGTAAGTATAGTAGTTAGTTTAATATAGAATTTCGAAAAACGGCGTTTTTGGTGTAAATGGGGTGCCCAAATGTGGGGGGTGCCCAGAAGTGGGTGTGGGACGTTAGGGGCACGTCAGCAGCTGGGTACCCTACTGAGTCTTTCTTTAGGACTATGTTAATGAAGTTCCGTACCCTTTTTACATATGCCTTCAATTAGCCTCCGTTCGATTCTGAACTAGTCCTTTCTCTTAAGGGGTTGACAGATTCGTCTACAAGGGGTGACGTTCCACGTTCAATCTCAATCAGAAGCCCGCCAGGCGATGTGCATTGGGGCGCTACACTCCACACAATGACTTCAATGCATTGTTAATGGTTTGAAGCCATTGGTAGATCAGCAACGACCCATCAATATTACCAGAGATCAGGCCAGGACAGGCCGGCCCGAGCCATGCTTTTGTCGGCTCACAACAATAAGTTTCACCTGGCCGCCGAGGGTCGTAACGCTTGTACTGACATTTAAGGCGTTAAAATGTATGAGCTTTATTTAAGTAGTTGTACTGGATAGTTCGTTAGAGGCGGCGGCGGAACAGTGAGAGGCTTACCTCATCTAAGTAGGGAGCCATGCAGTTGAGTTCGAGGAGATAGACGGGCGGCAGAATGGTATTGAGGCTGCCGCCACCGGGACATGCGAATGGCTTCAATAATATTGGATAGTAGTGAGTGTCTCAATTGCAACTGGAAATACATCAAGGGCCCGCATTCTGAGCTTTTCGGTGACGCGTAAGTAGTTTATTCTCACACTTTTGGATCAACGTTCAAGCTTGCAGGTTACAGTCTGCTGATTGCCATATCGAAGATTCGTATCTTTGCAAATCCTTCGATTGTGTCGAGAGCAATAACGCACTAAAATGGAGGCACAACCACTGAAACTAGAGAGGCATGCGGGGCACGATGGCGACCAGACAGCAGTGTTGAATCTAGATTTTCTTCTCTTGCGTGTTAGTATGTGTCCATGTTATTGCGTTCCTCCTATTCTTCTTCTACCCCTGTGTGCAGTTCAGTGGGGTCATTTTGAGTCTGTCGAACAAACTCCCTGGACGAGGTTCATCCTCTTTTCAATGAGGTTTTTGAACTCAGACATGCCCTCACACATCAAGCTCTCCTCAACGGCAATCTCGAAAGGTGTTTGGCCAGAGTTATCTTCCACAAAAAGACTGGCGTCAGCCATTCCAGAATCAAGCATATACTGCACAGCCTTATCCAGCCCTATTCTACGAACTGCGTGATGTAGCGGTGTTTTCCCTTCGTTGTCTGTTGAGCTCGTGTCAGCCATCCCAGTTTCCAGCAGATACTGGATGACGTCTTCATCGGCCACTGCAACGGCTTTGGAGAAGGGTGTCAGGCCTTCATTATCCTGAGCTCCAAGATCAACTTTTCCTGTTTCAACCAGAAGCCTTATTATCTCAAAATGATGCGTTCTTATAGCCTCGTGCAAAGGCGTGCTGTCGCTGTCGTCTTTGGCATTAAGCCTGATCCCTTTCATCCTGATCAACTCACGCACAGCGGCTTTATTCCCATAGATAGCAGCATCGTGCAAGGGGCTAAAGTCATGTAGGCGAGATGCCTTGTTGGGATCCAGTCCGCTCCGAGCGAGTAAATACTTGAGAAAGTCCTCGTTTTCACCCGGAGCGGCTCCACTGGACCCGCCCTTGATGGCATAAGAGAGGGGCGTTACACCATAGCTGTCGGCGATGTTTATATCAACCTGTAATTTCCAATTAGAATATAACATGCTTTCTTGTCTTAGATCCTTGCTCACCTCGGTATCAGACCGCGTCAAACTTTCAAAGATTTCTATGAGACCGAAGTATGCCGCAAGATGTAATCCCCGAACGTTACGTGGCGGGGCTCTAGTACTGTATGGAACATCAACCCAAAGTACATGATTCAATGAGGAGATGGTGTGCTCTGTGTTGCGTAACAGTTGAAGCGTGTCTTCATCTGGGGGAGAGATCTTCCTCGTGTGGTAGGCCCAGTTGCGAGCAGCATAGCCGTAAAGCGGATTTTTGGAAAGGCGAGCATGGTTCACGACCCAAAACGAACTATCATACCCTTCCGAGTCATCTTTCTCCATCTGCTCATAGTAGCTCTCAAAGCTACAACTGAAGGCTGCAAAAGAAACATATGTGACGCAAGACCTCACTATGAGGCGTTCTGCATTGGGTAGCCACCGCTCAGTGGTCCTCTCGAAATACTCTTGGGTCGTATAGTGAACCAGGCGAATGATCTGACTCTCTTGGTCAATCGTAACTAAGCCAGCACAGACAGAAACAATATCCTCCAGCTCCGGGATATTGTCTTCATCCAGCTCCGTCGTACCTTGCTCCACAGCAAGAGCGTGCTGTAGCTCCAAAGTCTTGAGCGGTCGACTGGCGCAGACTATCCAAGATAGCGCGTCTTTTGCGAGGGATTCTTGATCAGTAAGCTGGCCTTCGATGCGCTCCATGGCTTCGTTGTAGGCAACATCGTATGCTGCAGATCCGTTCGCAAGCTTATGAAGGGAGTCTCTGATTGCTTTTGCTGAACGCTTGCCTTGCAATGAATCTAAATGGAGCTGTGCCAGTAGGAACCTTGCAATATCAAATCAGCAACTCGGTTTCATCAAGGAGAGGGGAGGTTTGGATTGGATAGCTTACATTCCTTGAACGGCCTGAATGATCCTGTTCTTGATCTCACCTTGTAGTTCCATACTCTTTTTCACAGCCAAGGGAAGCTTCGACATGTGGCCGTCCAAGAATTTCATCACATCGTCATCGGTGGCCTGAATTTCAATTGATATGGCGCCGTCAAAGTAGCTCTCAATTTCAGGTATGTGTCTTGATGTCGCAAAGCAATTAACGTTCGCAGCCTCGGCGAGTCCAAGGATAGTTGTCAGAAGTGTATCTAGATATCCTTCATCTCTGCGGCACTCGTCTAATGCATCGACAAGTATATACACCTTGGCGAAACACATCGTTACAGACTGAATGCATCTCACAATTTCTTGCGTCGACATGGGAGATGTGCCAAGAAGATGTTGGTCATAGGCTTCCTCTACTTCATTGGGTCCCGCCGGCATGGCCCAATAGAGCTGCTTCAGAACACTAGCAAGTAAATCCCGAGGCTTTTGCTCGTGGTGTCGTCGGAAGTTGCAGAATAGATATGCGATGCCAACTTCAGGGTCTCCTCCAACCCGGTTTTGGAGGTCCTCGATAACAATCGAGGACAGCATTGTTTTGCCGGCTCCTGGCATCCCGGGACAGAAAAGCGTCTTTCGGTCTTCCTGGACCCAAGTTCGAAACTCTGGCGAATCAAGAAGCCATTGTCCAGTCCCCTCTTGCCTCCTCTCGAGGTTGTCAGTCTGCTGTGAAGCAAAGTCGAGCGGTGTGATCCAGTCCAAAATCTCTCTCTTCCGTTCGTCGAGATGCATTTCGCTAAGTTGTTTTCTGGTAGATCGAATCTCAAGATTGGTATTGACAGCCAGCGTGGTATTGTCGATTGAGATCATGCTGTTGATAACCTGGCACCGTCGCTGCAGGTTTTCAATCGCCGACTGCGTCCGTTCGCCGGACAACATTGCCTTGAATCGTTCCCACCCGAAGCGGCTTCCACTGATTTGCTTCTTGAGGCCTTTGAGCACATGATCAAGTTCTTCTTGACAGGCAGAGAGTAGGTTTGCATCGCCTGGGCTGGACGGTGTCGCGAGGTTGGACAGCACCGCAGAATGCTTGCCTTCAAAGGCAGAGATGAAATCGGGATTCTGGATAAGGTGGTTATACGTTTCCAGCAAAGTTTTGTGCAGACCATCCATCTCGCTCTTGAATTTCTTGGCGTCTTCCGGGGCATCGCGCCAGCTCAGGCCGAGTTTCGAGCACGTAGTAAGGATATGAGCAACCACTCCAATGATGCCGATGATCCCTGACGGATCCATGCTGACAATACTTTCTTGCACGAGGGCCAAATCTGAGCCCTGAAGGTGCACCGACCATGAAGTTCTATGCAAACTTGCCTTCGGGGGAAGAGGGGGGGGATGACAAAAGTACTCGTCGAGATGAAGATGAGGGGAAGCTGGCTGGTGTCTGCAAACTAAACTTGCGCCGATTATCACAGCACCGACTGCGCATATTCTCCAGCATCTCAGCACCAATGAGCCAATCTACTCTAAGAATCTGGATGCATTGATGGGGCCCGCCCATATTAACATCCGGTCTCTGGCTGATCTGATTGGCCTCGTGATGCTGAGTGGCATCGAAACGGATACCCCAGTAACTGTTTTCTGCATAATGTCAGCGGCACAGCAGCAAACATACAGGCAGATACAACACTGCCCCATTGTCGGCAATCTCAACCATCCCTGGGCGGCTCATTTTCACCCCCCTTCGCTTCAATATACATATCAACATGCGTAGCTTGCCTTCAGGTTAACTAAAGTTTCAGTTGGTCGTCTTGCATTTCTCAGCGAGGACATCAAACCTGTAAATGGCCTGATGTTTCCCGAGTATTGAAGCACAAAAGGTGGGGCACGTCTTCGAGACCATGACAGACTTGTGCATGCGTCGTGATTTACCAAGCTGCGTGTTCATCTATAATCTTCAGTTCATGAGAACAAAATGATGAGATTATCTGTTTGAATTTCGCAGCGGGCGTGAGGGATTCAATTCAACTGCCCAAATGTAGCGTTGGCAGGTAGGGAGAGCTGTCAAGACAACCCCAGGCGATGGATGACCTAGTCTCAAGGTCCTGGCACCTCACACTGATCCCCACGTGGACTGCCAAATCACTTCAAGTTTCAAAAAGAGAAAGAAAAACGGCGAAACTAGCCTGCAACCCAAGAGACAGTGGCAGAGTGGCGCTGATGATAAACGCCACGAGAATCCCTTCTCGTCCGCGTCAGCAGAACTTTTGCGCAGTGACTTCGAGAAGTTCCGGGTCAACGGGAACATGGCGGAACAAACTGCCTCTCTTCAGTCTAAACTGGTCGCGCTACAGGGATGTGTATTTACTGTACCTTGCACGGCTAGCTACGAAATCGAAGTGAGGCCGGGGTGGGTAGACGAATTGAAATAGTTGCGGATGGAGGATCGTACGGCGGCCCAGGGGCAGTATCGCATCCAGGCAACGTTTTAGGGATCATACTCTTCCAGATGATCCGGACCTCATTGGCTTATCTGCAGGAGAGCAGACGGGATCCCGAATATTTCAATGGGTATGGTTGTATGTGGTGGAATTCGACCCAACGAAGTGTTATATTCACTAACGTGGCTGATGGCTGTGTGGTTGTAGATATCTTTCAGACCTCCAAGGCCATTGCAAGCATGTAATGTGGGATGGATTTCGGAAGCTTCCTCCACACGGAAAGGATAAACACCGAGAACGAGAACGAGCAATGGAGTAACCGCCAGGTGATGCTTGTGAACCTTAAAGTGTCAAAAACTAGTATATCAAGCTTGAGCGACTGACTTTACACCAGACAAATGGTTTAGAGTAGCTACCCATATTGTTTTTCAAGTCTGTTATACAGTATGAGTTATGGTAGCGACGCCTTTTGTTTTTGGTGTGAAATTGAGGACCTCCTTTCACTGTGGCCGGATGATAAGTTGCGCACCAACCATTAGCAGATAGCTCCTCGGGCTATGCTAGTCATCACCAGGGCTTTTTTCTTTTTATAAATCTGGGCATTAGAAGATCAAGTGACAACTACATTGGAGTGGTTTACTTCCACAGATATCCAAACTGATTTATCCAAACTCCACAAAGACTAAAAAGCGAGTCACCCGACAACACGCCAGCGTAACCAGTCGACAACATACTGGGGAATGACGTCTGGGTTCAACAGCGAGTCACAACAATCATGGCTCTGACCATCCAAGGTATATGCCAACTGCACCCAATCTGAATCGAATGATCGACGCAGTGCAAGGGAGGGTATCTACGCAACCACGGAGTGATCCGTTTCAACCTTACATTATGAGGATTGGGAACACCCTTTAGGCGCAGTATCGATTTTGCTGCGGATTTCAGCATCAATTTCAGGCTTGAGTCCCCGAGATGAATGACTCGAAACCTCATCTGAGAACAAACATGATTCGCCAACACGTCTCATCTTGAGGTAACTTTTCGATGTTGCCCTGTGCGGTCTCTTTACCACAGTATACCATAGTACTGATGCATTAACGTTAAATCCCCTGGAGAATTACACTCTCCGTGCCCTGTTCAGCTTGCGAAGCGGACAGACGTAGGCTACCGGCCGGCTATCAGTAGAGAACTTCTCGGCATCTCCAAACATCCGTTCAGACGATGAAGTTAATTAAGGTTTCCCCCTTTATAAGTAGCAATAAAATCCGAGTATCAGATTAGTGGGGGTGAAGCGATGAACTGGTATAACTTCACCTACGACCTTGCATGTTCGACTACCAGTCAATCGTTCATCACATTTAGCTTTAGTCACTCTCTTATCGTATTTTTATACATCATGATTTTACCCCACGCCGCCATCCGATCGCTGCAAGCGCTCTCCATGAACGCTCCTCGTCAATCTCTCATCGCCTATCCAGTGCCCGGTAGTGCTCGACGGACGCATCTCTCAAAATTTTACCCTGGAAGCTTTTGACACCAATGCGAGCCCTTATAACCCGGGCTTCACTAAGGGCGAGGATCCGTAGTCTAAGATCATCCTCTTCCCTACCGTTCTGAGTACTTTACGGTTTGACGTATCGGCGAATGCTACGGGGAACTTCAAGGCCTTGGAGGTCACTATTAACGACCGATCCATATTCAACCCGCCCCCGGGTAAGAACCCGCAACTAGGGTTCCGCCGCGCCGGCTTGCTGCTCGGGAGTGGCTCCGATGCGTCTAACGAGGGCGTCATGACCTTCCACTAGAGCTCGATGCAGGACTCGGAGCGCAAGTTGAACCTCACGCACGAGTACCTCACAGCCTTCTACGAGACTAACGACTCCGGCGGGGCGCAGTTCGCCCTCCAACTAGGGCTGCCCCTCGGCTAAAACGGTACCGAACCGCCTGCGACTAATTGGAAGATGCTAGACCAGAACAACAGCGTTGTCTTCACTACGCCGCTCAAGTTCGACGCGTGGCAGAACTTTGCCGTCACACTTGATATGCCCCAGAAGTAAGTAGTTCCGCCCTTTCCCCCTTATCTACCTTCAATTCCACCTTCATATAATCCACATGGAACAAGGGGAAAGAAGTCCTTGCTTCTTCTTATATTTGTTTTCATGCACGTCTATGTGACGAAGTATGAAGAACGCCACGAAGTTTCGGTTCAGCAAGAATCTTCTAGATACTTTGCCACAACTCATAGCTCCACATCTCCTTATTCACGAGGCGCAATGCTCTGAGTGTCTCACGCAACATTTACCCAAACTTTACAAGAGCATGACTTAAAGGTTGTGTGGTACGAGACTGCTAGCCATTCAGATGAATCCCGTCCTGCCACTGTCCTGCCATGTTTCGTCTTGCCGCTTTTCACTTGAAGATAGCCACGAGGGGCGGAAAGGGATCGCCAGCGTGAAGGATCTTGGGCCACTAGACGAACCTTGATGGTTCGACCTTTACAAGAACTTGGCATTAGCACCAGTGGAGAAAAGCACCAAACGCATCAGACCGAAGGGGGCAATTTTATGTTGCGAAAACAGCAGAAATAATTAGAAAATAACAGAGCACTTGATATTTTGTTTTCGGTATTTTTTTTTTGTTTCTACCTCTAATGGTGAGTATACGAATCAAAAATTTGCAAGAGTTACGACTGTGGATAGACAATCGGCATTGGAATGTCATGCCATTGTGCTGTGTTGGGCTGCAGGATGGCTGCAAGTACCTAGCTACTGTCAACTTGGAACTCATACCTTATGTAAAAGAGGTCTACCTAACCTCGTTTTCAAGATTTATGTGAGGTATCCAGCGTTGGACATACTTGCTTGATCAGTTGTTTCGCTGGTATATGCGAATTGTTAATTCGCAATTTGATGTTCCTGTGTTCATCACAGCCTGAAATGACTTTGGACGTCAAAGGACCAGGGAACCTCGCACCACTAATTGTCGTCGTCCATCATTCAAATATCCAAAGGCCCTTTACAGTAGCGTACTGGCTGAGTCGCACACTACGAGGTGGCTGGGAGCTCGTTGTGGTGCCTCAACTGAAGCCACCACCCGGCTGCTCATATATGAAGGTGGCCCCTTTCGCTTTGTTAAACAATTCTTGAAGCCAGCCCGGAGCGATGAGGGTGAGAAGCAGTCAGAAGGGTAAGCGAATAAAAGAACTCATCCATTGGCGGCACGGCACCATAGAGCCAGGAGCGGGTTAACGATGAGAGGCCTATACTTGACCAATTCAATCAAGTTCATAAGTGCTGAACCCCTTCTCATTTGACCAGGCTAAAACAATTAGAGCATATGGTCGTCACTACACGCAGCCTGATTTGGGGGGGCGGGGAGACGCAAAATATCGGATGCGCGGTATTACTTACTCATCGCCCGCCCTTGTGCGCCTTGCAAAAGATAGCAGCCCCCAGTATACTGTATAATGGTTCACGGATGTCGCATGCAGGTGCACCGAAGCCCCATCGAATTGCGCATCACAGCCAAGATGAAAGTCTAGCACCAGGGTACAGGCAGCTTGCTGACCAGACGCCTCAAGCACATCCGGACCAAGTATCGCATCTCCATGCTCTTTGAGGCGATGCCAGTTAACACATATATATGTTGATGTGTTTGTCCCCCACTTCAGCTGACACAGTTGACCAACGAACAAATCAAACCATACCGGTAAATGAGTGATGCGGACAGGGAGGAGATGCGCCTTACTATCTTAGGTACGCGCTGCCTGCAACCATTTCAATCAGGCTGTCTAGTCAGTGGTTTCGAACCCCATTCTCGTATATAGCTTCCATTGGCTGTGCCTTTCACAATTTTATCATTTCATCCTCTTTCCCTTTGAAGCGAGTTTGCCAAGCGACAAGGCTACCGCCTCCGACTGGGGTCCAACAACCTTCTCGTTCGCCTCGCAAGCATGTCAGACCCTCGAAACTATACGGTCGGGTGGATTTGTGCCATTTCCACCGAGTTTGTCGCGGCTCGCGCGTTCCTCGACGAGGTCCACGACGGACCTACAGAAGTCGCCCGGAATGATAGCAACTCGTACGCGTTAGGCCAGCTCGGCAACCACAACGTCGTTATCGCAGTCTTGCCAGACGGCGAGTATGGGACGACGTCGGCTGCGGTTGTCGCTCGCGACATGCTTCATAGCTTTCCCAACATCCGGATCGGATTGATGGTCGGCATCGGGGGCGGCGCGCCAAGCTCGAAGCATGACATACGCCACGGCGATATCGTCGTCAGCAGCCCGCGCAACGGGACAGGCGGGGTGTTGCAGTATGATTTCGGCAAATCGATACAGTCTCAAGCTTTCCAAGAGACAGGGTTCCAAAATCAGCCGCCGACGGTGTTGCGGACGGCTGTTAGTGGGCTGAGGGCCATGTACGAAGCGGACGGCCACCAACTCGATGAAGATATTAAGACGATTCTCGGTCAGAAACCGCGACTTCGGAAGAAATACGCGCGGCCGCAACCAGGTAGTGACAGATTATACAAGTCAGACATTGTACATCCTCCGGACACAGAGGGAAGCTGTGCGGAAGTATGTGGAAACGACCCCTCGCAGTTGAAGCAACGCGGTGAACGTGACGAATACGACGACAACCCGATGGTCCATTACGGACTAATCGGCTCTGCGAATCAACTTATGAAAGACGCATTGCTTCGGGACAAACTCGCTGCGGAGAAGAATGTGCTATGTTTTGAGATGGAGGCGGCCGGTCTGATGAACCACTTCCCATGCTTGGTCATCCGTGGCATATGTGACTATTCCGACTCGCACAAGAATGACGAGTGGCACGGCTTTGCGGCTATGGCAGCTGCGGCATATGCGAAAGATCTGCTTCGCAGAATCCCACCTAACAAGGTTGAAGCTGAGACGAGAGTTAAGGAAGTCTTAGAAAGCCGTCAGTACTCTTAAATGCTTTTAATAATACGAATTGTCTAACATGGCCAAGTGGGTGAACGACTAGACCAGATTGGGTCTGCAACAGGTACAATAAGAACTATGGTTGATTCGATGAGCTCCGATAGCCACATGGAAAAGTTCAAGATCTGGCTTTCGCCCCCTGACACATCCAACAATGTCAATCATGCAAGAGAAAGCCGGCATGAAGGAACCGGTTCGTGGTTTCTGAACAGTACTATCTTCCAGGAATGGAAGCTCGGAACGCTTCAGCACCTTTGGCTTCACGGATTGCCAGGCTGTGGCAAAACCGTGCTCGCTACGACGATTCTTGATCATGTAGCGCATTTGAACGATCGTGTCACTGTCGATTTCTTCTTCGATTTTAGCGATGCGACGAAGCAAAAGCCCGAGGACATGTGCCGATCGCTCGCCTTCCAGCTTTACGCCCGTCGCATCGAAGCAAGAAAGGAACTAGACGACCTTTTCAAGTCTCACCAAAGCAACAGAAAACAGCCGACGACGCAAATGATTTTTGAATGCTTTCAGAAGATGCTTCAGGGTATTGAGAAACTATGCATCATCGTCGATGCCGTGGACGAATGCATTAAGAGAACCGAACTGCTCAAATGGATACAAAGCATCGTTTCCAACCCTAATCTCGCTCATGTGCAATTTCTTGTCACCGGCCGGTCGGAAGAAGAATTTGTACGCGGCTTCAAGAGTATCTTTGGCGAGAACAACTGTATACCTCTTGAAAAGGATTCCGTAAATGCGGACATTCGATCGTACATCAGCGCCAGGCTAAAAGAAAGCGAAGAGTTTAAAAAATGGGCTTCGACACCATCCGTACTACAGAGCATCCAGGACGAAATCGGACACAAGGCAGATGGGATGTGAGTTGGCTTCCAGTGACACGCATTCCACCTCATAATACTAACCCATCTCCATTTTAGGTTCAGGTGGGCAGCGTGCCAACTCGACAGCTTGGAGGCATGTCTCGACCGCGAAGAGCTTCAAACCGCTTTAAAGTCTCTACCAAAAGACCTAGACGCAACGTATAGTCGTATTATTCAGAATATCCCACAGCATCGAAAGAATAAGGCAATTAGGCTGCTTCAATTTCTCGTCTGCGCAGACCGTGCTTTAACTCTCCAAGAGGCTGTCGATTTGATAGCCGTTCGCATCGAGAGCGGCGGCGGATTCAATCCAGAAGATAGGTTGCCTGACCCGGAGGATATCACGAGATTTTGTCCAAGCTTGATCACCCTGGTGGAGGCTTCGAACTTTGTCAAAGCCAGGGTTGTATTGCAACTAGCGCATTTCTCTGTCAAAGAGTACCTGTTGCGGCATGATGCCGAAAGGTTTACTAAAATCGGACCCAGCATCACTATTACAAGGACTTGTTTAACATATCTTACAAGCGTGAATAAGGACGTAGTAGGAGAAATCCTATCTCAGTTTCCACTGGCACCATACGCGGCAGAGATCTTGATGCAACATGCGAAACCTGCCGAAAGCTTAGGAGATGTTGCGGCAGCAATGGTGTGCTTCCTCCAAAATCCGACGACATTGCAGATGTGGGCAACTCTATCGCGGTCCGACTATCCGCAGGTTATCCCGGCTGTTCCAGAGGCATCCAGTTTGTACTACGCGTCTGAACAAGGGCTCGTGGCAACCGTCAAAAGGCTACTATCCACCCCGATAGACGTTAATGCCAAGGGCGGCCCACGTGGCAACGCTCTCTGTGCTGCTATGGACAACAGAGAAGCGGAGATTGTGCGAATGCTTCTAGAAAATGGAGCAGATGCCAACTCCCAGGGCAGCTGGTATGGCAGCATTCTCTGTTCCGCTGTTGGCAGCCAAGAAAAGGAGATTACCAAAATGCTCCTAGATAGGGGAGCTGACGTCAATGCCCAAGACAGCCAGTTTGGTAACGCTCTCTGTGTTGCTGTTGTCAACCAAGACAAGGATATCATCCAAATGCTCTTAGATAAGGGAGCAGACGTCAATGCCAGGGGTCGCAATTTTGTTAACGCCATCTGTGTTGCTGTTATCCATCAAAACAAGGAGATTATTCAAATGCTTCTAGATAAAGGCGCAGACGTTGAAGCTCAAGACGGCTATTATAGAGACACTTTACATGCTACTTTCAATAGCTAAATGAGGATGATGTAGATGCTTCTAGAAAACGACAACACTTTAAGTGAATCCCCCGATGAGATACTGCTTCAATATCTTTACATATTTCATTTAGAGATTGTTGATGTGTTCATTAAATATAGATGAAGGATATGCCGATCGCAGGGATATCGCATAGCATAAATGCCCTCGAATCCGGGGGCGCTCATCTGACAGGGCACTAAAAGGTGTATGTAGACCTAGCCTAGGTGCTGAAACTTTAGTTGAGATTGCTTTCCGACCGAGAGCTTTCAGTGACTAAGAAAAGTGTCGTTGGAAACCCCAGGTGAATGCCCACAATCAACTCTGAAGATGAGCCGTTTCATATTCCCCCAGTATTATAAACTGTTGTGGCTAAAGACGGCACACGAAGATCTAAGCTGACCCGTCAGGCTGCGTTCGAGAGTATCTCCCAGCCTTCTTTGATACTTCTTCCTATTCCGGCCAGCTTCAGGGGGTGGAACTTTCTCACGTAGCAGTTTCACCGTCTCTAGTTCCATCTCCAGTGAACTTTCTCTAATTGTCTGTCGCTACGAGTAGCAAGCCATAGTTGGTGTTCGCTACTAGGAGACGCCATCATCGGGTTGATAAGTAAACTTACGGATCGTATAGGACAAGAGTCCATACATTGCACGACAATGACGAATGCTGCCCAAACTATAAACACCGGTGGCAACTCGAAAGTCCACGCTGGAGGTAGGACGTATGCTTAATCGTCTGAAGAATAGCTCCTAGCAGACCTACATGTTAGCGACCCGCGCTACGACAAGAAGCGCATCCAGGACACCGAGGGCGGCTTGCTTACCGGCCCCTACGTCTGGGTGCAGGAAAACCCCGACTTCTGCCCATGGCGCGACGACCAAGACGACTAATTGCCTTACCCTAACCCTCAGTCTACTTTCATGGCTAATAAACCCACGATCCACAACCCTTTTAGTCTCGCTGCCTAAGCTTCTGTTAGAAGAACCCTACCGTCACGCAAGCCAGCCGTAATATGTTAGCCGTTGGACATTCGAAACTTCTACTTTCATCGACGCAATCCGATGGAGTTGATGTGGTGCTTCAGGGATATTCCAAGTTTCCTTGTTTCACAAACACATGACCACTGCGCCTCTTCTTGTTTGACGTGTAACTAAACATCTGTCATCTTTGTCCTTGACTTAAAAAGGCATAATCGGCTTCAGATATGAAAGTCATAATATGCACGAGGATTTGCCTCGTCTGCCCCTTTCAAAGCCCTAACTAGTCATTTCGGGCTTTTTCAATATCAACGAGATTTTCATGAAAACCACCTCGGCTACGTGCAGTGTACCGTGTACTTCCATGGCAGGCTTGGCATTGTATTCGGATTCACAAGTTTCAAGTCTCGGATGCGAATTCCCCGATTTAGGCACTATGCCACTTTCTTGCTCTAACAATCATTAACGGTTGGCTTAAAAAGGCGAGTGTGGTACATAACAAATTAGTCCAATTGTTGAGTAGAACATGAAGTCCTGAGTTTGTGTAGCATGTAGGCAACTTTGGAACTCTTCAATCTTACAGGAAGCTTTGCTTCATCGTCGTATTCAGCGGCCAACGAAATGGGTGTTCACTTATTGTCTTATTGTATGAATAATACCAAGCAGAAAATCATCGATGTAGGATCTGAAGGAAATTAATTTTGTGAGCGTTGTAAATAAAAACTAACACCTAGTCAAGGCCTACAGCATGATGTTTGAAAGGTATTGCCGACAATCTAGGCACTTGGCAGTCGTCTTTTCAAAGACACAGCAATGATCTCATTCAGTTTACAGCTCATGTAGGGGAGAATCTACCGGCTGGCGGGGAACTTTAAACAACGACAATGAGTCATCCGACGAGTTAATGACCTAAAAAGGAAACCCGAATACATTGGTATATCAAATTGTGTACTTGCAGGAGGTGCTGTTGTATTCCTGCGACGTGTTCCGTGCTCTTACGTTTTTCTGCTTTCATCCAATCAGGGCACCGCTTTGACCGCCAGTGACAGTCTGTAGCTGCGAATAGAAACGTTTAAAACATAACCTTTCTCACGTGTAAGGATGGAAGGCCTTGTTAGCGGATGAATAAAAGATGGCGAAAGCCCGAGAGAAAGTTTCCTCACCGACCCATGGAAAGGATCGTTACTTTACATCGTACGTAGACATCGTGGCTCAACAATACCGCAACGTAATCTCTATCTTGCCCTAGGAGCCTTCAACTTATGCTTACTTGGAACAACACCCCCTCCGGCAACTTGCTTGAGGAATTCTGACGATCAGACCGACGAATACGAAACCGATCGCGTCGTACATCGTTTACAAGAGAGCTGCACTCGAAAGGATGTTGGCTCGGACTTTAACTTCAGTCCGTTCACGTCTACTACCCGGCTCCCCGCGTTTTGCCTCTCACCAATGGGCGCTAATGCATTCCGTTCAGATCACTTGGCAATTCGTCCCGTTGATCGGCACAGGGGGGGGAAGGAATGCCACACCTCTCTCCGCTAGTTGGGCCGGTTCCACCCCGTTTCGCAATCCGCGGGCAAGTTTCGCAACTAATCAGGAATTCGCTTTGCTCGTAATCGTTATAGCTTGCCCGTCGGCAGTGTAATAGACACATTAGTCATGGCGGGGGAGCCTCTATGCGAACAGGGTGATCAGCAAAGCTGGTGTGGTCTATGTTGCCATGCTGCATCCGAGCGACTGGAAGGTGTGGGAGGCGTGAAAGAGTATATTACAACCTTAAGCACCCCCATCACATCCGAGATTGTTCATCTCTCCGTGCTTGTGCACCCCCGGATTATCATCTAATCAAAATGTCGATGTCGATGCTTCCGAACATGAACGCCACCACTAAACCGGTGGTGGACAATTCCATCCTAGAAGAGATGGCAAACCGATGGCCTCTCGCAGCGACTGCACTCTTTGCCTGCGTGGTTGCGTTTTTGCTTCAGAATGCCTTCAAGAGCGACCCGTTGGCGGATCTCCCCATGGTAGGAACTGAGTATGGAGGAGCCGAGAGCCGAAGGAAAAAGTTCTTGGGGGGTGCCGCAAAAGATCTTTACCTCGATGGATATAGAAAGGCAAGTTGGATGGAATGATTAATGGATGGATGTCTGTGCTAATACTTGGTATCTACAGTTCAAGGAAAGAGCTTGGACAATCACAACGACAAGAGGTATCACTCTACTGTTCAGTCAGCGGCCAAGCATCACCACATGCTGACCTATCTACAGCTTCACCAAACATTGTTGTTGCTCCAAAGTTCATGAACGAGCTTAAGAAGCTCCCAGATGATGTGCTTAGTTTCAACAAAGCAATCGAAGAGGTGAGAATGACTTGGTCTGGGTAGTTGCTCGGCGAGTTGCCATGGTCTAACAACGCGTAGTTTATGCACGCAAAGTACACAAAGGTGGAAACCGACATCGATCTGCTCCCTCACACCGTCAAGAGTAGTTTGACGCCAGCTCTTGGTATACCTTCTACTCCTCCTCTATCTTTTTGTCCATTGCTGACAGATGCGTAGTTCGGCTAAACCCCGTCATTGCGGACGAAGTCGTCGAAGCTTTACGGATCGAACTTCCCCATTCGAGCGATTGGACCGAGGTCAAGATCATGGATAAACTCCTCCGAATCGTGGCGATGGCCTCTGGACGTGTTTTCATCGGACCCGAGCTCTGCCGCGAAGAAGAATACCTTGATTTCGCCATCAACTACACCGTAGACTTGATGACGGCCATTCGCAGGATCTCTGATCTCAAGCCTTGGACTCGTCGGTTCTTGGCCCCGAGATTGCCTGAGGTCAAGAAGGTGCACGAGCGCATCGAGGCGGCGGATAAATTCCTTAGACCCGTCGTCGCTGCCAGGAGGGAGGCGGCAAAGGACCCCGAGCATCAGAAACCATACGATATGCTGCAGTGGATCATGGACGCGCAGACCAAGTATGGTGACAAAGAAGACAAGGAGCTCGCGAGGTACCAACTTGGTATCAGTTTCGCTGCCATTCACACCACCACAGTTACGACTACCAATGCGTACGTACAACGACAGAGTCTGCTTCGTTGACTTCTTCAGTCAGAGAGCTAATTCGGGTTGCTTAGATTCTACACACTGGCTGCGATGCCAGAACTAGTCCCCATGCTTCGGGAGGATATCCAGCAAGCTCTTGCTGAGAGCAACGGCGTCTTTACCAGTCTCGCGATGCAGAACATGAAAAAGCTGGACAGCTTTTTGAAGGAAACCATGAGATTTTACGCGCTTGGAACAAGTGAGTCTGGGCCCACCAGCGTATTAGTCTTCACAGCTAACCACAAACTTTATTAGCTTCCTTTCAGCGTAAGGTGCTGAAGACTTTCACGCTTTCCAATGGCCAAGTCATTCCCGCAGGATCGATCATCGAGCTGCCCATGATCGGCATGAACAATGACGATGAATTCTTCCCTGACCACGACAAATTCGACCCTCTTCGATTTTACAAGCTGCGCCAGGCAAAGACCGAGCAAGAAACAGGCACGAAGCAGGCCGAGGTTGTCGCCCACGCGCAGTTCGTCAGCGTCGGTGGACCCACGAGCTTGACATTTGGGTTTGGACGGCACGCATGTCCTGGACGCTTCTTCGCTGTCAACGAGATCAAGATGATCATGGCGACAACTCTGGCCAACTATGATATCAAGATGGTGGAGGGTAGTGAGGAGAGATACAAGAACTTAGAGTATGGTGCGACGGTAAGTGCTTGCCCCTTTTCTTCATATTCTTTTAGAAATAATTTCTTGACTAATTGTAAAATTTACAGGCCCAGCCGGACCCCAGCAAGAAGATATTGATGAGAAAGCTATGAGGAATACATTGCCTATTAGGACAATAGCGGAAGATGACATCGAAGGAAAATTTCCCTTCATGTTTTTTGATGGCAGACCAATCATAATTAGTACACCTGTCAGGTACACGTCAAAGATTGAGTTAGCCTCTGAGCGAAGATATGAAACGGTTATGGCACGAACTGTGTATAGATGTGTGTAGAGGATACGTTGACCAATGCACCTCACATCGAGTCGTACAAACAATAAGATCACTTTCAGACAATGTTCCTAACCAGTAGAATTGACTGACCTCGCAGTTCTTGGCAGTGGTCGTTTTGGGACAAAACCAAACGATTGACGGAAAATTCGGCAACAATGAAGACATTGTGTTATTGTAAATCTCATCATATTATCCACTGTATAGCGTTCAGTAACTGAGGCAATGAGGGAAGCATCAAAATGACAAGAATTAATTCAACTTTTCTTGTTTTTTCTTCAACTTATTAAACGGCCGACGAGAAGCGCAACCCTAGTTCATCCAGGAGTTAATCCGTGATCTCCACGCCTGAAGGGCCCATATGAGGCTTGAGTGATGTATGTTTAGACTCTCCTGCCCATCCAATCCAGTGCTGCGGTTGTTTCTCAGTTCTCATCTTTTTCATTTGCCAAAATACTCCAGTATGGTATGTTTACCGATGTTGGATGCCGTTGGTCACGCCCTCGATAATCTTGATGTAAGACCTAGAAACCCCCATCCTGAAAGAACAGCCGAAGCCAAGAACCGAAAAAGGGCTCGTCCAGGAACGCCTTCCATATAACAAACGTACCCGTCCGCGATACCCATGTAGAATAGCACAGCCAGCATGGTGTCGAGGGCTTTGATGTTGCCTCGAAGATAAAAGGACCACATCGCGATGCCCCATGCCGTCATACGCGACCCGTAGACAGCGAAAGGAGAATGTGCTTCTTTGGTATTTGCGATATGCTCAGGGAGTCCAAATTCGAGAATAGCGCGGGTCGGGTTCCACAAAGGTAGCGCACCGCCAATTGTGAAGGTTGTGGCGAACAACAGGGGGAGGATGTGAGCTGGATGGAATTGTGGTGCCATGTTCGGGTCTCTATTGATTGTTTTTCCGGGTATATTTGATGTGAGAAGTATGAGATTATGGCAGTTGAAGCCTCACAGGGTTGAGAATAATTCCGTTGATAGAAATTAATGAACCAATTCAGGGCAAAGAAGGTTTTGGGAATGGCCTCCTTATACTACATCAAAGCCACCTTTTGCCAATCTCCCAGAGCACAGGAAGGAAGCGGGGCTGACCGGCAATTATTGAAGATCTCCAATCACGCCTCGGACTTTTAGACCCAATGCTGAACTGTGAGATGGATCATTGGTGAGTTACAGGCCTACCTCGGACAAGTGCTGACATGGAAATAGTGGCTTGCTTAGCCGATTGAGATGCCTAAACTAGAGTTTGTTTAGACGGGAGTCCAACTGGCTGGCAGCAGCTGGCTACCTGTTGTAGGGGGCCCCCGTCAAGAGATGAAAAAAACTGCTATTCCCTGCCTGTACTGACTGAATCCAGAGGGTGCTGGGTGGGCCCAGCGAGAACCTTCAGGGCTATTTAGGGGACCCTGATGACTGCCCAGGAAGATGCGATTCGGCGCAAGTCCCTGTGCCTGTAAATGGATGCCTAGAATCCTGCAAATATCTTGCCCGCATTTCATTATCGAACATATTCTAATGTATCCGTACAGGTTTTACAATGCAATCATGAATTTATTCTTCCCAACGCCATTACGACATGCGAAATATTTTTAAAGAGCCAAAAGACAAAAGAAAACCCCAAGTTCAACGCGCCGTCGCTGGCTCATATGCCCAATCCCTCCAATCTTCGTTCGAAACTCTAAGTTCAACTGCTGGTTCGGTCGAGAGATCTCCTCCCTTCTTTTGCACCTGTTCACCTCCGAAAGTCCCCATGTCCACCAGCGCCCTGGTATTGGTAGTTGGGGCTTGGTGGGTATTGTCCCTGAGGGTATTGTCCCTGAGGGTATTGTCCCTGGGGGTAGTGTGCCTGTTGATACTGCCCGCTCTCCATGAGGTAACCCTCAGAGAGCACTTCGGAGCTCGAAACCGATTTTAAACCAGGCTGGCGGTTGTTGATCACACGGCTTGGGTGGAACCAGTTGAACAACATCGCCGTAATGCCCATCAGCAACGCGTCAAAGATGTAAATGTACATCTCCTTCGACTGCAGCTCTCCCTCTTTGCCCTCCACATACTCGGCGACTCGAAACACGGATCTGACCATGATGAGCAAACTCGTAGCATACAACACCCAGAGAAGTCCCTTCCATGGCGTGTCGATAGTGTGGGTCTTTGGGGTTGGGTTGCGAGAGAGGCGCAAGTGGAAAACGAGAGTGACAATCATGAAGAAGCCGAAGAAGAGGACCTGGATACCGAGACCACCAACAATGATGTTCTCTCCCTTCTTGACGGAATCTCTGTCCTTGGCAGTCGCAAGCATACCACCACCTGATGTAGTTGTTAGATTTGGTCATAAGAAGCTGAGGCAGAGTGTAATCGTCACGTACCTCCACTTTGGGCGAAGAAAGATAGCACATCGCCCAGGACAAACACCTTGGTCAGCCACTTTGGCCTGATCAAAGAGTAATTCCCAGCATCAAGCAGGTTGATGAGACGGCCGAGAATCATGTAGATTGAAGCGGCGAATAGTGCAGGGCCAAGAAGGAGCAGGATTGATTGGATGATGTAAGGGTTCTTGGTGTAGTCTGGGGCTTCTTTCGCGGACATGGCTCGGCCGACGTAACCAACAGCCTCAACTAATGTGGGTCAGCTTCCTTGGTCTTCAGGGTAGTTGTTGGCGAGTTTCCGATCTGGGGGATGAACGTACAGAAGCAACCGATCACAAATGGAATAAAGTACCATGTTCGGGCTCTAGTCAACTGCCAGATGTGCAGCAGGGCGGAGATTCCAAACACTCCAATGAAAATAACAGCAGCCACCATGGACGGTTCATAGTGGTAGAAGGTGAACCCCTGCGTTGCCTCCTCGGTTGTTGTGCTGTTATCAGCCATGATGTCGGTCGATTCTGTAGTCGTAGTTTTTGGTTATGTGCTTTCGAGTCGAAATTGAACGAATGAAGGCCTCGTGAGGCAAATTATATTGCGAATATGGTTTATCGTCTGAAGAGAAAAGAATGTGAAAGACTGCCCAGATACTCTGGTATTGTGATAGTATTGTGACAATGAATCTGGCCCTCCATCATTCCCAAGTGGTTCAGGGACCAAGACTTAAGTAAGTCTGCTGTACCCATCCTATCCAGCCCCTTTGTTGAATAGCTCGTGTTTACTTACGCGTTGTTCGTGATGCAAAACAACCGTTGATGCGGCCGCCCCTTGCATTCAGGAGCTTTATGGATTGCATTTGCAGATTTTAACATTATACGCGGAGTCCCGATAGGGCTGAGCCTCCCCGAGCTTTCTAGCTCGGCGCTATTTCTAAGATTCTTTACCGTCCAATGGCGGTGCAGTAGCAATACGCGTATGGAAAATGCCGATGCCCAACAGGGATCTGCCAGTCGGCGAAGTCCATGAGACAGAATGCCTTAGCCGAAGGGAACGCCCTTCACCAAAAAAGTGGTCCCTCATGCCCCAAATACCCTTGTGGCTTCACAATATTAAGTATAGGTGGTTCCATACGCGTATTCGTCACCAATGCGAACGAGCCCACTACACGCGGGTTACAATCACCACTAGAGAAAACCGCTAGAGCTTAATAGAGACCACAAGAGAGCCACTTAAAGGTACCCACCACTTGAAAATTAAGCCTTGACAAGTCCTGATGCGGATCGAATTCCAGTCTAGAGCCCTGAAGCTGTCTGGGTGTCCGAAACACAGCCAACTGAACCCGCGGTTTCTGTGCGAGGGTCCTCGGGATTTTAGAATCGGGTGGCAATGACATCGATTTACGTGGGTTTTTTTTGTCCCCGGTGCACCATCTTCGGCATGCTTAACCGCTCAGGGATCTTGGTGTTCTAGCCAACCCAGATGCAGAAATTCTCATTCGAGGCTCATCCCACCCCCCCGAGTCAGGTACGCGTCAATCACCACGGTTGAAGGCATATCGTGGGTGGTATAGCGGGTTCTGCTTGGAATGATGTAAAAGGGTGGAACACCAAATCATGTTTAAACCTTCGAGTCGCCGTTGTCGTTGCAATTTATTGCCCCTCCATTCAGCTACTTTTCTTGTGAATTGACTTTTCCTAGTCGCGACGACCCTAGAATTACATCTGTGGTTTTCTTTTTTCTTTTTCTTTAGACCAGATACCCATTTCACACACCCTCGAGCTAGGTAGATTCAAGCTCCAATTCAACGCCCATCAATCAATCTCTTGGTTCCCCCAACACTTCCAGTTATCTCGAAAGCAACGCAGCAGCAAAATGTCGAAAAGAAATACAGTCCAAATGCTTGAGGACGACACAGTCCCTCACGACTATCTTCCATCTTATGAGACAGCAGTCAGCGATAGTCTAAGGCAGCATAGAACGAGTGTCAACTGTATGGATGGTTCCCACGCATATCCGGATTTCAAACTGATCAAAACAAAACAGCCGATGGCAGAATTGACGTAAATCTCGACTCCCGCCTCGCTACAACACTCGCTCGCTTCGTTCCCGATTTCAAAGACCCCTCCATCGCCGCAGCAACAGCAGCCCAGGGCCCTCCACCAGAATATGTCGAGGCTGCGGCGCGATTCGCGGACAAGAAGAACTTCCCCGTCAAGCTCAACATTGTCATTCAAGTCGTCGGCAGTCGCGGCGATGTCCAGCCCTTTATCGCTCTCGGCAACGAGCTCCAGACCTACGGCCACAGAGTCCGCTTAGCTACACACGATGTCTTCGATTCCTTTGTGCGCAAATCGAATCTCGAGTTTTATCCCATCGGCGGCGACCCCTCCGAGCTCATGGCCTACATGGTCAAGAACCCCGGTTTGATTCCCAGCCTGAACAGCTTGAAGGGCGGCGACATCCAGAAGAAGCGCAAAATGGTCAAAGAAATGCTGGAAGGATGTTGGAGGTCGTGCATTGAGCCTGATACACTGACGGGTAAACCGTTTGTGGCTGATGCTATCATCGCGAACCCTCCGAGCTTCGCACACGTCCATTGCGCCCAGGCTCTCAGTGTCCCCCTCCACTTGATGTTCACTATGCCATGGAGCAGTACCAGAGCTTTTCCTCATCCGCTAGCGAACCTTAAATTTGGAGACAAGGGAGTTGTTGATCAGACCACGGCCAACTTCGTCTCCTACAGCATCGTAGAGTGGTTGACGTGGCAAGGGTAGGAGCTGATTGATGTGCTTGGTATCGACTCCAGCTAACGCTCAGCAGATTGGGAGATGTGATCAACGAGTGGCGTAAAACGATCGACCTCGAGGAAGTCCCGTTCTCCGAAGGCCCAGTCCTGGCCGAGGTACAGAAGATCCCGTTTACCTACTGCTGGTCGCCTGCACTGGTACCGAAACCAGAGGATTGGCCTGCCTACATTGGTTTGTAGAACCCTTACCAAGAGAATCCTATAAACTAACAGGTAATGCAGATGTATGCGGCTTCTTCTTTCGCGAGCCACCTCAATACGAGCCGCCCGCTGAACTGGCAAACTTCCTCAAGAAAGGACCAATGCCTATTTACATCGGTTTCGGCAGTATTGTCATCGACAACCCAGAGAAAATGACCCAGATACTGGTCGAAGCGGTTAGAGCAACTGGCGTCCGCGCCATCATATCCAAGGGATGGAGTAACCTAGGAGGTATCGAGTGTGACGATGTGCTTTTCCTCGGAGACTGTCCACACGAGTGGCTGTTCGCAAACGTTGCGGCCGTCATACACCACGGCGGCGCTGGAACTACAGCCTGCGGCCTTTTGAACGGCCGGCCCACGACCATCGTACCCTTTTTCGGAGAGTGAGTAGTCGAGTCGAGCACCGTGAAGATCTTTCTAACAAACTTCTAGCCAGCCATTCTGGGGTGATATGGTTGCCATTGCGGGCGCAGGACCGAAACCGATCCCACACAAACAGCTGAACGTGGAGAACTTGGCCGATGCCATCCAGTTTTGTCTTACACCTGAGGCATTGACAGCAGCAGGTGAACTTGCGGCCAAAATGAAGACGGAAAACGGCGTCGCGACTGCAGCACAGTCGTTCCACGCTAACCTTCCGCTGGAGGCTCTTCCATGCGACATCTTCCCGGACCAACCCGCAACTTGGGAGTACAAGAGAAGCAAAAAGCATTTAAAATTATCGAAGAAGGCAGCTGGTATCCTCTTGGATCACTTGAAGATTGGACAGAAGAACATGTCACCGTGAGTCCTTCCGTAACACGCAACAGATTTGTCAAGGCATACCTTACTAACGGAGTCTACTTGGCAGGCACGACATTAGAAGCTTCATTATAGAAAACAGGCGATGGGATCCGGTAACAGGCACCTCATCAGCGCTCCTGGGCGTAGCAACCGGAATGGTCAAAGGTGCCACAGATATTGTTGTTAAGCCGGCACAAATATTACACGAAAGATCGAAGCTCAAGTCGGCTCAGAGGGACGACGGCTTGAGCAGTGGCAGTAATACACCACCTCGATCTCCCAGTCTCGCACCACCGCAGTCCGACGAACTACAGAGGCCGCGCAGTGCGGGCCATGATGCGGGCAGCACGGCGGGGGCAGTATTCAAGGCATCTGCTTCCGGCGTAGGTGGTTTCTTCAAGTCGTACGGCAAATTCTTCCTCGACGTTCCATTGGCCGTTACAGACGGTTTCCGTGCAGTTCCAAAGCTGTATGGGGAGGAGGTGAAAGAGAGAGGTCCAATCACCGACTGGAAATCCGGAGCTGTCGCCGGTGGAAAGAACTTCGTGATGGGCATTGGTGAAGGCGTAACTGATCTCTTTTACCAGCCCATCAAGGGCGGACGAGAGGGTGGAGCAGCAGGAGCTGCGCTCGGTGTGGGAAAGGGCATCATTGGCATGGGGACCAAAACAATATCCGGTATGTTATCGCCACTCACGTCTTCATATCAAAGGAAGACGCTTTGGGACAAACGTGCTAACGGTATGAAAAAGCTGGCGTCGGAATTGTGGCATATCCTGGCCAAGGAATTTACAAGACCATCCGGACCGCAGTCAAGTCCAAGACCCGGCGTAGCATTGCCAATGCTCGATTAATAGAAGGCGAGTATCTTGCTCGTAATAATCGGCTTGACGTTCAGGCTGTACTGAAACGATTTGATGACTTGTGTCTTCAGAGCGAGCTGTCAAAAAAGGATCAGGAGAAGGCAGACAGGGCGAACTCATAGAAACACCTCAAGTGTGTCATGAACGCAGCGATTCCTCAGAGTTGAATTTAGACTGTATCTTTAGATTACCATGCATAGAACATCTAAGAAGAATGCTTCAATATACCCAATTAGAGTACTCTAAGCTCATTGAAACCTTTCTGGACTGTGGAATGGCTTACAGCGCAGAGGACGGAGGGTTTAGGAGAGTGGAGTGACTTAGAAGCATACCATCAGTAAAATGAAACTTCTGCTAGGGTTATGTATTAGCAAAGGGGCAAAGTTTCCATTCGGAGCGCCGATGGTTTAGTGGTAAAATTCTCCGTTGCCATCAAGCAGCGTCGGGGAGCCGGGGGTTCGATTCCCCCTCGGCGCACACTTTTGCTTTTTACTCTCAAATGAATGATACCTTGATGCTACATCTAAGATGAAATTGCCAGTAATAGCTGGCTGGCAACGGCGTTGTGTCTGACAATTATCCCCAAATATCTTTTCGTTTGGGTCTTCATACGTACAGAACCTTGAATACCCAGCCAAACTCATCTTCCTCAATCAGGGCCTCATCAATCTTCACCTTCAGTTCGTGACTATCTCCAGCTACGATTGACTTCCACTCAAGCGCGGTCCCTCCTCCGACTCCTAAGAGACTGACCACATCGCCGTCCACAATCGGGATCGGTGCTGCAATACTTACCCAACCATCAACAACCTTTGGCTTCTCCAAGAAAATCGCGTAGAACGCCTCGTCTGTTTGAGTAAATCTCACTTCTGGCCCTCCGATAATCTCACTCTGGATAAACCAGTAGGTGGTATTGAAGATGGCTTCACCGTGAGCCTTGATCCACTTGCCTGCCTCGCGCAGATTATCCATCTCTGCTTGGACGATTGTTCCATCCGCCCGAGGCCCAATATCCAGCAGAAAGTTGCCATTCTTCGATACCATGTCGACGAGGGAGTATACGATGGTACTGGCATTCATGTACTCTTCAGGCTTCGTGGCGCGGTTGTAGCCGTACGAGTAAGGATCCATTCCCCTGTTGCTCTCCCACTTACGCCGCTGTGCTGAGGCAATGGTTTGGTATTCGGGCGTGTCAAAGTCGGCCGCCTCAGGAATACCACAGCGGGAGTTGATCGCGACTTGCCGATCCTCTGCGCGCGCCTTATTCCACCAGTTGGCAGCGAATGCTGCAGTGCCATTCGCAGCGCCGCAGTCGCACCACATGATGTCCGTCTTGTAATCGAACGCCAAAGTCTCCATCTGCGGCACCATCAGGTCTGCGATGAAGTCCTCGACAGGGACGTGGCCGGTATAGGGCTCCGGCTCCCCGGTATAAGGGTTCGGCGCTAGGGTACCTGGCCAAGAGACCGCCTCTGGGGTTGGGAACTGGACAAATCCGTAAGGCCCAAAGTCCGGGTTGAACCATTCTGGGAGAGAAAAGTAGGTTCCTCTCTTGAGGGAGGGCTGATGCGTCTCTGCGGCGTTGAAGAGTTCCTTCAAGAGATCACGCTTTGGACCATAGTGGATGGCGGAGCGATTAGACGTTTGTCCTGCATCGAATATGGCGAATCCGTCATGATGCTTGGTGGTGATGACAAAGTACTTGGCACCTGCATCGGCGAACAGATCAACCCATTCCTTCGCATCAAACTTGGAGGCTGTGAACTCGGGAAACGTGTCGTCGTACGCCCATTCGGGACCATATGTTTCGAGGCGGTACCCGTAAAAATTGGAGCGGTCGCCTTCCGGGTGATGCGTGGAATACCACCAAAACCACTCCGCATAACTCTCATAAGGAGTTGAGTTGCCCCAGCCTGCGACAGAATAAGGACCCCAATGAATGAAGATGCCGTACTTGGCTTCATCAAACCAGTCTGGGCTCTCATGTTTGGATAAACTGTCCAGGTCAGGTGTCCATTCCTTCAGGCCGACTTCGACAAGGTCAACCGATGTCGTCCTCCGTGTTGCTCCGTCAAAAAGTTCTACAACAGCAGTGGACGGCCCTTCAGAGGAACCTTCGACTCCAACGGCGATTACTTTCTGGTCACCAGGGCACAGGCGCTTGGTGTATCCCGCCCTCACTGTCTTGTACCCGTTACCCGATAGGGTAACATTGAGGCCATCACCAGCCACGCACTTCGACCCGGCATTGTTGACCGTGACCTCAACTATTTGGGTACCGTTTCCGATCCACTTCTGCGTCGGTCGCACTGACTGAACACTCACGTCAGAAGATTGCCATAACGAAATAGCGAAGATGTGTAGCCGGCCTTCGGTCGCATTGTTCTTCACAGGCAAAGTGATGGAACTAAGCTTCTTCCCCGTCGGCAGCGCAGCACTGCGCTCAAAGATGTGCGACGTATTGAAATCCGAGCCATTGGGCGTGAAGCGGCTCGGGAAGATAATCTCTCCGCGGTTGATGGTCAAAAAGCTAAACCAGTTGAGTGTGCGGAGTTCATATTCGGACGTTGTGTTGTCAGAGTATGTGAAAGACACGTTTCCACTGACTGTAGCGCCTTCGACGTCTCCCGCGACGAGAAACGAAGCTGAGAAATAAGCATCTTCGGGAACAGGCAGTTTTTGGCCGGCGCAGATGATGTTGTCGGACTTTTCAGCTCCGGTGTAGCCGGGGAAGCTGTAGGTGATGCCCGTGTCTGACGAGGTGAATTCAGGGCCGATTGAGGGTGCTGGATAGGACTGGTTCAAGACATCGAAGGAAGCTTCGCCGGGTTTCGTGCCGAAAGCTTTATTGTTGAACTGTGATGAAAGATCTAAATGGACTGCGGTCTATCGAATCTATCATGTCAATAATGTTGTTCCACGCGAATCTCAAGGTTGCGCTTACCCCCTTGGTAGATGAACAATTTGCTGCCCACGCAACGCTGGCCTCAGCTATGAGCAGGATGACCCTTAAGTTTTCAAACGCCTTCATTTTCAAAGGTACAGTTCATTGAAAGAATTTCCTTGATGGCGGCACTTTAGCAGGATGCCCCTCAATACCGAGGAATACCACCATTCTTAATTACCGGCTGTTATCTCGCAGCGGGGAAACTGGTAACCGGACCCCTCACCAGAGTTCGCGTCCTTTCATCCAGCATCACACTAGATAGCATCGTTACTGAATGGAACGGTAACATTCTCCAACTCAATGTCCACTATTTATGCTACCATCAGCATCCTTGGGACCTGGGGTAGCTGTGCAATGAGGGGTATCAATGATAAGACTGGTGCGAGTTGCCATGGTCGGGATTCCGGGTTAAAGTGGGTCCGTTAGTAACGCTAGTTGGTTAATTATCTGCTATCCCAGGCCTATTAATCAGGTGCCAGATGTTTGTAACAGCACGTAACCAACTCTAACAGCGAGCGGGGGGAGCGGTCGGCATACAGAACATGACCCAGTGGCATAGTAACGAAGCTAATTGCTATTTCACCACTGCTGACGGATTGGTGGGATATTAGTTAACGATCGTCCTATATTGTAATCTCAACAGCTAATAGCCAGCACTTAATAGGTATAAACTAACAGTTGCGGGCTTTTTCAACTATGCGTATACCTCTGAGGGCCCTGATTTAGGTATTGGAATAATAAATTGAGAAATGCTACGCCACAGGCTGGTTATTTATAAGAAATATAATCAGTCTGACTTGCAACGTGTGTTAACTACATAATAAGCCCTTAAGTGTGAATTTTGACACCTTACTGCTGCATCTCTTAGTTACAATAATTTCTGAGAACGAATTGTTGACGTTATCCGTCATAAGGTAGCCAGTACGCCTTCATTGCCCGACTTCAATTAAGCACAAACTCATAAACACTGCATAAGCAGGAATTCTTCTGATTAGTTTCAAGTTCTTGCCTCTCACGTCTACCTATCTGTCTCCTAAAAAGACGATTTGACCCAGGGCGAAGTGAGAAAACTTTTCACAGGAGTAATCCCACTACAGCCCGTTCTCCGCCTTTAGTAATGCTTATAGACTTCAGAATAGGAATCCATGACACAAGTAGGTTCAAATCTAAATGACATTCAATCAGGCGTTCAGGGGCAGGAGCTTGAGTATGCCACGAGAGAGATACCCACTATTTTACACGCTCTATGCCTACCTAGTTCGTTATATTCCTCCTCGAGTCCTTTCTCATCGGTTTCCTCCGAGCGTTCCATTCTATATCTTCGTACTTTCCGACTTCAGCCTTCCGAAACCTGGCAATAAAACAAGCCAATCGCAACAAAGGGCCCTCACTCCATCGCCCGGAATCCACCCTGTCTTTCTGCATAAGTTTTAAGCCCACAGAACTACTGGTGTTTACTCTCACTTTCCTAGATCCACTTGAGGTGACAGCGTACCCCACTAGTGTACTTGTATCCCTGGGGCCCAACATGGCCACACTGGGATTCTGATCCTATGAATGAATGCAGCTCCTCATCACTGGATCACCTCGTCTTTGCCATGGCCGTCTGTTCAGCAGACTCGCCACGTTGTTTTTTTTTGTTTTTTTCAAAATGCCGCTATGTAATCTACATCTAATCATCCCGGTCGCAATAGTTAATGTTACGCGCTCCATAATGCGATGTGGAAACGCCAAAGGGGCTATCGTATTCTCACCGAACACTATGGGGCCGCCGCGCCTGCATGGTCGACTGCATGGTCGCCTGCATGGTTGTGAAGTGTTGTGCTCCGGGAAGGCTTACATAAATATCTTCGGATCGCCATACCGTAATCCAGATATTTTCTCCCAAGACTGTGCCCATAGCAGGTGAGCCTAAGCCAAGAACAAGACGTTTCCAGCTGTCGGGCACTAGTTTTGTGCTCTTTTTTGATCTCGTTTCCTATCCTCGTTGCCAATCATGCCTGCGCGCTTTGTTGCTTTTTTCGGTCTTTTGACCCTGGCGGCAACAACGGCCATCCCTGACAGTACTGCCGCAAGAGTAATCGAGAGAGATGTTATTATTCTGGGAGGTGGTGCGTCTGGCTCTCACGCTGCTGTAAGACTCCGGGAGGACCTTAACAAAACCGTGGTTGTGATTGAGAAGAAAAACCGACTGGTAAGTTAAACTCAATTTTATGCTATCTGCTTTTCTTTCATTCTACTGTCCCCCTTTCCCATTCCTTTCAAATCAGACATGCCAGATAAAGAAGCTAGCGACTAACAATACTTAGGGAGGCCATGTCTCGACATATGACGACCCAAAGACTGGAAAGCCGTATGATGTCGGAGTTTATTCGTATACCGACTACCCGGGAGCTCGCGAGTTCTTCGACCGTTTCAACATTCCGATTCAGGATCCGTTACGCCTTGCGCTAACAAACCTTTATGCTGATTTCGACACTGGCAAGCTCGCAAACTACTCAGCTCCTACCTATAACGCCACTCAAGCTGGTCTCAGGCAGTACCTCACGCTCTGTGAAAGGTACGAGGAGTTCATCCTCCCATCATACGCAAAGTTTCCCGACGCTGGCGATGGAATCCCCGAAGACCTGACGCTCAAGTTCTCCGATTTCGTTAAGAAACATCGTCTCGAAGCCGCCGTTCCTCGCATCTTCCAAGTCACAGGTCTGGGAATGGGCAACCTCGGAGACCAGACGACTCTATATGTTATGCAGGCATTCGGCGCTCCCATTACTCGCTCTTTATTAGGAATCATCGGATCGTTTGTGCCTGTTTCCCTAAGGAATCAGGATATCTACGACGCTATTTCAGAGCAACTTGGAGACGATGTTTTCTACTCCTCAACTGCTATCAAGACCGTCCGCAGCGAAGAAGGTGTGGAGGTCCTGGTAAAGGGCGCCGATAACACACGTACCCTCATCCGCGCGAAAAAGCTGCTCATCTCGTTTGAGCCCACGCTCGATAACCTGAGGGGTATCGATATTGATGAGCAGGAGACCTCCGTCTTCGAAAAGTGGCAGTGGTCTGCAGTCTACGCCGGTGTCGTCTCCCACCCTTCGCTCTCCGACAGCTACGGCTACACTAATAACGTCCCTACCAACTGGATGTCTCTCCCCCGCACGCCTTTTGTTGATGGATTCTCTTATCTCGGCGGTGATAATTTCCGCGTGCTTGTTTCCTCTACTGGGAACCTCGACAGCCGCGAGGCCCAGAGGATGGTCGAGAAGTCCCTCAAGCACCTCGCCGATGCAGGCACTATACCTCCCCTGGGCAAGCAGCGCCCTGAAATCAAGTATTGGGCAAACCACGGACCGATGCATCTCCATGTTTCCCCCTCCGAACTGAAGGCTGGCTTCATTACGAAGCTATACGCCTTGCAGGGCCGCAAGAACACCTACTTTACTGGCGGCGCTTGGACGGCGCAGTTCTCGACCATCTTGTGGGAGTACAACAACCAGTTTGTTTTACCAAAGCTGCTAGCAGAGTTCTGAGCCTGCAATGACTACAATCGGGGGTGTAATGCTAAGTGCAAGGGATGTGGTGTGAGAGATTATTTCCGATTCTTCTGTAAGATATAAAATAACAACGTACATAAGGTACCTTGGCTTCTTTAGCATCCCTTCTAAAGAATGTTTGGCTTGGTCCGCAGCGACGCGCGCACTACCAAAACTTTCGACCGTGAATAACGAAAGGTGAAATACGGCAGCCAGCGACGCATACTTTTGCATGTGTATCTGTGTCCCAGCTGTACACACGAACTCCTCGCCGTTGTCACATCCCCGAAAGGGCGTTATCCGAGATGGCCCAATCGAAGTAGGCCTGGTGGCGGAGACTAGCTGCTTCTGGACTGTCTGTGTTGGAACCAACGTAAACTGCCCCAACACAAAGTTGCAACAGAGTTGGGCCCTGTCCCACTAATACACATAGTGTCCGGGGTCTAGGCCAGAACCCCCATCACCCACAATCTCAGGAGCGTGTGATCCGGCCTGACGGAGACAGTCCAGCCCATAGCCGAGACCAAATGATTTGTGCTATTGCACACCACTACCGTTGGACTTCAGTTGTTCCCATGGAGGGTGAAGTCATTTAGAGCTCTTGTTTACTGGTCTTACAAAGTTAAATCCTAAGATTTATGGTATGATGGATGTTAGGCCCGCCAGTGGTAACAGTGTCTTTCACGAGACAGAGGGGTAGGGTCTGGCGATAGAGTTGAATATAATAATAAAACACGAAGGAAAAAGCAATTAACAAAGCAGAATCTCGAGAAATAGCGATAAAAGCCATCACACGTAATACTCACCAAGCCGTGAAACACTATACGACATCAAGTGCATTCTGGGCTCCTTAGACGCCACTGTTTGAACTTCCAGTTCCTTCTCTAATTTACAGTGACTTTGGTGGTCTTGAGGATGCCATTAGTTTGGCGGTCTTGTAGAATCGTCTCTTCGCTCCCTGACCGGGTATGATTACTGTTCCTCTCATAGAATGAGACTGTAACCACCGGCCCCCCATCGCCTCCATCGCCGGGTGGTCGCTTATGAAGCTCATACTCCGGGACGAATGACGCGCCATGTAAAGTCCTCCGACGGTTGTTTGTCACCCCGTTTTCGTCTATCTTGAACGAGCTACGGTACTTGTTCGAGGAACCGTCATGCGAGGTGAGGTTTAGAATCTTTCTCAGAAGCGGTTTTAGAGTGGGCGCGCAGGCTGCAATCATCCCAACCTGTATTTGAAGACTGACAGTAGCGTTAGCTAACCAGTGCTATGATGCAACTGTGATCGATGCATAGACTTACAATCCCCAAACAAAAAATGGAATAGTTGAAAGTCTTATCCATGTCAGATCCAAAGGCGATTTGGTAAACGGCCTTGATAATTCCCATGGCTACCGCTCTGAAAACCTCGTTTTAGCATTTCCACAGCCTGTATGTTTTAGGGATATACTCACAAATAACCCAAACTTAAAATTCCAATAAAATACAGCCGAGTTTTAAGCTTCATCTGCAGGTTCCAGACAATCGGGACAGGTAGCATGGCCAGGATAACATCGGTAAAAATGTTAAATGCTGATCGTGGAGTTAGCAATATAACAAAGAGCGTAAAATTAAATAAAACCCACATGTATTGAGTACGCCGAGCTTTATGAAACGGTCCAGAGGTATACAGACAGGCTTCGGATCGATGCTTTTGTCCCAGTACCCCGACATTGGTTGACAGTTCAAGAGAAAGGGCATTATCCCAAGCATGCAGTACAGGACAGTCAGAACTAGATTCTGTTATCAGTGCCATCTTTCACTGGTGATGAGAGAAGTCACTTACCCATAGTTGCCCATAGAGACCATCGGTACCATCTGCTGGTGCCTAGTCGAAGCAAACCCAGGGCAGTCGAGAGCTTGAGAAACATCATCCCGGCAGCCGACGACACAATTACCGACCAAAACGCCTAATTACACATTTACCTTACATTGTCCTCGTGTATTTTTCAAGGATATATACAGCAGGGTGAGCCATTTGAACGTTAGAACCAACAAGACCGAGAAAGCATGTCTGTAATTCACCTGCTCGCGAGTGGAAGCGATCATAGGAATTTTCGCCAGGTGCTAGCTACTACTACGAGCGTCTGCCACGCCACATCCCGCTAGTGCTCGGGTTGATGAATTTTGATCTCCAGGTTGCCGAAGCGATCGCAGTCATCGTTCGTTGGTCCAACTGCGACAACCCAGCTTGTCCAAAGATTGGGTGGGGATGAACTGTCCCATCGACTGCGGCCTCGCAACAGGTACACAACAGCCCCCATTTAAAGGCCCTCATTTCTCCGAAACAATGCTCGCCATTCGAGTAAAAATTGTGATATTTATGTCTGATTGGCTGGTATCCCGCAAGCTCTGTATCTATTGCCAAGCCGCAGTCGATGGGGTTGGTGTGATTCAAACACGGAAAAATTGGCCCACATGCTGGGGGGACTGTTATATACAGCGTTTGAGAACCCCTCGTAAGTAACCAACTGCATATACTAGTAAACCTTGCAAGTTTTCAGATCACCCTTGGTCATCGACCCGCACCAAGTCCAGGGTGTAGGTATCGGGGCATGAGCCGTGCTCCCCGGGGAGATTTCTCAGGCTAATGTTTTCTAGCAGAAGGCATCTTGCCACGATAAAGTGGGACCCCCGCGATTGCGGCTGCAATTGCGCCATACGCCTGACATTGGTCTTTTATGTTACCCTTCTCGTATGCCCAAAGGCTTCGAGGAGAACTCTGTCATAACAGGTCGCCTAGCTAGTATTTATGTTCTCGTGCGACTCTTATGGATATCGCAATCGTCACAGTGGGTATACGTAATGGCAAGAGCCTAAGGGTCTGGTGAGCGTGTTGCTTCGTTAGGAAAGTCGAATCACTAACGACGTCGATTTCCATCAACGACAATAGCGCACCCTCGCAACGGGGCGATAACGTCTTCCTTAGTACGATGATTGCGGTTGTTATCGCCTTATCGTCGTCCTCGTGGGGCCTTGCAAACCTTGTCGGGAATGACAGGCGACCTAAAACCTGTTAGTAACGGTTCAAAATAGCCATTTTTGTTTATGTTGTCTGTCTTAGAAAACTTTTGTAAGTATTTTTTGTTTTACTAGATTGACTGTTGTCCCCGGATAAAAGATATACCTATTGCTAGACAACAGCCAAAGGGATATAATTTTCTATAACCACCTTGGTATTATTCCTAGGCCCTACTTTTGTGTGACACCAGCCATGACGGACCCCGCATCATCGAGGCCAGGCAATGTTCATCCGGTCTCTTTCCATCTCATGTCATTTTTCATGATTCCGTCAGCATGGGTTATTCATCTCTCCCGGAAGATATTCTGATCATTATCACTCTCTGCCTGTTGGGTAGGGATCTCGCTCAGCTCTTGTTAACTCAGCAACACCTCTATAATGTCTTACAACGAGTCTTTTGGCGGCGTAATATTAGGAACTTGTTATAAGCTGCGGACACAGGTGAAGTCAAAACTTTTCAGAAGATACTGGACGCAGGCGTTTCAGTATCTATAACAAGTACGGACAGACACCTTTGCATTTAGCCATAAATCAGGGTCACTCCGCTGTTGTCGAACTCTTACTGGCGGCTAAGGATATCGATACACACGCTAGAGATGAGCTTGATACATCGCTGCTTTCACTTGCAGCAGAAAAAGGGCTTGATTCAGTGACTGAGCGGTTGTTGTGAAAAGGAGCCGATCCGAACGTCCGCGACTTGGAGCATCAGACACCGCTACATCTCGCCGCAGTTTGGGGGTACGAAGCAGTTGTCAAGTTGCTTCTCGAGACAAATACCACGAGGCTGGATGGCGAAAAAGTCGACAAACATACACCACAGGACCCGATGAATCCCCAAGATGCGAGGGGACATACACCGCTACGTCGTGCAGCTTCTGGTGGACACGAAGCAGTTGTCAGGTTGCTTCTCGACACCTATGGCACGAACCCAGACGCCTAAGATAACGATGGATACACACCGCTACATCTCGCTGCACTGAGGGGACACGGAGAAATCGCCGAATTACTGGTACTGAGAGGGGCCAGCCCAGATTCACTCGATGGGGAAGGACGATCACCGCTACATCATGCAGCAAGCACAGGATGCGAAGCGATTGTCAAGCTGCTTCTCGAGAAATCAAATACGACTATAGATGCGCAAGATATCTACGGACATGCATTACTCCATCTCGCAGCAGTCAGAGGACAAGAAGCGATTGTCAGGCTGCTGCTTGAGACGCCTATCATGAAGCTTGATGCTCAAGATACACAAGCGCGCACGGCTCTATTATTAGCAGCAGAACAAGGGCATGCTTCTATTATTACGCTTTTAACACAGAATAGGGCAGACACGGAGTCGCTTAACAAGCAAGGAATAACAGCGTTATCATAGGCAGCAAGGCAGGGCAAGCTTAAAGTTACTATAACAATACTTACGGAGGCCAAACCCGGGGTTAGATCTATAGTATCACCTTAGGAGTCAAAATAGTTTTGGGAGCAAGGACCATGGAAGGTAAGCGAAGAGCTTATCACGCGTTCGGTAAAAATGACGCAGTGTACGTTAGGAGACCAGCATCACTTAACGTTGCAGATTCAATGTCGTGTCATATCACATTATATAGAACAAAAACAGTGGAGAAAGGCCAAAGAGTTAACCAAGGCGGTATCAACGACGTCACGAACGGTTCTAGGAGAGAACCATCCCCTCACACTCATTAGCACAGCCTATCTAGCAGCGAGACACAGGGAGGAAAAGAAACTAACAAAGGCTGAAAACCTGAATAAACAGGTATCAGAAACGAGTCGAGTAGTTTTAGGAGAGGAACACCCCTATAGACTCTTCTTCAAAGACAGTCTTGCATCGACATATAGAGCTCAGGAGCACTTGCAAGAGGCTGAGGAGTTGAACCGGCAGGTTCTGGAGATATCCGAGAGGATATACAGAGAAGACCACCTCGGGAGGTTGGCGAGAATGGAGGCTCTCGCTTTAACATATTTAAAGCAAGAGCGATGGGAATCCGCTAAGGATAAATTGGAAGATGTACTAGCAGTAGGGAAAGAAGACCTTGGAGAGGACCATCTCTTGACTAAGGCCAGCAGAAATTATCTATCGCTAGTGGACCAGAACCAGAGTTGACGGACCCCGATAAATGATTCTAGATTCATACGACTTAGCTTAATAGGAAGACTGCAGTTTTACTTATACCTAGAAGGCGCCGAACGTTATTTCCCAGATTTACCTTGCAAATAACCGACATATCCAAGACTAGAACCGTTAAAATGCCGCTTTTCACCAGGTATGCCTGGGCAGCGGGTTCTGACTGGCAGCCGGCGCTATACTTTCGAGGCCCGAGCACGCATCATGGGGGCTGGAAAGAACTCACCCTTAGCACCACCACCTTCTTACTCGAGCGTGATCGCCTCATTCAAGTGCACCTTTCGCTGTCGTTGCTCTCCCTACCTAGTTGACTTATGCGTAAGAGGAGAGGTGAGCAAGTCGACGAACAAGGCAGAATATATACAGCGCAACTACAATTCTTTACGGCGACTGCCATTTAGACAACGCAATGTAGTCTACCAACTCGTCCGGATACGCTTGGGGCAGTATATCGTCGACAAAACACCACCAATCCCCGTAACGGGTTCCAGAATGCGACAAGAACTTAACGTACTCCCAGTACTCAGGATACCAACCTGCATCTTCCCAGTCTATGATACCTGCAATCTTCCCATCCCGCACAATGGTATTCCTGGGTGTCAAATCACCATGCGTCAAAACAATCCGATGGTTCGTTTGAAGCCGATGGGAAAATGCATTACGGATTGCTGGGGGCGTAAGTGGAAACAAGGCGTCGGTTAGATAGTCGTTGAATTCCTTCTCATTGCCACACGGGGGAGCAGTGTATGTGAACATCGATCGAGTATCTCGTATTTGGCTTTGAGAACAGTCGCCGATGTAATCCTTGGGAGGCGGAATAGATCGCATGGTAACTAATATGGCCCGCAGCTGTTGGGCGATATCATTTTTGCTGTCGATGGATAGTCCAGGCCAAACATCGGATAGAAGGTCTCCTTCGATGTAGTTCATGTAGATGTGCTTCTTTCCGTCCGGCGTGGTTTCTGTCCCATGTATGTGAGGAACTGGTAGCTTTGCCTCTGCAGCAACACGCAATGCGTCGGCCTCTTCAAGGTATATCTGTTTGCCAGATTTTTTGACAATATTTCCTGGATGAAGGGTGACCATTCGAATAGGCATTTTGCTCAGGATTGTCACGCCTGTTACTTAGTATCAGCAGCAGATTTCATTTCTCGGATTAGAAACTAGGTAGGCGACCTTCTCCAAGCTCTTCCATTGGTTCATCTTCATCAGAAGATGACACTGGCAGCCCTTTTTCCTTTTTCTTCTTCTTAAGCCTCTGAGCAAAAGTTAGCGTAGGCGGCGAGTCTGGCTGGTTGGTCGCCATTGCTGATGATGAGGTGACAAAATATTGGATGTTTCCTAGGAGGACTCATGGGAGATTTTACTGACGAGGCGGGTAGTGTATGCAATAGAAAGAATGCTGTATGCGTACCCAGACGATGAGCGAGCAACGTGAGGCGCCAAAAACAGGTGCGGGGTTGGGCGCTTAACTTCACCAACACTGAACGAAGCAGCGCTTCAGAACTTTTGGCCATAGGCGCCAAGAGAAGCCCACTACCAAGAATCCATATGTACAAGGCCTGATCAGAGGCATCGTTCACGAACAACGCAATGCAGAAAAGGTTATATCAAAGAAAACCTTTCTTTGTGAGCTGCTGAGCCTCTGTTAGCGACCGCTAATGTCGCCATATCCATTCCCTACGGTATTGATTATTATTCTGAGCCATCTTGAGGAAATTGCTCTCACCACTTTTCACATCCAAAAGCCTCGTTGCTTTTTCCCGTCTCGGCTCTGTCTAGGTATTGTGAGAGGTTATTGTGCAGATGGTTCATCGAACCGCTAATGGCCACAAGGCATAGAGAACGTAGATAATTTCGAAACTAAGTAGTGGAGGCACAAGTTGACTAGATGACTCTGGCCAAGTATGAGCGAATTAGCTGCCAACGGGATAGTATCCCTAATTAACCTCAGCACCCTGCACGGCTGCCTTTTCTGGCATGTTTCGTAGACATGGCATTCCTTGCGTTCCCTTGTATCGCCGATTCTCACTTGAGTTTGTGGCCTTCCCAGCCTAATGCTTTGTCAAGCCATGAGTGCCAGGTCTACATTGTCGTCATCCTGCAAGTACCATGAAGCATGAGGTTCAACAAACGCAAAATCTCACGGTCAAAATCGTGTTTTCATTTGTAAGCCCCTGTTTATTACTGTCAGAAGGTAGTATATCACAAAGCAAGGTCACCAAGTGGAAGACATTCGGGTTGAAAGTGGCTTGTTCTAGCTCAAGTGGATATCTAACAAGAATTTAGCATATGGACCGACTTCGCGCAAGTAACCCAGTCGCGCGAAGTGAGGCCGTTCCAGAAGACGGTCAGTCGTGGCAGTATACTTTGACACCAGCCTCGCGTTGCTCTGCGGAACAATACTTTTGTCATCTTAGAAGAACAGTCAAAATCAAGACTCGGGTCCGTGGACACAGCAAAATCCTAGTCATGTTAGTTTCCAATTTCAATCCTCATGCACCGCCGACGGTTTTGGCGCGAGAAAAGTCCCGAGGGAGTTCTTCCGTGAGCATCCTCTTGTCGCCATTATGTTGCAACGCCTCAGAGCGAGGCTGGCCCTCATTTGGCAGCATGATGGCTCGGTCAAGTGCATATGGCAGTCCGCGGTGACGACCACGAATCATCATGGCGCAAATAACGAGCTTACTGAACGTCGTGAACTCTCCGCTGAGCGATGTCATAACAGAGGGATGTCCCAAGGACAACCCCACGTTGCCACTACGAGTTAAGTGAGCGATACAGATCAAAGAATAAAGGAGTGGGTTACTTGCTATGCGCTGACGACCTCGAAGAAGACTGGAAACACTGAGAAGGCCTGCAAGCGTCAGGTTCGGTTCGGCGCTGTTTAAAAAGCTGTTGAGCGGGGGGCACACTCACTGGTTCATTCAGGTCCATGATTCTCTTGGATTCTGCAACACAGATGCAGAACGTCCCGAGAAAGATGTACCATAAGTCAAAGCTGAGCTGATTCCGTACGTGGGTCGTGACGTACGAAGCGCCGTCAGTCTCGTCAAGGTGACTGTCGGCACCATAGACGCCAAGGGCCCTCTCTTCGTATGTGTTGGAAGCACGGATGCTAATAGCTATTGGGAAGATGGCGATGTACATCATACACAACAAACTAAACTGCACGGCAGGGTTAACCAGGGAAAGATTCAAAGTCGCGGTGCCGGTGTGCCTGGCTGACGCAGCTTGGAAGAGAGCCGATAGGATACGAGGGCCCATCGCGAGGTCGTTGACTGCAGGGTTGTCTAGGTCCAGAACAATAATCAACAGGACGTCGACAAAGTTCATCACGAAGAGTATGCCGAACAAGATCCACGTCGGCTTGCTGGGAAAGAGAAGTGTATAGCATCTTCGAGGATGGTCAAGAAGAAACTGGAGGTGTTCCTTCGTGGCCGACTTCTTGCTTACCATCTTCGACATGGTCCAAATGACCAATCGGAGAAGGATAGGGTAGCAAGTGTTTCCAGCAAAAGCAAGAAATGTCATGACGAGCATCGGCCAGGTTGCGTCCTTGAACGTGGCCATTGAGTCAGGGGTGAGCGTAAAGCCCAGGTTGTTGACCATTGTCTGGGCAGAATAGAAAGCCCACCAAGTCTGGCCTTGGCCGTTCTCCGCTAACCATGATTTGTACTTGGAAGGAGCGTGCAAAATCCAAGGCAAAAGACAGATAACTCCGAGGAGATGGAGTCCGAAACAGTAACCTGCCATTAGATCAGCCAATCTTGTGTAGTAGATAGGCGTTTATGAAGGCATATACTGGAAATGATTTTGAGGAGAAGCTTCAAACTTCTGTACTCGATACCGCCGAGGAGCTCACGATCACGCTCGGTCAGATGAAAGAACTGGGAGTTGCGTCCAATGGTGACTTGGCGGGATAAGTTGGGAAGATCTGACGGGCGTGGGTGAGCTGACGCGTCAGAACGACGAGACTCGCGTTCCGAAGACTTGGTACGCCCAAGGACGAGGACGGACGAGGCAACCTTCTCCATGGAACGGGCGGCGCGCATAGCCGGACCCTCGGGGTTATGCGGCCTTCGGCGAGACAAGCCCGTGGCTGACGATGCAACTGGACGGATAGCATCTATTTGTGTTAGAGGTCCACGCCGGTTTCCTCAGTCAACGTCGGTTTTGTAGCATTGGCTTACCGTCGTCCTTATCCCAATCTTTGCCCATTTCAATCATTGGCTGGCCTACAGACTCCCGACTTAGCTGGTATACTACCAGAAGAACAGATTTTCTTACCACCGTCACGGTCTCTGGGGCCAGGGACGTACAACACTGTTTCATCAACATGCTTTTGTCGAGTTTGAGAGAGGCTCTCGTCGAAAGTGATAGTGGTTGACCTGGCTGGAGGGCTTGGAATCGCAGCCTTATCTAACGTCTGTTCCGCATCTGTCTCAGTAGCGCGGATGGGTTCTGTCTGGGGGGACTTTTCAGTTCGTGTGCCTCTGTCATTGTCGTTCTCTAGTTGACGGTTGGCCTCCAGATCATCGGGTTCTGCTCGTTCGTTGGTGGCTGGTAACTGGTGTAAGTGCGAAAACGAAGCCAACGTAGGCGAAGAGCGTCACTGACCGATGCTTCTCAGACGTTGTTGAAACCAGTAAAGGCGAACAACAACGACCGCGATGTTGACAAACATGAGATTCGTAATGATCGGGATAACGTAGATGTAAACCTGTTGGTAGGTTTTCATGTCCTTGACATCGACACTGCACAGAGACCACGACTGATTAGCATCTACTGACCACAATTTTAAAACGCCGACCACCGAGTACAACGTACGTGTTAAGACCGGACTCAGTCGAACTGCTGCAGCCGAAGAAGAAAACATCGACGGCGTTCAAATTGCCGTACGGATATAGGACGACAAAAGAAATCAGGCTACAAAATAGTATCCATGCGTCTGCGATTTTAAAGCGTCGGTCAACTCGAGTTACACGTAATTGGCAATTAGTAGAAAAACTCACAATGAAGGTTTATGAAATTGAGACTGGGCTTCCACATGGCTGCGACAGTCGAGAAGCTTCAGAAATCGATTGGAGGAAAATCAGATATGAATAGCAGTGTGAAATGTAGGCTTTCAAGACAGGATGCCGACGTGCTCTTGGATAAGAGTGAGACGTGCATGCGCGCGTCCATGAGGGAAATGCCGGCTTAAGAGGGCAGCCAGGGAGGAGGCGAACTCATAGTGCCTGCCGCTGATAGGGGTACCACAATTTGGTTAAGGCGAAGCTTGAGGCATTTTTCACGACCTGCGGCTGTGAGCCTTCATGGTAGCTAGATGGATTCGGGGTGGGATCGGCTCAAAAGTACCGTACGGTCTACGGGTCAAATTATACAACGGAGGGGCTACTTTTTCATACTACCTAGCTATAAAAATAGCTAAAGTATATATATATATATATATAATAAACTATAGAAGAATAAACATATAGTATGTAACGAGAAGCAAAAAAGATTTAAGTTAGAAAAATTAAATTGTTAATTTTACAGTTTAAATAATTATTAAAAAAGCTGAAAATGCAGCTATGTTTTATAAAACAGTAATAATATCTTAAGTATATAGAAGAAACTACTAGTGTATATTAGGAAAAATACTTTTATGAAGAAAGTAGTGAGGCAGGACGTATAAGAAGTAGCGTAGTGAGCGTCAGCACTGTACGAGAAAGTCCACAGCTTACCCGACTTTCTCTCGATTCCACTATCCAATCCCTTCAATTGGAGACGGGCTTACGCTACTTGCTTCTAATTGGCTTTACTCTGCACTAGCTGTACTGACACCCACTCGCAGTCGATGGGACAGTACCGCCATTGAAACGCTGCACAACTTGAGCACGTGGGGTATATGTCATTTTGCTGAAGAACGACCAGCTGCGTAGCATAAAGTTTTACAACCAGCTTTTGTTCTTCCCCATAGGTATCCAATGGGCAATGGGGAAGCCAGCCTCATACACGCCTCGTTAGTTCGACAACGGGGAGGGATTATTGTAATGGAAGCGACTTCACAGTAATGTTTGGGAGGCCTCCCCTTACGTTCAACTACAAATCCCATCGAGCGCCAGACGACCTCGAAAATGCCAAGGCTTTAAATTCCCACCTTAGCTCCAGTTTTACTCCACACTACACCGAGTACTTATAGAGCTTACCATCTTCCCACTCAAATCTTTAGTATCTCAAGTTGCAGCGAGTACTTTTCAGTGCACGTAATTGCTTTTCTATTGAGCACCAGTACATCAGTTAACAAATTTAGTAGAAAATCTAGCCCTCATTAGCTTTACCCCGCCCTCGGGATTTCTTCTGAGGTCATCTGGCGCTCGACGGGATAATCATTTTAGGGGAGGGTTCTAGGGACGCGTCACCGTACGCTTCCGAGGTACACTGGGTCGTCTTGTACTTCAGTGGCTGCCTATCCCAATTGGGTGCGAATGGACGTCAGTCTCACCCTACTTACATCATCAACTTTAGATGTCTACCTCTACCACAATGTGATTCCGACGATTCAGATAGCTCTATTGAGTCATTGCCGTCTGCATTGCACCCGAAGACCTTGCTATCGCCTGTACCTCTAGTTGTACGTCAAAGAGGTGTGATTAGGGAAAAGGGGATTGTTGCTCGCCTTGATGGGCCGCGCAAAAGCAATGCGGGCCTTAAGCACGATCTCTAGCAATAGCGGCAAGAGGAGGTTCTCAAGGTCAGGATGTACTGAATGCAATGTGCCTCTTCCTAACTCTGACGCAGCATATATCTCTTCGGGTGCCAATGAGGACCTACCAAAAGATGCATCCCCTGAAGTCCCAGTTCGCATGGAGTTCGTATGCGGCCCTCGGTGGCTTTAAGTCAAGTCACCTGTCGCTGGCATAACCTAGCGCGACCGTGATGCCATGAGATCTGTCCCGTTTCCATGTTGCATCTTTTCTATTTGCAAGACTCTACTGTCAGTGGCAATGCCTAATCGAGCGGAGGCAGAACAGACGAGAACTTTGACATTTTAAACTGAGCCGACGCGTGAAAAGATCGTGCTCAGTGGCCTCGGCATCCTTTCTGCCATCTCCCAGTACGTCATTATCCTCAGCACTGACCTTTGACGGCGCACAGTCATCTTACGTTTATTGAAATCGCAATGATAGCCAAGTGTTGCAATAGACCTCTTGGCCAGAGAGTCTCTTATATGAAGAATCATGGCGACCTGCATCATGCTACGCAAATCCTGTCGCTTGTCCACCTCCTAACTGCATCACTCAGGTATTTCAAGTACCTGCAAAACCAAACTCCTTGTTTTGCAAATGAATTAGTGGTGTCAGGCGTGTCATCCGTCACGAACTGAGCCACAGCGGGCCCCAAGGTCATAGTTTCGGTCTCATAAATGCAGGGCTATGCATAACCCGGTGCGCTGGTCAAGCAAGCCCGGACGCAACACGGATAGTACCGACAGAGCACCCACCGGAGTACAGATGATGCTGGAAGAAGAAATGGGCCTGATCAGTGGATAACACGGCCCCTACGCTAGATCTGCATTCCGGAGGCCCGTCTTGGAAACGTCATTACGTCGAATCGGTAGACTCACCGAGAAACCAAAGAAACAATCCTATGATGGGGAAAAAAAAAAAAAAAACCCTGAATGTTTCTTCGGCTGCTTCTCCGGGAAAAGGTCAGTGGTAAGGTGCAGGAAACAAATGATCAGCTTCAGTTGCGATGAAAATACTTCTACGAAATGTTTGGCATCTGTTCATGTCAAACTTAATGTTGCTCAGACTGCCGCATTCACTTGTTCAGAGGTGCTCCGCTTACACGATTGACATGGGGAAAAAAAAGAAGACTTTATTCACCAAAAAATGCTTCTTTCTATTGAGTAGTTTGAACACCCTCAGAGTCGTCTTAGCTTGCCCTGCAGGCGCCCGACCGAGGGGTAATATGATGAAAAAGAATACACATCGAATATTATTCGCCATGCTATCAAAAATGTTTTTGTTTTTTGACCTCACTTAGAGTTGCGCACCGAGACGTCGTCTCACGGGGAACGATCGCCGCCTCATGGTCGCCGACTTTTGCTGCTCTACAGACTTCTGCTCGGCGACAAAGTTGGACATCATCTCCCATGTGGCCATCACGCCGCCCGTCTTCTTCGCTTCGGCCATCGCCATAAGATCCGACATCTTCATCTCAAAGCCCTTCGCGCCAGTCGGCGGTACCTCTTGTCTTCGGGCAGGCGCTCCGGGTCTGGTAAAGCTGCCGTGGCCGGGGCCGGGCTGGTTACCGGTAATAGCGCCTCCGGTGGGAGGTCCCTGGGAACCCGGTTGAGCCTGAGCCGGGGGCTGAGCCTGAGATGGGGGCTGCAGCAGCTGGGCGGCGGGGACAGCGGGCTCGACAGATCCAGCCGATCCGGGCTGCTGGGGCTGCGAGTTAGGGGCAGGGGGGGCAGCAGGAGAAGCGAGTTGGGGCTGCTGTTGAGGCTCAGTCGCAATGCCGCCCCCAGGTTGGGCTTGGGGCTGCGCCAGCTGAGGTTGAGCAGTCTGAGGCTGGCCTGAAATGGAGCCGCTTGAGCCACTTGAGAGACTGCCTTGGCCAGTGATGCCACCGCCTTGCTGAGGAGTAGCGGGCTGGGGAGCGGGCTGAGGCTGTGTGCCAACTGGAGTGCCGCCGACCATCATGGTGAGAATGAATTCACCATCAATCTGGTTGACTGGAACGGCAATACGCGCGTTCTCTCTGTCAAGGAGAACCTGGGCGTTGATGGGCGTAAAGGTCTGGGCGAGCAGAAGCTGAGTGGCTGCGGGGATCGCAGGCCCAATGTTGTTGGGGTTGTTGTTGTTCTGTCCGTTGTTGGGGTTGTTACCGTTGTTGCCATTGTTGGTATTGCCATTGCCATTATTTCCATTGTTGTTGTTGTTGCCGTTGTTGTTATTGGGGTTGCCACCGTTGTTGGCAGTGCCGTTGTTAACGTCCTGGCGCTTCTGAAGCGAGTTCTGAAGCCCACCAGTAGCACCACCAGGGTTCTGGAGAACGGGACGTTGGGCGATGCCGAGAGTGATGGATGACTGGGGCTGAGCGCCCGCGCGCATGGCCATGGCCATGAGTCGGTCGACATTGACTGTTTCAGGCCCTGGTTAGTCGACTCGGTTCCTACTGCAGACAAGACAAGCTTTTTGGTAAACTTACGCGGCATCTGAACGACGGCCGTCATGGAGTTGAGGCTGGGGACAACACCCGCCAAGTTGCTTGTAACAAGGTAGCGGTAGTTGTCTACGATTCTGTTAGTATACATCGTTTGACCCGAATGGAGGGGTGTGGAGATGACTCACTGATGGACATGATGCCGTTGGTAACCATGTCATTGCTAATGCCGTTGACAACGTCCGTCTTGATGCTCATCGGCTGGCTTGCACGGATGGACATGCGGAATCCGTCCGTGAATTCAGCCTCTTGGATGCCAGATCCAGCGATGCTGATGGGCTGGCCGAAGGGGGTCAAGGAAGTTCCAAGTTCAGAAGTCTGGCGGCCGACAGCGACGTACTCGCCGTCGATCTGGTTAAGCTTGACCATGCGAACAGTCGCGTCGGTGATGTTGACGCTCTTGATACCCTCCATGATGATCCAAGCCTGACGATCCCGAGAGAGCATTGCGACGTAGGTGTTATCAGCTGTTACGCCAGCCTGTTGGAGCATGTTCTGGTCGATGGGCAGCTCGATCTGAGCGCCCACCAAGTCGGTGGCTCCATTTGTCTGGATGGAGAACGAGTTGCGCGAGAGTTGAACGAAGGGCTGTCCTGTGGAGCCTACGACATGGCTTGCTGGAAGGGGGTTGGGGTTCTGGTTGACAATGACCTGACGTTGCGTCTGAGAGAAAGTCTCGATCTTGGAGTTATCGGGGAACACGAGTCTGTTGAGTTGCATCTATCGATGGCATGTTAGGCACCTCTCATGCGGAGTCGGGATCTACTAAAGGGCCCATGGATGAAGCAATGATGAAGACACGAGGAGGAAGACTTACATCTCCATTCAGGTTGATGACCTGATTGAACTGAACATTTTGGCCTTGTTGTTGTTGGGCGACAACTGGACAGCTGAGCCTCAATCCAACAAGCAGAAAAGAAAGTGAATACTTCGTGAGCGTCATTATGATTAGTGAGGGTCAACCACCGGGGCTGGGAAACACAGGAAAAAGAAGGAAAAATGAAAAAGAGGAGGATGACAAGGGAAGGGAAGGGAAGGAGAGACACCGTTACTAAACCCACGGGTCCTAGGGGGAAGATGTTTGTATAGGGGCACGACCAGCTCGAAAGATCATCAGCATTCAGACGAGGGCGAAGTCAGCTTAATGCTTTTGGGGGAAGGGATGCGGTAAAGACTTGGCTATATGGCAAGGAACACAAGACATGACGGCGACATGCCACATGGCGGCTCAGCCGGCAGAGTCTCATAGGTAAGCGGGTGATCGGACGCCCAGAGTGGTGCCCAGCCGAAGAGGAGCGCAAACAGCCAATCGCAAGTCTCGGCTGGCGTAAATCGTGACAGTGCCAATGTGGCAGATGCCGCTCTCAGCCTCTTCCGGCCGCACAACTGTTGATGCTGATGCCTCCTGGCCGGAAAGAAGGTGTACGGGGGCATCGGGTATAAGCATCGGACCACTGCACTTCCGACGGTGCGATGGGACCTGGCTGATCCCATCAAGGAAGAGACGCCAGAACATCAGTGATCCCCGTTGTCATGCTTGAAAGGGGAAAGAAAAGACCGAAGCGTATGCAGGCCAAGGGAAAGCAGAAGACCAGGCCTCCTCGGTTTCGCGCTCAAGCACCCAGGTGTGAGGTGAGTTTCGTCGTTTCGAGCCCGGTCGCGTGGCGTTTCATCAGATGAGGCCGGGCGGTCAGAAGAGGCAAACTCGACTATGCGGAATCTCTCTTGTGCTTTATCCCATACATTTTTTCCTGTAAAGGACATAGATGGTAGTTTGTGAAATATCTACCCAGTGTAACGCAATAGTGAAGGGGTGAAAGGGGTGATGGCCATAATAAATGGTGGATCCCGGTTCCCGGCTCGCCGTTTGGATCTTCTTTGCCAAGTCCAAGTGCAGTGGATTTTCGTTTCGTCGCGGCTGATGTGCAACCTGATGAAGACAAAGGTGCTTGGCAAATGCTTGTCCTTGGGCGGCTCTGCGGTTATCTCCTAAGTCTCTGGGCAAATCTTCGGCAACGGAGGGATTTCCACGTAACAATACACTTAGCACTCTAGTATACACCCACAATCTCCCACATTCCTTGCCCTCCACCCTCCTCTTTACCTTCACACATCCCTTGACTCACATCCCCCGGATTTTGACCCTTGCTTTAGTTTGTTGGGCCACCATCATCACTCACAAGTTTTAATAGCATGATGATCGTAGTTTTTAAATCATCCACCTAGGTGGCTCCAAGGGTTACTCAGACTGTTACAGGCCTACGGGCCGGTTGTAAAGGCTTTTTGGTGTTAGACTTGGCGATGGCCACCTGCGTCGGACTAGTTCCTCAACAAAGTCGAACCAATTAGTAGTTGGTTTGAACAGTGTGTTTCTCCTCAGTACCTCATCTCATTGACATCGTCCAATACAATCAGAACTACACACCCGCGGAGTTCATAGTAGTAGGGCTCGGGTTATTGGAAGAGACCAAACCCGTTTGCCACTGCAATCAAGTTTTCCAACGATATGGGAAGGATGTCGCTGGTAGATTGAACCACATGAAGCATCCGTACTCGACAGGTTCTTTGAGACAGATGACAGCTATTTGCTTCTCGACCCCTCATTTTACAACTGATGAAGGTGGTGTCGAGTCGATCATTCTGACCGTGCCTCTTTTGCCCAATAGGCGTTGACGCCGATTCCCGTTCGGGGCCATTAAGTGACACTTGCGTCCACACGGGCAAAATCTCCGACTGACTGAGCGTTTTCTGCAGCAACACCACGAACTCCCCTGTTTCCACTGACTCAATCCCTGTCTGCTCACATAAGTCGAGGCTCGATGATTGACTTCTAGTCGCCTCAAGTCCTCAAGCACACACTGAGCCCCATCTTTCTGCTGGACGTCTTCTCCTCCTATACCTCCCCATTGGTTGTGAGATCCTACTCGTCTTTTCTTAGAACCATGATTAGCTAAAGTTTTTCTCGATGCTTTAACATGCTTCCCTGTCACCCGTGTCTTGGCGTTGCAGCACATTGTTCTTGGCCGCGACATCTCTTGTGCTTCGAACGCATCCATCACATCTCCCAAGCGCGGAGATGCACCTGATGTCTCCCCAAGAAGAAGAACCCCTCACCCATGACATTATCCAAAGAACTATTTCGTCCAAGGAGAGCACAGTCACGATTCTTCCGTCCTAAACTATATCCCTTACGCTTTCAGAGCTCTCAGTATAAGTCCTTCAACCGTCCTGTTCAGGAATACATGTTTCCGGCCCGCTGAACTCTTTCCCATCTCAGTCGCGATTTCTTATCCCCTCATCTCACCTAATCTACCTTCTCTTATTTTTTTTTTCTTGTGTCAGTAAACGGTCGGACGCCTTTGGAAGGCCCACCACTCCATCACTCTCCTTTAGAGCCCCCGCTTCCCGGTCTTAACACCTACTACATATTTCATCTTTACTATTTTTTTTTTCCTTTGCGCGTGTTGTTTTCCGCGTCAACTCGAGCTAGTCTTTAGTACACACGTTCTCAACACCGCCATAATGCAGTATTCGGTTATTGTCTTTTTCCTCGCTTCTTTCTTGTCTGCCTGCGTCTTCGCCTTTCCGACTGCTAGCTCAGCGGGAGGTCAGTCGCAAGGTCAGCATCCTCGCTTCGTCTCTCGGGGTGTCAGACGTCTGGATACTCGGGCTCCTCAAAACAATAATGGCAACGGAAATGGGCAGACCGGAGCAAGCCAAGGTCAGAACAGCTCGGCCAATGGACGCAACGGTGTCAGCGACACTCAGGTTATGAACGCTGTCATGTCCTGGATGAACAACACTGGCAAGGTTACCAAGTTCCTCAATAGCGCAACGTCCTTCACCGGAGCCGAGTTCACCAGACAGGCCACGATCGCACTCAACGCCGAGGTTGACGAGCTCAACCACAAGATGGTTCTTGACGTCGCGCTTTCCGGAATGGACATGGTCAACCAAGCCAACGATGTTCTCGCCAATCAAGGTACTTTCCAGCAGGTTGTTGATACTCTGCAGTCCATGGTCACCAACGGTCCTGATACCGCTCAGAATGATGTCAACACCATCAACAACAACCGCTGCGTTAACGTTCTCCCTAACATTGACATGTACTTTGCCGCTGCTGGTATGCCCCAGATTCAGGCAGTTCGTCCTACTGGATGCTTGGAGGTTGCTGGTGCGAATGTGACTCCGGCTGTTCCCCCGCTGAACAACGGTGGTAACAACGGAGGTGCCGCTGCTCCTCAGGTCACCACTCCTCCCGCTGCGAACAACGGTAACCAGAATCAGAACAACAACAACAACCAGGGCAACAACAACAACAACCAGAACAACAACAACAACCAGGGCAACAACAACAACCAGAACCAGGGCAACAACAACAACAACCAGGGCAACAACAACAACAACCAGGGCAACAACAACAGCCAGAACCAGGGCAACAACAACAGCCAGAACCAGGGCAACAGCAACAACCAGGGCAACAACAACAACAACCAGAACCAGAACAACAACCAGGGTAATAGCAACAACAATAACAACCAGGGTAACAGCAACAACCAGGGCAACAACAACAACAGCCAAGCCCAAAGCAACGGTTCTGGTAATGGAAATGGAAGTGGCCCGCAACCTGCTACGCTGGGATCCAACAATGGTGGCAATGGCAACAACAACAACCAGGGTAACAGCAACAACCAGAACAACCAGAACAGCCAGTCGCAGCGCGTACAATCCCAGAGCACAGGCGGCAACACTCTGCAGCCTGCCAAGTTGGGGTCTTCCAAGCCCGCCAACAACTAGATTCTACGGTATGTCAAAAGGGGCAGCCAGCATCATCGGCCGGCGCACGCGAATCTCGGGGCCCGACAAGCACCCGTCTCCTTGCGGGATTCGTAGCGGTTCATTTCGTTAGAATCCCGAACTATGCTTTCCAAGGGCGGCCAGGTTCCTTTCAACTCTTCCGACAGCGGAAACATCAGGCTGGAGTGGCACATGTGGCGGGCCTTTTACGGGGTGGGTGACAGTTGGCAGGGCTACGTTGTAAGGTTGGGGCTGAAGAGACTCGGTTTTGCATTTGGAGGGTGTGAAGAGCCAAAGGTCCCCCCGGTGCCTAGTGCAAATTGGTATTAGTTTGAAGGCCAGGTAAAACATTGGTCGAAGAAAATTATTCCCTGTAACATATCATCTCGTTCTTCTTACAAAGCATTAGGCTGTGGAGTCATCCATGGCGTGTAATTTGTCTGTCTAATCCTTGTTTTCGATTCCTTCCTCAGTGGCTGTTTGAACGAGTCACATACACACTCCCTGTACATATTTGGATAGCGTCAATCAAGTCCATGCTCGAAACTGTTCAAAACCCTGAACTATCCCTGAAGGAGGTTTGGAAAATCATGAAACGAAACTTCGACGCTTCCCCCCCCCCCTTGGGGCGCAGGGATCCTGCATGTCGATCCGCTTGGATCCCTCGGCCCAATCCGCAATATCACTGGGCAGATCGATTCGGCATTGCCCAAGGAAAGTTGCGATTGGTTCCCTCGTCCCGACCAGGGTCGCCTCCCAGAGTTTCGGGACGAAGAGAAGGGAACCATGTTCATTTCATGGGTGGAGTTTTGGGAGGGGCAAAAGAGCCTCAGAAAGCTGAGAGCTGTGAAGGCCATCAGCCTGTTGCCATTGAATTGATCTTTGGGATTGTGTCGCCTGACTGTCGTTCGAGCCCTCAGCGCACAGGGTCGAAATCGTTCCCTTGCCACCCGCCCAGAGCGGCGAAAGATTCCTGTAGTAACCGTCCCACAAGTCGTCGGGCTTCAGCCGACCCCGCTCGTGTTTTTCGCGCGTCCGCATTTGTGGATGCTGGGTTGTGATCGAAGTTGCAATTCCGCGCGTGGACGGATTTCGTAGACCCTTGACTGGTTGAAGCGTTTGAGAATGGTCTTTCCCCCTCATCACGGTGGTACACTTGGTGATTGGACCCCTCCACAGAATGAGACATGACAAGCGGCAACGCATGATGAGTCCTGACAGTTAACGACGACGATGGTCAATTCGCGAGGTTTTCTGACGATGTTTTGTCTTGGAGCTCCACCGATCAGGGCCTTGATTCACTTGGCATTTTCTCATATCCCCGAGCCCTGATGACGACTGGGCTTCTTCCGAAAACATCTTGGAGAACGGTTCCCGGCGGCTCCGTAAATTCGATGTAGGGGATGCGGAATGGTGGGTCTTCGGCGGCTCGGGTAGGCTTTATTTCTCTAACGGCGATCATGTATGGGTTCGTTTCGATGGCTTACCATAGCTTATGGGATGGATCTGGGGAACATACTAGAACTATACCCTAATGCTTAGGAATACGTTCGTGATGGGTCATGTTATTGAGTGTGTGGGTGGCAGGCCTCGCCGGCCCGTCACGTGGGCTGACGGCCGCCACCACTGGTCTTAGCCAGCCTCCACAGCCCTCTAGCCAGTTAGTTAGTTCTTCCAACCAACAACACCACTTTTCCCATTCTGAGCGTTCTGTGCTGGTTTCGCCCACAGAGTGCAGGGCAAAGTAAACCAACCGGAGCGGCATTGATCAATGCCGTCGCATTTGAAGCCTTAGAGCCTGGGTCTGTGTTGATCTTGGACCAAGAGACGGTTCATGTTTTATCACCATGAGTGCTTTATGTAGGAAACAGTGACTTGATGATATTCACGTACAAGCAACGTCTTAATTCTGGTATAAGCAAGTTAAATAACCGAGCGCAATAAAATCTATCCCGAATGTCCTGATCTGGTTTGTAAAGTCTTTTAATCCTTCTCCGAAGCAGTCAAGTTGAAAATTCTAATTGTAACGAGATTCTGTGTTCTTTCTGGGCGGTTTGATAACCTGGTTTATACCAAACAAAAAAGACGGAAAGTACAAGTCTTTTGAACTGTCTGTTGTTGTCAAATTTCTTGCCAACACCTGCGGCAATCCAAGATTCATTTCAAAGGCACTGCGGTGGAGCGATTGATGCCATGTCATAAATACTATGATATCATAACCATTTTGTACTCTTATTAGCTTATCAGGGCATAGTCCCGTTGCTTTTTAGTGACGTAGGTTTTTGTGCTGTTGTGGTAGAAAGGTCAAATACCTATAATTTGCGTGGCTTATCAGATTAACCCAATAGAGATCTCTGGAAAGACGGCACACCGGACGTGGTGAGTAGAACAGACTAGTAGGCCAACAGCATAGTGGGAAACCTTCAGCGAAGTAAATGTGAGTATTCTGCACATGGTTCGTTTATTTTAAACCCATTGCCGAATGTCTTTTGAAGGTCTATTTGCCAGCTATGTTTGATCATTATGTCATGTACATCACATTGGCCCGTGATAAGCTGGATCAAATCTTTGAGTACCTTAGTCTGGGCATTCAAGGAATTATTCATAGAGTATACACCTTCGTGGAGTGTGCAATTATATTGAGTGAAGTACCATTCAGCTTCTTGTCTGTTTGGTTTACAAAGACATGCAGATTACTTAAAGTCTAGCAGTAATAGACAGCTAAGTAGTTTATACGTTATTGAACAAGAAAAACTATATGTGGCTTGAAGATTATTTTTCAGACTAAAGAGTCAAAAGTCACGTTGAGCCAACGCAAATGTCACGAGAATATTAGCAGAGTAAACCATGTTTTCACTGGAAAATAATTCCATGGCCTACTTTTAATGACTGCCAGGTGCTCTTTTCCACAAGTATGAATCTATTGCCTCTACTTTTCAACTCTGATCCTTGAGTCTAATAGGCCGTAAGAAAAGTCCTTCAAGTTCTCCCCTGTGTCACGCGAAGTGCTTTTTAAAGTTGCAAACCAGTTAACAACGCCATCATGTATAGCCCTCATTGTCTGTTGAGATTACATCTCAAGCCTTGGACAACTTTCAACACAATGTAGATCTACCGGTATTTCTTTGACATTACAGAAGCTTACAAATGGACTAAGCTTCGTGGACTACTTTGGAACAAAGTTGCAAAGGAGTCTTAGGTTAGATGAGACCGAGTTCTTGAATCTGGTTATCCTCTCCAACGCGAAAAGACGGCAATTGCCACCATTACAGATGTCTGATTTTATTTGCGGAGAGAAATAATTTAATAATACCAAGCTTTTCAATCAAAGTGCAAACAAAGTTCGACCCGTTATGTCGTGCAGTGAAGCATGGTAACTGTCAAACTAAGCTGGAAGGTTATCGTTACTGTGTGTCGCCTCAAAGTTTCTGCACCGCATGCTTTCACGATCTACGGAGTAACTTTGTGCTTTATCAGAATAGTACCATGATTAAGTTCACTAAGCCGTTAATAAAACTGATGGTATGTCCAGCATTTGTACACACACGAGCCTCCAGCTCTTACCGACCTATCACGCTGATCTCAGCTCCTGCTACTGTTCATGATTACCTAAGACTGACATACCTATTTCGCTCGGAGAATTCAGCCAATCAAGATTTGCATGGAGCAACTTACTGGGCTATGTGGATCCATCAGCGAAAAACCAGTGGGGCTTAGCAGCACTGCCAACACGGCATTTCCCACGACGGCGACAGTCTGGGGAAAAACCCATGAACCCACATCTTTCACATGGTTCGTGATTGCTACCCATCTCAAACAGTCGGCATCATTTCCCCATTGAATCAACCTGCAAACAGGCAGCACTCTCGAGAAGAAAACTTAGGATTAGATTGCGGCTATACTGCACTCAGAAGCATTGCTTGTCTGCGATAAACTCGTCTCATTTCGCTGTTTGAGGACGGCGAAAATGCCTGAGACGACGAGATCGCCTACCCTCAAGGCCAGAGCCAGACAGTCCCAGTACGTGCTTTCATTTTCTTTGAATAACTTGGTGTTTTCCAATCTAACAGAATCATCAGCATGTAAGCTTTACTGATGTCCGCATCTGATGTTGTCTCTCACTCATAGCCCAAAGATGCCATGCAGACGGCCATCAACCGTGCCAACGATGTCGCTCTCTTCAATTCAGGCTACGCCGTCAGTCAGCCTCAATACCGCCGCCAATCAACTGGGATATCTCCGGGAGCATGACAGAGAAGGCCATGTTCTACCATGTACGGCGGTATACAATTACCGGCTTCAAAAACATATCTGTGCTGGAAAAGCTATGGAAAAACTACATAGTTCCTCTCGGGTATTACACTGACTCCGTGAAACACGCATTAATAGCCCTTGGGTGTTCACATCGGACCTTTCTCGGTTACTATGTCGACGATTACCTACTTACAGACCCGCAAGCGCTCAAAACCTTTGCAAGTCAGCAATATACCAAAGCAATTCACTACACGGCCCGGGACATGCAGGAACTATCTCCTATTACTGTTCGGACCTCCCTTGTCTGCTGTTTGGTGTTTGTATGCTTCGAGATAGTCCAGGGACACTATGATAAAGCTATGCAACACCTGCGATCTGGCTCCAACATTCTCATGTCACTATCCCAAGCGGCAGCGAATGTCGAAACCACACCAACCTCATCGTACCAAAAATGCATGGTTGAAACCGTGCAAAAGTATTACGACCAGCTATGTGATATTGCCGATATGTTCAACTGCATCGGTTGCGACACCGCATTCCTACTTGAGGATGGAGGAGTTATTCCGGATTTGTCATTTTTCCATCGGTCGCCCGGCGATGAGGACACTTCTAAGCCGTACTCTAGCGCTACTGAGGCGCGTTACGACCTCTATCGAGTAGATCAGGCCTTTGGTGCGGCTGTTGGTTACAGCTTTCGCGGTAACATGCCAACATCGTGGAACACGTTCCTGAACATGCCGACAGACAGTGACGCTATCAACGATGACGCATGGTCAGCAGCCTGGACATCAGGTCGTTACTTCTTCGATTTATGGAATGCCCGCTTCAACGCATATCACCTGCAACTAAAATCAAGCTCGTCTGTATCCAAAAGTGAGCTGTGGGAGGCGCGGTTGCTGGCATTTATACAAAAGGACTGGACGGTCATGATCAAATGCTGTGAAGCACCAAGCCCACAGCCTCCGCATAGAGGCCTAATAGAGGAGCTTCTTGAAGAGGCGGAGGCTCTTGTAAATTCAGAAGAGGGGAGGTTGGAGAACCCAGTGTTTACCTTGGTTGCGGATATGATCCCACGCATGGTATTCATCACCGCCGTCACCACGGAGCTGGATTTGCAACAGAGAGCGATTACGCTCCTTCATTCCATGAGACGGAAGGAGGGTATGTGGGACAGCCGGGAAATTGCTAGTGTTATGCAGTCAATTTTGACAGCGAGGCAGTGTGGTATCTGGGACGCAGAGTACGAAAAAGTCTCCCTTCCTCGCCTGGCGAGGATCCTGCTATCCCTGAAACTATATGATGACCATTGCAGGCTGCCTTTGGCCACATTAGTAGACCAAAATGTTTAATGACCGATGATCACTGAAGACGGGAGCTAAAAAGTTACTGCTTACAAAGGTTAAACTGCTTAACCATAACGGACATATTCCTATCATCCCTTCACCTAGTTTTCCAAAAAGTCCAGTGAGGAACGGCATCTGGTATGGGCGTTGACAATGGGCGTTGACATTCACTGGTGAGTTGACCAGACTGGAGCCATTTTAGGCTTCTGACGGTGTCATTTAAGCGTGCGCTTCATTCGCTCGGATGTTAAAGACAGTCACTGAGATTCGCGCGACTATCATAACCCCTGCTTATCTCCCCGCACATGGCCGCCATCATTCCCCTCCATGCACGATGCCGTCGATCCCACCTAACACCGGCACCCCGCTGTTGGATGGGCCGATTGTTCTCCCAACAAGGTAGGTCGCATGCATAAGAAGAGTTACTGTGTAGATAGTTGCTGGACTTGGTCAACCCCGGCGTATCTACCTATCCATGCTTTCCCCGCCTCAACACTGCTTGATAGAACTCACTTTGCAACCAGAGAACCCACTCGGAGAAGATGTAACGTCACTCTTGGGGTGCAGAAAAGCATTTCCCCTCACTAAGATTCCACGGGTATTTTCCACGGTTTGGTGATGGTTCACGTCGGCACTACACGTAGTGTAATGTGGGAGCACAGAGCGGCCCACTTGTCCGCTTTTAAAGCAACCATCCACTTCCAACCCAATACGGAAATACCTTAGTGAGAAATTCCGGCAAAGCAATCATATAAGCTTCATCAATGCCGGCGTTGAATGCTGAATCAACGACTGGTCCCATGAAGAGCTCGGAGCATGTGTCATCATGAAGCTAACAAAGGCCATTGGAAGTCTTGCAGCTCTGGCGCCATTGGCCCGTTTCACGGAAGGCCAGGCCATCCGTTTTAATAACCCCGAGGGCGTAGATATTTGGTGCGGCAAGGCGTATCGAGCAACGTATGTTTTTTGCATCAAGATATCCCCGCTCAAGCATCCGGTTTAACTTTGGTTATCAGAAACTCATCTTTTGATCCTGGCGGGTGGTTCCCCGAGCCAGCCATCTCACAAGTTCCGCTTCTGCGGCTCAAAGCCCGCCCCCGGCTTAGCATCTACCTCGAAACAGATGCCTCTGCGCATTTGCTTATCGATGCTGCCATATCGAATCAGGTGGGATCACCTCTACCCCAGGGGTTCGGACAGAGTCCTTGCACCGGGGCGTCAAAAGCGTTGGACATTCAAATCTTGAATGGAAACAACGTGATTGCGACCGGGGACATCGCTCTGGGGTCGCAGGACAACGAATTACCGCTTGACTTGGGCAAATTCACCCCTCGTATGGAGCCATACAACATCACAGTCCGCACCGCAATCAACTCGTCTCATGTTTACGAAGACTGGACCAGCTTTTCGTACCTTCCGTACCCTGAAAACTACGGCAGCGTAGCACGTATCGACAACTTCTATGGCGGGCTTCTTGCGCAGAGAGGTAAAGGTTCTGCTTGGGATTTGATCTTCCCATATACCTACTATAGTCAGTCTGCCACGCTCCATTCATCCATGAAGTACCTTTTACTAATAATGGTCATCAGCCCAATGGACACTTTACTGGAACTCCAGCGTCGACACGCTGAATGAGTTCGCCGCCATGGGCTATAACGTAATCCACATTGTGCCGACAGGAAGCCTCGGCGAAATCCCGTTTCCGTGGGAAGAGTTTGAGCCGTACATCCAGCGCGCGGATGAGCTGGGGCTCTACCTACGCTACGATGTCCTCTGGACCTGGCCAAATCTTACCAACATGATAGAACAGGTCTCGCGATTGCGAACTCATCCATCCATCTTGCTATGGTACCAGAGCGACGAAGCGGACGGAAAGAGTAACCCACCCAATTCAACAGGTATCGCCTACGACCAGATCAAGGCTCTGGATCCGTACCATCCGATATCGTTGGCGTTGAATTGCTGGGATTTCTACTACGCAGACTACGCAGCCGGCGCGGATATTGTCATGAGCGACGTCTATCCCGTGGGCATCAACGCGACTTTTTCGACAGTGTATGATACAGTGTGCAATCTAACGTACGGCGACTGCGGGTGTGACGACTGCGTGGGCGAGTTTGAGGACATCTCGGCGCGATTAGACGAGTTTTATCGCCGTGATGAGATTCTAGGATGGGAGAAAACCCAATGGTTTGCGCCTCAGGCATTCGGTAACGAGACTTTTTGGAACCGGTACCCGACGGCGGATGAAGAGGTAGTGATGACCTTGCTGTCGGTGAATCACGGAGCCAAAGGCATTGTGATGTGGAATTATCCCGCCACTCGGGAGCTCGAAAGCCTCACGAGTCGCTTGGCCGGGGTATTCACGAACAAAGCTGCGGTTGAACTTCTGTTACGCACTAAGCGGACGCAAGACCTCGCCGTGGAGGGTGCGAAGAGAATTGATGCGGCGGTCTGGGTGAACAAGGAGAAGCGGCAGGCATTGGTCAGCGTCGTCAACCTCAGCTATGATGCCGTCCCTGGAGAGATCAAGGTCATGTTACCCGAGGGTGTTGAGATAAGCAAAGCTATTGAGGTTGTTTGGGGAGACGTCGAATGGGAGTTCGGAGACGGAGGGCTAGTTGCCCCGAGTGGATTGCGTGGATTGCAAGCGTCGTTATTCATTGCAGAGTTGGTGTGAAGTGGTCGTAGAAGCATTGCTCTCCTCCAGCATTATCTAGTAGAGTCGCGAGCGTTCCTAGATCGTGGGCGTCTAATCGTTCGCTGTGGCCATAGTTGCTATCCAGGAGGTACCTAGTGAGATGTTCATGTTGCTTTAGCCAACAGATTGTGACACTTTCTCACATGAACAGTTTCGGGAACTCTATTTGGAAGCGAACCGACCATGACATTTATGAAAGACGTCAGTGCCAGTGGCACTAGCAGAATCTATACGCGTATAGCGCCGTATCCCCGTACTCGGGCCCACAATCCCGCGTATCTCCACGGCTCACCTCCGGCATGTTTCTCGGAACCACAATACGAATATTCACCAGCCTCAACAAAGAAGTATGGCCGGCCAAGTTTACCATATGCGAGTAGCTCCATCTCGGCAGAGCCGCGTCATGGGGCGGGATTTTGCACAAGCGTGATGAGGCCTGCAAGACATCCCAGCATATCCAATGACCATTCAAAGATCGCTCGGGAATCATCCGCGATACCAGGGGTCGGATTCTCGTTAATAAGGGGTAGAGCTACCGCGTCCTTGAGCTGTCACTTGATTACTCTTCCACCGACCGCTAGTCGGAAAGCCTCGGTCAACATTATCCAGAATGCGCTTTAGACCATCCCTCTCGAGCACCGTTTGTGCTGTGGCTACATATGCCTTTGCTCAACAGGACCAAGCTCGTCTCAACGGACAGTTCGAACCTTTTACGGTTGGAGACTCGATTCCATCAGACCTTCAATCTGAGGTTCCGCCTCCTCCAGAACCCGAACCAGTCACCATCACAGAGCTGCCATTGCCTCCTGTGACAACAAATACCGGTGTGGGGGGTTGTACCGCGGAGATTAACCCTCGTCGAACGGGCTGCATAGGACAATCCACTGGGCTCCAGTCAGGAGACTTCCTGCCCGATGACAAGCATGTTGTGGCGACGGTGACCTTCACGGGCGCACCCGCTGCCCCAGATGCGGCTAGTATATATACTGGGCCGCAGTTGATCATCGTCAAGGTCGACGGGACCACATTCCCCAACGGGGATGCATGGAAATGTATCACTTGCGGCGTTCCTGTGGGCAACGCTGTCGGCCGCGATGAAGCCCTCGACTACCCCCAGATCTTCAACGACGGAAAACGCCTCCTGGCGGGACCTAACATCATTGAGTGTTCTGCTGACCTTGCCAGCGAGGACTGCACGCCTGATAAAGTTCACATCTATCCCATCCGGTGGAACACAGCTGCGGACGGGTCGGGGCCCGGGGGAAGTATCCGGGAGCTGCGCATTCATCCGGACAACCAGCATTTGGGTTGGAGCTCCTTCGTGATTAAGTCTGGAAAGTTGGGCCAGTATGGATACATTGGCAGGCTAGAGTTCAACCCTTCACCCATTTCCGGCATTCCCCTTGCCCCGCGTTACGACCTGGTCAATGTCAATTTACTTTTCAACCCCAATGCGCCGCAGCCCATTGAGGTCGATCCCGAAGATATCAGTCAGCTCCGGATCAATCGCGACGCCATTGTTGTTGGCGAAATACGCGGCTTCAGTGGCACGGGCAAAGAAGTCACTTTCATCGGGTATCCTTTTGAGTCATCCAATATCGATGTCTTCGCTGCCGACCTCACCACTGGCAAAGTCAGACGACTGACAGCTCACCCTGATTATACAGATCCGGTAGATGTGTCGCCGGATGATAAATGGACCGTAGCCATGGACACTCGTGGTAGTGGCCGGCAAATGTTCATGGCTGGCCTGCGAGGCATTCCACCTCTGACGGACATAGTCAGCAGCAGCGTCACATCTTCGACAAGAAATAACCGCAAACGCCGCTTCTTCCAGCCTTGGCTTATTGACGGGTTCGGTGATCGTGGATCGTATTTCGGTCAGCAGCTCAACGCAGAGGGTGATGGGGTTCCGGGCGGCGGTGCCGTCAATGACCCAGAGTGGAACGGTCGTGCTGATCCAAAGTGGTCAAACGATGGCACGCGTATCGTCTACTGGCAGGCTCTCACCACTTCTCCGAGCTGTGGCGGGCAGAATCCTCTCCCTTGCTACCAATCCACGGCACCTGGGGGTCGTACTGAGCGAATGATGTTGGCCCATCTCACAAGCCGCCAGCCTCAGGCGCCACGGGATATCGAGCCTCTTTCTGACATCATTCCTTGGGCGACGCCGTACAAACCGGGGGATCCTGCTCCAGACAGGTCGTTCCTGGCCAGCGGGAAGTTTACGCTCTGGGGAAAATTTGGGGGTCGAGCGGACGTTACTTTGACACCCAACACTGCGGGTTCGCCCGAGACGGTTGCGGTCGAGTACCATGACTTCTCAGACGATGGGATCAACGTACTGGTAGGATTTGAGAGGGTTACGGCAAGGAACCCGACGCCGACCCTGGAAAAGATCGATTGGTTTTCCGATCTCGTCCAGACCGGACCCAACAACGGTACGAAGAAAACTAGTCAAGGCGGGTTTCATCTCTCAATCGACATCATGAAGAATGTTTTTGAAGCTAATGGGACGTTGACGACTACTGTCAACGGCAAGGAGTGGCACCAGCCTGCGAATGGCACATAGAATGAAGCGCCTCGTTGTGAGATGATTTCTTTGTGTTTTTATATGAATAGCGTACATATCTGGTATGAGGAATATTATCAAGCGTTTTTTATAAGTCGAGTAGTCTGTTCTATGGCCAGCATCGTGATGATAGACATGGAAGTTTTCCGAGTGAGGGTCACTAAAAGGATAAGTGGATGCTTATGGAGATGCGCTTTGACAGAGGGGTAAAGGCGGGTCTCTAGGGGCGAGCCTGAACGCAAATGTTTGTCCAAAGTATGGCTTCAGATAGCCTCTAAGTTATACAGCTATACTATCTGCGGGCGTGATATGGATATATCTAGCTGTGATATTGAAAGACACTGATAAACGCCGCCTTAAAATAGGTGCTGTTATCAGGCATAATGGCTGCATTCTAGCATGCATATACTGATTAATGTATCATAACAAACCCTTTTTTTCAGGGATCTCAGTTAAACACAGTTTCCATAGTTTACATTTCACATGGGTAAAAACATGGGAAACACGAATGTATCCACATATAATTAGACAACACAATGCGGTCAAGACGCGATCAGTCCGTCCGTGGCCCTAGTATAACGCGATGCTGTTAATACGCATGAGTTTTGAGGACGATATAGCAAATCATTGGACACAAATAAGGCCGGCTTATCAGTATTTATTTGGGGCCATTGGAATGGCATCTTCCCTTCGTGGTTTGATAGCGTTTCGAGGATGTTGAGCCCAAGTGGGTTCGGCGGGTCTGCCGTGGATCGACCGACCGGAAACCGGTTTTGAGATCACAACATTGCCGGCGCGAGGACATGCCCATTCCGGAGAAAAACATCACAGTTCTCACCGCATCTTGAAGCCTTATCTTAAACTCACCATCACTCTTTCACTCATCCCATAGAGTCGAGAACATACGCAAGCCTCACTGACACCACCCGCTATACTTTGATTTGCCACATCATGTCCCCCCGTTCATCAATCCACGACCCGGGCGATCCCAGTCAGCCGTTGCTCCCGCAACGGCGGCGAACCAGTACGATGACCTTCCGGATACCCTCACTGGGCAGCCAGCGTCGGGCCTCACTGCAGGAGGTACATCCACACCACGACGATATCGAACCGGTGTTACCAGCTGCGCCCGTCGCCGCTCACCAAGAGACGCGCCTTCACAAGCCGCAGTGGGCGCTGAGCGATAGGCCTCCCAACGCATGGGCTCAGATCCGCCATAGCTGGCGTGAGGAGTTTGCGTAAGTCATTTCTTCTTCTTCTCATAAAGATGCTAGGACAGACATCCTAGCAAAGATTTGTGCTATCAGAGAGCGAAGAAAGAACTTGCAGAGCTAACGACATACATACTCTCACACAGTGAGTTCTGGGGAACCTTTATGATCCTACTTTTTGGTGCAGGTGTTGAGTGTGAGACACGTCTCAATTACCGGTCGCCCGATATTAGAGACAACGCCGGCGACTTCTTGCAGTGCCGGTTGGCGTGGGCAGCCGGCGTGTCAATGGCCGTTTGGATGTCCGGCGGCGTATCCGGTGGCCACTGCAACCCGACAGTAACAGTCGTGCTGGCTCTGTTCCGCGGGTTTCCCTGGCGCAAGGTCCCGGGCTTCCTGGCAGCTCAAGTTCTCGGCGCCACTCTCGCAAGTCTTGCCGTCTATCTCAACTATGCCACTAGCATCGCTGCCTACGAAGGGGGTTCATCTCGTACACTTATTGGTGAACATGCCACGGCTGGTCTCTTCTTCACATTCCCAGCCCAAGGCCTGCCTTATGTCTCTGCCTTTTACACCGAATTTCTCGCCTCCGCAGTATTGGTCGCCATCGTCTTCGCCCTCGCTGACAAGAACAACCTGGCGCCGCCCAAAGGCACCCAGCCGTTCGCCATGTTCCTAGCCCTGTTGGCCATTGGCTCTGCTCTGGGCATCAACACGGGCTACGCCATGAACGGTGCCCGTGACACCGGCCCTCGAATTGCACTGGCTCTTGTCGGTTATGGCCGCGCCGTCTTTACGCATGACTCCTTTTACTGGCTGTGGGCACCGTGGGCTGCTGCCATTGCAGGCGGCATACTGGGTGCCAGTGTATATGATGCTTTCGTGTACACTGGGAGGGATTCGCCCTTTAACATTCCCCGCAAAGATTATGATTAAGTCTGCGAGCTGTTATATTGTATAGAGGCAGACAACAAGACTTAGATCGGAAGGCATGGAGCAGTTGGGTGTGTGGATTCTCATTATATCACGGCTGAGCAAACCAACCTGCCACCGTGTGCTGCTGGATTGATATTATCCATTTTCTTGATTTGCTGGAACTTACATGCCAGAGGAAGATACATTGAGATGATGCGAGCATCAATGCAGCGCTACTTAGCCGTTGACATAGGTGTTGGTCTAGCCGATTTCTGGTGTTAGTAGGATCCCATGCCTTATCAATATCAAGGCCATTGCGATCCTATCTATGTTAGGTGCATCTTGGTCGTGTCCTTGGCGACGGTGCAATGATAATATTTACTCAGCTGGTCAAGCTCCTGATATGGCCAAGTGCAGTAACTACTGACCAAGGCGCCGTGATAACTCTATTCACTGCCAAGCGGAAGCCCTCAAGGGAAGGGTGCTAGAAATGGAGGACACTACTTGGCACCTCTTTTCATGCTAGGAACTTGTCTACTTCATCATCAACCGGAGGCCCATGGCAGACGAGGGCTTGGTTGACTTCGGCGTGCATTATTCAAAGACTCGGCCTAGCTCAGAGCCCGCTGTATGTAGAACCGTATATGAAGAAGTTACGTTTCTTCTGTAGTCTATCCATCCATCTTTCAAAACACAGCCTTGGCATGTGTCGACAAGACATGATTTGAGGCCAATGACATTCAAACCAACTACAGAGCGCTGACAAAGACAGTTTGCAGTGACGCCATCATTCACGTCAGAGCAGGGAGGCTTAAGAGAAAGTTGGCTAGCTCAGCGAGCTGAGGATGACAAGAATGGGATATGGTAGGGGCACTTATTGACTGAAAGCTTTAGCTCGTCACATACTTGTTGCGAGAGTCACTTTCAACCATGCACCTTTTGGAAAAGCGGTCAATGATGAGAGTCTTCGTATTTGCAGTTCAGTGGGGCCTAACACAATAATCGCACGACTTTTAGTGCTTGCATATAGCATAAGCTCCAGTGTGAATGCTTGCATGCCTGAACTTAGCGAGTATATGACATAGTTTCCAACATAAAAACAGCAGTATGCTTAAGAACTCGAAACATCGGATACAGCTAGTTCCCGTTGCCGATCGCTTAGCGGAGTTCCATCCTGTTGTCGTGATAATTTGAGCAATCGGATCCTCTGGACAGTCGTAACAGAACGGCTGCGTGGGGCCGGTAAACCACCGCTAGCGCTCCCGAGATTAGCGAAATTGACGCTGAACGCTGAATCAGCAATAGCTTTCGCCCTGCAGTTTCACTAGGTTATTACTATATAATGGATATTGCCAAGATTGACTTACTAAGAACACTTGAGATATCCATCTTACACGGCCTTAGTTCAATATACTAGTTGCTAATGATAGGTTGGTGTTACTATGCTACATGATGGTGGCAATTGTACTAGTGACTGATGTGTATATAAATGGTTTCGGTTACCTGCTTTTTAAGAATCGGAAGTGAACTCTCAGTAGCAACTTTCATCACTCAGAAACATCCATCGCCCTGTTTACATTCAGTTTCGCCCAATCTTCCTAGTCGTTTTAAGACGTTCTCAACCACCATTCACAAAATGTACATTTCATCATCCCTTGCCCTTCTCGCAGCAACTGCCCTTCAGCTGGCCCAGCCCGTGGCAGCCAACTATGAAAGTGGCAAGGCCGTGCAAATCAACTTCTACTCCAACTCCGGTTGCTCAGCTTACATCGGCGAGACTGCAGCGTGGTGGACCCGTTCGCCGCGTGCCGGTGAATATGTATCTGGCGGAACCGGAGGCGACTGCTTCTCACTCAACATGCCGGGCAACAGCCAGAGCTTGAACCTTGCCAGCGTCTGGAAGGGTAACGGGGCCAAGACATCAGGTACCTGCCAGCTTTACGACGGATACAACTGTGGAGGCACCGCTGGTTCCGGAGGGTACTCTGGGGGCTCAGGAAACTGCGTGCCGGCGAGGAGCTCAAAGGGGCTGTTGTGGAAGAGTGCTCGCTGTGGCGCAGCGCCCAAGTAAATGGGATCACGGTGGATTTTTGAGGAGTAGCAGCTTGATAGAGAACAGGCAAAAAATACGTCAACAATATATCAAACTTTTTGTTCATACGTGCCCCCCATGTTTAATTTCTCTGTTAAAAATGGATTGAAATTTCTTACCACTCTTGCTTACATGAAATAGCAGTGTTGGGAGCTGATAATCATTATCGTGATGGTGTTCGTTTGGGACCTTCAATGCGAAGTCGTGACACTGTGTATTGTGAACAACGTTCCTTTACAATTTAGCAACTTACGTTTTCAATTTTTGAGAACTACTTTAATGGCAAAAAACACCTGCAAAGGCATTTTAGATTGCTAGTTTATAGTTGATGCCCGATGAACTATAAAACCCAATGACCTACCTGGAAATCTTTACATTGTTGAATTAAGAAAGATTAATGCCTAGAACATAATCCTACAAGAGCACTTTTACAAGATCTTCAAGGTCTAGCATTTTTTTTTTAGTTGAGCTGTTTGAACTATCTCATCTATGTCATGCTGTCGCTGTTATTGGAGATTGTTCAAGGACTACGATTTTGGCTACATGCAGCAGCATCATTTCCCCAAACCATCGCCAATCAATACAAACGATCCTCAGAAATATTGCAATCTGCAGAGATGGTTGGTATGAAAGACTCGGTACATTGATTATGCGACTAGGATGTGCCGGTGGGGGTCCTTGGGGGTCACTTACAGCAGTTCAGGGCCTCTTTGAGGGCAAAAGCATCTCTAAATACGAGGTTTACATGAACAACTGATATAATAATGTTCTTAGAAGAAATAGGTTAAAGATGTTAACCATCACTTGACAAATATTCTAGACTACCACGGCAATCAAGGCGCGGTTGATTTATTCATTTGTTCGGGTACTGTACCCCGCTTATGTAATATGACGCTGATCGAAGTGTAAATCATATGACTTATCACATGACCCGAAACTGCCCCTCGATACCGCGACAAGATAGCTGAGGATTCATCATCAAGAATGACTTACAAAGGAAAATCGCAGCCGAGGAGTCGCGCCGTCCGTGCCGAGATTTGGATCATCAATTTCCCGCTGCCTTCTCTACGTATCGATACCAACATGTCTGATTCGAAATAACAAGTTTGCTATCATGAACTCAATATCAATTGGTCAATAATTCTCCACCTTCAAAGTCCCTCGAATCTGTGTTTCCAGACAACTTGACGACCATCTTGTGCGATTCCACTTTGCAGTTCAAATTGCTTGGCCGAGGACGTGTCCTTTGCCGTCGCTAAGATGGCTAGGAAGAAGAATAAGCAAATGGTCTCCGATGAGCTCGATGGGGGGGTTCCGAGTGGAAGCGCATCGCAATCTTCGTCGAATGGCTCCTCTAAGGATAGAAAGGCAGCGAACACCGTCTCTGACTCTGCGCCTGCGCTTATAATATGTCGCAACAAGTCCGTATACCCTCCTGTGTCAATTCTGCTGGCCTTTCGTCCTTGCGCTGTTATCCTTTCGGTTGTGTGATGTAGCGAGGGATCATAGTCGGTTCCCCCAGGTTAGAATGCGGCTAACAGAGACTGAGTGACAGACATTGGCGGTTCATTTCTTCATTCCACGGGCCATGGCTGCAAATGCCCATCGAGATCCTCGAGACGATTGCGAATATCAATTATAATACCCCTCCGCCCCGTCCCATCGACCCGGCAATCTTCTTCGACCTTCTCAAGATCCGCCGACTAGTCGACGAAGCGACGAATCTCGCCGTGCGGGCTGCTAGCGATATCGCCTCACCTACCTTGACAAATGTACATGGCGGGCTCAATGGACACATGTCGTCGTTAGGGTTCGGGGTGGGCGGTGGTCACGGCACGAAACTGAGCAAGGAGCGCAAATTCCGAATGAGAGAGCAGGCCAGCCAGAAGCTTGCGCGCGCATATCGCTTGGACGAAATCGCTTGCAGTGTTGCTACGATGCAGGGTGCGTCGCCCTTGGAGGAAATTGGTTCCCTGGTGCTGCAGCGCAGTAAGGACGACCCCGATGCAAAATACGTTCACTTTTTCCACGAAAAGATACCTTCGAGACAACTGGCCGAGTGCACCAGCTTGCGACCCCTGGATGAGGTTATATCTGCGCGACCAAACGAGGGCGAAGCTTTGCGAACGAGGGCGACAGTAAGGGTATTCAAGGATGATCATGATGGCGCTGCTCAGGACTTGAGCGTTGCGCTGCAAGTGCACCGCTTTCATCACCCATTACACAACCCACCATCGACCCAGGACCTTCACATAGCAGCTGGGTCTAGAAGAAGCCAGGACGTGGTTCTTACGGAGGAGCAGCAACCTAGCAGCTTGGAAACACAGCTGCTATTTCAACGCGCCGGGGTATACTTGACAATTGCATGCCAGCATGTTATGAGCGGCTTGCAAGAGACTCCTGCAAATGGAGGACCAGCGCGAGCCAACGGCTCGAAGGAGCTATCCCGTGATGGCAGTCCAGTGGACAAGGTTACCCCCGATCAGGCGTCGGAGTCTACAGCAGCTGAGAAAGAGTCCGCTCGCCATCGACTAGAGGAACGCAAATTGGTCAAGACGTATGCAAAGAGAGCCTTGCGGGACTACATGGCTTATCTGTCAAAATTTGACTACACTCCGGATCTTCCCTTGAAGGTTGCTAAAGAATTCACCGAAAAGGTGAACATTGCGGCTCATGGCATCCGTAATCCTCGAGTTCCCGATGCAGGAGCAATACCGCCTTACAAGACTTATCCCCTATCCGACCTTTTCGCCGCTGTACCACCAGCAGACATGCCCCCTTATCCTTCCCAAGAGATTATACACCAATCTGGACCTGCACTGCCTTCAAATTATGAGGCCATCACGTATCATCCCTTGCTCACAGATGCCCTCCATTCCCTTTTGCTCTGCCACTGTCTCGTGCAGACTTCCACCAAGGAGCTTCTTCGCCACGCGCACATGGTTGCCCGGTTGGCTCGTCTTGCCGACGGATATCCCATTTTTCAAGCCAGCCGGTCTCCAGCGAGAGCGGACTGGATCGAGGTCATTCGGAGAGCTGAAAATTGGATTCAAATGTCATCATCGTGGGAGCAACTTTGCACTCCCGCCCCTCTCCCTATTCTCGATGCGCCATTGTCTCAACACCAGAATAAGACCCAACCTTCTCATAAAGCCGCTGCCCTAGCGGCCGCAGCTATCACCAAAAATGGCAACATGCTACCTGAATCTGGCGAGAGTGATGAGCAACGCAGAGAGAGAGTTCGCCAACAGGCCATCATGGAGTCTCTTGAGGACGATCGAGTGGTCGATGAGGCCAGCCTCCGTGCCGCTATTACCGCACGGCAGAAGCGAGCTGAGGAAGACCATGAGTATATGCTTGGCTTGAAAAGTACTTACAACGGGAGAACCGATACGTCAAATAATGGCCAATCGTCGCCTGCTCTGCGGAGGTGGAGTGTAGATGACGGGAGAGAATATCCAATCTTGACGGAGCGTGCCGCCGCCATTGCTCGATGGGTCGTTGAGGCGCCGACGGTGAGCCTGGGAACGGCCAAGCGGAAGAAGAAATCAGGCCCAAAGAAAGAGAAGGATATTAGGGGTCCAGAATCGGCTTCGAGAGGCATGGCCGATCTGGCAATCAGCGAGACTGGTAGGACCGTTGACGCGCAGGCGTAATTTTGCCGACCGCTAACTCTAGCAACTGTGATTTTTTTTTCACTGTTCCAAATGGATATATAGTTTGGGATCCGGGTGCTTCGCACCGGCCAATGAGCTGAGCCTAATGACAAAGCCATGAGAAGACCAACTTAATCTTCCCTTAGTAATAATCATCTCCGGTGAGTCAGTGCTTCGGGTCATTTTTTATTCACAGGAAAGAAAGGCAGCGGGCACAGTTTAAAGACTTTGACAACTTCAATATCTTGCGATTGAGGGTATAGCGCGACCGACCCCGGCTTAGCCGTCAGGTTCAGTTCAACATTATCTGATAATACAGCGGAAATAAAAAAAAACCATTACTCATCATCTCCAACTCACGTCTAAACAACTTCCTTCCTCTCAGCCTGCTGGACTTGGGCACCGTCCTTGTCGGAAGCAGAGCCAGCCTCGGGATGGTCGTTGACACCCATCATCTGACCTCCCTTCTCAGTGTGGCTGACGCCACCAAAGAGAACATCAACATCCTCCAAGGCAACCTGCTTCGTCTCGGGGATGAAGAAGTACACAAAGACACCGAGGACGACGTTCATGCCCATGAAGAAGAAGAGGCACTTGAGACCCTCGTTGGCCAGGAAGGTCGGGAAGAACTGCTGGAAGATGGTGTTGGCGACGTTCTGCATCTGCGAGCACATGCCGACGGCCTGGGCGCGGACGTTGACGGAGAAGATCTCGGAAGTGTACATCCAGGTGGTGGCGCCCCAGGACGGCTTGTAGAAGAAGGTGAAGAGGAACAGCAGGAACACGATGGCGATGCCGACGGGCTCGCTCTTGGTTCCGTCCGCGGCAGTGGGCGTCTTGAGACCGACGATTGGCACGACAAGCATGCAAACAGCCATACCGGCGGCACCGACGATGAAGAGCCAGCGACGTCCGAAGCGGTCGGCGGTCCACATGGCGTTGAGGGTGAAGAGGATTCCCATGGTGGCGTTGAGGGCGTTGATCAGGTTAATGGTGTCGTCAGAGGGCCAGACCTTCTTGTAGATGGCGGTCGAGTAGGAGTTGAGGGTTCCCTGGCCGGTAAGCTGCTGGCCGACGTTGAGGATGAAGGCGAGGTAGAGACGCTTGCGGATGGAGGCGTCCCTGAACAGGGCGGAGTAGTTGCTGCTGATGGCCTCCTTCTCGTACTCGATGGCCTCGCGGATGGTGAGCAGCTCGTCCTCGATCTCCTGCTCCGTGTCACGGATGCGCGCCAGGGCGGCGCGGGCGGCGTCGACGTCGCCCCTCTTCTTGATGTACCAACGGGGACTCTCGGGCTGGAAGGGGAGGGCGATCATGATGATGATGGGGACGAGCATCTGGAAGATGACGACGATGCGCCAGTCCCACTCGCCGAGGGTCTGGCGGTGCTTGGAGCATGCGTAGTTGATCCAGTAGGCGATGAAGGAACCGACAGAGTAGAACATCTGCCAGCAGGCCATGATGTGGCCACGGATCTGGGGAGGGGCGACCTCGCCGATGTACACGGGGCCGGCGGTAAGGGCCATGCCCTGTCCGAGACCGATAACAACACGACCGGCGATGAAGACGCCGATCTTGTGGTGAGGGGTGAAGGTCTGCATGAGGGTTGCGATGACGGTGACGAAGCAGCCGAGGGCCATGCCCCAGCGGCGACCAAAGTAGTCGGCCTAAAGATTTAGATGTTAGTTTCTGGATTTCCGACAGTGACGAGGGTTAGACGGGGACTCACGATAGGGCCACCGAGGAAGAAACCGGCGACAATGGCACCGATGGTGTAAGCCGTGTTGACGAGACCGATCAGTTGCGTGTCTTTCTTGAGATCGACGTCGACCCAGGCGAGCCAGTTCTTGGATCCCTGGAGAGAGTTGTAGACGGAGGCATCGTACCCGTAGAGCACCATGCACATGGCCGCCATGAGGGAGATGTACCAATTGTACACCCTCTTGCCGGTGACTGCCATCTTGACGACCTTTTGTTTTTGTTCGTTGACTTAAAAAGCCTTAAGAGAAGAAAAAAAATAAGGGTTGTCGTCACACAAAAATCAAGATCGTGAGAGTTGATAGAGACAGAAGAGGAATGGACAACTCCAGCAAAGAGATGAAGAACCAAAGGTCGTCTGAGTAGAGAGATAGAGACGGAAGAAGCTTGTCTTTAAAAGGTTTCAACACAAAGGAAACCGACTCATAAAGCTAAACCCTCGAATCCCCGCAAAGACCAATTTCCGTTTCCCCCAACCCTCCCCCAAATTCCCCCCGTTCATTCCCCTCATTCCCCGGGTCTAGATAGCGAGGGAAAAAAGCAGAACGAGGGCGTCGTTCCCCATAATTGTTGTCGAGACCAGGACTAGCGCTGGCTCCGGGGGAGTGGATGTGGAGTTTTCCTGGGTGGCAGCGGCCAGAAAGGACCGAAGTTTGAGTCGTTTACACTCTGAAGCCATCGCTGCAGAGAATTCCGTGCCTGTCAGAGACGAGGGTTGTTGTCATCGATAACATCACACCCTCCCTTCTTCTCCCCATCCCGCTCGTCCGCCCCCTCTCTATCCACTGGCAACACGAGCCGAAGGACGTTCAAGGCGACAAGACGAACCAAGAGATGCGGCGACAACACAAACCCAGCATATCTCTTGGCGCCACGCCGCGTGTGGCTCTCCGCCCTTCCCCAGAGCCGGCCAAAGTTCCGTCACCCCTGTCAGCATCTTCTGGGGTCAAGCCGGCGGAGAAACCCCATAGCCCAACTTCCACCAATGGTAATTTTGCCTTTATGGCCCCCTTTAGATCATGGAGGGTCGACGAACTATACTAGGCGATTTCGGGTACCGCGTGGTGGCTGGTCTGGGCAAACGCTTGTTTTCCTCCCTCCATTTCAACTCTAAAGTGTTTGTGTAATTGCACAACTCGTCAGCGAAATTACTACCAAAGTTACTTTGGGACAATAAAACGAGACAGAGAGAGAGAAGGAGAAAAGAGGAAATCATTCGAGGTCATACGGCCCTGGAATATGGCGCACATCTTCATGCGTGGATGGGCGGAAGATGGCCCTTGGCGAACGCAAGTGGCCATTTCAAAAAAAAAAAAAAAAAAAAAAAAAAAAAGCTCCCACTACCAAAGATGCCGATTTCCGTCTTTGCCCACGCCTCTCCGTGGGACCACTAGTCGCAAAGCCATGCAGCTGCTATTATAACCCTTTGTGGGAAAACAAAACGATATGCAAGGGCTGACTTGGGACCCAGCTCTTTTTCTCTTGCTGACGACGACACCCGTTTGGTTGAACACGCTCAGCAGCCTCTGGCTGTGAGAGGCTCGCATGTGATGACAATGTCGAGTTGGTCACGAAAAGGATCCCGGCAACCTCACGCAAGTTTATCTTTAGGACCCATTATTCCCGCATGTTTCTCATGCGACAGGAACAAGGTGGACCAGAGTCAGCCCTTCACATGGGATCCATTCTTCCAGACTAGAAAACGGCGACATCACGCCGCCTCTAGCCTCGAGTTTGGAGACTCTCTCTCTCAAAACCTCTGTTTCTGCTCGATTCAGTGTATCAAACTTTCATATAACCATCCCCAAGACTCGCGATAAGTTGACACAAGCTTTATCTGCTCGCGCCAGCGGCTCAATGAGCATCGCCAACCTGCAGATTGAGCAAGCGGCGCAGGGCGGCCAAGGACGACCAGCCGGCGGATCCCCGCGTGGCGCTGCAAGCCACCCGATGCTGCCAAGGCGTCGTCGTCGATTCCGCCTGTTTCCTCTCACATTTCTGCCTGTGATGGCCCTGCTGTTGAGGCCAGAGCTGATATCACTGTGCCCGTAAGCGCCTTGGCGAAAATCGATTCCGAGGCTCTCGCATGGCCCAGAATGCTTGGTCAAAACGTGGCTGCAATTCAGCCTGAATCGTCCTCATACACCACTTTGTTTCTTCTGCCGTGCTCATCCCATCCCATCGGCTGCCCAGACTGAATTTGATATATATATATATGTCGTGTCGTGGACCACTGAAAGCGTAATAAACCCAAACTCATCCTATCCCGGCATTTGCGCCACAGTAACTCCAGCTTTGCGTCTCCCCCGCAGAAACCCCAACGACGCGGAATCAGAAAATCGAACCACTGGAATCCGGAGTCCCCAACTTATTTCGACCGGCGGTCGAAACTAAGCTGCACCCGGGAAAAGGGGGCCCGCAATCGACAGCAACATGATTGATGGAAGAAATAAACCTTCCCCAGATGACTCCAGATGGGGCACCGCGAAGGCAAAAGGGAGGGATGCGTCCACGCCCAGCGCTAGGTTACCCCCTCCCCCCGGGTCGTCGGCGACGGCGACGGTTTGTGGAGAGCCAGCGGCGAAATCCAGAGATAGCGGGAAGAGGAAAAGAAAAGGTCCCATTGCCTGGATCTCCAAGGTTGTCAGACCCTAGCGGCCGCCGCAGTCTGCAAAAAGATATCCCCCCCTACCTTTGCACATCATGCACATGCACACGCACACGCACGGCGCTCTCCCAGGAATAGACGGGGCTGATAGGAGATCGCTTCTCCTTCTGGGAACGAGCTGGCGTCGATTATGCGAATTCATTAACTAGCTTACCGAGAGGTTGGCACCACCTGCGCTCGGCCTCGGTGTTCGGTCCCAACAGGTCTCATTAGCTCCGGGGTTCAGTATCTATGTATGGCTTGTCCTGGTGCTGACGAAGAGGTGCTTCTGCCCGGGTCCGTGGCGCTCATGCATCTTTGTTCTTGCCATGTTGTTTCTTCCACCTGCCAGCGAGTCGTTTCTGGTCTATGTTCTTTACGAGTGATCAAATGGCGAACGGCCGGACTCGAAGTAGCGGTATTGCATACTCAACATGAACCGGTCTTTATCACAATTTCGTCATACCGGTGGGAGATGAGGAGAAGCCAAGACGCCAGAGGTTGAGCCAATACATCGAAGATATACGAGGACTCTACCCGTCACTAGTCTCACCTACATGACACTTTACAGCACATGACGCCTTAGGCATACACCCAAGGCAGCCGCTTTACGAACCTGTTAGAATGCAGTCACGGCAACGAGGAAGATTACACCTGGACATTTAGATGGCATTCGACAAAGTAATAAACCCTCGTAAAACAGCAGCAGGCATAACATGATTCTCGACTCGCTATGAAATCGACCAAGACACGTTCGAAATTCACCATCTCGTCTGTCCTTTGAGAACCCCTTCGAGAATGCCATTCAGCACCCCGAACCGAGTCCGCTCAGCTGTTTGATCCTAGGCCTGACGACCCGTAGGAACACAGGAGAGACATCCAATGTGCCCTTCACCTACCGCCGCGACTTGCGTCGTCCTGGGAGCCCGTGACACGACCACAACACGACTTAGTTACCGGCTAACTATAAGGAATAGGTTCGTAGGAACTTCATCGATGTGAACGACAAAGTACAACGACAACGACCATACCAAAAAAAAAAAAAAAAAAAAACACATCGTCCATTTGATAAGTTGCTAATAGTATCGAGAAAATCACGTACGGACATTTCGTAGAGCCCAAGGATGCAATGATACTTGGGAGTAGGTGTCGATAAGGCTATCGGATCCGAGCCAAGTTGTATGCCTTGGGGACTGGCTTCCTCAGTTCATGACCATAACCTCTGGGGCAGTCTTGACGCCAGCCTAGGCGTCCTAGCCAGACGCAATGCCCACGCCACAGCCCTCAAGAGCCATCAAGATCGGACGGTCAGCAACAGATCATCCCAAGGCCAAATACTCGTGGTTGGCACCCAAGCCGTGTCAAGAGCGAACATGCTCGAAATTCTCCGTCTTTTCAGCAACCGCTGTAGCTTAATCTCAATAATACATTGTGCAACTTAAACTCGTCTGAACTTCTGAGTAACCTCTTGGAGAATCTTTTACGGTGGACTCCACCATTTTGTCTCTGTACCTCCATGCAGGTACCAATGACTCAGACAGACATAGCCGTAGTCCGGCCCAGCAATCGATTGCAGCTCTCGACCTTTCAGCGAAAGCCCAGTACGTTAAGCGCCGTTGAACAAGGGGGGGTATGTGCGAGGCCAGCCGCGCCGTGCCTGACAAATCTTCTTGCAACCCTTACGAGCGACTATTGACCGCCACCGGGGGGGTATTCCTGCTCTCGTTGAGAAAGACCCTGGAAAGAAATAAATTGCTGGGAGGTGGGTTGAAGCGAGATGAAAACGGATAGCGCGGCTTCGTGGTCCGGTGTGAAAAAGCTCCGTTGCGTGCTCGGCTTGATATTTGACCACCGTAGAAGTAGTAATGCAGAGACGGAAAATAAGAGAGACTTCGGGGACTTGTTACTGAGGTTTTTATCGGTCGAAGAGCGCTTGATGTAACGGCGAGCTCGTTCCGCTGGCTTCCGCGTGTCCATGATAGACCCTTGAAGCTTGCGGTTACTCACAAAATGTGAGGTCAATATCCCTCTTTACCTACCGGCATGGCAAATAAAACCGCGAGCTACACGGCAAGGCTTTCGTTAGCACGAGTAAGTCAGACGAATTACTCGCCGCCCATTGAGGCCTTCTCGCTATGTTACTGTCATTGTGCTATTCCCCCCGTACAATTAATTCATCCGCTCGCCATGGGATGACCCGAACAAGTTTTCCGGGAAGGACAGTGTACCACTAGCCTGAATACTACCTATCCTCCAGCCAATGGTTGCCTGGTGCTATTCGTAGCGGTAATAGACTCTTTAGAGCTGCACAAGGCAGAAAGCACGCTACATGGCCCCCGGTTTATTGTGCGAATCATATTTGTAGTCCGGCATGGAAAGTAACTGACATGTACCTTGAGCTGTAAGGCGTCAAAACCAAAGTTACGTGCCCAGGAATATTTCCATTCTCTGAAAGCCAGAGTATTCGAGGACGGAATCTTGACGATGGGGGGGGGGACCAAGGAAGAGAAGCCATTAACCTCGCCGGCCCGTCCCACTGCCAATCTAGCCCATCTACGCGACTTGAAATGCCATTGCGTTCATATGAAAACTAATGTGTTCACATATAAAGAGAATGTATTTCTTGAAAACTACCTCGTCAAATGCTTGCCAGCTATCGAGTATATACGCGAAGGGCAATACTGAAATGACTACTTGAATACTACTTGATACGATGACTGAAGATTGGTGACGTTGAGAAACACAGGGGGGGGGGGGGGGGGAGGGGGGGATTGGGTCACTAGCCCCTCGCTGCCACTAGCAGTATCTTGTCTTGTAGTCTAGAGACACTGGGTGATATGAGATGTTCAAGTTTTATTCCGAACGGCAGTCCAACTGGCAGCAACTCGGAAACATAAAAGACCCTGGAGCCGTGACCTGGGTAGTGCGTTCGTTGTTAATAAGGCCTTCACTAGTAACATCATGATGCAGACGTACAGTTTCAGATCAACATTAGCAGATCAAACACCAAGAGATACTACCTCAAGGCTCAATATGAAGGACGTTTCAAACACAACTCGAGATATGTTTACTGGTCACTGATAACATGGCGTCGGTTGATATATCTTGAGCATTGTCTCATAATCTAAAGTGTACAGAGTGTCCTAATGCACTCCTAGAGCCCAAAAAAACCAGGGCCGCTTCACCTGGGCGGGCCGCCATGTCCCGGTGGCATGCCGGGCATGACCTGACCTGCGCCGTCTCCCATCCATCTATACTGCACCATCGGCTGTCCAGGCTGCTGCATCATGCCCTGCATCTGCATATGCGGAGGTGTCATGAGGACCTGGGGATTTGGGTGAATGGAACGCTGGAGTTGCGGTGGCGAGGGCCCGGGAATCATCTGTTGTTGTTGCTGATGTTGCGGGTGGTGTGGCTGTTGCGGTTGCTGATCTCTCATCTGCCGCTGAACCTGGAGCCAGGAGAACAACTCTGATGATATCGTCTCGAAGGTCGATTTCAACTGCGAAGCAATATCCCAGCGCTGGGAAAAGGTGTTTAGCGTTTCCACCACTTGTTGTAAGCACCGGATGCTTCTGTCCACAACATTTTCGCTACCGACAGGGCGGTGAGGCAAGGGAGGGGGTGGCGCCGTTCCCGGCCGTGTGATGGGTGGGATGATCCTCGTTTCCGAGAGAAGAAGCTCGCGAGCTGCATTGAAGACTGTAAAGAACTGCATTGCAACAAAGTATACCTTGAGCGCGTCGAGTGATGTATAGAATGCCGTATTGGCTGCGCCGTGTGCAACGCTGTGCATGGTATTGATGTATGTGATGGCGTGTTCGAAAATGAGCTTCCGGGCGTAGTCGGTCAGGCGAGGAGATCGATCACTGGGTGCAAGACAGTAAATGTAGCTGTATCTCAACTCGAGCTCAAACAGTTCCCGAATGCCAGAGGGTAGATTGTCGGGCAAACTCTCGTGCCATTCCCGCATCTCCAGGCACATTTGCCAGATGAACGAGGCTGCATCGGGGAGAGGCGCCGAGTCGGCTTGGAATAGGGTTTGATACCACTCTGACTGGGTGCGTCGTAATTGAAACAGGAGCAGGGCCGGATCCGCAGACTGAGGGCCGGTGATTGGCCCTGACGATGGTCCCGATGCGGTAGGGTACTCGACGTTGATTGAGTCGTCTGTGAATGAGAATGATCTTGTGCGAATCATGCTGATAGTCCTGTATGGAAAGTTAGGGAAATGTGTTTTGAGCAGAAGCATACGAGAACCAACCTGTCAAGCGCGTATACGCAGTAAAACATCCTTCTCCTAATATCAAGGGCGGCCTTGTCGGGGACTTGGAGCAGCGGAGGATCTTGGTGGAACCCAAGGTCAACGACCGCCCTGCTCGCGAAACCAATCAGATACCAACTGTCGAAATGCGCTGGATCGAGCATTGAATATTGCGTAAATAGAATAAGCGACTGGATCTGCGTTGGATACCCGGGCATCAAAGCCTTGTCGGCAAAGGGCAGTGCGCGGGCAACGAAGTCAAGGCCGCGACGATAGTACTCGTCCTGCCCGTTTTTACTTTGTGCAGTATAACCAATGGCAAGAACCATGTACAAGAGCCAAAAGTCAGCATCCTTCAGGTGTTCCTTCACCCTCTCATCTTGCTGGTAGACGTCATCAAGAACCGTGAGAAGATGTGTTTCGGAAAAACAGGGGAACAGGGCATAGATGTTGGCTGTGTAATACTGAATAACAGCCAAAGCTTCTGCCCTCGCCGGAAAACTATCTTCGGTTGGGTCTGGTACCTCTTCATTAGTTGCGGCTGCCAACACAAGTCGAGCAAATGTCATGTTGCTCAAGGATGGTTCAAAATCGCGAGTGGTCGCGTTGACCGAACTGAAGAGTTATGTTAGAGAGGATAACGGAACAGTGCAAACAAAAGATCTCACAGGTAGCCAAAGTCGGACACGAGAGCGTTTACGTCCGAATCTTCCCTCTTACGGGCAGCTTTTCGGTGGATGGCAGCGCGAATGTTTGCCAAAGAGTCCTTACGATCAGCTGGAGCCGCGGTTTCGTCGATGTCGTGCAGGCTGACCGAGGCCTTGCGCGAACGAGCGAATGCCAGCCGTTTCTCCAGCTTCTCGACTCTCAATTCCAAAGCCGCAACATAACTGGCGTTCTTTAGTATCGCTTTGAAACCCAGGTTCTCGGGTTGATGACTTACCTCCTCTCCTTCCCTCGGGCGAACTGGTCATTAGCGCTAGAACACTCATTCTCACGGCCAGCCTTCTCACAGGCGGTGCAAGCTGGGAGCTTGCCATCACACTAAGGCAGCAAGGCACGTATCAGCAAAAGCCCTTTCGGTCCGTCAGGCTGAGCAGGCGGGGGAGGGACAATATATACCTTGACCTTTGCAGCTCGACCTGTGGGGCAAGATTAGCCTCGCATGAAATAAAAGCAGTCAGCCGTGGCGATGACAACTCACATCGCGAGCAGGCCGAGACAGGCCGCGATACCCGCAGCAGGGGGTTATCTGAGAAACTGGATCGCGGCATGTAGGGCGATGGGATGCGACAGGGAACGAGGTGCCGTGCCCCGAGGCCGCGCTACTGAGACGGCTCCGGTCGTTGATCTGAACCGTTGAGATGGTGGACTGCGACCGAGGCTTTTAAGCCTGGATAACTGCGAGGGAGCAGAAAGGCGAGCGAGAAAGTGTCAAGTCTATCTACTATAATCCTTTCCGGTGATCAACGTTGCGCGGTTAGCTCTAGTATGGCCAGGGGCGAATGGTGATGTCTGATTGAGTGACCGTAGGGGGGTGCAAAAGTCCGGCCGGATCGTCGTCAGCGGACTCTGGAGGCCAAGGCAAGGCTGCAAAGCAGGGACCAGAGCCGGGCAGACAACAGGTCGTCGAGCTGTAAGCGCCGTATCGCGTAAAGAAGGTCCCCTAGTCGGCTGTCGGGGGGTGTTCAAAGTTGGTTGGGGGCTTGGAGCTGGCTGGGTGCGATCAAAGGGTCGCAATGATGATGGGATTAAGAGGCGGCTAAAAGTTTGCGGCTGTCGGAGAGTAGCGAAGCATGAGGGGTCTGATCTACAGTGCTGAGGTACAGTAGAGGGGGTGACGAAGCGCAGCACGAGCGAGGGTCAGCCGCCCAAGACGAGACAGCGCGCGAGTCGTTCACTTCGGCTTGCCCCTACTGGTGGTGTTGGTCTACCACAGAACGGCAACTGTGCCGTAGAGCGGGGACGGCGAAGGTAGGGACGGGGGTAATGAGTGATGGTACTGAAGTACGGATACTCAAGCGGTAGTACTTGGTGGTGCTGGGTTGCTTCTGCCAGTCTGTCCAACAGCGATCGGCGGCAAGTCAATAGCAAACATGACACAAAATGCTTCCCCTCTCTTGTGCGACAGTACATAGAGTACGGCTTTCGTAAGACGTTCCTACCCCGCCTAGGGTCCGTTTACTGCCCTTGATGGCCACTTCTTCGGTACGGAGTGACCTGACGACACTTGCAAGCATCCCCTGTCCTTGGTCGCCTGTTGCCAGATAGAGCCCGTCCCGGGTCCCTTCCCCTGGGCCGCTACCACCGGTTTGCTGTTGAATATTGAAATTGGCCTGGACCGAGCCAGGGGGTTTGTAACATTTTCTTTTAGTATAACACCCTCTTTTTTCTTTTCTTCTTGTCGCACGGATATAACCGTTCACGGGTATTGAAATGAGGAAATGCGACTGTTTAAGCATCCGACGTCATTTCGATCCAGATGAGCGCAATAACTTGGATCAAAAATAGAAGATTGTAGCTTATCAAGGGAAAAGATAAACACCCTGAAGGAAAATCTCAGAGTTCTCAAGGGCGAATGCCTGTTGTGGTGATAAGGTTCTGCTCAGACTCGTGTCGCATACGCGACGGGCTTCTCGTCAGGGCGGACTTTGAGATATTGATAATGACCGACACCGAGACCATCGTCCAGGTCGCATTTAGTGACTATATTGGGAACATTTCGCGCTAACAGAAAGGCTTTTTTCCCCGATGGCGCGAGGTCCTATTTGGTGGCCCACGCATCGTCGTTCATGACCAGATGAAGTGTACGGCAAAGCAAAAATCGATGCCGTAATGGCGAACTCACCGGTTTTCAGCCCATTTTTTGAAAGAGGTGTCCAGCATCCCCTGTCAGTCCGTTTCGACCTCCAGTGTCCCCGGGAGCGGTGACGAAAACGAGCACTGTCCGACCCGCAGCGGTCACATCGGGCACCGTATATGTCCTGGATCAGTCTGGCCTCCTGGCCTCCTGTCCTTATTGCCAAGCCAAATTGCTGAAATGGGCGTAGCGGCCACAGGTGGCTCGGGACGAACAAGATGGGGACGGAGAAGGAAACAAGGGCGTGCCTATGGACGCGGTCGTGGACGTGGAGTTTGGCGAATAGATAAGAGCCGCCCCTCCCTCAGCCGACGAAACATTAAGACAGCGACGAGTCAATGGACTGATTTGACGCCCTTGGAGACCGGTCAGAAGGCCCAGACCAAGCACAAACAGCCACAGGATGCACGGTCTGTCGAACGAGGTGATATTTTGCTTGCTGCAGGTCCGATGAGACAAATTGAAGGCGTGGCGCTGTGGACAGTGCAGAGGGGATTGACTGGATGGCAGAATGAGGGAAAAGGAATACGCCATGACTTCCCCCACCTAGGAAGGGTCCAGGGCCCATGAATCAAATGCACTCTCTCCCTGGTACCTTTGTATCCCACAAGGCGACATTGGGCTGCGTTCGCTGTATGTTTTGGGCCATCCCAGACTTTCGGGAGCATTTAGGAACAGACGATCATGATGTCCGTATATTGATTGCTTGGTACTGGTCTCTTGAGGATGACATTCTAGCAAGAAGTGACAGGCCACTTAGGCCAAAGCCAATTCCTAAAGCGCATGAGTAGTTCGGGCTAGTACAGATCGGTGCAGGGCTCACCCAGAAAAGGGCTTGTCCAGCGTCGGAAATCCTTCGAAAAGAGGTTTAGGGCGGGGTAGTGGTACAGAGCCGCGAGGCGAGGAGTAAGCAGTGTTGGATGAACAGATGGTGTGCTGTCATTGTACTCGTAGCGAGGAGGGGAGATGAGAGCGGTTGGGTTGCCATTGTTTAGTCATGGCTCCGTCACTGATGGCACATCTTTGGTGGGATCTGCATGTTGAAGTTTGTTGTTTTGTCGTGTTGTGTTTGTGGCTCTATGTCTCTCAGTATCGGAAGTGCTCCCGGATGCTTTTTTTCTTCTATTTTTATTTTTATTTTTTATAATCTCTCTCGGGGCCTTTTTTTTTTTTTTTTTTTCTTTTCCTTCATTAGTAAGTCGGATCCTAACAGGTAAGCTGCAGGGTATGGCTCGTTATGCCGATCCGGATGGGATGAGGTGATGAAGAGAGCAGGACCTAGCACAAACATGGGGAAAATTTTACCGGGTCGAGCATCCGGCAAGTCGATTGATTACCTTGAGCCGGGCGAGGGAAATGACAAAGGGCCGTAAATGTAGGTGAGCCGAACCGGAACAGTGCTGGAGAAATGTAATTGGTAGGGGCAGTGTGAAGTGGGATGCAGGCAGGAGGCGCCCGCAAGTTCTCACTGCTGTGCTTTCCTTCTCTTCTGTGTTTTGTGTTATTCCTTCCCGTCCTGACGTCGCTTTCTCTTGTCGGCGACTACGCAAAACCCGAGAATACGTCTGGAAAAGGCAAGGTAGGAAGCCCGAAGCAGCAGTTTCTGCTATTAGCACCTAGTATGGTCTGTCTGTCTAGGAGGAAGGCACCAAGTTATTACCCTGGCATGACATCCCGGCACCTCTCACGCACTGGAAACTGAAAGGAGCTCAGACGGGAGGTGGCGCCTGCCCTGGGACTCTGGCCGAGTTCAGGGTTTATGGGTCTTAGTGGAGACTGATAACCAATAAAAAGTTGGGATGATTGGAGACGAGGGCAATGGAAAGAAAGAACGCACTGAGGAAGAAAATTATGGGTCCGGGCAACCAGGACCTTGGGGAGGGCCGGAAAGCGCATGTGTGTGTGTGTGTGTGTCCCCGTACCTACTGTGGTATGTCTCACAAAGGGAGAATATCCAAAAAAGCAACAAGAGTAGGGAGACGACTGGAAGGTAGAACCTGGTTGACTTTTTTCTATTTCTGCCCCGCGCGCAGGTGCCCTCCTTGGTTAAGTACCTTATATCCATATTACGTACATTAGTACCTTATATGTGCTCATTATATTCCCCCAGATCTGTGTCTGGTTAATTTCCAGAAGAAAGCCCTCACATCTTGAAGCAGAACCCCAAAACAGCAGACTTCATGCTTTGCCGTTGCTGCTATTGTTGCTATTGCTGGTCCTGTTGCCGAGTTCCAACATACCCATCTTCCAGGTAAGAGGAGCCTACTATGCAGTAGTGGGTATAGTTGGGTAGGGCTGCGCTGCCCACATAATCGAATGTTCCTCGGCCTACACTCCTTTTTTTTTCTTTAATTCCCAGGGGTGTGCATCTTTTTTGGCATATGATGGATGGGATTGCATTTCGAATGGTAGCTCCCGGATATGTCCCCTTATCCCATCAGCTGCGGCATGCATACTAGTAAATCTCGCACATCTTAGCGGATTACAGGGCACAGCCAGCAGCGATATACTGCTACCAGTGTAGTGATATCCGTACGATGCACGATGCTATATCCGTACTTACTATACACACTATATAGTACTACATGCGTAGTGTGTCTGGTGTTGCTCATCCTGCCTTAACACTGCTGATAAGTTCCCCACCGCAATGGTTCTGAAACGCCTCTACCAGGGCACTTTGGTACCGGTGAACCTTGCTCATCGCCCTATCCGATCACAGCAAAGTTTTGATTAGCGAATAAACAGCTGGGACTCCAGTGGGCTTCGGGCCACCTGCTCCAGCCTTTGCTTGCGCCTTGACAGGTACTTCGTTCTCTGCCTTGGTCTCCACCATTTCTGAAGTATTTTCTTCCCCGTCTCCCCCACCCCTCCACTCCACTGTTCACTGCCGCCCAGTGCGCCCCCCCTCAAGCATCCTCATGGTGACTTACTGACCGCGGGATCGCGGGCGGGCAGTGGTCCTCTAGAGACCTTTCAAAGTGGACCTCGCCTGTCCCTTTCGTCTCCCATGCTCGACGCACCTCTAAACAATCACCACCACCGAGTCCACGCGACGACGAGCCCCTCCTGTCCACTCCTTTCGCGAACAGCTTCTCGACCCGATCCTACGTCCGTCTCTCGAATCATGAGACATACGGCTTCCAGCTGCCTCCGACCGAACCCCTCTTTCACGTAACCTCCGCTTCGTAAACCACCGACCCTTCCGCCCTCTCGAATTCCCACCAAGGATCCAGCTCTTCTTCCCGACTTGTGGAGAGGAGAATCCGCCCCCATCCAGCTCTCTCGCAACTTTTGTTCCGTCCTTTTACTCCGTGTCTAGACTGGGGATTCTCCTCAGTCTTTCGCCCGGCCCATGGATGCCGCCGCCGTCTTCCGCCATGGCCTGGGCAACATGAACATGATGGCGCGAAACCCGCCCTATCATCACCATCCTCCTCCGCCCCCTCCGCCTCAAAACTACCACCAGGCCCTACGCGGTCCGCCCTCTAGTCGTGCCGATGATAACGAGAGTGACGGCCCCTCTAATCGTATTGCTCATACCCTTACCGCTTGCTGTCGTTGTCGCCAGGTCCGTAGGCCCTCGTCCCCTTCTTCGTCATATCATCCATGTCGCCCGTTTGAACCCCTTCTGACTTGTTCCTCCTTTTTTAAAGCGCAAGACACGATGCGACCCGACTTTGCCCCGCTGTCTGCCTTGCGAGCGCGCAGGCTCTGTTTGCGAGTACTTCGACACCACCAAAGGAAAGAAGATAAACCGTAATTATGTCATTAAGCTGCAGGAAAAGGTGCGCGCACTCGAGGCCGAGCTGCGTCAGTACACCGACGACGATACCGAATTCGCCCACGTCGACGAAGACATGGTGCGCCCAGGAGGCTTGGTGCGCTTAAACGACACCGACGAGACTCCCCGCTACCTGGGACCAAGCAGCGGCATCGCCATGACCAGACTACTGGTCCAGGGCGCGAAGCTATTTACCGACTCGAAACGGATATCCGAGTTGATCCCAGAAGTACGAGCAAGGAGAATGACCCGCATGCAGTCTATCGTCATGACAAGAGATCGAAAAAAGAGCTATCCCATGATTAGTGCCCACCCCGCTGCCGCTCTACCTACGAGACCTGTCGCCAACAGGCTTGTAGACGTGTTCTGCCAACGATGTAAGATTCTTGTTCTTGTCTCTGATATATCCAGCTTCTGACCTGTGACTTTTGCGTACAGCCCAGGTATTCTGGCCCACGTTGCATGAGAAGCAGTTCTTGGACGATCTCGAGGCTGTTTTTGCAGGAGATCAAGATCCATACAAGAATTTGATTGTCCGCATGGTGTTTGCCATCAGTCTCCAGAAGCTCGATCCGCAGTACGCTGGCCTAGCAGATAGTTACTATCTGGCAGCCATGCAGCACTTTGAGGCTGTCGTTCGTCCAAAGGACTTGAAGTCTTTGCAAAGCTTGGCACTTATCGGCCAATACTCGTTGTTGACTCCGACAAGGACTGCAGTCTACTACATGGTTGGCTTGGCTACTCGCATTTGCCAGGCAGAGGGTCTCACAGACGAAAAAACCATCTCGCAAGGTTACTCGCTGGACCCTTTGACTCTCGATATGCGACGCCGCCTTGCCTACATTATCACATCAATGGAGGCGGGACTAGCACACAGCATGGGCCGTCCGAACGGGTTTTCCAAGGTTGACGATAGGATGGACGTCCAGCCGTTTGCGACGGTTGATGACAAGTTCATTACCCCAGATGGCCTTCTTCAGGGTCCCCCGAGTGAGAATAAGTTGGTTGCTCTGCACTTTTTTAAGATGCGCATGGAGCAGGCCGAGATTCGAAGAGTGCTGTACGAGAAGAAGCGTGAAGAGCCGAGGGATGAGAACCACCCCTGGTTCGCCAAGATGGAAAGGGATATCCAGAACTGGATTGATTCATCACCTCAAAATCCATCCTGGTGTAGGCCATGGTAAGATTTTATCTGCAGAAATCCAGGTTGACCACAAGCTAATCATGAAACTAAACCAGGTTTACGGGTCGGTACCACCAAATGCGCATATTCCTGTACCGGCCGTCCCCGCAAGTCCCCAGACCATCTGCGCGAGCCGCATCGATTTGTTTTGAGGGTGCTTCGTACATCATCAACTTGTCGAAGCAGCAGATGGAGAAGGCAGCTGTTGACATCACCTGGGTCTTTTTGCTGAACCTCTACATGTCCCTCAACACCCTGCTTTGGACTGTCTCATACCCCGAAGTCCGGCAAGCCCACCCGAGAGAGGAAGTAGAAGAATTAGCCGACCAAACACTCGATATTCTTGAACAATGCACGGAGCGCTGGCCTGGGACCGCTCAGGCTGTTCAGTTGTATTCCATCTTCGCCAAGGCATGTCTGCAAAGCTACGAAGCAAGGGATACCCCCATTCTACAACCTTCAAGCACCTTTACTACTCCTCCATCCCTCTTCGACGGCAACTCACCTCAGGGCTCAGAGAACTCGGCATCGACAGCACCGACATCCGCACCGACGTTCAAAGGGAACACGCCTCATAACCCACCGCAGTTTGGCTTCGTTTTCGATGCGACCCCTGAGTCCATGAACACGTTCCAGTGGGATAACAGCTTCCCGCCACCACAACCGACATTCCGCTCCAACTCGATTTGGGGTAACCCGTCCACCGACTCCATGGGCCGTCGTTTCTCGGCCTACCCGCCCGAATCGCCGCTTGATGATTCAACGCCGCCAGCGACAACCACGCCTGGGTACACGTCCTCGTCACCGCCCAGTACCATCGGCAACGCGCTGCCTACGCCGCCAGAGTCGCTCGCTACTACAAATCAGCATGTCAGTACGCCGTCGAATTCTAGTTCCACCATCTCCCCGCCGGCCATGGGCACACCAGGAATGGGTACGCCTGGGATGGGTACACCGGGGATGGGAACCCCCGCCATGTCGCACTCGTCCCCTCTCATCCTCCAGCAAGGCACTCCCAACATGGTTGCGCACAGCACAAACATGTCGCCGCCGCCGCCCCCGAACCCGGGACAACCACAGCCGCCGAACAGAGGACCGGCCTTCACCGTTACCCCCACGTCAAACCAGGGGCCCCCGCAACGGCCGTTGCCCAACTACAACCCGGTCAACGACTGGTTCAACCCGCCGCCGCCGTTTATCAACCCCGATGCGTTCAGCTCCATGAGCAACAGTTTCTTCGGTGACTCGCTCCAGGTCAACGGCTTCAACGCGCAAAACGCAGGTCTCGGGCTTGATCAGTTCGGCGGGCAGCCCTTCAACTGGTCGCAGGAGCGGCAGGGCAGCCTCAGTCAACAGCAGCAGATGGAGCTGATGAACGTTCTGGAGAACGAGGGTATGAGCGACATTGACGCCCTGCTCAACATGGGCAATATGGGCACGGCCGGCACCACGGGCGGCTGGCCCCAAGCATGAACGAGGAGGAGTGAAGTACAAGGATCACACGCACACAAGAGACACACAAACATACAGAAGGGAGTTTTGGGGGTCAGGTCATTGGATGGTTGCGGGGACCGAGGCGATCCACGTTGCGCGCGGTGGGTGCATTTTGATTTGGGTACGGGTGTGTATGTGTGTATATATACCACGGAGTCAATCATTGGCGGGGAGATTTGCGTAGGATTGCGGGACAGAAGTCGCAGCGATGCGCCTCCGCATTAGGTAGCTAAAGATGTTGGAATTGCTTGGCTGTTTTTGATCTGATAATTCATGAGTCCAGGAGGGGGGTTCCTTGTGACAGCGGCAATCATGGACCTCGCTTTTTGCGCGCTGGTATTTTGCTATATAAGAGTCAACAAAGCCACACTTTTAAGATGCGAATGAACGTCGTGTGTCTTGAAATAGTATGAATAGGTGAGCGAGCGAGTGGGTGAGAGAGAGAGAGAGAGAGAGAGAGAGAGAGAGAGAGAGAGAGAGTTGTTAAGAGTTGGAACTTTATGAAGCAGATGATAGCAATGACTGGATAATCAGTCGAGACGTAAAAGGTTTTTGAAGGCGCACGAGGACCTTCCGCTGGGTAAGATTCTGGTGCCGAGCGAGGGGGTTTAGTTTAAAGGTCACGCACGCTCAGTATAAATAAACCTTGAAAATGAACAAGGTGATTTGTGAAATGTTTTGTGTGTGTTGTGTAGGAAACGTGATCCTTGGAATTGGATCAGTATAGTTGTACTTCTGAATCAACATACCCATCACAGGCAAGTCAGCTGAATATTTTTTTTTTTTCTCATTTTTTTCATCTTTTTTTTCAGGAATAGCAAGTCAAGAAGCATCTCGAATAATCACCAAAGATACATCACTCAAATATGCATAATCAAAAACCGAAAAACTGAGATAGCGAATGATTGGATGTATGTACGGTTATCAGCACGAGAAGCATGCCGATACTAAAATAGAAAAAATAAGGGTCAAAGAAATGTACATGAAGAGTTCTCTTCGTCTGAAAAGGGAGAAAAGGAAAAACAAAAATCTTTCCCCCTTCCTCCTTTTATCACTAGCCGTCAATAATGCAGTCTTTATTTCTTTGTGTGTGTGTTCTTTGTAGAGTGTCCGTTTCGTCCCAATTCATAACGTCACCAACCGTGTCGTGTGGAGGAGCAGCTGCCAGAGGGCTTTGCCTTGCCGACCAAAACCCCTGAAGCGTCCACGATCCGGAGAGCGCTTACAAGCACTGGGAGTACCAGTCGTTGACCTTGTTGCAGGTGTAGGGAGAGACGCAAGTGGTCGGGCCACCCCAGCCGATACCGCCGCACTGCTCGTACTGCTTGGAGCCGCCGGTGCTGGTGGCGCGGGCGGAGCTGCTGGTGCTGGTGCTGCTGGTGCGGACGGTGCTGGTGCGGATGGTGGAGGAGGAGACGGGGGGCTGGCCGCTGTTGAAGGTCGAGCCGATGGGGCCGAACTTGATGTTGGAGAACTTGACGTTGCTGTTGGGGAACTGGGCCTCGACCTCGGCGGGGACACCGGAAGTGGTGGGGCAGGAGCCACGCTCGGCACCGGGCTTGCCGGCGGCGTCGACGGGGTAGGTGGAGTCGAGCCAGAGCATGTTGGCGTAGTGGTCATCCCAGAGGGAGAGGACGAGGACCATGGGTTTGGCGACGGCGTCAGACATCTGGGGGAAGCCACCGCGGACATTGAAGATGTCCTGGTCGCCGAAGGCGGTCTTCTGAGCGCGGCAGAACTCGGGGGTGAGAGAGTTGCCTGGGTTGCCGGCGACGGTAGACTCGGAGTTGGGGATGACCTTGCCGTCCTGGACGTAGAAGCGCTTGATCTCGGAGAGGTTGCCGTCGGAGCCCTTGAGGAACTGGGTGACGACGGTGACCTTCTTGGTGGTGTCGATGGTGTTGCCGGAGCCGGGTCCGTAGAATGTCTTGTTGCCCTGGCGGTAGGAGTTGAAGTCGCATCCATCGGGGTCGCAGTCGCCGGCGTAACGGGTAGCACTGTAGGTACCTCCGCAGCTGTCGCCGTTGCAAGAGTGGTAGGCGTTGTTCTTGCAGGGGTGGGGGGTGTAGGCCGTGGAGATCTTGTTGGCCTCTATTGGTATTGTCAGTCTGCTGTGTCTTCAAATGTGCTTGTTCCTGTGTTGTAGATGCTTACCCCAGATGTCCATCTCAGCGCAGCAGGCACCGAGGGTACCGACACCACCGTTGGCATCGTTGCTGGACGGGTTCCAGCCGTCAACGTTGGCCTGGGAGATGCTGGTCAGCCGTGTGATTTTTTCCATGCGAGGCTTGCTCTTATACTTACAACACCGTTGATGAACTTGACATCACGGGGGCACTGCGAGTCGCAGTAACCAGTACCGTACTTGGCACCAGCCTTGTTGGAGGAGAACTTGGAAAGACCACCGTCGGCGTCCATGGAGACGAAGTACAGGGCACCGTTCAGACCGCAGCCGATGTTGGAGACATCAGCGTCGAAGGTGAACTCGTTGCCGAGCAGGGTGAACATCTGTTGCGAGTTAGTACGTTTTGCATTCACGATGCTATAGGATGAAGAGTGTACTACTCACCTGGTACTTGGTGTCGCTCTCCATGAGGTAGACACGGCTACCAATGTTCTTGCCGAAGTTGTGGGTGGTGACGAACTTGAGGTTCAGCTCGCTGCCGCTGGTGGTGATGCCGTAGGTGTTGGGGTAGTCGGCGCCATCGACGCAGCACTTGGCGGCACAGTTGGCACCCTGGCCCTTGGCACAGAAGTCGTTGTTCCAGGTGTTTCCGGTGTAGCAGTTGGTTGAGCCCTCGACGGTGTGAGTCCAACGCCAGTTGGAGTCGAGCACAACGGAGCCAGCAACGCTGTTGCAAGAGCCAGGAGCAGTGCACTTCTCCCAGGTCAGCTTGGGGTGGGTTTCAACCTGGCTGGAGCAGGCCTGTTGAGCACGGGCGGCGGCCACGAGGGCCAGGAGAGCGGCGAACTTGGTCTGCATTGTGAAAGATGTGTTGCTTCTGCACCGGATAGTGAGCTGAGAGGATGAGGAGAGAGTGTGAGATGATTGGGATGAGGATAAGAGAATAGAATTGCTTCTTGTCGCGAGGAACTGTCAGTTTATATAGAGATATTTCTCTTGATGGAGTTCCAAGATATCCCCTCCGTCGGCTGTAGAACAAAAGCTTTCCGTTCCTCGTGAGATAACCTTGGCGCATTCCCCCTGGCTCGAGAGAACCTCATGGTCGGCTAGTCAGGACGAGATCCGACGACAGACGGCAGCCGGGCCGCTAGACGATCTGGATCCGTGGCAACACTGACCTGGCCTCGTCGAGAGGTATCCAGACATGCTTGGCGTTCTGGAGGAGAAGCCCAACAAGTGTAGCGGGGCAGCCGTCGCCAGTAGCGTGAGGAGGCTTGTATGATGTGTCGAGGGCGAGTGTGTAAGTGAGTGTGTGAGTGAGAGTGAGACTGTGATAGCTCAAAGGCCCTCCCCCCCCCTCCCCTCCTCCAGGAACATTCCGACCATGGATCACTATGCTTCGTCGTCAAGCCAAGGTTTGGACAGTTACCGAATTGGGAAGATTTGGAGAAAGCGACGCCACCGTCGAGTTGGAGCAAATGCGAAATGCGCGACAACAACATTAGGGGTATCCACGCGCGCGGACTCGCCTCATCCTCAGTCCCGACCCGAAGGAGGACAAAAGCACGATGTCACCTATAGTCCTGCGGCTGGTCACACCTCATACCGGAGAAACTGGCGCGACCGAGTCGAAAAATATATTATGGTTGCCCAATGTGGGACGCTCCTCGGCCGAGCTCATTGGAGCACTAATTCCCCCTGCTTCTAATGCGGAGGACAGCCGCCGAGTACTACTACCTCGAGTCGTCCAGTCAGCATACAACTTGTGCAGAAAAGAATCTCATATCGTGAGAAAACAAGACGATTCATTTCCCCCTGGAACGAGGGAAAAAAAAAAAAAAGCGTCAGCGCAACCTCGTGACCGTGTTTGCCTTCCCGAAGTTCCCGCCACCATCACATCAACAGGCTCTTCACTTGATGCCCCTGAAGTACTCGTACCTCACACACCCACATTGTGAGGCTTACCCGGCCCAACTCAAAGTTCCTCAGTACCTTACTCACTTGGGTAAGACGGAGAGAGAGAAGAAGGAAAAATGAAGAAAAAAAAGAAGAGATACGCGAGGGATGGGTTTTGGAGTTCCTCCCCACATTTTGCAAGGGTCCTCCGCCCAACCTTCATCACACAACATGGGCGGGAAGTCCTTCTCCCCGCACAACGCCATTGGGCATTCGGCACTGACTGCCACATGCCCGTCTTGTTCCTTGCTTTGAACGACGCCATCTTTTGATTTCCTGGTACGCTAAAGTCGTCCTCTTCAAAAGAAATACCGTCTCAAAAAGTGTACGGTTCCGAGGGAGATTAAGCTTCAACAAGAAAAGAGGTTGTAAATCCGCAACGCTCGGCCAACTTGGCTCTGTAGTTTAGGTTATTAATTGATCAACGCTACAATCAATTCTTACCAGGCGTGCGGGTTTGAAAACCCGGTCCAGGTCAATTTGCGAAACGATGAATGGAGCCCTGATCCAACTTGGAGGCGGATGAACGCTCCTATAGTACATGCGTTAAGAGGAGGGCGGCTGGACGGCCACCACACCATTTAGACATGGTCACACTCACTTTTGCAGCCCCAAAGTCGGTTGATGTTCGGTACTGGGGTAGGCCTTTAGCGGCTGCCACGGTGTAATGATACTTTGCAATACCTTACTCTGGCATACTAGTGAGCTTGGTTACCCAAGAGTGTGACCTCCCTCTCGAGTCTTACCCGACGAACCCACTATGGAACGTCCTCGATCCCACTTCACGACTTGCCAAGGGCTGTTCAATTTACCCGTGATAACCACAATGCTAGGTATGCTCTGGGCAGTGATGGGTCGAGAAGCTTGAGCTCAGCCTCCAGTCATGGCAGGGTCCAGATCAGCGCCATAACCGGCGGTGATCGACATAGGAGTTTCGACGTCGCCGACCTCAAGTTTGGAAGTCTGCGATCGTCTCTTTCCTTCTAGGAGGGATTACACCGGCTTGTCGATCCAGCCGGGCTTGACGTACGAATGAAATAAGGCGCACAAATTCCAACGAGGCAACTAGACTGGAACGTGCGTTTTCGAACATCTCCAACCGTGATAGGTCTGGAAGGATGTCACTGAGAGGCTCAGAGAGAGCATCAAGTTACCTGGAAGTCCAGCGGAACCACCGAGGCCTTGCAGATCTTTAGACGCCCAGTTCATGTCTTTTGCATCCGCTCTCCTTGGAGTCAAGTGGGAGGAAATGGCGGCGTCCACGTCATCCTGGTTTCGCCACTAGCGGTTGCCAGTTCCGAATACAACGAGCCCCAAGATGAGGACGCCAACTCGTGGAGTCCTCCACGGGGTACGAGAGCCGTGAGTGCGGAGAAGCGATGATGGACTCGCCTCAGAGGTCCGGGAAGTGAACCGACTAGTTATTCGGCAATGAGGGAAAGGGAGCCGTCAGAAACTCATGTTTACGCTATTCTGGTCTTCCAGTATCTCGAGGTTGCATTCAATTAGCACAGTGCCCTTGATCTCGGGCCCGTCTTCCTGGACTCGTGTCATGCCAGGCACGAACACCTGACTGACTATAACGGGCTGATGCAGCTAGTAGACGGCTGTGCCTTCATATCGAAGCCGAAGGCCTGAAACCCTACCATCAGCGGCAGCAGCCGGCCGTAATGATAGGCGAGCGTCGATATGAAGCCGTAAATGAACGGGATGCGACAAAGAGCGCCCGCGGACGGGTAGGTGTGTGCATGAGAGTGTCGCCGTTCTTCTCCAATGAAGCACGTACAGGATGAAGCCAGCATCATCCAGTAGACGCGTTGAACGTGAAAGCATCGTATCCTGAACAAGAGACTTGGTCCAACTAATCCAGCGGACAGCGAATCGCCGCGAATGTCGGCACAAGGCCGGTTTGGACAGCAGCCTGGAGACGCTTCTCATCCTGTTCAAGCGACGGAAACCGAGCTTGGTATTGGACGACTCGGGCGAAACTCATTTCGCGGATCATAACTTGATGGGCCGATGAACGGGCTCCAACATGCTCGTCGGGTGGCTGAATGTCAGCTCTCAGATGCCCTCCAACCTTCCGGGCCTGCAGGAGACTGTGGTGGAGATTCCGTAGTCACTTGACTTTACGCATTTTGTCGCCCTGAATTCCGCGGCAACTGCGCAGAAGCGAGGCCAATCCCCACTGCTGGTCCCAGATCTGTGATGTAGACAAGACGCAAACAAACTGCAGGCAGACGGCTGTGCCTCACAGAAATACCGCCCGAAAGCTCCAGGCGTTATCAGCCAGCTGCAAAGGCGCGTAAGATCGCCCGTAGTCTCGGAGAAAGTCGTAGGGAGGCTACTGAAAGGTTAAGCGGCGACATACCAACAAAGGTAAAGCGCGAGCTCGGATTGCGGAGGTTCAAGTCGAGGCTCCGTGGTTTTGATGTCCCGATTCGGATCTATCTCGCCACGACGTCGTACTGGCGGCCCTGACAGGGTCATGCCAGGTCTGGTGCAGGCCGCGGTACCATTGAAAACGTCGAGAAGCGGAAATAAGATCGCAAAAATCGGATATGGCCATGGATGACAGATTCCAGGTGTCACATGCCTTTCGGGCTGGGGGGGTAGAAACGTGAAGATGATGCGAATGGAAGTTGACGGAAGAAAAGAGTGAGATGTCTGGGTGAGAGATTTGGTAGGACAGACGACGTTGAGTAGAGAGACGGTACGTACTGGCCCAGGCGACAACCGTAAGGGGCCACCCCTACCATCAATTCCTACAGTCTTCTTCTTATTCAATACCTCGGGGTAATCAAGTCAAGAATGTCATCAAAGTCGGATATTGCCGTCCTTGGCTATTTTCAATCAATACTACTGCTGCTGCTCGAAAGTTTCCCAATGCATGTAAGGTAGGTTCCTCTACATACTTAATCTACAATACCACAGTCATTACGAGGCAGTATCTCGACAAGAATTACCTCGAAAGCAGCTGGAATATCTCACACAACCCTGCTTGCAGCCGGACTCCTTGACTGCCTCTTTGGCCGAGGCCCAAATATCCCCAGTAAACGCCTGTCAAGAAACATCCTCCTCGCATCATGTACACACAAAGAATTGGCCCATAGCCCCAAGGTTTCCTTAGAATGTCTGATGCAGTGAGGCCATACCGTACTCCATTTCCTACCACTCCTTTGTCGAAGCCCGTCGTGAGGGCACACGTGAACTGTTATTACGCTGTTCTGATGACAGTGAGGTGCATGTTCTTTGTTTGGCGAGGCAATTTGCCGTCACGCTCGTAGAGCAAACCGCAGTTTTGGCAAAGCGACTGTCTTTGGTCAGTAAACGAACAGGTGAAGGGTAATAAAGTAGCTTGAGGACTTACTCTTGGTCCCGCGGGGCCAGGCCGCACTGCCCACACGCTTGAGCCCCAGAGCGCGCAGTGCCAGCATCTCCATGTCAGACGTTCCTGATCTGTCAGGCCACTTCCAGCACCATAACCAGAACCCACATCTGGCGTTCCTCGTCCGCCAGGTGTTCCTGAACGGCCAAGAGGACTCAGACTGCGGAATCTGCGCTTCTTCTTGGATCTCTCGCCTCTGCCCATGCGTTCCTCCTCCGCAGCTTCCACGACATTGCCAAAGCCGGAAAATGGTACACCACCAACCAAGCCAGTCGTGGAGCTGAAGCGGGCAGTTTCGCGGCGAAGGCGTCTGATCTGTCGCTCTCTGTCTCCCTCCCGCTTCTCCATTTCTTCCTTGCTCAAAATCTCAACCTTGGGCTCCCACGGATCTCCTAGGTTTTCGGGATCGTAGCGCCATCCAGCATCTGTTCCAGCAGTTGCATCGTTGGGGAACTCGCGTAGACCGTTCCAGCCCATGACGAGACCACCAGCTTCGCAGGCCTCCTTCTTCAGTCGCAAAACCGCTTCGTAGATGGCGTGCGTGACAGCGGGAACCCACTCTCCAGTCAACCCGAGATCTTCACATGTCTGAGCGGCAAAGGCCTCGGGCATTCCCGGGGGGTGTAGCAAGGACCACTCAAACTTGTCCGTATACAGAGCTGATTGAAGATTAATGTTAAGAGTAACGATGCATCGGTAGGCATCGTCATGGTCGTATTCTGCTGCTCCCACGGGAATGGGAGTGGCAGTTGCGGTAACGTCGGGCGCTGAGGTCGGCTCCTTGCCCCTAGAAGGAGTGCCCAAACCGCCATTCTGCATAGGGGTATCGGAGCGACTAATCGCTCGGGTGGCGGGAGTTGGGGAATCATCGCGGTTGGCTAGTGAGCTTGCCTTGGTCGCATCATTGTTTCCGGCATTCTGCGACTGGGCATGGAACAACGGATGCAGCGCGACGCCGGCGTACTCTTCAAGTTGTGTACGGATCTGCTTGGCGATTTCGAGCATCGTGTTGTGACGGTTTGGCAAGTCCAGATCTTGGACATAGGTTTGCGCAAACTGCTCGGTCGTAATGACAGTCTCGTGCAGGTTCCAAAGGAAATTGTCCCGCAATCGGTACGGCGGCGTCATTTCTTGTGTCCGATACTGAGGAAGACTCGTGTCGACGGTATGGGGCGCGGATGGGAATGGTACCTGGGGCACGAACGCCGGAATATCAAGCTCGATTCGAATCGGAATCAGCGTGAGGGGAAGGTCAGCTTGCGCTGAATTCTGTTGATCGCTCCGAACCTGACGTCCCTTGCCAAACCAGTCCCTCCAAATGCCTTGAACCTCAACGGGTTCATTCGTATCTTTTCCTGCCTTTTCAGCCAAATCCTGCCTGTTGGCGAGGTCCTCCCTTCTCAAACTCCGCAGACCGGTTGGGCGACGCCGGTTGTCATCATCATCGTCGTCAATGTCATCGTAGCCATCCTCAGCGTAGTTGATGATGGTGGTTCCGCGCTTCGTCGTTCGCGAGATAGGGCCGGAGGGGGCGCTCGGAACGACGGACGTCAAGAGAGAATTGTTGTAGGTTCGAATGCGCGGCGCATAGGTGGACAAGAACGCCTGGGGCTTCGATCGGGCGTCCATGTTGTGATGTTATGAGACCCAATGGATCATCGCATGCCGTCGCAAGGCGATAAATGAGGGGACGATCTGTCAAGGGTGACGTGGCAGTAGATGGAGAAGTCGCTTAGCATGCGCCAAGACGAATTGACGCTGGATCTATTGCTGGCGACAATTGTCTGTGGATGTGGGCGACGATGCTTGCGCGCCGACGCTATTAGTGGTGAAGGTGAGCGCTGATGTGGGATGTGGATCGCGTTCGAAATGCACTTGGGACCAGCAAGGCGCGTCAGAAAAATCAAGTCGGCATTTCCCGACCCTTGCGCCAACCCAGCTCCAAAAGTGGTTTAGCGCGTGTCTCCTCACCGACCACTGGCCTCACCGAGTTCACCAAGTTCACCGAACTCACCGAGCCAACACACCGACGCCCCCTTGAATCGGCCATCTCCAACGCGTTTCTCTCAATAATGACTATTTTGTGGTGAAAAATAACTTTGATTTTAATTTGACGATTTTATTATCTTCTATTTCTAAGAGGCATTGAACATATGCATTTGCATTGTGCAAAGTCTTGCGATGCCATCGGACAACTGTGTCCGTCCATGTTGCTCCAGAGGCATTAACCGGGTCTTTTTGCAAAGCATTCACCGTCTCTCCTAGCCTTGTTCTTCGGTATTGAATATACGAGATCTCTCGTTCTTAAGTATTAAGTTTTGTCTTGTACGGTGATGATATCAAGTCAATTTAGCTGACTCCTCATGAGCCGAATTGCCAAGTCAATCCTCTTGACCATTCGACTGAAGAGTATTGCCTGCTTGAAATCAATCCTACTTCAATCTTACATTATAACTGTTTATAACTTTAAATACGCAAGTTGCAGAAAGAGTGTTGTGTTTCTGTCGTGTTTCTGTCTGGGTCACACTGCGATAGTGCTAGCAGTGGAAAACACCTGTGGTGGCAGAAACCAAGCCAACACAACACACATAGTAGTTACCGATCAGCATTGCAATATTGAGGTTTATACATCATGTGACGATATGATCATATTAGATGAAAGCCGAGAAGAGTCTATCATCCATGGCAGTTACGCTCCAGGTGTCTTGAAAGGACACAAGACAGCCATAAGAACAAACGCACCTATTGTCTAAACACTCAAGGTTCATAGGCTACATACAATTGCAGAGAAATCAAACATCTTTGTTATTTCTGAAAAGGGTAGGCGGGTTCCGTATCTTCAACACAGCTTGGCCCAGCGACCAGGATAGCACACCAGCCACTCCAGCTAGGTGATACGCTTTCCTTGGGCAACAACCTACTTGTGAGTTAGAACGACTACTGCATAGAAGGCAACTTCCTCAAATAGTTGCTCCCAATACCACTTCGTGCGCAGGAACGCCTGTTTGGATTGTGACGCTAACCCTCTTTGAGCACATATTGTGGGCGTCTCCCTCTCGTTCTTACCACTGCCAGCTCTCACTTGCCCTCACAGAGATGTTCTGGACTACTTACTACTCCCACGGAAGGAGCGAGAGTTCGCTGTCCTTCCGTTGTCTCCTTCGAGGCCTCAATCACTCCTCTCTTGGCCGCCATATTTAAAAGTCTTCTGATCCCACCCAACCCCCAGTTCTTCTCTGCAAATCACATCCACAATCACAATCACCTCAATTCACTTTTCTGAAGCCACCTTCACCAAGAAAATTCTGTCTCCTCTTTGATATTCTGTCTCTAAGACTTCAACTTCAACCTTCACAAATCATTCACCCACCCAAACAGTCAAAATGTACTCCAAGACATTCCTCGCTGCCGGCGTCTTTGGCCTTGCCACTCTCGGCCTTGTCAAGGCTGCTCCCACTGGCAGCGACGACATCCAAGCTCTGGACATTATCAACCAGGCTCGTCACAGCATCGGCCAGGCTCCTCTTGTCTGGAGCTACGCCCTCACAGATGACGCCTTGGCCTGGAGCGAAAAGATGGCTTTGGACGGCAAGCTACAGCATGCTCCTGTCTCTGAACGCAAGGGCGCTGGCGAACTTCTCAGTCTGTTCCGCTCCAAGGACAAAGAGGATGCCAGAGCTACTCATACCATCCGTGAGTCAGTCAAGGAGTGGCTCAGCACCGATGCTCAACAGTCGTCCACCAACAGCTTCGACACTCTTTCACTTCGTGTAAGCTCCTTTCAACTCCGCTTGATTTGTCTGCTGACGCCTTGTTACACAGAACAACTCCTTTCTCCCAAGGCCACTCAAATTGGCTGTAGCCGCTCTTTCACCATCAATGTCACCGGCTCTCTGTGGTCTTCTTACACAGTCTGTCGCGTTTATGCTGATATCAACCCGTGAGTGTGCCTTTTCCTTCTCTTTCCGCTGTCTCAATCTAACGTTTGTTCGACAGAACTGAGAACAGCGCCCTATCTCGTCGTCAAGACATGTCCACTGGTCCCTTCACTGGCGCCATCACCTTCTTCAATCCCGCTCTTGGCTCTTGCGGCCAGCATGACACTGACAGCTCCTTCATTGTCGCACTCTCACACATCAAGATGGGTTCCAAGTCTAACGACAATGAACTATGCGGCAAGAAGGTCATCATCCATGCTGAGGGTACTTCTGTGGAGGTCACGGTCACGGACAAGTGCATAGGTTGTGCTGTCAACGACATAGACGTCAGTCCTGCTGTGTTTTCCAAGCTCTTGGGAAACCTTGATCGCGGACGTGTCGATGGTATCACCTGGGAGATCGCTGCCTGATGGCCTTGATCAGATTTCGATTCTTTATTTTGCACCACACATGGCTTTAGTTTGGGGGAGGACTCATGAGATTTGGCCCATGCATTTGCTATCTGGGAAAGGCATCAAATATGGTTTTCAGCTGCCCTTGAGGTGGGACATTCTATGGTCGAGTAGTCTAGATGCTTTGTCACGAAATTAAAAGATTGCCACACTTGTACTTGCTCCAGCATTGTGAATTTTTTGCTGTCGTATCTGGCCGGAGCCAGGCCTGATGACTATCTTTGCTCGAACATCAGTCTCTATAGGTGCGCACGTATGCGTTTGTTTGAGGCATACTGCGTAACGACAACAGAAACACTGATGCCTCTCCTCAAACATTTGACATGCTTTGCTTTTGTTAGACGATCGCTTCAGGGTATGTTCGTTTCAATGCCGATTGCCTCGTTGTTAGCAAGGGGATGAACGACAACAGTATCGTTTTCATACCGACTTCGTGTGCTTTCCCCTTCATCAAAAACCATCTCCCATTCGGAAGGCTGGTTAGAATCGTCCTCGGATACGACTCCAACCGCCAAAGTCCTATTCATCTCTGCAGTCTTTTCCCAAAAAGACTCGGCACTCCCCAGGTCCAGAACATGAAGAAAACCAGCCAGCTGCTCTCTGTCACTTTTGTGCTCCTTCAGCACCTCGGACATGATGGTAAAGTACTTCCACACGGTCGAAGCCTCGGCCTTTGCTACAATAGCTAGCAGCAACTTGACCCATTGGACGATCAGTTCTGGGTGCAGCGTTCCCTCGAGGCATCTGAACTCGATTGTACCCTCGTACACCGTCGCCGCAGGATTCTCCGTATCCATGTCTTCGACGGGTTTGATTCTGTGCAAAGATATGCCCGTACGGGCTCCCACCGGCGATCCTACTAGGCCAATCAGCACTCGCTCGTTAACAGCGGACCAAATCTGGTAAATTTCACGCTGGAGTCGATCGGGGATCTTGTCCATGGGGACGTGCGACTCGATCTCCAGCTCGTGTAACTTGTCACGTCGCAAGTTCCACACGTCAGAATACGGCGGCAGATCTTGGTTGTTAGCCAGCTTAGAACCTTTGCGCGGGGGGATGGAGTATGCGTTCTCGCGTCGGGAAGGGTGGACTAAGCTGTACAGAATGGGGTCGGCCGCCCATATCAGCGTGACGATGCGTTTGAGGCTTAGAAGGGAGAAGTTCCGAACATTACCGACGTGGACGTGGAATCCGCAGGTGGGATTCAGCATTGGACGCATGCTGTTCCGGACAAGCTTCACGATGTTGACAATCTTGTCGAAATCTGTTTGTTGGTCGCGCAAGATTGGGCTGCAGAGCTCTACGCCGGTAATACCGCCCGAGTACCCAAGAAAGCCCGAGTGAAAGCTGGAGAGGCTGAAGTCGGGTTGTGCGAGCCACGTTTGGAACATTGGCTCGACCTTGTCCACAAGACGCATGTTTAGGCCGCTTGACTTGGCCAAGGTGGCGAGCGCCTGTGCTCGGTCTCCTTCGATGTCGTTGCAGGCGTCCAAGAGTCGATACAGAGTGACGCTGAAGTGGCCCGCCTTGTTGAGCATCTTGGCCAGATATTCTGCGTTGCCGCTGTGGGAGACGGTACGTGCGTCTTCAGACGGATCATGTTGGTCTGCGTCTGGGTTGTAGCGGTAGACCCAACGGGGGTCGGAAGGATAGGGATCTGGGGTGTTTTCGTGGGAGTAAGGAACAAGGAATTCGACTTCGATGCCAAAGGTGTATGGCGGAAGGTCACGGGTATCGGCGAGGTTGACCGTTGGTATGCGGCGGTGGCAAGCGAGGTCCGGGACAAAGGGGTTGGAGCCCTTGTCGAGGTAGTAATCTGCTTGAGAGACGAGGTCAATGTCTTTGAGGATGTCGTAAACGGTGTATGCTTCCGCAGAAGAGACCTCCAGTTGTTCAAAGATACGGTCAACCCGCTGTTTGCAGGTGTCGAGACAGAAGGAGACGAGGCCGTGACATACCTTGATCCAATTCTTGATAGCGTCGGAATTCATCGTGCCAGCGTGTTGGGCAAACCGAATGGTTCTTTGTACGGGGTCAATATCGGCTAAGTGGGAGAAGTCATAAGCTCCGGGAAGCGTCCCGATCTCACCTTCCAAGTCCTTAACACGGATAGTGGTGGCTTCAAGGAGGGATTCCAGGTTATCCATTTCCGAAATTTCACGAGCCGCAAACTGCGCAAAGGCGGAGTGACGCATCACATCTGGCGTTTTCAGCATTTTCGTCGTCGTCGGGATCGGCGGGCCATGGGTGAAGACCGTCTCGGCGGGTTCGCCGCGCCATTCTGCGTCAGAGAGATAGGTGAAGGGCAAAAAGTTGAAAATATTGGTGAACTCCAAGCCAGGTGCGATGGTTGAAGCGGGCCCGCAGTATTCTGCATGGAGTTGGTTTAGGCGAGGAGATGCCGCCCAGAGGAAGGTGACGATTTTCTTGAGGTCTGTGAGCCTGAAGTCCTCATTTCGCGGCTTGATTTCGATGCGTAGACGGGGGATATGGTTCATTCCGATGACCAAGTTTGGGGTGTCTTGCAGAGTCTGGAGAAGCAGATCGAATCTCTTTAGGTTTTCTTCGGTGTGTGACATTAGTGGTGAGCAGACGCGGACAAGTTTCCAAGTTTGCACATAGGAATCGTGTTTTGGGAAGTCTTTTTCAGGAAGTTTGAGGTCTTCCTTGTTCACTTTGACCTTCCAAAACCCATCGTCGCTGTCGAAGCTCGACAGATCGAGCAAAGCCTCCCCGTGTTCTTGCGCATGCAACTGAGTTTCGCTGTCTGCAGAGTTTGCCAGTGAGAAGGAACCTGCTTCACGCAGCCGCTCCACGATGCGAAACTGGAGATGGTGAGCCCCTAGGTTGGAGTGAGAGCTTGGAAGGCCAACGAACTTAGGGTGTTCAGCAGTGACTTTGGTACCTGCTTCTCCCGAGGTTTGAACGAGGAATTCTAGTTCGGCACGAAAGAGAAGCTGGCGGGGTGACGAAGGCGGTTCATCTTCAAAGACTCTGGAAATGCCGCTGCCAGTCTGGCAGTTGTCGTAAGAGAGTTCACGGAGGTAGTCCAGCGTGGGAGATCCCGGGGACATTTGTGGGCTAGATCTGTAGTTGGAGCCGGAGCTGTCATCTCCAAGAAGCGCGTCGCGCATTTCGTCGTCACTAAAGTCCAAAACATCGAAATTAATGTCACTGAGGGCGTCATTGGAGTGTATTGATGACCATCCAGAAACAGGAGAAAGCAGTGGCCTCGTTCCAGGTAATGAATGCGCGGATGAGGACGAAAACGACGTCATTGCAGTAATTGCTGTTTGTGAGCGAGTGAATTCTGATGTGCTGGAGTTGTTGGAATGGGGTTTGTCGTCTAACATTGTGATATGGCCTTGGTGGCGTCCCTTTAAATCTTCTCAATTTGCATATCCAGCGTGAAGGACGGATTTCATCTGGGAATTGTTTTATACATCAACATCGCTGTTCTCGGACAGCGGATGTGAAGACCAAAGAACATTCTTCAGCGTTCCTCCTACGTTGGGAGGACAGACAAAGATTTCAGACAGAAAAGACGTTGAAACTCAAACAATGACTTGCAGACGAAGTCTCGGGTCGAGTTGGTCACAACAGGGCCATGTCGTATTTCTTTGTGCGCTCCGGCTTCGGTCGCGCTGTCTAAAGCGGCCCAGCAGTAATCTGGGGCATTTAGTTGTACAGAACCTTTGTGTTAGTGTCCTATATGTAGTTACTTATGACAATGGTCTTGAAAATCGAGGCTTCATTGTGAAGGGCAGCTTTTGATAAGTCGTCTGTAAATTCAACACAGCGCACAAGAAGTCGGTAGCTAGATCCATCATCTTGACCAAGAAGCTTGGCCTCCTACTGGCTGGGATAAATGGGCCTGGTCACTTTGAAATCCGTTTTCACTTTAAATGAACGAATACGACGATATTTATTTCAAAAAATTGTAGGCCAACTCAATAGAAGACATCGAACGGCGCATCTATAACCTGAAACCATTCAATTGGCTATTTCTGTATGACAGGAGATGTGCTGCAACCTCGGAAGCGTAAAAGCAGAATCAAAGAGAAAAAAAGGAAATTAGAAAAAAGCATAAGCTGCAAGAATCGCAAAAGATAATCGCAAAGCTGGACAGGCCGAAAAAAAAATGCAAAAACAATAGCACGACCTGGTTTCGATCCAGGGACCTCTGGGTTATGAGCCCAGCGCTCTACCCCTGAGCTACCGTGCTTGTTGATGTCGTTTTTACTTTGATTCGCCCCTCATATACCACAAGTGGGCCCTCTAACTGCGCCGCTCACCATCGAGGTCATCTTCACAGAGCGCCAATCAGCGAAGGAAGATAGTCATGATAAATTCAAGTCATATAATTCGTTGCCTTATCGGTCTATACTATCTAGCTGTCATGGGAGCAAAACAAATAAAGCTGCACAATGGCTCGTTCTCCCAAAAATGCAACCGAAACTCCAAGCAAAACGCTCAACATTTCTCTCCACATTACAGCCGTCAGAACCAGCAAAAAAGTTCGTAAGAGTACACTTCCGTATCGCACAGGTCTCCAAAAGAACAACGAAAAGAGTTCATGCAATACATATGTTCAAGATTAATCATACAGCGACCTGATTTCGCTGCCGCAGGCTCTGCGTCCTCAAAAACGAAATCTGGCCCCTGCGGACCGTCGCCTCGCGCGGCGAGCGTATATCGTCCTTGTCCGCGGACAAACTCGGCGACAAGTCGAGAGAACTATAGGGGTCGTTTGTCGCTGCGGGTCTCTCGTCGCGCCGCACGGATAGATAGAAGAAGTCGTGCCAGAAAGAGTGCTCCAGCTCGCGCGGCTTGCCATCGGATGTCCAGTACCGCTCCTCGGATAGTTCCCGCGAGAGGTGTCTTCTGAAGTAGCGGTCCTGGTTTACCCACCACGCACGCCACGCGCAGAGGATACCGACGGTGAGGGGGATGACGGTGGCCCAGTAGACCCAGAACAGGTGGCTCAGCACGGGAATCGGGTCTTTGGGGTTTGTGGATGTTCCGGGGTCTGGGGTTACGATTGCGGCGTTGTCGTCTGCTGCGTCTTCGCCGGAGGCCTGCCAGTCGAACATGGACATGCCGAAGAGGGTACCGAGGAATTCGCCGGGGAGGAAGATGGCGGTGATGACGGCGAGGGCTTTCATGGAGGAACTGTCGCGGGAAGATGCAACTGCCATGCGGGCGTTGAGAACGTTGTCTTCTTGGGCCATCTTACTGTAGATCTGGGCAATGTTAGTCGCACTTCGTGAGAGATGGAGATGATTTCGAACTTACAATGTCGATCTGGGCGCGGCATCGGGCTTCGGACATGCGGCGGTCAGTTTCCAGGCCCATACACATTCTCTGCAGACCCTCGAGGTATTGGCGGATTTCGTGCCAGTGGTTTCCGAGAGGATCGGCCAGCGCGTCCGGGGCCGGAGGTAAGGATCTCCGTCGTGTGCTTGCGGAAGAGCGTGATGGTGGTCCTGTGGGAGGCTCCTCGGGCCGTCCTTGCATTTCTTGCTGATCACGCTCGTGATCATCGAAATTTCTTGCGCTGAGATCTTGCAGGCGCACGTTGAGTTCTCCTGTCGACATGCGCTGCGCCAGCTCGTCGCCAGACTGCAGCATCAGCTTAACTACCCTCTCGATCCAGCGAACGGTATCCAGCAGCTTGATTGATTCCTTGAGCACATCGTGGGCGCTCTTCATGAGATTCGCCATGCTCATTGGGCCCGCGACAATCGGCTGTTTGTCGTTGTTAGCACTGAAGGTCAGTCTTCGGATCAGCTTTGATCTCCTCTCGCGCTCCATCTCAAAGGCTTCGAAGCCGGCGATGCTGCTGACTTCCCACTCGAGGGACTTGACATGGTCTATGTTCTCCATGACTGCCTCTTCGGTGCGCATGAACTGGACTTGGAGGAGGACAACCGGAGTGATGAATGGGTGAGCCCAGTGCGCGCGACATGCCTCTAGACGCTGGTCGTATTCGTCGAGGTTCTCGAGGTTATGCTGCCGCGGATGGTAGGATTGGCGGACTAGCACAGTTGTCGCGCGGTTTCTGACATCGTAGGTCATGGACATGAAGTCGTACGGCGTCCTGGGGTTGTTGGAGAACGAAAGAATGATGCCTAGTAAAGTAAGCCTTGGTGATGTCGGGACGACAACTTGGTGACTTACTCAGCTTGTTTTGGTCCAGAGACCAGAACCGAGACTCGTTAGTGACACGGCGAGAATACTGAAGAGTTGCGGGGTGTAGATCCAGGGCATCCATGTCTTGGGGGGTCATGGTGATGCCATCCTCGCGGCGGTCGAGGGATTTGTTACGGCGAAAACAGATTCTTTGGTCGTTTAGTCATGTGCAGTCCTCATCTAGAGCCTCGACCTTCACTCACACTCTTCTCACACGTCCATCTAGCACAAGCGCAGGGTCCCGAGCTGGGTCTTGGGTAAAGTCTCCCTATTTCACCATCAGCATTCGAGTCTCATCATGTGCACATGTTCTGGGAGTCCATACGTTATGATCTACTACCCATCCACGTCGAAAAGCGAGGTCAAGCATCTGGTATCCCGGGGTCTCTTCGGTATGGTTCAGCTTGAAGCTGACATCATCGCCACCTTCGTCATCCGGGGTCAGCCCCGACGGCATGGAGCTATCCTTTTTAAAGACGACATACTCGTCGTACTCGACTTTGGAGGCCGTCCTCCCGTCAATCAAAAGAATGTCATCGCGCAAGGCGAGAGTGTCGAAGCGAAAGAGGTCCGACGAGTCGAGTCCCTGAAAGCGGGCCATCAGGGCGTCGTTTGCCTAGGGAGAGAATAGTTGGCGCCTAGCGATCTGCAGCTCAACATGACTCTCTCTCGATGCCTGTTCCTCTAAGCCAGTCGAGAAACAATCGTCGAGTAGAATCAAATAGCAGCGAAGTTAACGTTAAAGCGTTGGGGGTGAGATGAGCGGTAAAACAGGACGTCATTCCATTTAAGCCAAAAGTTCAAGGATAAGGTCGGTTTTTTAATTTTCTTTTTTTCTTTATTTTTAACATTTGCTCCGGTGCAACAGCCAACAGGTTGTCTCGTCTGTCTTGCCGATCTGGGCCTTTTGGCGGGTGGTTGGGGCGAGTGTGGCATCTGAATAGCGGTCCCCAGTGGGCCAATAGTCCCCTGAAGGGTCCCGAAAACGTGATTTTAGTGGGCCTCATTTGAGTTGCCAGGTGCTTCGCTGTTCCGGTTTCCATTGTTTGCGGGGTGTTTTGTTGACTGCCCGCTGAAGGAAAAGGTTGCAGCCCTTTGGAGAGGGCTTCCGGGGGAGGGAGGGAGGAATCCTTCAGGGAATATCTGTCCAGTGACATGTTCCAGGCAGGGCTCCGCCACGCTGACCACACCCCGGACGGGCCTCATAGTGAGCTCTTGGCGGGCGTTTTAGCGGGTCGCTGTCCGGGGTCAAAGGCGCTGTGCAGTTATTTGTCCGTTGCCACGGGACCGGAGAGAGGGAAACGTAGTATACCAAGGAACTGCGACCGAAACCAATGGGGAAGGAGGAACCTTGGAAGAGCCGAACCGAAACAGACTGAAGCGTCATTGGCGTAAACCAACTCAATTTTGACATAATTCCTTCAACCCTCGTGCCCGAGTCATGCCTTGGCAGTGTGTCTTTTCTCTCTCTGTTTCTCTGTTTGTCTTATTGAGTTGCATTAGTGTCGACCTGCAGCATATTCAAACGGTCCAATCACCCACCGACCCATAACCGTTTGCTATCCATCCAACATCGTTGTCGCCGGGGGCTCTCTTCGCCGTCCGCTTCCCCCGGTCACCGCCGTACCGCAGCCTTATCCTCAATAGCTTCCTCCGCCCCTTGTCCGCCTTCGGGCGAGACCGGCATTGGCTTCAATGTCTCATCTTTGCGCAGCTTCCATCCTCCACTCCAGCCAATCCAGCCTTTCTCGCGAGGACCCTTGGACAGGGTTGCCAGCAATGAGAGCCCAATGAACCCAACTGCGGACTGTTAGTTACCAAACGCCATGTCAGAGAGAGATGAGATGAAGAGAATGTGGACTTACTGGTCGCGCCGCCACTGTATTTCCACCCGCCTTGCGCATATAGCCTGTTGCCGACCGCCGTGCCTGTCAGCTGCCCACAAAAGACCGATACCATGTACGCCGTGTTGACCCTGTTCCTCGCCTTGGCGTTGATGGCGTATATGGCTGTCCGGTTCGCTGTCTGTGCCGTCTGAATACCCATATCTATGCAGATCGCTTGGATGACCGGCCCCGCAACGGTGAAGGTACTTGTGAAAGCACCGACAACACACCCGATGAGGACGACGACCTGGCCTAGCACGGAAGACAGGAACGGCACGTATCGATCCATGATGAACCGCCCGTACACTGGTCCTCCGCATATAGCTGCGATGCCGATGAGCGAGAAGAGACCGATTGTCAGTGATGGGTACTCATATGGCGGCGACGCCAGCAGGAACGTCAGCGTCGTCCAGAAAGACGTAAAGATGGAGCTGATGCAGAACCCGATCAAGCACGCATGGACAAGGACCGGCTCGCTGAAGAAAATGGTGACAATCGTCCACAGCGCTTTGAAGTAGTTCAGTCCATCCGGGTTTGTCGATGGATAATCGGGCATGAAGAAGTAGAGGAGGATCAAGAGGAGGTATTGAGCCCCAAAGCCGAACCAGTAGATGTTCCGCCATGACGTGTAGTTTGCAACAATACCCGAGAGCAGACGCGCGATGAGCATACCGAGCATCAAGCCTGATGTGACAATAGAGAGAGAGCTTGCTTTTCGGTTGGCCGGGGCCATGTCGGCGACAAGCGGGAGCATGAGCTGCGGCGTAACGGTAGCAGCACCTACAAGAAACGACAGCGCCGAAAACGCGACGAAGGAGTTTGTCACGCAGAGACCTAACCACTGTGAAGTGTTAGTCTCGTCTCAAACTTTTTATTCCAAGCTTGTTGTAGAACTCACCAGCATTGCTGTGACCCAGATGAGTGCGAGGATAAACGGCCGGCGCCGGACCATGTCGCCCAGCGGGCAGATGAAGAGCAATCCCGCCGCATAGCCGGCCTGCATCAGCGTCGCAACCGACGACGCCCTCTCGAAACTGACGTCAAAGGTCTCTGCGATCCTATTCAAGACAGGTTGGTTGTAGTAGAGGTTGGCGACAGTAAAAGTTGCGGCCTGCATCGATCAGCACACCTTGCTCATTCTACATCCCAAACTTTGCACTACTCACCACCGCATAGAGAAAATTATGTGCCAGTGAGAACCGAGGTGGCTTTTCCGGGTCGTAGCGAAGCTTCTTCGGCGTCCAAGTGAGCACACTCACCACCAAATTCCAAAGCCCATCCCGTCCTTTCCCATCGCCTCCCCTCTGCGACTCCCAATCTGAATCCGACGGCGACGGTGCCGACCTCGTCTCATTTCCATCTGGTATCTTCCCCTTATCCTCGTCTCCAAACCCATCTCGAGGAGAGTTCAGGGCTGAGTCCTGCGGGCTGGAAATTTGTCTTACCTCCACGGGCCCATCCGCAGCCGCCGCCACAGGCGCCACGCCCATATCCTTGTCTGTGTTACCTCTGCCGATGGCAGAGTCTCTTTTCTCCAACATCCTTTTCTTCAAACCCGCGGAGAAGAAGAAGACTTTTTACGAAAGCCACGAAGCCAGCCTTCTTTGAGAAAGGAAACGTTCCCGACAAGCGAAAAATATTCTAGAACTCCCTTCTCTTAACGAAAATTCCCGTTTCTTAGCGCTTGCGCGGGAGTCCGTTGGGGAGACTAGTTGTTTAGTGGGACAGGTGATGTAGTCATGTCATTGCTGTGACTTGGCGAGTTCCCAGTTCTAAACCCTCGGCAATGATAACGTCAACCTGTCGCGGCTCTCCCCTTCGAAGTTTTTCGTTTGAGAAATTGAACCGAAAAAAAATTGTACGAAGTAAGGGGGGGATTTTTCGTTCGGCTATTCTATGACGCGAATAGTGAGGGGACATCCGCAATGGATCTCCAGGGCCGGTTGCGCTTTGGGGGGGGGGGGGGGGGGGGGGGGGGGCAATGATCGCGGAGATAAGCCCCCGTCGAATGGTGCGAGGCCGGGGTCCTTGTCCTATCATCGTCTACATTCGTCGGCCGGCACCGACTCGGCAGGGGTGAGCCAACTGCTTCGATGTCCGGCCTTTTAAAAGGGTGGTCTTGTCACTAATGAGGCATGTCGCGTATGAATAATGCTATAAATTGTCTGCCTGATGATAAAAAGCTCGTAATTTGCTATGTTTTTGCCGCTTGACTCTCGCAGCAGTGTTTCTTTGGCCTCTCACTTCCCTTTCCTGACTTGACCCGCGATACATTGCCGCGTAGCAAAGTCCATTTCCCAGAGATACCAAAAAGAAATGAGCAAGGGGCGAAAGTCCAATTGTCCTCAGTTACAAACCACCCGTGCCCGAGTAAGCAAAAGTCTCTGGTCGTAGTCTTCGCCATCCGCAGTGCCAGCTTTTATCAGACAAGGGGAGACTGTCAGCTTAACAATGCTGCTTTTGTCGAGAGGCTCTTTCTCCCATATTTCGGCATCCATTCTCTCCGGATCAAATGAAATGATCCCAGTCGAGCGGCAGACTTCGGGCCACTTGAGGAGGAAGATTGCCCTGGACGTCATGAATGAGGCTTGCAATTGTACTGCGTCTTGGAAAATTCTGTTGAGAGACGTAAATAGCTTCTCTGAAGACTTTTCATCGGCCGCGCCACCAGGCAAGAAAATTGAAAATGTTGCGGTATCAGCTTTGACAACCTCTCTGAGCTTGTATTTATCAATCCCGATCATTTCATCAACCAGCTGAGCACCGTCGGCTTTCCACCGAGTAAGATCAGCAATCCTAGGGTTCTTCGCGTCTACAAAGGCTGATATCATGTGTGTCAGCTCACTTCTAATCTCTGAAAGTATTGAGACTCTGGTATATCAGACTCACATAAAAAGTCACAAAAGACGTTGCATAAAGACTGTCCTATACTGCCTCCCCAGCATTTGCCGTAAATCCCATCTGCATCAGGCTCAAAGAAGCGGACTATAATAGAAAGCCAAATGTAACTTTCGAGGACGCTAGATCTCCAGTCATCATTCTGGAGAAGTTCAAAGTGCTGGTGTTTCATGTCGTCGAGCACCGGAGACTGATGGTTGAGGGCTAGATCATCATCAACATTCATTTCCCATGGGCGACCAGTAAGGAGGTTTTCAGCGACATTATGAATGTTGTATCGCAACCTCTCCCAGATGCTTATAATCGTATCATCTGATGTCTTATTAGGATTCGCAAAACGCTGCGTCTGGGCTTTGAATTTCTCTTGAGCCGCCAGCTTTGCGTTGAGTTCTTTGTTCTGGGTATGGAGAATACGAAGGTCGTTTCGAAGTCTTTGTATCTTTTCGCGATGTTTGAGATCCTTCTCGGCATGTAAATCTTCGTTCTTTTGAGCCTGGTGGGATTGTTCCGCAAGCTTCCTCTCGGCCTGTTCGCATCTTTGGTGTGCTTGATCAAGCTCTTGCTGCAGGATCAGGCTTCTGTGCAAATGGGAAGTCTCTCGTCTTATTTGGTCAGACAACTCCGCCAACCTCTCTATTCGAGAATCCAAACGCGCGAGCCTTGCCATGCCTGCTTTCCGCTGCCTGATTGCCTTGATAGTCATCATCCGATTAGTTTTGTAGAGAGATTTCTTCTTCTGCCAAACGCTCCTTCGATTCTTGACCATAACAACTTGCCGAACTTCTTTTTTTTCTGAGATTGAAAAAATAACAGGAAGTTGGAGATCTTGCAAAATTATTGTTGTCTTTTCCTGAGGTGCTTGCATGGCGTTTGAGAGAGCTCCGGCAGCACCGACGGCTTCGTTGAGGTCTGCATCTTCTGGCACTTTTGCGGAAAGGCGAGTCTGTTCAGACGTCATCGGTTCCTGTGGCTAAATGTCAGGTACCTTATCCAAATTTTCTCGTGCTAGTGACACTTTGACGTGACGTACTTGGCTAAAATTACAGTCCAGGGCGTGATTGAGCTGATGACTTGCCATGGCTGTGAGGTGGAAGATGGCGTATTGTGAGAAATTGAGAGCTGCGATATGACTTGAGTAGGAAACTTTTGAAAGGCAAAATGAGCAAGATACTCTTAATAATTTCAAAAGAACTAAGTTCTGTTGTAGAATATTGAGTGGAACCTGATGGTGAAGTGGTTTCCGCGCGTTTAGAAAGAACCTCCAAGTATAAGCGCCTTCCACGCCATTCCATCAACAGATCTCTCTGCTGTTGATTTTTACCTATCACTTTCATGAGAGCTGCCTCTTTCCCTCTAAAAATAAGCCAGTTTCACATACGGCTTTCTTCGGATTTTACCTAAATTAACGGAAGGAAGCCTACTTCCCCCAAACTGATTTGCTTGCCACCCCGTCTTTTTTCTGCCTAGCTCACCACCCGTCAGGCTTGATACCTAGTCGCAATAATTACCTTGGTAAATCAGACAGGTGAGTTGAGACATCTTTTACCCCCTCGACACGGTCATAGAAACTGTGCTTCTCTGTTTTTTTCTTTTTCACTTGATTTTCATAAATTTATTCTTCCTTCGTGCCTATTCTCCCACTTCTCATTCTTGGCTTTGAGATTATCCAGGTCTCTGTTCACCTATAGTTTACTTCCAACTAACACATGACCAGACCTTGACCGATAAGTTCCGCAGATATGGAGGGCAATCATGACGTGGAGCATGATATCGTAATCGGCATTGACTTTGGAACCACGTGAGCTGTTGTCGGCTTTCGTTTTTATGAAGTTCCCAACTAACTATTCACAGTTTCTCTGGAGTCAGCTGGGCCTACTCAGGCCAGCCAACTGACATTGAAGTCATTAGTCGATGGGAGTCCAAACTTGGCCGGAACTCCGACAAAGAGAAAACTCCCACGGAAATGGTCTACCAGGAAAACAAAGGAGGTGTTTTTTGGGGATACGGAATCCCTCCTAACTCTAATCAGAAACCACTGAAGTGGTTCAAACTCCTGCTTGTCGACGAAGACGACCTTCCCCAAAATGTCCGAGAATCCAGTCAGATGGCTACAGCACGAAAGTTGGCAAAGCGCTTCAACAAGGACCCAGTCGAAATCATCAGCTGCTATCTGCGTCATCTTTGGAACCATGCCATCGAGTGTATTGTTCTCTCTGCGGGCAAAGACCTCGTCAAAATGTGCAAGTTCCATGTTGTCATCACCTTGCCTGCTATTTGGTCCGACTATGCCAAGCAGCGCATGCGCAGAGCTGCAGAAAATGCAGGCTTATTAAAGGAGCGCCCCATCGGAAATACCACTTTGACATTCATTTCCGAGCCTGAGGCTGCTGCTCTGGCCACAATGAGAGACCATGGCAGACGGCCGAATATCAATGTATGGGTTCCTCCCTGATGACTAACCTTACTAACGAACTTAGGTCAACGATCACATCGTTGTTTGCGATGCAGGGGGTGGCACTGTGGACCTTATTACTTATGAAATAGTTAGTAAGGAGCCCTTTATCGTTCGCGAAGCCGTTCAGGGTGATGGAGGCCTTTGCGGCGGAGTTTTCCTCGATGAAGCATTTGTCAAGCTTATGAAGAAGAAAGTCACACCCGAGGCCTGGAACAATATATCTGAGCTCGAGGTCCGGAAGGCTTTGAATAATGAGTGGGAGAACAACATCAAGACAGCGTTCCATGGCCAGGACGAAGACTTTTACTTCAGCCTCCCCACTGAGTGTCAAGCTCCGGGTAGTGCTAAGCGCGGCATCAAACGAAAGAAGAACTTGGTCCTAACTCGCCAAGACCTGCTCTCCGTCTTTGACCCTGTTGTAGACCAGACAGTAGCGCTGGTGGAGAAGCAGATCGAGAGCGTCTTGAAAAAAACAGGCAGGAAGCCTAAGGTAAAAAATTGCATGAGCCTGTTCCTACTTTAGCGGCTGATGTATTTCTACAGAAAATTATCCTTGTCGGTGGATTTGGAAGAAATGACTACCTTCGAATCCGGATCGCAGAAGCTGTCGGTGAGGCTATTGAGATTCTTCAGAGCTCTGGCAATAGGCCGTGAGTTGATCATGATAAATACAGTTTCTTCGCTAACAATACCTAGGTGGAGCGCCATCAGCCGTGGAGCTGTCATCCAAGGCCTTACGCAGCGGGACCTCGCACCTGGCCTGTCGGTTAACATCAACTCTAGAATCTCACGAATGAGCTATGGAGTAGATTTCGATTCTGAATTCGATAAGCTCCTACATGATGAGGAAGATCGGTTCTGGAATGATGACGAACAAAAGTGGATGGTGCATGGGCAGATGGAGTGGTTCCTCGAAAAGGTATGGACTAGATCTGCTGGAGCCCTTCCATCATCTTGATGACGAGTCAACTGATTTGCAAACTAGGGCGATGATGTCTCCAATACCAAGCCGGTGTGCCACGACTACTATAAACTGTTTACGTCACCTCCTGACAAGATCTCCGACACCATATACTGCACAAAGGCATGGCCTGCGCCTGAATCTCTGAATGAAGACGTCGAGGAGCTCTGTACCATCACCTGGACTAAAGACATTGATTTTCAGTCGCTTCCACACTATACCAATCCGATTGGAAAGGTCTTTTCCAAGCTAAGCTACAGCATCGAGATGACTTGCTCTGGAGGCAGCATCGACTTCGCCGTTATTCATGACGGAAAGCAGGTTGGTGCAAAGAATGTCACCGTTGTTTTCAAGGATGAAGATGAGGACTAAGAGGCATTGGGATCATCTATTCATGCTGCCTTCATATACTGCGTGCTTTTGCTGTTTGGACGGACATAAGAAGCATGAGGTCTTCTTGGCTAAGGAAGCCTCTAAAACACGGCCCAACAGAGGTATCAATTTGCCGAGGATATCAGTGCATTGGAGATAGCCGTACGTGCGAAGGATAATCGCACAAACACCGATAGTCACGTACAACAGAGAAATTGGAATTGCACGAAGTTTCCCTGTGTTGCAGTATTGTTCCTGCTAGATTGTTGCTGGGCGAAATCTAGCAAATGTGCCAAAGCCCACGATGCTCCTCTTCTGAAGTGTTAAGCAGTGACGAACGATGTAAGGATCAGTTTCAGAGAACAAGAAGATGTACAAAATATTTGATTGAACCGTTCAAGCACCATAGTGAATAGAGGTTGGGAGCTCTCAAGCATTGAGAGCAGCTGTTCCAGCTCAGCCCAAGTTGGCCGGGTATGTTCCGTCAAAGAAAACAGTTTTAAACAACAGTGCGAAGACTTTGGAGGCGATCTATGACAAACAATTGTTTGGTGCCAGAAGGATCTTCTCTGAGTATTATCTATTGCAGATCTGCAAGATAACAGAAAGAGTGAGACGGCCATCAGGCGCCTTGCAATGGGGAGGAGCTTGGCCACGGTGCCTAAGATGTTCACGGAAGACAGTGAGATGATGATGAGCAGTCAAGTGCACGTGGCGTTCTATCGAATATCTGAAGTAAAAAAGCATGGTGTAAGCATCAAGCTCCGAATTTCCCGGCATCTTAGCGTCAGGCGCTGTCGGTGTGTTGTCATAATCGCCGGCTTATCTCAGCCTCAACAGCCGGGATTGGACCACGCTTCTGGGTTGCGGTAGGTACCTCTTGTAGGGCGGCAAGCGTATGCCTTGAAGTCGCTTCTGATACGCCAGCAAGGCAAGTACGAAATTGATGGCTCTCATTTGTGGCGTTTTTGATATGCAGCGCGTCAGCTTAGATGTTTTCTCAGCGGCCTTTTGGCAGATTGATTGCCCGTTTCCTGGGAGGGGGCGGCCAACCAGACACGCAATCTAGAATGATTGTGACGGTTTGGGATATGTTTTTCATGGATTCGAGCCTGGTTGTGGTGTGCAGGACGCATCCTTCGTAAATCTGCGGTCCAAATCGGGGCCGGGAAACTTGGATAGGGTCTCTGTGTTATCGTTTTGATACCATTGTTGAATCCCATTTATTGATCGAGCAGATACTTGCCTCTTTACTTCAAAGAAACGGTTTGAAAATGTATAAGAAAGCATTTTGGTTTCTTTGGTTTTAGTAGCTGGCTCAAAACTGCCCGGCTGGGATCATCAGGATAGCATGTTATGAAATGACTTGATGGAAAGTTGCCCAAAGACCACTGGACAGAACAGCCTGTTGCTTGCTGCGGCTTACGACATTAATGGCACTATTGTAAGTACATGAGATTTTAGCTCATGGCCAGCTGAAGGGCCTCTTGGCGGGCGAGTCCATGATATATAGGCGCGCCGAGACCCAGGTCTCTGGGTCAGGCAGATAAAGCCGAACGACGGACAGCAGCTTCGTGCCAGCAAACATCCCTCACAGTCCTGCCTTCATTTTCGTAACTAAATCATGGCAGAAGACCCTGAAAAACAGAAAGAGACCGTCCCGACTGGTGGCCCACTGGAGAAAGGTGAACCCGACAATGCCTCCAACAAGGGCCCTTTGTCGGGTGACAACACGGATACAGAGCGAGGAGCCAGCAAGGACATCACGTCTGGAACAGTCCGTACCGTGACCGGTTGGAGATGGGGTATCGTTGTCTTCGCCATCCTCTCCTCAACATTCCTTTTCGCCCTCGACAACACCGTCGTTGCAGATGTGCAGCCTCAGATCGTGCTCCAGTTCGACGCCATCACCGACATTGCCTGGCTGGGAGTTGCCTTCATCATGGCTGCCAACTCCACGAACCTACTCTTCGGACAGTTGTATTCACACCTCCAACCTAAGTGGTTGTACATTGGGAGTGTTGTAGTCTTTGAGGTGGGAAGCGCCGTCTGCGGTGCGGCGCCGAACATGGAGAGTCTCATCGTCGGTCGGGCATTGTGCGGCCTTGGTGGGGTGGGCATGTATCTCGGAGTCATAACTCTCATCGCCGCCACGACAACCATTCAGGAGAGACCTGCGTATCTTGCCTTCATCGGTCTCACTTGGGGATTGGGGACCGTCTTGGGACCCGTCATTGGCGGCGCTTTTGCCGACTCCGATGCTACTTGGCGGTATGTGTTCTCGTGTTACCCATAACTTGCACGCGCTGACTTTAGAAGATGGGCCTTCTACATCAACCTCCCGATTGGAGGACTCGCGGCGCCGGTTTACCTCTGGATGCTCCCTTCACCTGACCCCCAGCCAGGCGCAACCGTGCTTCAACGCCTTGTCGAGATCGACTGGGTTGGCGTGCCACTCATGCTAGGAGCCATCATCTGCTTTACAATGGGCATCAGCTTCGGTGGTCTTATGTACGAATGGGACTCGGGCCAGGAGATTGCCCTGTTCGTCGTCGCCGGTGTGCTTTTCATCGCCTTTGGTGTTCAGCAGGCATACTGCATTGGTACCACCAAAGAGCGACGTCTCTTCCCGGTCGAGCTTGTCTTTTCCAGAAAGTACTACCGGACCATCATCTTGATGTTCTGCATCACGGCATCAGGAGGCTGCGCCATCTTCGTCCCGGTATATTTCATTCCCATCTTTTTTCAATTCACGCGAGGTGACAGCGCTATTGACGCGGCTGTTCGTCTACTTCCCTTCATCATAGTAACGGTCTTTGTCACTCTCCTCCAAGGTGGTATCCTCTCGCACCCATCCGGCAAATTCGGGTTATACTTCCCTTGGTTCACCGTCGGCGGTGCCATTGTCGTCGCTGCGGCATCGCTGATGTATGTCGTTGAGACTGACACAAGCACGGCATGGGTGTACGGGGCGTCGGCCATGCTCGGAGCTGGAGTGGGGACGTTCACGCAGGCAGGCTTCTCCATCTCTCAGGCTAGTGTGCCCGAAGACAAGGCGGCTGTCGCTTCTTCACTCATAGCACTGGCCCAGACGAGCGGAATTAACATCGCACTGGCTGTCAGCAATGCCGTGTTCCTGAACAGAGCCGAGCAGCGCTTGACCGATATTCTTCCGGATACCGTCTCGGAGGAGCAGATCCGGCTTGCCATCGCCGGCGTGGGAGTAGAATTTGTCCGAACACTGCCTCAGGAAATGCAGCAGAGAATCCTAAATGCCATTGTTGAAGCTCTGAACCTGCCGTACATCTTGGTCATTGTGGCTGGTGCGGTGGTGCTTGTAAGTAGTGTGCTATGTAAGAGGGAGCGATTGTTCATGAAAGCAACCGGAGGCGGGGCCTGATTCAAGGTGTTCGGCCATTTATAGCCAGTATTAGGGTTTTTGGATGAATCGCCATGTTTTGAAACATTGTAGAAAGTGGGTCATGATTGTGTATCATTGATATAGATTTTGATGATTTGGGGCCTATTTAGACTAAACAGACGCCCAAATAGGGTACGACATCTGGCGGAAGAGGGTCTTGGCAAGCCGGTGGAACGGTCGAAATGTCAATTAGGTAGAGACAAACGTTTGAATTGAGGCATTTGATCTTGGCAAATCAGTTGGCTGTTCGGTTTGAGATGTGAAAGCGGAGTGAAAAAAGCCGTCCGAGTGAGACAGAAGTGAGGCTTATGAAGCTTGTTCGTGATAGAAGATGCGCTACGGACCGAGAAAGTGGAGATTTTGTTCAAGCGTGGCTTACATAACCAACCGAGGCTCCACAGTTTCAAAACAATCAGTCAGGGGTTCTTTGGGAGGTGCGTTGCAGGAGAGTTTCGCTCTAACCTTTTTCGGCCATCCCTTCCTCGGTCGGGGGGGCGCGCATCCAAAAGTTGACACTTCTTCAGAATTTCAACATTTGCAGGACATCTCATCGAATCGGAGCTCCGTCGCGACTCACCATCCTCGAATTGACGACTTGCGCGCGCGTGTTCGTCGGCTCACACATCACTTAGTATTTCGGGAAGCAGCATGAGTTCATGAGAACCGGATCCACTTGCGCCTCGCTGCTGTCCCATTACAGCCCGCCATGGCCGTCCTCATCGGCCTCCCTTTCGTGAGAGGCCAAGTCCGCGGACTTTGGCTGGCAGCCTTTCTACACCTTCTCCTGGCCACATCAGTTTGCGCCTACATGCCGCTCTCAGAAGGCGCGCTACGAAACATCACCATCTCTGAGGCCGACTTTGATATCCACAACGGTCCTCTGCTCTCACCCATCCTCATTCCCCGCGTGCCCGGTACGCCCGGCCAGGTCAAGACCCAGGAGCATTTTGTGAATTTCTGGAAGAAGAACCTGCCTAAATGGGAAATCCTGTGGCAGAATTCCACCGCCAAGACACCTGCCACGGGGAATAAGGACATTCCCTTCCAAAATCTCATCTTCCGCCGCGAGCCGCCCTGGACAAAGCCCGGACAGGCCAACTTTCTCACTCTTGTGGCTCACTATGACAGCAAGATTGAGCCTGCAGGCTTCATTGGCGCGACGGACAGCGCTGCTCCGTGTGCGATGCTGATGCACATTGCACGGGCTGTTGATGGGTATATGACCCAGATGCATGATGAGATGGTCGCGCTGGGTGAGAATGGAGGAACGGTTCCGCAGGACATGGGTCTGCAGATTCTGCTTTTGGATGGTGAAGAAGCATTTCATTCCTGGACGGACACCGACTCATTGTATGGCGCGAGGTAAGTTTTGCACGCGAAAGTTGGTCCATGCTAGACGTAAACCTGACGTGGCTTGTAGATCTCTGGCTGAGGAGTGGGAGAAGACATTCAACCCCGCCATGTCTCACTATAAGAACCCACTTGAGCAAATTAGCATGTTCGTTTTGCTCGACTTGTTGGGATCCGCCGACCCAAATGTCCCATCCTACTTCCAGACGACTCACTGGGCGTACAAGAGCATGGCAACCCTTGAGAAGCGCATGCGTGACTTGGGTGTTCTGGAGACGAAGCCCAGCTCCCCGTTCCTCGGCGACGCAGACAAGGACCCCAAGCGTTTCGGCATGAGTGGTATCGGGGATGATCACGTCCCCTTCATGGCGAGGGGCGTCAACATCCTCCACATGATTCCGTCGCCGTTCCCTGCGGTCTGGCACAGGCCCGAGGACGATGGTGAGCATCTCGACATGCCCACAGTAAGAGACTGGACGAGGATTGTAACTGCTTTTACCATGGAGTGGCTTGATATGAGTGAAGTAATGCCAGAGGAGGCTGCACAAGTATAGCATCTAGGAAATCTTATGGAGTTTTCATTTTTTTCTTTTCGTATTGATCCACGCGACGTACTGACTGTCCTGAGCAAAAAGTGATATCCAGGTCGGCATCTATTATACTTATACATTTCGTTTCCCAATGCCCTTCACTACCTCCAAAACCTTGTCTGATAGTACCCTCCCTGGCATTCGGCCATTAGCCAACCGGAAACATGAACCACAAAAACTGACTTCAATGCCGACCAATCTCACCATCCGCTCCCAGGTGCTGTCATTTGTTATACAGAATCATCTTAATCCAGTCTTCTCCATCCCGAGACGTGAGCTTGGTTCTGGACATGACGCTCTTGGGTGCGAGTCAGCCACGAAACCCGGTCATCGGAACCCTCCTGAAGTGTGCGGATGAGGCGCTTGAAGGAGAAACAGGTGTGGCCACTGCAGTCTCTCAGGGAGCGTCTGCTCACCCTGTCACACGTCTGCCGGATTGTTCGAGGTGTCTCTTGAAACACCTTGTACCGAAAGTAATCAATCCCGCTTCCAGCGTAGTGGCAGATGGCGACGAGGGCATCGTGGACTTGTTTCGAGCAGTCATCCGAAGCGTTGCCTTTCTTGCAAAGGTTTCCTTCGTAGTACTGCAGGAGGCCACCGCTAACTTCATCATATATGATCTGATGGAAGTTCTCAATTACCATGTTCATCACAGCTGGGTTATCCGTTAGCCGGCGAGACCAAGATGGATGTGGGGATTTTTTTTTTTTTTTCTTCTTCTTGCGCAACTTACCAATTACTCCCGAGCCTTCGGGAAACATCTCGTTTTTCAGGACCAAGCCACGATTTCCGATGGTAAACATTCTGGGAATTTTGTTGCAGTCTCGAGCTATCTGCTGAATAGCTCTCGCCAAGAGCTGATGGTCACCAAGCTCCCAGGCAACCCAGATGACCTGGTACTGCTGTTGTCTGGTCAAGAACTGGACCTTGCTGGCTGACATGACATAGGCACCGAGCCAGTTCTGAATCCAAGGGGTTATGTGCGGGGTGAAGAGATACTTGTTTGTAAGAACAAGGAGGTCGTAAAGCTCGGGAAGGGTCATAGTCTGGGGGATGTTGTGGAAGAGGCCGTGACCGAAACAGAGCATGACGAACATTGGCTCAGGGGCATCCTCCGGCAAATGGACGACCCAAGGGCCGCTGGCGGGCTTGGATTCAACGAAGCAGTATTGAGAGGAAAGCATGGCGCCGAAGACCTTGAATGCCCGCTTCATGGTTTTGGAGCAGACAACGAAACGCGTCGGGATGGTCCGATCCTCTTCGTAATCGCTGTCGGCATCGTTGTCATCGCATTCACCGCCGCCGACCACCAAAGTGAGGTCTCCGTCGGCTTCCAAGTAGATTGTTTCTTCGTCCCCCAAAATAATCTTCACCAGGGACCAGAGAGAATCATCCTCGTTGTATAGCTTGGGTTGTGAGGAATTGTGAGTATCGACGAGAACCGAGGTGAGCTGCTGGGAAAAGGGAGCCAAGGACACAATCTCATCAACCTGCAAGTCTCCCACACTGCTCGTGTCCATGATGTTCTTAACAGTGGATGGAATTGTCAGGGCATCGAAGTGTTACTTGGATGGCGCGCAAGACTTACCGAAGTCTGTGAAGCCTGGGTAATTGGTGGGAGACAGTGATGTGCCAAGTTTCACAGCGTGAGAAAGCAAAGATGGTTGTGTTTTCTTTTTGTTGTGAGGTGAAGGGAAATTGTGCGTGGGTTAATGAGGGTCCGATTTTGGGACAGGAAGGAGGAAGAAGGCAGGTACGGTTAAGCTGCTCCTTCCTTTTGAGTTGAATTCTCGGACTGGCTTCATTATGTCAGAATCTGCCGGTGATTCAGTGAAATGTTTCGTTTCACCTCAGTTCCACTGTCAACTGTTAGAATTGGCAAGGACTCCTCCTCCTGTCCTGGGGTGTGCCTTCCTTGTAATAGCAAATCCGCTTTCAGATTGTTAACACACCTTTATTGCAAGAGATTTCTTTATCATTTCACTTTCTCTGCACACCCTTTGAATACTGATGCAACCCTGATAATGAGAAACCCTACAAAGTATGCTCCTATGACTCAGCCTCCTTTCAATGCAGTGTCATTTCAAGTTCTTGACCAAATGCCAACATGGCATATATGTATGAGTGTCTTATGCTTATCTACAGTTTTCAGCTCCCATTTAAACTCCCAGGACCTCATTATCATGAACGGTTCAGCACCCAACCACGTTCCGTCAAGCCAAACTTCCAACCAATACCAGAACCGTTCTTCAATATGCCCTGAGCCTCCTCCTGTCTGTACTTGTCGGACACGCCGTTCTCCAACAACAGTCTGTCTTGCGTATTGACCGCGAAGAATGCCGGAAGGGTCGAGCTCTTGACGACTCCAAGCCCAGCTTTCCTCCCTTGGATAATGGCAATGGCCAGTAACAAAATCGAAAGTGCGATTTGCGACGAAATGAAAGCCAACCATTCCCATCGCACGTGAACATAAGTCTCGGTAATGAGGGCCTCGCCCGTCACATTGGTCAGATCGTCAGATAACCTGTTACGAATTAGATACTTTTGTCCCGCTACCCCAAGCATATGGAAAGATGACATCGAGATACTTACGAGTTCGTCAAGCTTCTGGCGATGTTGTTTGTAATGTTCCAAATAGCGCCCTCCACTACGCTTTCTGCTGAACCGTTCGCCTTTTTGTATGCATCGCTAATCATACTAAAATACCGGGACGGCGCTCGTCCACGTTCAAGGGCTGAACCCGACAATTGCGAGTACGAACCATTCGGTGTTGAAGCTAGGCTGCTCTGCAATGCGCTCATTCCCTTTCCACCGTACGGATACTTTGTGCCTGGTTCACCCGGTACCTTCAGCCCCGTCAGGTTGACTGGGGCAGGGTGGTTCGGCATGGGAAACAAGTCGTATTCGGCGTCTGCCGTGGCGTCGATCAGTTCTCGAGTGACTATGTTTTCGTGTACCGAAACGTTATATCTCTGAACGCAGAAATAGAAATTCGCCTCCATGGCACCTATTCCTCCCCCGTACAGGGAGTATATTATCTGGAATTGGGACACGGCATCGGTCGTGGAGTCCTCGGGCTCGACGTATAAAGACTTCATACCGCTGCTCAAGCTTACCATGCCCATGTTTGGCATGCTCAGGTTAGCATACGCGCCGTTTGGTAGCGATGCAAGCTTGAGCATCTTGCTTTCTTTCCCTTTCCCGTAAGTCACGTTTAGAAGATTGGTGATGTTCCATGTTTTGGCACAGATTCCGAGTGTACTAAAGGTTTCCCAGCGGCACTCAGTCGTCGGGCATCTTGGCGGTTCGAACGGGAACTCCGTGTCATAGTTGTAGCTGAGGCCAGTGTAGATACTGGTGTCGTGCTTCAAGTCGGACGTCGCTTTTGAAATGATCGTTAGCAACAAGCGACACCACAGAGAATGACATGCCAAGGCGACTTACGGTCATACAGCAAATTGGCAGTATTTGTGTAAAACTTTACGGCCCGTGGCAGCACTGGTCTCGAGGCGATTGGCGCCAGACGTGTGGGATATGTCACCGTAGACTGCGTCAAGGTCGACGTAAGTATCGCCGTGATAAACACGACGGTAGAAATGAGACTCGGTGACCTTACATCACAGTTAGCCAGTGCATACATGAAATTATGACAAAACCTCACCAGCCCTTGGTGGTCTTCATTAACATGAGACTTCCCCATGGCCCTCGAGTCGCCGCGTCGAAGTCTTGAAAGTCTCTCAGTGGTCTTTCCTTGCGAAACCAGAGCCACTTCAACTGCGAGAGACTCTCAGAGACGGGTACAATGAACGCGGCTCGGGCGAAAGTAGCAAGTAAAGCGACCACGGTGTTGAGAGTCAATCCCAGAGGCCATTCGGGCAGACGCTTCTCGTGGAATTGATTGAGCAGGATAGCTAGGCCCACCACTGAAGCAATACTTATTAGGCACCATATCAATTCTGGCAACCATGCGAACAGTGTTGAACTCCACGGCTGTAGTTTCGGGTGGCCCTGGTTGGGACCCAGCCCTCGCGGGAGGTTCGACTTGGGACTTGACGGGTCATGAGTGACTTCAGTCACCGAAGGTTTGTGATTTGAGGGCGACAGTTTCTCGTAACGGTAACCACCGCCAGCAGATTTCGGAGTGCCCAAGCCCGGGAAGGCATCATTGGCCTCGCTGTCAACAGGTGCTGGTTTTGCAGATGCCGATCGTTCATCTTTCATGGAATTCTGGAACCAAGCTGGGTCGTCCTGGGTTTGGATAAGAGGGTTCAAGTCGCCTTCATTCGCCGCCACCGATTGGCTCTTGTCCGACTCTTTCCGTTGATGCTGGCGCAGTGACGATAGCGGGACCTGTTCGACATCGATCGCGTCGTATGATTCCGGACGTGTGGAAACTGGCTTCCTCCTCAAGCTGGATTCCTGCGCAGGTCGGCTATATTCCATGTTCCAAGCGTGACACGATAGAGTCGTTCAAATCAAGATTTAACCGTCGACATCCAAACTCAAAAGTCCCTTGCGTTGTAGATGTATCGACGACGTTGAAACAAAATGCCACAATCGAACCGGCACGCACGCAAACGCAAACCGCCCCCGGAGATGATGGGGCCCTAAAGCAGGCAACTGAGGTACTTCGCCCTACTTGCTACGGCAACCTGCAGGGCGACGCCGGCAAGGGTGCTTAGTGTGCGAGACAACTGGAGAAAACGTCGATCATGCCCGCCAGGGAGACGAACCGGAGGATGGCATCGAAGGCGTAGGGCCGGGATTCCAATCCTCTAAATAACCAGAAACCCTTACATTGGACAGAATAAACGATCTTCAATTCAGTGGTTAAGCTAGTGCGACAGGGGTGAGCCGGCCGCAAATGAGCCACTCGTCCACGTTGTCGAATCCACCTAATTTGGAAATTTGAGTTCATTTTTTTACTCTATTTCAAGGCGACCCTGACGATGCGGGATCGGAGTCCTGAGATGGTAAGGCGATTACGCTGGTAGCTGCTGGAGGCTTTCGCACGCCATGTGCACTTCCTCATCGTCAGTGAGGGTCACACTACCAAAGTTCAGAGGGCCAGTAGTGGAGTGTTAGTAAATCGGAGTTCTTCATAAACGCTATATGCTAATCCACTATCTGCTGAAATTGACGCAGATAAAGGGCCGCATTCACCCGGAATTTGGATTGCAAGCTCGCCCAGTACCTCATCAACATCAAGCAAAAGTTCTGGTCACTGTCATATTCCACAAGATTGTCGTGACCGTACATCATCTGGCCTTTACGGCTGTCTTCTGCGAGCTCTCATAGGCATTGAGAGCGTTGCTTGCCTCATCTTGCCCAGGTCATCAAGTGTTTGCGTTTTTCTTTTTTTCTTTCTTTCTTTGGGGGCCTAAACCAACATTCTAATCAGAAAATGGCAGGTGCTGTTGGGATCTCAGGGAACGTCAAGAGTCACTGAAACTCAGAAAGAAGATGTGCTGTAAAACGGATGGTAACATTGCCACACATCTCGCGTGGCTGCGGCCCACCATGGGGCTTAGGAGCCACAGCCCTGTGGGACCGCAGTGTCTCCCCTCAACGGTACCTCTTGAATGTCTCAGCAGAAGACAAGAGTTCGAATCCTCTGAAAGTACCATAAATAGCTTTTTTAGGTTAACGTCTCCGAGCCGAAACGTTTTGATTCGACATTCCAGCTGGGCTACTTCGCATGCACTAGGGCTAGACCGGCGTTCAATGACAAGAACGCAACGCGACTGCTCACCAAGTTTCACCCAGCAACTGAAAGTCCGTAAACTTCGAATACGCCTACGATATGCAATGCTTCCGACGGAAGGTGTAATTGAGTATGACATCTAGAAATGAAATATTTGCCGACTCATGCTGGCTCAGACTTGCCTTTACGGCGTCATCGCTGGAGACCTTGTATGTGAAGCCCGAACACAAGCTGCCGGCAAAGGGTTACTGCAAAGCAGAAACACACAGTTGCAGGCAACAGTGTTCAGGCGGGCACCAACTCGGAAGTATCTGTTTGTGTCATCACAGCCAGCTTCGGGTAACACTTGTCGCCCTTATAAACCTCAGGGAGCTATGAGCGTAGTACCCTTCGTCTTTCCGCTCTCCATCTTGGCAGTTCTTGAGCCGAATTGAATCTGGCAAACAGTTTGTAAGTAAGTATGGTTTCAGGCTCGCGACTCAAGTTATTACTTACTGCTCTCTTCTTCTCGCGGGCGACAGAGGACATGCCAAGCGCCTCTGCTAGTAGTCTCAAGACTCTCTTCCCAGGCTCGATTCCCGAGTCTGCCTCAGAGTACCCAAAGTCGCACTTCTCCCACACTGGACACTCGACGGCCCATTTGACAAACTCCTCATCGAGATAGGGGAACCGCACCTCGCGACTCCAATGGCTCATCGCTCTGTCATCGCGGCCCAAGTTCCGCTTCCCAAGCCGGCTGACGTCTAGCTTCAATTCGTCCAAGAGACCTGGGTAGCCTCTCCGTGAGAACGCCGTTGCATGTCGAACATAACCACCAAAGAGTTCATCGGCTCCAAGACCCGACAGAAGAACCCTCGCCGGGGTAGCGTAAGGAACTGCAGCATCTGACTGGCGGCTGTAGGCCATGCCGACGCCTCGGGCCGCAAAGTAGAGAGCATAAGCAATAGACAAGTCCATCTCAGTGTTGTGGGGGTACATGAGGGAGATCACTTGATCCCGATTGGCAAGTACTTCTTGGTACGGTACATCAACCTTCACTGGGTTAGAAGGGCATCAAGACAAGGAAGCGAGAACAACTCACGGCAATGAATCTCCACTGACGCTCTGGACAAACCGCAGATAGCTCCTCAAAGGACTTTCTGCCTGTTATCCTGTCGGGACAGGCTTCGAAGATACTCACGCCATCGGCAGCATTCTCCATACGCGATGCCAAACGAGGGTTCTCAAATGCGACATTGATGAGGTCGATACCTTGGTCCGCCGGTATTAGGTCGCTCGTCATGCGTGCTAGAACCGTGCAATCTAGCCCACCAGAGAAGAGCACCGAGATTCGTGTGTCGCCGTTCGCGTCCTTGGCTGGCGGCGGCGGCACATTCAAGACGCGAAGCCTCAGTGATTCGGTCAGCTGTTCCCGCACGGCCTGGACCGATAGTGAGGTTGCCGACAGAGGCAAGAACTCCGACGGCGGTAGGGTCACATTGAAGACGCCGATCTTGAGAACCTGCCATCGTAAGTAGCAAAACAGGACACACGTTACAGAAACGCGAAGCTTACCGTCTCCACGTCATCTTGTGACCACGGTCGAGGAACCAGCGACTGCCCGGTGGTGTCGCTCCATGCCGATAACTCTACAACGTAGATTCCATCTGCCTCAACCTCTGCCCATGCCGATGAGATAGACTCTGCAACGCTAGACAGTCTCAGTCCGTTTTCATGATTGGATAGCAATGACCGTCGCCCTAAACGGTCGCGGCCAAAGTAAAGCCGTGATGAATTTGCATCGAAATAGACGAAGGCGAACGGCCCCTCGATGCTCCGGAGTACCTCCAGAACGGCATCTTCACTGGTATCACGGCGACTAGCCGTGTTCAGTAAGTCGAAGATCGACTCGCCATCATTGCCTTGGACGGGAATCCCTCTGATCTTCCAAGCCTCGCCGTTCCAGCAGAGCACCGAGTCTGACGACGCGTCACGGAACGGCTGCTGGGTGACATGATCACCTCGAAGAGCGAGCACAGTAGAGGTGAAACTCATGAAAACAGGCTTCGCGTCGGAACCCTCAGGAAGTATCTTCAATCGACTGTTACCAAGATGATCTGGGCCGCGATTGCAGAGACAGGTACGCGTCGCTGTGGGCAGTGATTGGAAGTCATCGCGTGAGACCACAACATGAATTCCACACATTGTAGGCAGAATAAAGCGGAACGGGGATATTAACCCAAGGACAAGATATTTCTGTTGCCCGGAGTCGTTATGGAGTGAGATTGCCAGTGCGAGGTGTATCAGCAGCAGGCATGGTATTGGCCGGCTGCAAAACAGAATGTGAGGGCACCTCAGCAATCAGTGGAGCTGACGGTTATTTTTCGGTGTGCCGATAGATGAGCCCGCAAAGGCCCAAACGCCACTTTGAACATATTTAGCCACACACAAGCCACACAGCCATCAGTTCCATGACCACGGAAAAGGGCTTATAGCAAAAGGGGAAAGAAAAGAAAAAGTGGAATTGAAAACAATGTTAAATGAAAGATGATTGTCACTTGAGTAACTACAAGGATATGAGCAAGATGGTTGGTCGAATGCAAAGATGTGCAAAAACATATTCCGGAACGGGGAATTGAACCCCGAGCCTGACGGAGCCCTCGTATGAGAGCGTCAAATGTTGACCATTACACCATTCCGGATGAGGACTTGTTGAGAATCATTGACAATAGTATATACATAACGAATAACAAGCCGTTTTGAGGGCTTTGATTGGATCAGGTCATTAGAAACCAAGCAATAGTGGGGCCTGGCTCCAGGCGGGAGGCGGCAGCCAAGTTAGCTTTCTTTACAATGGAAAGGTTTTGAAACACTTCTTCTGGCAACCGCTACATGGTGAGGAGCATAGGTACTCAGGTACCTCATTATTAGTCACATAACTGCTGCATGCCGTTTGCGTTCAATCAGCGAGAGCGCTGCGCTAGGAAATGGTTAGAAGACGTGACAATACTTAGAGGCAGCTTGTAGTCAGCTGCTTCTACGAGAATCCGGTCAATATCCTCAGGAATCCAACGCTTTGTAGTTACTTAAACAACAGGGGGAAGTCATATAGACTAAGCTAAGATAGCGCGTTCGCCGCTTGTCATCGCCTTGGTGTGGGCCTCACCCCACTACATAGCTCTGTTGGATTTCATACACATTTAGGGCAATTGGGATTGAACATGTGAATTGTTTGGGAGCTCGTAACAGCTATCGATACTGGCATGTTCAGTATACCTACCATGCTTCGAATGCAATACATGAATATATATCTCATGAGCAAATCTCCGCAGAGGCAGATTCAACGGTCGTCTACTAGAAGATGAATGACATTCATTCCCAAAGGTTATCACGTCCCAGTACCTACCCATCTTATTCAAAAGTAAGTAGCTTTCTTAAAGCTTGCAGCCTGCCAACGAGGCCTAGTGCTGGATCCGCTCGCCATTAGTGCATCGCGCATGATTTTGCCACCCTTAACTAAATTATACGTTGATTACAAAATAATGGTTTAGGTATATAATTAGGCAATCGATTCAATTAGATCTATCTGCTTAGTATTTTATGCTAAAATAGTATCCAAGAGGTCCAACCTTCGATTCTGTTGATTCTGTCTAAAACAAGTAAGTTATAAAGGCCTCGTACTTCTAGTCACTGTAACACCGAACATACCTTTGCCTTAGATCAAAGACCTTAGGAGCCCAAGCAGACAGCGGTACCCGAAATGGTCTTTCCGAACAGGAGCGGGCTGTTGTTCCACTGAACATATCCGGCTTGGTACGGACCGCAGTCCTGGTCTGTCCAGTAGGTACCGTCGTTGAGGTGGTTGATAGTGACGACAGTACTCCACTGGTCCTTGGTGTTGACGCAAAAGTAGACGTACACGCCATTATTGTTGTAACCGAAATAAGGTGCGCCTTTACCCTTTCCAAGCCAGAAGCCCGAGTTGCCAGTCAACCTGTTTCGGAACTGCTGGACGCCACTGTCGACTCCTTGTCGGTTCAGAGCGCCCTGGAAGCGCCAACAGTCGGTGGGACCGATAGCAGCGCGCGAGTTGAGGCCCTCATTGCGGGATTGGAGCGGCGGCGGGGCAGTAGGCTTAAAGGTAAACACCTCGTTGGTGTCGACGAAGGTGAGAGTGGTAGTGCCGTCCGCGTTGTTGATGCCAGTGAAGGCACCGTTAGGGAGGGCCGGCACGTCATCCTGTACAGGAGCCGCTTTGCCGAGGGCAGAAAGAGTTAAGACGAGAAGGCTGCTGACGGAGACACGCATGATGAGCTTTGTGAAACTGAGGATGAGACATGAAGGTGATTTTGCACGTTTGAGAGGCGACATTGCACGTTTAAGTAGGTATATAGTCTCTTGATAAACACCTGATGCTGACAGGATGTGGACCCTGCGAAGAGCTAGTCCTTCTTTCGGGTTGCCGTATACCATCGACTGCGAGTGGGCTACAGGTCCATTATGAGCCACAAATTGGTCCACAATTTCTCCAAACTCAGTGGAAAATAGGATTGGGGTTGAAAGGAAGTTTACACTGTTCCTAAATGGCTACAATCCCGCAGGCTATGCATTTGTAGCCCGTAGCCTACTCGCAGTCGATGGTATAGACCTCCACTTTGTTCCGGTAGGAATGACTTCAAAATAAGCACTAGGCCGAGCCGAATGCGATATTTGGTTGTCGTCAAAATGTTTAGTACACTGTGAAACCTTTTTAGTCTTTCTCTACGATCACACCTAAGCATGATTATTGCCAAGCCTTTAAGTTGCGTTTCGGTCGTGTATTTCGTGTTTAGCTGGAAAGTCTTTCCTCTTGCGACAGGCGTCAGGCTTCAAAGAGTGTCGGTCTTGGTGAGATCCGTATCTAGCGGTTCTAGAGTAATGATTGTCTCGACTGGTGGATATGATGGCACTACTCGTTAGTACTAAGATTGATTTAATGGAAGTTCTCATCAGCCTTCCGTGGTACTGTCGTCGCTTGTATTGTTAGATATCCTGCTGCAAGGGGAACAGGGCCCTAACCCTTAAAGAACGTTGTTAGGCTTATGTCAAGCTGACATTGGCATTTGATGCCAGGATGAGCTCTTTCACCGCTACGCTCGCCCCGGCACTGTGTCTGTGCACATAAGCCTCGAGTGGTATCAGAATCCTTTGACAACGGACATCGACTGCACATGGCCTGCGACCACAGCTGTACAGGGGCATGGCAAAGCCGAATTTCCCCACCCAAATTAGGCATCAAAAATGACGGTCATTCAAGGGGCGCACGCCATTTAGTTCACGCACGTGTAGCTGATAGATGACTAGTTAATAGCAACATCATTAATAGGGCTATAAGAAAGACCCTTCCTCAGAGCTTAATACACTATTATTATTGCCCTATGAATCCAATAATTTCCGCAGCAAGTTTCCTATGGGCAGGCCAGGCTTTCGAGATTACAGAATCTGACACATTTTCATTGAACAGTCAGCGGGGGCTCGTGATATATGACGCCATTGCCGAAGGAGAGGTGACGTTAGACGCCTGGCGAAGAGGGCACTGCGACTCATTGCAAGCTTTCTAGGCTTCACTGGGTCGCGTGTCGCGGCCAGAAGCCATCGCCGTGCCGTCACAGGCCTCTGCTGACTGTTCAATGGAACTTTTCAATGGGACTATGACAGTAGCTAGGTGAAAGGCAGAGAATCCGTATCGTTGTCGGTTGTGTTAGTAAGGTACTTAGATAACCTATGACCCAAGGATGCTAATTATGAATAGTCGAGCCGCCGTGGGTGCCAAGGAACCAAACTCAGGGCTTACTTTCACAAGACCCTTTGCAGCAAACTGTCGTCAAGTTGCTATGTATTATGTTCTCATAAACTCTCAAAAGTTAATTCTGGTTACTCGAACTGCAATGACTTCCAAGGAGATTACGACCAGTTCAGCAGCGTACTAGACCTTCCATGTGCCTTGAACAACCCCCTCGAAAAGTATAATTAACATCCTTGGAGACAATGTTGCCAGTGAGATGGAATCTCACCAGGGATATCTGACGTCGCTTGTTTGGCACGATGAATGGCAGAAATCCCTTTTCAAAGCTGCAAGGTTTTCTATGTTATCCGCTTAAGGGGCTTTAGCCATCACCCTCTCAGGAAGTTGCCACAGGCTTTAGGGACCAAGCATGACTACTGTCATGCCCGTCCGTCCGTTGACGGAGGTTACGCCGGCTTATCACTGTCGCAGCAGCCAATGCTCAGTACCTTACTCAAGGTTGCCGTATCGAGCAATATGGTCTGATTTGTTTATTCGCATCTAGGGGTCTACAGGCGCCTGAGGTCCTCTTATAGGTTAATCATAGACATTTGTCCCAGACAACCCATCAAACCGCCAAATTTCTTGTTTTGTGTCCTCAATCACACACTATCATGTTATCGTGTTCGAAACCTCGGACCTTTTTTCCGCTACTTATCATTAGGGATACTGTTTCATGGGTGTTGATTGCCTCAGTAGACAGAAACAGCAATAAATTGCGATGTGACATAATGTGCGCCCACAATGATATTTCAAGGCCACAGACTACGAAATCATACTCTATTATTAATCAACTTATTTGGTAGATTTGTTCAAATCGGGCTAATCGTTAGCGGAGTTTGGCTTTTTGTAAATCGGGCTCCCGGGCAGATCACTAATCCCCGGCGCAATGTCCTCGTCCAACCACGTCATTATAGAGTGGAATTAGTAATATTTGTTTTGGGGATATTTTACTTAGTGCCTTCTTCTTGATTACTTTCAGTCTAGTCCATATCTCCACCCTTCAAAGCTTTCGAGCCATACAGCACTAATAAACAAATACCAGCCAGCGAATTTGCGTGTCATTTGAGGCTTCAAGCCTTCAAATTACGCCGGTGAACTAGTTAGAATCTTTACAGTCACTTGAAGGAAGGATAGGTAGCCATTGCCTCTAACTGTTTGGGAAAACAAATAACCCGAAAACATCATACCAAGAAGCCACACATTTGAAATAGGAATACCTCGGCTGAAAATGACCAGAGGGGCAGTGAGGGGTTTGGATCGTTTCCTTAAGTCAGTATTGTCGTGTGCCGTCACTTGTTGAGGTTATCAATGAGACTCTCAGAATAATTCACTCAGGATTTTGCTGAATGGATATAAAAACTGACCCTCGAGGGTACTCGATGATGTTCTTTCTAATGTATCTACAAGTCCCTTGTTTTACTGGTCGGTGGTTGATTCGGCTGACTTCGGCGGTCATTCGTTAATCTCTCGGCAATTTCTCCGTCTCTTTGCCTGGGTGACTATTTCTTCCTGTCATGCATCACTTGTATCATTGTGTTACTTGCCCCGATGCATTTCACCCGAAGTTCAGGTCGTCGTTGCTCAACATAACGCGTGTCTACCCGCCAGACGTTGGCATTGTGTCTTTAATAGGCCCTGTACATTGATACGAAGTAATAATCTAACCAAGAAACTGCACTAATTATGTTTGCTTTTTGCATACTCCCGGTAAAATGAACACTTGATGCGCTCTTGTTGTGTCTGTGGGCTCCCCACATATGATGCCTCGGGGTCCAGTCTTGAGTCCACCGAACGCTTACGAAGTCCGCAACATTGTAACAGCCATTCCAAACTCCGCACAATTCTCTCGTTTCCAATGTGTTTTCTTTCTCTTTAAGATACAATCCCCTGCAAACACTCACATACACTGACGAGACGTGGAAGAAAGACATGCTGCAAACTCCGCGATTTCTTTAAAAATCAGTAATGAAGACGCCGCCTTGGTCCCATGATTAGTGAACGAGATTAAAGCTTGACGGCTGGAAGTCAATGCATCGCGCTGCTACAAATAAGTTGTTACCTGGCCCAGACAATCGAAAACCGTTGATCTATGGGATCCAAAACGGACGATTATCGTATGCAAGTCGTGAACTAAATATGGCCTCAAATCCTAACAATCAGAGACCACGGTTCCCTGTTTCTAGTCTCAAAAACGACGGCTGGTCCACAGAAGACGAAGCAACAGCGACCTGTCTCTGTGGTGCCGTACAGCTTGTTTTCGTAAGTCTCTACGAACCATTCTTACGACATCACTCTAACATCCTACGCCAGCCGACCCATGGCCCAGGTCTGGGTACACGGGGCCTTTGTCACTGCGCCGACTGCCGCAAGATTAGTTCTTCAATGTTCTGTTCCATTTTTGTCGTCGATGACAATTACCTACGGCACGTGCGGGGCAGAGAGAACCTCAAGACATTCAGCCAGTCGCGGACGACAGCTTCCAGCAATACCATGACTAACTATTTCTGCAATACCTGTGGCGGTCTTCTGTACCGTGTGAGCTCGGGACTTCCCGGGAAGAGCATACTGCGATTGGGCACCATTGATGACATCAGCCTGGCCGAGACGAAGATGAAGCCGCAGATCGAGATTTTCACCGAAAGCCGGGTAGGCTGGCAGGCCCCGCTTGATGGAATCAAGCAATCGAAGGGCGGTACTGCTCCGGAAGACGGAGCATAGCTTTGTGAACTGTATCCGGGGCTTTGAGATTAAGGTTACGTGCATAAAGATACAAATCGAACGAAAAATCCCTATGTATCTTAGATGTAATGAGCCACATACTCAAGTACTTAGACTGATTGTAACTTGTCTGCTGTCATTCAGGGCTTCCGCTACATGTGGCCAAGATCAGCATTGCTGCTGGGGTATTACCCGCCAGCGTACATACACTAATAAAACAACGCCCTCTTCGTTGCCCTGCTTCAGTTGGAAAATTCGGAGTGGTCTTCCACTTTTCCTTGTCCTCATCTGGAAGGAGGTTTAAGCGGAGTAGCCAAACCACGGCTCGCCGCCTTGAACCCATGTAGCAGTGTTGATAGTTTTCTTCCTGTCGTCGTAGGAACGGTTCCCGAGATCGAAAATGGCCATGCTTTTGCCTCTTGCGGTTCGGGGCGCTTTACTCTGTGCCCTTAATCTACCGGTCATTTGTGAGCCACAACCTCAAACAAAAGCTTTTATCTGAGGCAAAACTTCAAAACTCTAGGCAAACAGGTAAGCTCTGGATGGTTTCAAGATTACTCGGGCAAAATGATGCAAAATTTTGATGCATTATGTGTTTGCTTTTCTATTTTATGAACATAAATTAGGATGTGCTTGAAAACACGCAGCCCGCCTTCTGGACTCTACCCCTCCAACAAGCGATTCAGCATCTCTGCAGGAGTCCGCTTCGGTCCACCAATTTCTTTAACCTCCTTGCTCGTCGTGGCAGTAACACACACCCCTTTCCACATTGTCATCAATCCATACCGCATAGATCTCAAGACAGTCTTGGACTGTCCCGGTCCTCCAAAGCCACTGGCTACAAACGCCTCGATGAAGCTCAGGTCTTGATAAACCACATCCTTCACCTCTGTGCCAATGTGTTTCTCCACCAGTTTGACAATCTGTTCTCCGGTGATGTCTTCGGGGCCGTTCAAAACATACTTTGCTCCGCTGTGAGGGCTCGGATCATCTAAAGCCAGAAGCCGGGCTGCGAAGACGCCAACCTCAACCGGGTCATTGGGTGCAACGGGTGCGTCCTTCGCCGCCATCAGACTCAGAGTGCCCAGCTCGCCAGTTTCCTTGTACCGTTTAATGTACTGAGCAGCCGGAGCAAGATAGCCATCTAAAAATGCATTCGGCTGAAGGGAAGTCCACTTCAAAGCGCCGAACTCGGCGGAGCCAAGCATGGCCTCAATAGCCCAATGGGCGCGCGGATAGTATGAGCCGAAATCCGGACGAACAGCCGCCGCTGTAGTCGAGATACGCACAACGTATTCGACACCAGCATTCAGTGCGGCGACGTGAAAGGCCGACTCTTCGGCAAACTGGTTTGGTGCGAGGTGGGGTGCGATGAAGGCACGTACGACCTGATGCTCGCGCAACCAGTCGGCGGTAATCTCGGTCCAATTTTGCTCAATGACGGTAACGCCAGGAATTTTGGCGAGGTTCTGAGCCGTAGAGCTGTCGGCTGATCTAGTAAGGGCGAGGACTCGATGGTCGGAAAGGGCCTTGCTCGCTTTCAGCAACTCGGGAAGGGCTTCCGTCACACCTCGACCAGTGTTTCCTGTCGCGCCGACGATGAGAATTGCTGGGGCCATGGTTGGTAATGGTCGTAGTGACAATGATTATGGTGATTTAAGAGTTGTAGAAATGCCTGCCATAGCCGAATGGGAACGGCGTTTGCTGCTGTGGCGGCATCGTCTTTATACTTCGTTATTGTCCATAACCGTTTACTAGCTGCGGATCCGAGTCTCCGCAAGGTCCCATGCGTTCATCTTGGACTATAAACTTGCTTAGAAATCTACATACTCATTCCTCCGCCGCTACGGACTATTTGCGTCAGGGGCAAAGCTTGTGGAAGGATACACGCGCTTCGCCGATCGATTATAAGATGCCCAAATCCACATGCCACCTAGATGTAGGAGCCTCGTATTATTTCTATGTCTCACCACCGCAAGGACAATAACAACAACGTGTCTTTTTCGTCAAAGGATGGCGATCAAGTATCTCATCACAGGTGCGACTGGAGGTCTTGGCAAGCATGTGCTTCGCTATTTCGTCGAAAATGTACCTTTATCTGAATTTGCTGCTGCATCGTCCAAGTCTTCAAACAAATCCATGTTTGAGGACCGCGGAATCGCTTTCCGTCATATCAACTACGACGATTCCAAATCGCTTGATACGGGACTGCACGGTGTCGAGAACCTGCTTTTTATCAGCTCCGTTGGAAGTGCACGGATCGAGCAGCATAGCAGACTTATAGATGCTGCCAAGAAAGCAGGGGTGAAGCATGTATGTTTGAAGACCACCTTTTACGTTTATGATCAGCGTCGAAGTATTAACAAATGCAGGTATGGTATACATCGCTCGCTTTTGGTGGTTTCGGGAATAACTCGCGATCTCCAATACAAGCAGAGCATGTACTTACAGAAAAGTTGCTCAAAGAGTATGTTGTTGACCGCCTACCCAAGCACAGATGAATGATTGATCTCACCACAACTAATCATCATAGGTCCGGTCTTACATATACCTCCATCAGGGAAGGTATATACATGGAAGCATTTTCTGTCTTTCTTGACTGGCACCCGGAAACGACAAAACTCATCCTCCCTGCGGACGGGGAGGTAGCATATACTCTCCGTGCTGACCTTGGAGAAGGCACCGCTCGCATCATGATTCGCGGCGGTTATGAAAATCAAATTGTTCTGTTTACAGCAGAGGAGGCAATTGGTGCCAAGGAAATAGTAGACATTATCAATGAGACTACTGCTCGGCAGGTTAAGCTTGAAGTTGTCTCACGGGAGGAGTACCTTCATCTAAGCACTACGCAGGACGAGGGTGGCAGGCCCAGGGAATACTTTGAGATGATTGCTACTATATGGGACGACATTGTCGATGGAGCGTTATCTACAACCCACCCGTTGTTGCACGAGATTTTAGGGAGAGAACCTACTAAACCTCGAGATGCCCTGAGGCAGTTATTGGTGGAGAACAGAGATTACGTATATCCATAGGGTTATAGAGGTAGAAAAACCTAATGTCTACTAAATAGTAGAAGCAGAAGCGTCAAGATAAGTTACTTACTGATGAGTTTTCTTGTAAAACTCTAGATGTGAGAAGAATAAGGAGATGCTTAGGAATAAAACAATAGCTTTGAAGATTACTATCAGATTAAAGCCGTGTAATTTAGAACCTTGGTCACCTCAGGGGACTAATAACTTTTGCTTCCTAAGAATTCATACATCCTAAATCAGCTCATAAAGGATTCTAAGAGAATCACATTTACTTCATCGATTTGAAGAATTCCCGCAGCAATTTTCCGGTGGACAGGCTACGATGTCGAGATCACCGAATCTTGCAGCTCTCATGCTGACTACGAACTCTCAACATCGCTGATGGCAGGGTGCCATGCATCGCGCAAAAGCAGGCTGGATTTACTCGGGCTCAGACCGAGCAGGTCTCTAATCTATTATTCTTTCCTCAAAAGCATGTCGTATGCCCACTTAGAGAACTCTATCGCCTTCGCGTCTACAAAGGTAGTAGTGAGGTCGGCAACATATATCGCCACAGGCGCCCATAGGATGAACGCTAACAAGATGCCAAATATGTAGGATATCTCAGAGTCTCCGCCACCGACAAGACCTACAGTCCACCGAGCTATGACCAAGCCTAATGAATAAAGGAGTGGGCCATGGATCATATATAATGAGAAAGAGATCTTGCCCATGTATTGAGAGAAACGGTTTGTGAAAAGAATCTGCAAGAATGTGGCTTGGTCGACAACGAGCACTGTTAGTACTGCACCGATTGGTATCACGAGGACCTCTTGGAATCTTTCTGGAACCCATGATACTAAGGTCGCATAGCCGGGTGCCTGCGCCGCCTGCTCCATGTCTTCGGGCATGCTGAGCAGCCACAGCGAAGTCAAGAATGATACGAGCCCAACGCCCCGTCCCAGAACTCGATAAGGGGTACTGCCTCGCTTCGAACGTACAACCCTATCCAAGGGCGATGTGGCCCGGTATTGTGGCTCAGACCGCAGGGATGCCCACCGCCATTGTCTGCCTTCGAGCTCGAAATGCAGATCACACAAGAACATGCCGCTGAGGAACAAGAACATACCCCAATAGACAAAGACCAATTGGAGATAGATCGCTAAGCTTAGGGCGAAGAGCATCCTGACTTTGTTGTGGACTCTAGTGAAGGCTGTCAAGAACATGAACACCACCATGGAGCTCATAAATTCGAGTGGAATAGTCCAGAGATGGGGATCATAAATAGGTTCTGGCACGTCGGAATCGGCACGAACATGAAGTTGGCCGATGGGGTCGGTGGTGATGATCTCGGCCAGAATGTAGTGCTGCAGCTGCCTCCACAGCGAGTCAAAGTGCGGCGGAACCCTCGTCGGATAAACCACACCCGGTAGCCCCTGGTCGGGGAACAAGTTGAGGTATGTCATTATAGCGGTGACGAAACTAACCACAGCGACTGGGAGGAAGAGCCGGGTATGGCGGCGGAAGACAGACGACGCGATGGCCGAGCCTGCTTTCTCAAACTCCCCCCGACGGGCCAACGTCAGGAAGTGGTGCGATATTGTGTAGCCGGACACGACGAAGAAGACGCAGACCGGAGCGAGCCCTGAAACAACAAGCCGTAGGATGGGGAGTTGGTACAGCCACCATCGCCGAGGCGAGTTCGGTGACCATGCTAACAGGATGTCCCATGAGAAGCACGCCAGGCCGATATGAACGAGCACAACACATAACGCTGCGATACCGCGCAAACCGTCTTTGACAATATGTTAGCCTGGCAAGCGTAGATAATGAGTATAGTCATTGTTACCTAGCCAAGCCGTAGGGCGAAGCGGCTTTGCCTTATTTTCTTTTGGTCCCAGGAAACTTGGCACCAGAAAGGAGAGAGCTCTCAAAAACCTTGTCAAGGCATCTCGGCGTCGTGTGTTAATGGGAAGTAACGAGTCTTCTGCCTCCGATATTGAGTCGTCCTCCGTCTCATCGACCAAGGGCTTGAATTCTTCGCTCGAGTCGAAATCCCCCAGCGGATTGTACGGATACCGCCCGTCCGTATCGTCGGAGTCGTTGCGCGGTTGGAGGAAAGAAGGCAACATGGCCATACGCAACTGGACTCGATTTCAACGGAAGCTAACTTGAAAACAGAGAGGTGAGGGAGGAAGTTTGAGCTTGTTACATTCGGCCTGTGTGGTTGCCAAGGACGATGAGCGAAGAAAGCAGATGTTGGAAGAACATGGAAATGTTGTCCGAGGGCAATTACAGTACAGATGGAGCAAGGTTCGGGTGTACGTCACTACTTAAAGGGACGAGATCGAGCTGCACAGCGCTGCAATGGGCTTCCAGACAGAAGTATCTAAGCCATGCTTTACTCGCCTGGTGAGAAAGCAGCAAAGTCCATAAGCGGTAATTCGGAGGAAGCGTTTCATCCGATAAACAGCGTTCGGGGTGGTCCGTACTGGTAAGTAGACGAGTTCAGACGACCCCTAGAAAGGCTAATCGCGAGACATGATTCCTCGGCTACTTCTCAGATGCTCTACTCGTCGACCTGAAGCTTTGGGATTTAGCCTTTGCGTTGTTTGAAAGGTGTTGTCACGAATCTGTGTGAAGTTAGACCCCTGTTGAGAATTGTACAGGATGCGATGAAACCCAGCATGAGCTCGCGCATCCTCCAAAAGCTCTGAATACCACGCGGTATCCAAGGTTGGCAATGAATGTAATTTGATTTACCACGTGGATGAGATGTTTCCAGCCACTTTGGTCGCGGCTAGTATTCCACGGTCAGCCGGACGTGCGGTTGCATCTCTGAAGCGCTCGGCAGGGGCCGAGTAATTTGGAAATCTCGTCTGATGTATTTGCGCCTATTAGGTTTGCGCAGGAAGCGGCCTTGAAACGGTGGTGCGGTTGATCGCTAAGATGTGGTAGATGGGATGCCAGTCGTACTGACTTATCCTTGCTGGGCAGTCGGACTGAGCCCAGAAAATTGCTGTAGTTCGTGTTGGAGGTTTTGTATTTGCGAAGATGCCTTCTACATCTAAATCTCTCAAGTGGCCCCCGACAGAATGAAAAGTTGTTCGACCAAAGTTGCAGCGACGTGAATCCTTCTAACAACAGCGTTCAGAGACCTGCATCTTCGTCCATAGAATTTGTGTCCGCCGGCTGGAACAGGAGACTTAGTCAGGCTGGTAAAACGTCTCCAGCATCTTTTAGCGGCCGGCGGCCTTTTACTGACTCCCGGCCTGTCGGTTCGGGGTGCCGAATCCACGCTGTTGGTACGCCGAGATCGACCAGCTTCGATCATGTTAGGGGGCATATCCCTGGCAAAGCCCTGGTTGGTATGCTAGCAGAGAGTGTCGGTTAGGGGATACGAGGGATACAGGGCATCCAGGCGCAAGGGTGAAGCCCGTACCTGTTTCTATTGGGTTGATCAATGGCTACTCAGGCTTGATGGATGAGGCCTGTGCGTTTTGCAATGGCAGGGTGCACAATTGCATTCGACATGGTAATACCAACATAAAGTAGACATGAAGTCATTCCAATCAGTACCAGAGAGCTTCGTACAAAATGGTTTGGTTTTCAAGCCCACGTAGCTGCGAGTAGTTTTACCCATCTGCCTTGACGATAATTCCTCTATTTCGGCCAGACTAAGCGGAGGTTTGAGCAGTCGTATGAAAGGCAGTAAGAAGTCATCTATGATCAGAACCAAGTCCATTGTGGAGAACTACCATCACAAACTCCGAGGCTGCGTGCGTTTTTGTGCACTTCTTGTTGTTACGTGTATGTTTTCCGCGGAGTAGCTTTCTTCTCTGCCGTTCTTATCCGTAATCTCACGTTATAAACCCTCCTTTGGCCTATCTTGGTACTGGATGGTGCAGTGCAAGACGGGAACGAGCGGGGCGCGATGATGGCAGCAGCGGCAACCAGAGCAGATGACCAGTCTTTTCTGGGGAGATCTGGGGAAATTCCCCAACCATGTTATGCAATTGGAACGCCAGCCGCGAAGACCCGGACTTGGCGGTTGTGGTCAGCCCAGTGTTGGACGACAACATCACGCCACTCTCCAGATCAACCCCATCATGCGACAGTGCCATCATCATCGGCTCAGTGAGAGCTCGGGAAGATATGACATAAAAAGACCACTTTTTCCCCCGGAATTCGATCGACGCTAGGACAAACTCACCAAAATGGCCTCCAGAAGAGCGTGTAAACAGTTATGGCACATTCAGCCCAACACAAGCGCAATCATAAACCGAAGCATTCCCAAACCCGCGGTGCCCATCGGCAAACTCCTACCGACAGCGTCATGTCTCCTCCCGAAAACCCGTCTTATAACTCAATGCCAACAATCAAGTTTCTACTCATCGCAACCTCGAATTCGCCAATACTCAAGTCATGCTCCTGAGACGTCGAAACACCCGATCCCGAAATGGACCCCGCCGGATGACCCCGCCTCTCGGCCCGTAATAGTACTGGGTGCAGGGGTTCTCGGCCGCCGTCTTGCCGTAATGTGGGCCTCCACCGGCCGTCCGGTTATTTTGCAGGACATCAACCAGAAAGCGCTGTCTTCCGCAATAGTCTACATCGGCGATGCGCTGACGACTGTTTGCGCGGTGCGTGAAACGCGTCCGGGCCGCGTGACGACTAGCACAGTTCTCGAAGAATCTTGCGCTGCGAACCCGTGGATGGTCATCGAGGCCCTACCAGAGGACCCAGAGATCAAGCGGGAGATGCTTGGAAAGGTTGATTCACTCGTTCCAGAGGACTGCATCCTTGCCTCGAACAGCTCTACATGGCCTACCTCGGCCCTGAGAACATTGATTTCCCGTCCAGAGCGACTTCTCAATACACACTACCACCTCCCGCCGCGTAACACATACGTGGAGCTCATGACTTGCGGTGCAACCGACAAAGATCTCATGCCTTTTCTCAAGAAGCAGATGCGCAGTGTAGGCTTCACCCCACTCGCGCTGCCTCATGAGTCTGTAGGCTTTGTTTTCAACCGCATATGGTCGGCCGTCAAGTCAGACACCCTGAAGGTTCTGCAAGCCGAACTAGCGTCGCCGCACGATATTGATGCGCTCTTCCGAGACTTCTTCCATGCTGAGAAGGGTCCATGTGAGAAGATGGATGAGGTTGGCTTAGACACGGTGTGGCAAGTCGAGAGGAACAGGGTGAACATGGGTGTCGTGGATCCGAAAAATGCGGGGTACACTGACTGGCTGGAGGAGAACTTTATCTCAAGGGGAAGATTAGGAGAAAAGACAGGGGATGGCTTATACTCTGCAGAAGAAAGAAGGTTGTTGGCCCAGAAGAGAGCATTGACGAAGAGTTCGTATTTGAAGTTACGCTGACGATTTCCATAATGGCGATATAGGATGATTCTGAAGGAACTGGAGATCCTGAAGGGGCACCTTGATACTTAGGCAATCTAGGGAAAGCTAACACGACCTAATATATTTCAATTGTCTCAATCGTATCATATTTTTAGGCGTCGTTTGCAGGTCTATCATTCAAATGCCCGGGGAGCTCGCAGTAGTCTTCATCGAAGGGACGATACGGTTACGATACGGTGAGAGCGAACAAGAGGAGACCTCAAAAATTGAAAAAACTACTTACATATGACCGACAAGTGCTTGTCTTGTGATTTTGGCGCCAATTTAAGGTATAAGCTTCTGGCGGCCTCCTGCCTTACGTTCATACTTTATACTCGATTTTCACTAGCTTGTCGCCCCCGCTTCTCCATCCGAAGGCAAATGACCAGCGATAAATAAGAAGCCTTTCGTGCCCAATATTCACTTGGCTCCCACACCTAAACACTGGGCACCTAAAATTATGGAATGCTTGAGCGAAACCACCGTTTCTCGTAATACGAAAGCAGACAAAAAGGCAGAGTCTGGGTGAGTGCGGTTCTAGCTGTTTTTGCGTTGTTTCGCTCCAACATCAGACTTTCTTGAATCCGCCTTCCAAACTTTGCATTCACTATTCAAGTTACGTGTCCTTTGGGATTCTCAATAACAATTGTTAATTATACCCAAGCTAGAGGTATGGCCTTGTCTCGAGAAGCTTGCAATGCAGCTCCGCAGCGAAAGGGCCTTTCACTTTGACTCTTATGGCGACCTCATATTCAAAGTTGGTAACCCCAAGGAAGTATTGGAATTCCTCGTCTGTTCAAGAACTGTCGCACGCTCTTCAGCAGTCTTCCGCGCGATGCTCTATGGCGGCTTCGCAGAATCTAAGCCTCAAGCTACTGGTAATTCCTGGGTTGTCGAGCTGCCGGAAGATCGGGCATGCCCTTTACTCGTCGTGCTTAGTATTATCCATGGCCACTTTACCTATATACCAAATGGGTTGAAACAAAACGAGATGTACCATGTTCTTACTATTACAGAAAAGTATGACATGACACACATCCTACGTCCTTGGGCAAAAGTCTGGTTTCAGCCATACGAGGACATCCGCTCTCCAGCAGGGAATGAGATGCTTCTTTGGATATCTTGGGAAATTGGTCACGTGAAAATGGTCTGTGATATGTCAAAGAGTCTTTTGCTTGGGTCCCAAGTCGATAAGAACGGCCAACTTGTCACTAGTGGTGGAGTTCCGCTCAAGAAATACGTTTTCTTGGAGCCTCCTGGGATGCTAGGTAAGCTACTTTTGCTTATTTATTGCGTATTCTGACATTTTGATCAAGAGGAAATGACCCGAACACGGAAATATCTCATTAGAGAGATCGTCACCCACACCCAAAGCATGATAGAGAAAGCTCTTACCAAGAGAGGTTGTCAGTACCACGGAAGTTTCCATACTATATCCGAAGATACTTGCTCCAACGAAGTATTCGGAACTCTTGTCAGACTTTTTGCAGACGTGGGGCTACGCGAGGTGGCTCTGCTGCATCCGACAGTAACGTATGATAAAAGCGTCGATGAACTTTCAAAGACAATCGAAGGGCTGCATTTCAACTACTATTACCAGGGCAGTACCCCCTGCAATCCACTTCCGGAACTCCAAGAGAATGTCAGAAAAATAATTGCGAACGTGCCTTCGCTAGTTACAAATAAGCATTTGACGTATCTGCGAGATCAAGCAAAGAAAACTGGAATATGATTACTTCAAAAACCAACTGCTTCACTATGTCACTCTTCATATCATAGTCCCTTCGTGGTTTTAGGATGGTGATCTAATAGTGAGGGTGAGAGCAATGTGGATTTGACGTTACAGCAATGGTCAGTTGCTCCATGAAGCTCAGAAGATATCGAGCGACGGGAGGGAAGCAAGTGTTTAAACCAGCTGAGATACCAGTTAAACCCCAGAGAAACTTTCATTCTCTCTTTCTTTTCCCTTGTTCAGAGTGAAAATAAATCGCAATCATTTACCTCCTCGGTTTAGACGCTAACCAAGCAGAACCTCATAAGGCACCGAAGCTTGGAAGTAAATGTGATGTCAATATGCGCGTCTCACTTGGTGATGGGCTCCAGGTGTTTATTCGGGCATTCAACACTGAATTCAACCGTATTATCTCTTTGAACTAACCTTCTCATGTGCCTCCTGGAAGCCGTGACTCACGCGGGCCTCGCTCAGTGAAGTGCAGCTTGACCCCACAACTCTGGTCAAAACGACGGAAGCTTATCAAAACAATATCGAATATTAATTCCATAAGCCCCTCATCGAAAAAAAGTCTACCGAGAGTTGGTTATATTGTCTTCGTTGACGGTATTGAGCATGACAGCTTGAATCCTTTAAACAGAACCCACAGCTAACTAGGCCTGTTCTCATTTTCCACAGCCCCATCTCGGGCGAATCTAGTCTCCGTCAAACTTTATTTTCAAGCAAAAAGTGACAATTCAGTTCTTTCCAATCTTCATGTACAACATAGCACATTCAGAATCCTGGGGGCGGCCCGCAATCACTGTGAAATTTCACCACTATAGTTCCAGAAGCCCGGCGGAACGGGAAAAGGGCTCATAGTGTCGTTGAGTTCCGGAAAGTAACGGGCGTATTGGTAGCCATTGGCATAGGTGTAGGTGCTCAATGCCTACTTTGTGGTCTTGCTGCTTAGCCTTGGTGCTCAGTGAGACATCGTCTCCGGCGGGGGCATCGATTTATACCCTGTTTCGATAGAACCTCACTCCAGCGCCTGTGAATCTCGTTTCAGGGGAGCCCTTGATCTATTCCGAATCACCTTAGCTCGACAGGTGCCAGCCGAGCCTCTTACCGTAGGGTGTCCTATTTGTGTTGGTTTCGGATGCGGCCTAAGAACGAGTCGGTAGCTCCTCCAACCGCGCCTGTCAGCTTTCCGTCCCGAAGGGTCTATTATAATCACGCAGGCGTCTCTCCAGAATCCGAAAATTATAGAGCTATCACAGATTTACAACTTTACAACTATACCTTGGCTTTTAGCTGTAGCACTCGGCAGCGTTGTTAGCAGAAAACTTCATTGCGAGGATATCCTTCATGATGAGCCCTCCGCCTTCGCCTTTTGAATCTCGAGCACTTCTTGCCAAATCTCCCAGGCCGGAATGCGCCACAGATGAAGCCCTGGGCGATCGCTGCTACGTGATTTTATGCATGCCTCTCACCTAAGTTTTCAGACTTATGGAGAACTTGCGTCGATCAGGTGGGCTATTCCGTAAAGCGAAGTTCTGTTGTATCTACCTTTGGGTTGAATAACTAACACAGCGGAACCGGGGTGCTCCGTTCCCCGGACTGCCCTACGGCCGCGGTACATCTATCAGCCAAACTAAATCCTTCCCCGTCAAGTTTCTACACGAACATCATGACGACACTCCATATGACTGCGGTAATCTCGCCGATAAACTTTGGCGGTCTGCCCAACACGCCAACTGCAGCAGCGCCTCCTTGCGAACTTATCGTCGACGTCGTTTGTACCCTTGTCGTAGCGGCGAGATTAGAGTCCGTAGTAGGCTCGGGGTCATCTGCCCTCGTATTTGTCGCCGCAGTTTGACTGGCACTAGCCGTTGGTCTCGTGCTGGTGCTCCTGTAACACTTGTCGTCGTTGCCGCACGTCTCCCCGGGATCGCAGTACCCGCCGGTGGGGCAGCACACCTTGCCGTCGGGGCAGCATCCGTCCACATGGCATCTCTTCCCAATGTCGCAGTAGTCGCCTTGGGTGGTGCAGCAGTTGGCGCCGACAGGCATGCACCCGATACCGCAGACCGTCTTTCCCGCACTGCACTGTCCACCAGCGGTACTGCTACCACCAGCAGCACTGCCAGTTCTAGTAGGAGTGTTACTTCCAGCAGCACTACCTCCTCCAGTAGCACTGTTACCCAAAGTAGCACTGTTACCTCCAGTAGGAGTATTGGTTCTAGTGCTACCAGGGCCTCCTCTGATACATCCGTTCGCACCACAAGAGTAGCCGGTATCGCAATACTTTTCGTTTGGGCAGCACACCTTGCCAATGGGCATACACTTGGAGCCGCAACTTTCTTGAGTGTCTCTGCATCCCACTGGATTGGACGAGCAAGTCTTTCCACGTGGACAGCAACCTCCTGTGACGCAGACATCCGTGCTTTCGCAGTAGCCGCCGCCGGAAGTGCAGCATACACTGCCGGTTGGCATACAGTCAGAACCGCATGACACGTATCCGGAAGGACATGATCCTCCAACGGCGGCGAGATTGATGCGGAAGCCAAGTACAGTAATTCCAGTGTCGGTTTTGTCACCGATATTCTGGAGGGTGGGAACTTCGTCGGCTCGGGCAGCTGGGAGCAAGATGCCGGTGAAGACAGCGAGATAGGTGATGGGTAGCATTCTGAGAGGCTTTGAACTATTTTTGGCTTGGTAGTGGAGGGCCAGAGCCAAAGAAAGACGTAAATACAATAGATTGAGAAGCCCTATCTGGCAGAGGATAAGCAGGAGTGCAGTGCATATTATATGTCAATCGTTCACGGAGAAGAGGAGAAAGCTTTGGCACTATACGCGAGCGAATCCAATTGCGGATGCTGTTGAACAAAAAAGGCACAGGCTGGATCGAATGGCTGATCACTCGTTAGGCACAACCTGCTGGGCGATGATCCAAATAATCAAAGTGGCACTTGGGTAAAGCTGGGGTTCGAGTAAACTATTATCTCAGCCCAGCCCTCCATGTGAAGCTTGGCTAGGTTTAAGTCCAATCCGGCGCCGTGACCGAAGACTGCTCACTAGAGATACAATGAGGCGAATACGTTCTGGGTGACTTTTGCGTGGCGAACTCTGAATCCGGCGTGTACATGAACTAGGCAGGAAAATGGCCGTTAAGATGAAGTAAGCCTTGCGGAGAGCCTGAATGCGGGCATCTGCCAAGATAGGCATGTTGGGCCAAGGTCAAGATCACTCTGTCGTTGGGCGAGGAGGCCCTTTGTTGAACCATGGAAATGCAGGTGGCTTGAGACTAGGACTGGATCGTTAGGGCTGGTAGCAGATTAGACTAGTCATCTAAGACAGCAAGGCTTTCTGCTGGGTCATATAGCGGGTAGGGGACCAATTTTCTACCCCATAGATGGTCGATGGGATCCAGTCGAGGGCTCAAATAGTAAAGAGGTGGTTTTACCTCTTCACGAGCCTTATTTCTTGCATATAAAATACCGAGGGGTCCCAGATGTGTATGTGTGCGTGTCTTGCTGGAATGTGTCGACAAGGAATAATAGAGATGCATTCCACAGGTGGCTTGTTACGGTCAAGAAAGGCTAGACTCTGTTTTGCCGTCCGCCTTGTAAATTTTAAACCTGCAGAACAATCAGAAGCAGATGGGATTTAAATCTCTTCAAGGAGGCAAGAGAAAAGGAGGGCAACTGTTCCTTCGGTCATTGTTGTTCGGGTAAAATTGAGCTCCGGGGTTTGACCGGCCCCACATCTCCGGCTGAGAAGGAGCTTGACTTTTAGAAGGAGGGTTTGTGATGCATCCACCTGCCATTCATTTTTTCATCTCCAAAGAGCCTCCTATTTTTGGCTCATCATCTCTAATTCGATTCCCAATGTGGAGGCATTGGTTTTCTTTTCTCAGCTTTACATCACCCTCACCTCCTTGGTTCTGCAGACGAAACTGGCACTGCCGTCAAACCAATAACAATGTCCCATACGAACGGAGATGTGAGAATCATGTTGGTGGCATGTTTTGACTTGCAAGACAAAAATGTCAATTCAGCCCGCAAAGCCAATATTTGGGCTAGAAACTATACTGATGGTAAGATTTATTATTTTATGTACCAAAGCTCAGAGCACATTTTCCAAGAGACGAGGCAGGGAGATCGGATGGCGTAATCGGATTTCGGCAGAGTTACACCAGCCGTGACAAGCATCTCGAAGTGGTTTGTACCAGCCGGATGGCATAACGAGTACATCAAGTCATTTGACAGGTGTCAATATTTCAAAAGAAAGAAGCGAAGCGCGAGTTGGCGACGTCGCAGCTGCGCATCAGAAGACCATCATCCCAGACAGACAGCGGGCACTGTGGCTTTGGCTCGGCCGGCCATAGCATACGCGATATGATTTCAGAAGCTACTCGTCCCACTATTTCCTTACATGGAAAGCAAAGCGACGTTTCGTTTCTGGGTTGGCTGCGATTGAGAATTTGAGGACAAAAACGTCTTTTCGGTCAAGGGCATGCTCCGGTAGCCAGGGTCACCTTACCTGTATGACTCCATTGCGTCCGTGTGAGATAAGCATAGAGTAAGGACAGGACAGTGGAAGTTTTTTAAGTTTTTTTTTTTTTTTTTTCCAGTCACAGAATACTGATCAGATATAGGTGGTGACACAGGACTTTTTCTCCTCTCCCGTCAGACGGATGGCCCATGTCGGCACGAGAATTTTGCCAAAATGCCCCCTTCCCCCTTGATGGTCGGGCCGAGACTTAGGAAATGGGAACTTCGAGGGGTGTCTGGGCAACTAGGAGAGAGAAAAATGCTTTGGTTCGTCCCGGATATTTTATGGGACATGTGCGAAATAACATAAAATACCAGCCGTCAGACCGCGCTGGGAGGTTCGTCTCGTCTGAGACTCGTCCGACCCCCCCTTCCAAGCACTGGCTGGCCCCAGCACTGGTTACAGCAGTAACATCATACTATGTCAGATAAGGTGCCCCTGCAAACCCAGCTGCAACAACCCCACGATGGGCGGGAAGTTCTTGGCGTGCGTGCCTCCAGGGGGCATTTGCTGCAAGTCCTGAGCAGCCACTGTTGAATTTAGAATCCTCCCCCGGCCAGGGCCCCGGCGAGCGGCTTCCCGCTGGGGAGTCGGGCCATCAGCTCAGTGCCTCCGTGTCACCCAGCCATCCCTTGGAAACAGGACTACTGCAGGCGGAGTCCATGCCGATGCAGGGGCGGATGCATGTCTGCCAGGGGCCTGGGTGATGGTGCTGGTTATGATCTGCGCAGGGCCAATTGGACGAGATCCCATCTGCATTCGGAGGAAGCATGATGATGGCCCTTTTTTTTCTTTGGCTTTGTTGCATCTGCATCAACCTCCAAAACCAGCCCCCCCTTTCGTAAAAAAGAACAGCCAAGATATTTCTTTTCCTTTTTGGGTGGTGCCTTTCCCATGCGTTTCTGCAAAGGCTGAAGTATGTTTCCATCCGTGGTTTTTTTTTTTTCAAAAGGTCAAGCATTTCCTGCCGTTCTCGACTCAGTCCTAAATCTTTGGGCTTCTTCCTTTTTCCCTCTTTTGACGGATGCTTCACTTGGCCGGTCGTGGGTTGAAGTGAACATCTTCTTCTTCATTCTCTTCTACTAATAGACCCTGTAACCTTGGGGTCAAGCTTTTCAACGTCTTCACCCCTCTTCATCCCCCTTTGTCCGCTTCTTTCGAGCTTCATCTGTCGGCCGCCGTTCATCATTTGTGCTTGCTTCTCGCGGTTCCGTCATCCGAATCTTACCCTGGCCATTGATCCATGACCGATCGTCGATTCAGCTGAAAGCAGCCAATCCCATCCGCCTCGCTCCAACTCCGGAAGTCTATCTCTACGTCTTCCCTTCTTCAAGCAGGACCTCCTCGCGTCAGAGAATACCACCTTGCACCACAGCCCACCCCCCGCCAGCGACTGCGCCGTTGGCGGTTTATCCTTTCCGTTCCCGCTGATCTCATTCTCGTTCCTGACCTTGCGTCCTCCTCCAAGGTATTTTTCTGGCATCCAACCTTGATATTACCCTGCTTGGGCCCGGTATTCCTGTTTCCACCGCGCACCCGCCTGAGACATTACACCCATATCGGGCCGCCCGCGTCTTGGTTTTATTCTATTTTGTCTTTCTTCCTCTTCTCCCCTTATCCGAGCCATTCCATCGAGACGCACACGCACACACGGAACCGTAATTGGCATGCCAGGAAATCCTCCCCCGATAATTTTCTGAAGAAAACGACAGTCCCGGACAAAGACAGGCCTAGAATCCCTCGATATCAGCCAGCGAGGAAAAGGAACATGCTCAAGACAACCCTTTGGCTCCAATTCCCCTCGTTCTCTCCCACCGCTGTCGCTCGTTGATCGTTGATCGTCCTGGCTCGCCATACACCAACTCTCGCTTTCTCATTCTCGAAATTACCTGTCCCACGCAGAAAACGACCGGCGTGCGGGAGTTAGCCTCCTACTCTTTTTTTCTTCCCCTCCCCCACGGACATAGGCACTACCATAGCAACACGGGGGAGCAAAAGCGCATACACACAGACAAAGTCAAAAGAAGATGGAGCGCCCCCACCGTCCTCCGCCGCTCACGATCCCCCCGCCGCCCCGACAGCGGACCCGAGTACGGCGCACGAGACGCCCTACCCGCCAACAAGCTCGACAGTTCAAGCGATGGCTCCTGCGGGCCCAAATCGCCAATGACGTCGCTCACGTCGTCGCCGCGAGTATCCTGTTATGGATCATGTCGTGGTTTTTGTATAATGTGCCGTTTCCACTCACATATCGCACAGGGTACGTTCCTCCCCCCCCCCCTTCTCAAAAGTCTTTTGTGTTCAGGGAAATTTCATTTCTTGCTAACATTGACACTACGGAAGACCGGCAGCAGTTGCGCTTCTGGTAATGCTATCAATAGATATCCTCCTCGACGCCCGCTCAATAGTTCACGCCCACGACCCCTGGCCAGGCTGGACCCTCCTGCTCCGCCTCATTCTCGGCGCAGGCTTCATCGCGATATTCTGCGTCTACATCGCCCTCGGCGCCGTCTTCGCGCCCGGGTTCGAGTACTGGGGCATGGGCGACTCTTACGGCCGCGTGCTGGTGTACATGTTCCTCTGGGGCATCGGGCTCTGGAACCTGTTATTCGTCGTGCTGTGCCGGCACTGGCTGGGCAAGGAGATTAAAAAATACGGGGGCTCCGCGAAGGAGCTGCTCAACCTGCGGCGGTCGCCCGGGCAGAGCGCCCATAGACTGGGCAGCGCGGGCGGGGAAAGGCCGCGGGGGGAGACCGTCGACGTTGACGTCGAGGCCGCGAGGCCGACGAGGGGAGAACGCCTCAGCAGGGTTGTTGCCCTACCTATCAGGATGGGCGTGAGGAGGGAGAAGAACAGCGTGAATGTCAGCATCAACTCCGTCGCGAGCGGGCCTGGGAGGAGCGCTTCGCCGCCGCCGCCGCCTCCTGTGATGAGTTCTGCATGAATCGGCAAGGGGTAATTTAAAAGAGAAAAATGAGCAAAGAAAAAGAAAGTAATGACTTATACGTAGATTATTAATGATAATCAAGATACATGATATCAAAAAACACATGCTCATAAACTTTGCATGAAAGTTGGACGACGTTGGCATGCGCGGGTACGATGGGATGAGACGTCGTCTGATGATGGCTTCGGCGAGTATTGCCGCAGCCGTGGCCGTCTGAAAAAAGAAAAAAGAAAAAAAAAAGGGGAACTTTTCATCTGACAGTTGACGACGGACTCATGAGTTTTTGTCAAACATCGTCTGTTGCATTTGCCACCGCGTGCTTTATGCCTTTGAACTGTGGGCTATAGCATCCTGTTTTAATGTGTCTGCGGTCATATAGCGACCGTGAGGACATGTCAGAACCACTTCACGCTGCATCTCGGGAATGGTTGCTCATGCAGTTACGTTATGGGTATCGATTCTACAGTATTGCCATCTGGCCTCTGCTAGCCTACTCCTACAGCTATCTTCTGCCCACAAACCAGGGCTTCAGGCCCCGCGTCGCTTTGGACGTGGTGTATGACGGGACGAACATGCCCGCCTGCATGCTGCGCATGGTTGTTCTCCGGGGTTCCCTCTTCGCGAACTTCTCGGGCATGTCTTGATTGACGGTATTTGCGTTGCTCCTAGCCTCAGAGCTCGTCATCTTCTTCTTACGATCCTTGGATGTGCTACCGTCATCACCACCGGTATCAATATTTACCGTGTTCGTAGGGGGTTCAAAGTCTCCCGTTGCTGTCTTCGTCGTTTCCTTCCTGGCGGGTATCCTTTGTTTATCGTCTCTACTATTCTCACCATTGTCAATACCCGCCTCAATCTGGTGCCCTGTGGGCTTCTATCCCTTGATCGGCTCCATAATCTGCTTCCCGGACCTGTCAACCAAGAAATGGCTAAAGGCTTCTTCATCGTTATCATCGACGAGGAAGTGCGTGTCCTCCTTCTCGGGAGGAAGCTTCGCATAGAGACCCTGCCCCGCCTTTGACCACGATGGAGGGAGAAGGTCGTCTTCATCATCAGCTGCTGCGTCGACGACCTCGGCCGGGGCAGTCTTGAGGATCTTGCGCACGCCGCCTGTCTTTGAGCGCTGCTTAGACGCTTTCGGGGCTGAGAGATGACTTTCAGTGCCCTTCGTAAAGGAATCTCCCTGGGGACTGGTAGGTTGCTGCTTGCTTGTCAGTACTCTGTGCTTGGGATGCTCGAGAGGGAAGACTGACCCCTTTCGGTTGGGCCCAGTATGGGGAGTTGAAGATGGGGAGATCCGGATGCTTTTTAGAAACCGAGACAAGAATGTCCACGAGGAGGCCGGGTTTGATTTGGTCACTAAATGACAACAGATTAATCAAATCCGTCCTCCTAAGTCCCTCAAAGTAGTCCATTCTCTGGATATCGTCAGTCAGTATACGTTCAACCTTGTCATCTCAAACAACATACCATATCTGTAGTGGCATCGCCAGCCTCAAAGCCCACCAATTCAGGCTTTATGAACGACGGCAGATTAGCAAGCCTCTTTTCCCGCATCTTAGCTACCTCGTGCTGCTGCCTCCTCAGGTCCGCCTGCTCCTGCTTTGCCTCACGGTATTTGGTGAGCTCGATTTGGTATCTAGCTTGCTCTTTATCTTCTTGAATGCAAGTATTGCATTTGAAGGAAGCGCGAATACGAGCAACATCTTCAGAAATTTCGGGTTCATGGCAAAGCTGATGCCATGCCTCGCCACAGCCGCAGGCGACGATGACGTTGGCGTCCGTGAAAGAGGTGCGTTGACACTTGACGCACATGGACTCGTCTTTGACACGTCTCCTCTTGGCTGGTTGCTTGGGAGCAGGCCGCGTGACTATTGGCGACTCAGTTGGTGGTAGGGAGCGTGTTAGTGGACTGACATCCTGCTCTTCCGGGTGTCTCTTCCTCTTGGTCCCGACGGTAGGTGACATTGCTGAGGACGTGTGACCGAGGGTGCGGACGGCTGCTGCAGGTGTAGGTGAAGGTGTAGGCATGGGAAGCGTCATTGTTGTGCTCAGCTTCTCTACCAGTCTGCGCTTGACATCTTCGTAGGTGGCCTTGGCCGGCGAGGGCAGCTGGGCCGTTGAGAAACCAGGCGACGGCGAGGTACTTCCGCCATTGCCCTTTTTCAGACGACTAAGAATCATTTGTGTCGTCGCGGAAAATTGAGGATTATACCGTGATGGTGTGAGCGCTTCTCCATTTGGGCGCGGAGCAGTCGCGGGGGCGGGAGATGATTGATTCAAGTCGGTCTGGATGGGCGTTGGCTTGACATCTTCTGATTGAACTTGAATACTGGTCGCCTTGTTATCCGTCTCAAGTTCAGACTCATTCTGCGTCCTGGACGCCTCCGGTTCATTCTGCTTCGGATCCATGGCGCTGGGTGGAATTGGCTCGAACATATTCAAGCCAAATTGCACGTCGCGTGCCGGGATGTAAACGCCGCTAGTTGGAGTGAGATAGTCGTGTTCCGGGATGGATCTAGCAAACGGGTGGCGCCACGGAGATACGCGGACGGTCCAATTGCGTCTTACAACAGCCGGGGCCGAATAAAATGCAAGTAGGCACTGCAATGAAGACTAAGAAGTAAACTTATGAAAAGCGACATTAATTGCTGCTCAGGCGGTGTTCCAGGACGATGAACAGGACCAGGAAATTCAGGTTTGAATCTGGTCAAGTCACGTGAAAATCACGTGGGACTACCGAGCTCACCGAAAGCACTGCACGTACACTTTCGGTCAGCTTCGGTGAGAGTGTAGTTGCCCAGAACTCATATTACAGTAAAAACATGGTACGGCCCATCCTTGCATAATTTCTAGGGGCTGTTCATTCGGGTTCTCCTTCATACTATTCATGACTCTTCCCGCCGGCTTTTGGAGGTCTCGACAGCCCTCACCACCCAGCCACGAAGGGGCTCCCGATTAGACTCTCCAAGTCTTCTATGTCTTTAACAGGTCACTGAAACGCAAGGAGTATTAATTATACACCCGAAGATCAACCTCATCCAATCACTCCATCGGTCTTCAGCTCTCGAATATGCTCCTCAGACAGCCCCAGTTGCTCCCCAAGCACCTCGTTTGTATGCTGACCCAGCGTTGGTGGCGCCGTCCGGATAGTCGGCTCGCTCTCAGAGTATTTGACAGGCGTGTTGACCAACTTGATCGGCCCGCACTCAGCGTGCTCCATCTCGACGACCATATTCCTCGCTTTCGTATGCTCATGGTTCAGCGTACCCTGGACGTCGTTGACCGCCGCGTACGGCATCCCTTTGCCCTCAAATACCTTTAGCCACTCGCCCGTCGTCTTGGTGACGGTGATATCCTCGATCAACGCCTCGAGCTCGTTGCGGTTCGCAACGCGCTGGGCGTTGGTCTTGTACTTGGCGTCATCCTTCCACTCTGGTCTGCCAAGACCCTCGCAGAGGATGCCGTAGAGACGGTCGTTACCGCCGCCGAAAAGGATGTCGCCATCTTTGGTCTTGAAGGAGCGATAAGGCACGATTGACGCTGGTAGGTTAGCGGGGAACATGTCAGAGACGGGGGGAAAACTTACGATGTGCGGTGCCCCAGCGGCCGGAATCCTTCTTCCCGCTGATCAAACAGCTACTCGCTATATTTGCTAGCGTCGCCGTCTGGCAGTCGCTGAGCGCGACGTCGATATGCTGTCCCTTGCCTGTCTTTGCTCGTGCAAGCAGCGCCGCCATGATGCTGTTGCTCGTGTACAACCCCGTCGTCAGGTCCGTCACAGCAACGCCGACCTTAACTGGCGGGCCGTCTCTGCTTCCTGTAATGTGCATGAGACCGAACTCGGCCTCGACCATGACATCGTAACCTGCACGATCGGAGTAAGGCCCCGTCTGACCGTATCCAGTAATAGAAGCGTAGATGAGCCCCGGATTGATAGCGCGCAACGTGTCGTAGTCGAGCTTGTACTTCCTAAGGGTTCCGGGTAGATAGTTCTCAACCAAAATGTCGCATTTCGCAACAAGCTTATGAATGATGTCTATGCCATTTGGGTGTTGGAAATTGAGACCCAACGACTTCTTGTTGCGGTTTACCTTTGGAGAGTTAACACGATTTCCCGAAACAAGTAGGACAAGACTCACAGCGAGGAAATATGCTGACTCTCCAGGTCCTTCTTTGGCGGATTCAGTCTTGTATGTGACGTACGGCGGACCCCAGGCTCTGGTATCGTCACCTCTCGTGGGATGCTCAATCTTGATGACCTCGGCTCTTTGATGATGATGTCAGTGAGATGTGGGCCGGCTAACGGGTGATGAATCGTACCCCAGGTCACCCAGAATTTGGGTACAGTATGGCTGGCGTTATGTCAGCATATTTTGCGTTCTCATGATGGAAGAATGGGATTCCATACCCCAGCCAAGACTCTCGTCATGTCTAGCACGCGATACCCGTCGAGCGGCAGCTTACTGCTCGGCACTGACGAGTACTGTCGCCATGCTTGCTGCAGACGCGACGGCCATACCGACGGTCGTGCAGATTTTGAAACTATTCGGAAAGGAACGCCAATCTTAGAGATACCCATGATGTTCGTTCGGCCTAATTCCACCAGCCTCTGCGGGGAAAGTCAATTAGGAAGCGAGAACGGCATCATGAAGGAAGCTGCTGGGCTTCATAGCTCCGACCCCGGTCTAGCTCCGGCCCGCTGGCGGGGGTTCCGACACACACCAGCCTCGGCATTATCCCGGTAATGTTGTGCTTGTCTTATGTAATTGAGCACAGGCCATCTGCATTGTCAAGACTGGCCCGCGACGCCCTCTTGAGAATCTAGTTTATCTTCTTGTTTCTTCCATTCCTAGTGTATACAAACCCATCGTCATCAAGGAAAATAATGCAGGTCCTTCGTCATATCATCCTTTCTGCCTCGTACTGTTGCGCCGAGTATGCAAGCTTTCTCTAAATGAACGTAACAGAAAGAAAACACCATGCTGTCAATGCGAACATGATCTCCCATGCTAGCACCAGCAAAAGCCAAATTCGCAGTACAGCCAGACCTACTACTTGAACGCCAACGCCAATGAACCTTTTAAACACCAAACAACTCATCTACTCATTATATCTAGACATTTTGATGCCCCAATCATCATCTATGACGAGCTGAAGGTGGTACTTCAAGTGTTGCTCGACGCCCTTGCGGTCGCCCTCTTGGATCATCGGACGAGACCGCTGCTTGCCTCAATTGTTCAAACGAAGACTGTCGGGACGGCACAGAGGCATGTCGCCTAGCAGTTCTGGCTCGAGGATTAGGTGGTGACGGTGCAATCGGGGACTCTGGAGAGTTAGGGGTGGGCGGCACTGAGCCTCCATCGCTTCCGGAGCCGTAGTCGGGTGAACCCCGTGTACTCGATGCGTCCACCCCCATAACACTGAAAGTTTCTTCATGTTCAGCCATTCGACTATTGAGGAGATCTTCTCCTGGAGTCCGAGGGTACTGTCCTAGCTGGAAATCACCAGCACCAAACGGATCTTTTGCTGGATTGCCCACGTAGTTGCCGACTTTCCCCAGCCAATTGGCCATTTTCCTGCGAGAGATCCACTCTCCTTTTGATGGTTCTGTAGACGTCCCCTCACCTGAGCTCGTCTGATGGTCTACAAATTCGTGGTGTGCCGTGCTTGTTCGAGGGCTGGTGGTACCTTCGTTGGTCATGCCGGCTGATTCCTTACGACTGTCATGACAATGTGCGCAGCTGCAGCGACAGTCAAGGTCTTCTGGGTGCTCTTTCTTATCATCTGCCAAGTAGACATACAGGGAACCCAGACCTGCCATACCAGTTCCAAGGATAGTTCCCCACTGGCCTGAAGACATCAAGTCAGCTCGGTTCCAGAGAAGGCGTCGTGATACGTACCGATACTGCCTATTGGCTCAGTATGATAGTTCACTTGAGGACTCCAAAAGTTTATCTCGCCGATGATGAGTACGGCTAGCCAAGCACCAGCGAATACGGGAACCTCAATTGCACTTAACAACGACCTGATGGCTTGGTTGACGTCCCTCATGCCGCCAAAAGTCGCACCATTCGCCCCAGGAATGAGCTTGTTCGGCTGTTCTTTTTCTTGAGAACCACCCCCGCGGCGCGCCTTCCAGTTGATTTCCAAGATCTTATTCCACATGGTTACCAAGGAGAGGATGGCGGGGACGCATTCCGCGGCAGCAAGGAACATGGCCATCCCGAAGGGAAGCTTGGTTGGCTTGGGGACCACGTAGATTTCACTTGCTGCGCCCAGCCGTAAATAAGAAAGAGGGCCATCGTCCTGCGAGCAAGTAAGGTTGCACATGGCGTCTCCTCCATAAGGAAAACTACCTGAGCTTGTGGGAATTGGATTGCCTGCGTCATCGTGGGTACACGCAGTGGTATTGGATCGATAGAACTCGACCGCCAGACTCAAAAGACCTGAAATGGCTTCAGCAAAAGTTGTCTTCGAAGCACGAACCAATTTTTCTTTTTCTTTTTGCTCACCAGACAAAATAAGGCCTGTCCATAGAAAGATGATGTTTCTTCCTGGATCAAAGAAGAAAGTCGACGATAGCTTGACGGTTACAGGAGCAGCAAGGATGCCTATCGAGCAGAACTGTAAGGCGCCGTAAATATCCATATCGGTAGCTCCTGTAGCACTTGGTTTTAGTTTCTTCGCTTCCAATTGAGTTTCTTGAAGCTCACCGTCGACGTGCAACGACGCCAAGATAATGCCATGAATAGCAGCAACAGCTGGGACAAGTAGCGCGGCGGCCAAGCTAACGGCCCTCATCCATTTTGCTTTCCGAGCCACTACACAAACCACGACGAGGATATAGTACCTAACGTCTTGATGTTAGTTGGTGCGCTAAAGTTGTTTCGTCCCAACTGCTGAAGTGGGTACAAGCATTGCCAAGTTCCCTGGCGAGCTGCCAAGTTGCTGCAGTGGAGAAGCTTCACTTACAGGATTCTTTGGCCGAACCCATATTGGCCTGACAGTGGCCATGCGCAGACAACCTCAATACAAGTGCCTTGAACAGAACTGCAAGATGAAGATGCGCCGGTGCCGTCTCGTGCAACGACCTTGTGTAGGAGCGCGGTCGGGGAGAGAGGTGCCATGAAAACCGACCAAGTCCCTGCTGCAGTCTGCTGCAGTCTCCAATAGCCTGGCAGAGGTTCAAATTAAGCTTAAGATGGACTCCACCCTCGCAAATGCCACCTGGAAAAAAGAATTGGACCCAAGAATAAAGCAAGAATGATTCTTTCATTTGACCGTCAAGGTGGAAAACGTGAGCTTTTCCCTCTTCTTGGGAGGTATGGAGCGGAGAAGTTATGGGCCATGCCAATTCAATCTTCAGGAACAAAGCCAAATAGAGAAGGTGCTCGTGTGATGGGTGCAGGTGTGATGCGGGTGCGGCTTATCGAGGCAACGAGGCAACCGCCTGGCAAACAGAGACAAGCTTCCGATTGCTGACATTTCCGGAGGGGGGGCGCAGCATATCGATGATGATGGTGGTGCTGCTTCAGTATTCGCCGGGCGTTAGCTAACGAGAAGGAAGCTGAGTTGACAGGTTCCAGGTGAGGTCATTGGTTGCGCAAAGCGTCAGAAAGTCCCCTGTCAACCAGTAAAATAACAGCAAATCTACTACCTACGTAGCATGCTAGACCGCTGTTCGAGGAAACCAAAAAGCGGGGTCGCACACCAAAAAGAGAAAGTAGGGCTGACAAGGCTTCCTTACCATTCTGTTTCTCTCTTGCCCCAGCCTGATTTGGATCGCGGCAAATTATGAGTATTCCATGCAAAGATTTCTGTCCTTACCTCAAATCTGCGCCCGCTAAAAAAGAGACACACATGGGTCTTTTCGTGGTGTTTGAGCCCTTGACATAGCGCAGTCGCCACCATGGAGTCAGACATCAGTATTGAGACTCACCAGATCAAGGAGTGGAGATCTATCGTCACCCTCATTGTCTTTTGCTTCGCCAGTAAGTCCATGTGCATATTTGTGAATAAAACTTCATGTAATTTTGCCAGTCTGATGTCTGGATTCTAACTTTCGGCGCAGACATTGTTGTTCTGTTCCCCTTTCACATACCGATCGCCATTCCTGTGCAACTCTCCAACTTCGTTCTAGATTCACTGAGCAGCTTGCGAGTAATATCGCCGAGAGAATATGATCTTCATGAAAGCAAGGGCCAGAAGACGAAGAAGTTTGTCTGGCTGAAATTTCCCATGAACTCTGTCACGGCACCTCTGATCGCAGACCTCTTTCTTCTTGCCATCCTGGCCATTGGTAGGAAGGAAGTCAGCGATGGCACTCTGGGAGACAACGGCATTTTCCCTCTCGATATCATGATATTCTTTATTACCTTAGCATATATCGCCATATCAATCGACGCTTCGGGTCTCATCCGTTATCTTGCCTTGAAGGTGCTCCAGTGGGGAGGCAAGGTCGGTCATCGGCTGTTCTTCTATTTGTACGCCTTCTTCTTTGGTTTGGGATCCTTCATCGGCAACGATCCTATCATTCTCTCGGGCACGGCGTTTCTTGCCTACATGACGCGAGTATCGACCAACATTAAGCATCCGAGAGCCTGGATCTTTACTCAGTTTGCCATTGCCAACATTGCCTCGGCCATCCTCGTCTCGTCCAACCCCACCAATCTTGTGCTCGCTGGAGCTTTCAACATTAAATTTATTGAGTATACCGCGAACATGGTTGTCCCGGTCGTCATAACCGCCCTTGTCTTATTTCCTTTCCTCTTGTACATCATCTTCGCGAATGAAGGTCTTATTCCTGTCTCGATTCACATGTGGGAGCTTCCAGCAGAAGCGAGATTGAAACCGGTGAACCCCAACATCCCCAACGCAAGAAACACCATACCTGAGGGGGATGAAAGTCAGACAAATGGCGATGAGGGTAAGCTACTCTCTCTTATTGAAATCATGAACCCCTTCCTTGATAAGAAAGGAGCGGCGTTCGGTGCAGTACTCATGTCAGCAACCCTCGTCACTGTCCTAGCCCTCAACGCCGCCAGCGTGAAAACCAAAGACGATGAACACCTTCAGGTTTTTTGGGTTACTCTACCGGCCGCATTTATCATGCTATGTTGGGATCTGGCATTTGGTTGGGCTAGTCGAGAAGAAACTCGCGCGATTGCTCGGAGAGGACGGGAAGAGCTCGAACGTGTCCGAATCGAGAGAGCAACGAGGGAAGAGGAGAATAGAAGGCGTTCAGAACGGGGAGGACGATATTCCACAGAAATGCACACAATGCATTCCTACCGAGAAGGACGACGCTCCACTGGCGGGGCTACGGAGATGTTCCCAATGAGACGAACCCGTTCCAGAGATTCCCAGCCAGAGATCCGCGTTCAAGACACTAATATTGCCGATACCGACGACAGGCTGAAAAGCCCGGATTACGACAGTCCACCTTTCAGTCCTGGAAGAGGGCTCACGCCTCTGCTTACGCTTACACCTGCCGGTGCCATGTCAGGAGGAGACAATACACCGGCCCCAGAACCCAGCCCTCGTTTGAACTCATCTTTGTCAACTGTTGCTGGGAACACCCTTAATCCAGACAGTAGCCGGCCATCGAGCAGCGGATTCAGCATGGCCGCCAAAGGAGACGGCGTGTCTCCTCCGAACAATTCAAGCTCGCTGCCACAGGGCATCCTGCTCCCGGAATTAAGCTCCCCTGTGTCTGAGAAGGAGCCAACAGACCTGAGAGAAACCACGGTACGCCCCAGAAGAACACACCAAAATCGTGACCGGGCTACGCTCGTGTCAATTTGCAGAGACGGGTACCGATGGTCGCAGGAGACGTTCCCGACCGTTATGGTCGTCCTATCGCATCTGCCATTCGCCCTCGTCCCCTTTGCCTTTGCAATGTTCGTCCTTGTCCAGGCGCTGGTCACAAAAGGCTGGGTTCCGGTATTCGCTTACGGATGGGACCATTGGGTAGAAAAGACAGGAACTATTGGTGCCATTGGCGGCATGGGATTCCTCTCGGTAATTCTTTGCAATGTGAGTTTGCGTTCGTAGCCGTCGAGCACATCTCACATATGCTTACTTTTATGACTCTTCAGTTTGCCGGGACTAACATAGGCACCACGATCCTTTTATCGCGCGTCATCCAGACCTGGCAAGAGATTCGCAGAGTCCATGGACCTCCAATCAGCGATCGGACGTTTTGGGCAACCGTTTATAGCATGGCGCTTGGCGTCAACTACGGCGCCTTCAGTACCGCTTTCAGTGCATCATTGGCCGGCCTTCTATGGCGGGATATCCTCGAAAGGAAGCAGATCCACATTCGCAGGATGGAGTTCGCGAGGGTCAATGTTCCCATTATTGCCATCGCCATGACAGTTGGCTGCACGGTGCTTGTCGGCGAGATCTACATAATGAGGAAGGAAACACCCTACCACATGTGAATACATTGTCACAGCGCCCATTAGATGCTGAAATCTGTACAACTGAGCCGAGGATAGAGGGTAGTGAGATCTGAATGCCTAGTGGCAATGAAGCATCACCGAGTTTTATCGTTCTGTTGACGAATGAGAACTAACACTGCCCGGTGCAGAAGAATCACACGTCTAACAAAGCGGGAAGTAATAATGATACGTTTGGAACAACCAGATGTCAATAACAAGGCATCAAACAGCTGCACTCATCACATTCTTCTACTCGCAACCACAAGCAACGGTCGATTACTAGTTGGTCTAACCGACAACTGCTGTTTTTTATCCATTTTCTCGCAACATGTTCAGTGACTGCGGTAAGAACAGCGGGTCAAGCGCTCACTACACGACGTGCCTCTGGCGTAATCACTTTCCTGCGGCTGAGCAACGGGCGATTACTGGGCGTACTTTTCCCCTCACTTCCAAGCACCACCAACCAAAAAGGCCTGGCTTGCATGATCATTCTTCAGGCAAAAACGGTATTTTGTGTTTCTGGGCGATGCGTAAAGCAAGGTTTGGTTGGGTGGCCGTTACATTACTGTCCTAAAAAGGACAACATTTCCACAAGCCATCCAACTCGGATAACAAAACCCGCTCGCCAAGGTACCCCTCAAGCCCGATCGCCTAAATCGCCCGCGTCGGTCCGTCGCTTCCATGGTCACATCCAGCAGGACAAAAATACACAGCCGCGTTGCTGTGCCGTTCGCTTCACCTATTTTCACAGCCATGTTGCAGTTTCATTGGCGTCAGTGTAGGGCGACATGGGTTCATATCTGAAGCGTTAGGGTGGTCTCACTCATGAGCAGTTGGGCGGCGACAACCCAAGACAGAGACGCCCGAGAGTACCCAAATGCGGGTGTATAAAGGATTCGCGATGAGTTCATGGTCTCAGGAAGATCAAACATCAGTCAGCACGATATAAAGCTGACTGCATGAACCAATATCCTTTTGTCCAGTGAATGGACAATTTAAAGGGTCGGCGCTTTTTTTTTTAACAAATCAATTCATATCACTCAGGCACCAGTCCAATCATCATCGCTCACTCATCCAAGAGATCGTTCAGGAAGTAAGCCAGCATGATGCAAGCTGGAAACTAAAATTTTAGAGAGGAAAGAGACGAGACTCCAATGGATGCCGAACCCTAGAGGTCTGGGTGCAATTGCGATGCGCGGAAGGTGACGTGACGGCACTTACAATGCCAACACGCAGTGTTTCTGCACCATCAACATCCCAAATCAAGCATCATGTGAGACAGCGCTGCTACTCAGCACAATCTCTGCTTGGTAGATGCAACTAAAGAGCGAGTGCCGTAAGAGGTGGTACAGCACGAACCAGGGTCGGATAAACTAGCCGTCTCCCAAAATAGCCTAGGAGAGACATCAATTTTCCATCAATGTCACCCACACCCGCAGATCGTCCAGTTTTCTCACGCTTGTTGGTGATGGCAATCGAACAGCGTCGTTCAGCGCACAAGAATTCATTCAGCCCAATCTAGGAGCAGCACCATTTATCCATGGTCTCCGCGGCCTAGTCTCTAGGCCAAAATTGACTGCCTATGTTGCCACGCGGGCGGACACAGTGTCTATCTGCGTCGTGACGGCGTCCCCGCTATCTGGGGCGTTTAAGTGCGTGATGGCCATGACAAGATGATGGTTGAGAACAACAGCCATGCGTCCTGAACATGATCCATGGAAAGTTCCGAAATGCCAAAATTTTTGAATGTTTTTTTTTTCTCGCTTTTTTCTTCAATGCCTAGCTTGAAGTGAATTGCCACGTTTTTTTCGCAAAGTTTGGGCGTTCTGGTTAGATGGCGCGGTATAACGCCGAGCTCTTTGTATGAATGTGAGAAACTAGCCGAGTCGAGAAAATAAGCGAAGATTTGCGTGGTCGGTAGAGTCCAGACCTGGGACGGTATAGATAACGGGCTCCAGAATACCAGTTTCTTTCTTTGTTTCAGCCGGTAAGCCATTGTTGCGACCTCGTTGCCGCCACAGAGCATGAGCCCAGGATAGTTACAGGCAGACACAAGAATGGAATACAGCCCGCATGGCCCTGACTAACAAGAAGGGTATTACTGTGCAGCCGTATGTGCCAGGGTGCCCAACTCCGCCTCACGGGTCCTTCGTTGGGGAACCTAGGCTGCTCTACCGGGGACCAACCAACCTGAAAGGGAAACTTCTCCAAGAACCACAACCGAGGGCTTACAGCTCGAGGCTTGATGACCTGATAGGCGGCCCCCAGCCTGGGGTCCGGCCAAGAGGTGCCATGCAAGAGGGAGCCAAACTAAGTCGATTGAGGTATTCACAGACATTAACAAGGAATGTGAATCTATGTTCGGCCGATGAAGAGCTAGACCAATTACACACCACCACAGCTGTGCCGCATCCCTGAAGTAGATCACCTCCAAGAAAAGAACCAGGCAAATGAGCTCAACAGACTCCTCAAGAGACACTATACCGGGTAAACCCAAATTTATCTCAATTTGAGAAGCAGTAAGTACATTCATCGCTGTCTATGCAATCTCTTCTTTTACAGCTTGAAGATGCAAACCTACACAACAGACAATATGAGTTGACTGAGTGGCAGTGTAGGTTTTCTGCATCTTTGTGTTACCGAACATGGGGCAGCCACAATGGAGGTGCAGCCAATAATAGGCGCCCCTGCACAGCACCTGTATGTACCATGGCGAACCTACGTCTCTCTGCAGCTACTATTCCCAAACATTCCTTAGCGTCTGGTGGATTACTTGTCATTCTCTCACTTTCGTCCCCCCATCCCACACCTCGATTATGTGCACTCCCACCCTACGATGTTTCCCCGGCCGGGGATCAGGACTTGAAGGGAACGGCCTATGGTCCGCCTGGCAGTGCCTGCTTGTGCTTCTGCACCGCATAGGAGCAGGGGTTCTATTGCGTTGAAGCTCTGTTGGGGAACCTTCCTAGAGGTTTTCAGAGGTTAAATTCTTAAGGACGTCCATCCCACTCGTCATGGACCATCAACCTTCAATAGAGACTCTCGAGGTCAGCACGAAGCCACGTTTCTTTTGTCAAGTGACCCCGAGTTCTACTAAAACAACAAAGCACAAAGGGCTTGTTGAGGTTGTCCACCTAGGGGCGTAATCGTTCAGAGTGTCAGTGGCCACTTACAACCCTCTCCCCCACCAAACCCGACCATTTGGCACCACTAGGGGCCGACGCCGGTGCAAACTATCGCAACACCGTTCGTGGAGCTCAAACGTGGGTTCCGAAGAAAAGGCCGGCAGACAAACAAACAACTCGTGGGTTTTGGCCCGCTACCAACATACCCCTCTTTTGCACGTCAATACAAATACCGTTGAGGAGAATGGCACCTGCACCGGTCGATAGAGTCGGACAAGCTGCACCAGAAGCAACAACACAAGACACAATACCAACACCATCAATAGCCGCAACCGACATTCTCGACGGCACATCTGGCAGCACCGAGAACCCCTCATCCACTAGTACGACAACCATTCTCATTTTCGTAATTGTCGTCTGCGCAGCCGCAATCATGTCTGCAGCAATCTTCTACCTCTTCGACCGCAAGAAGAGCCGTCAGTTCCGTGAGGCCTGCAAGAGAGACCCCTACCTCACCCGTAAGGAGTTCTCACGACGACGCAAGCTGAGCACCCTCGAGCGTCTCGAGGAAGAAGAGCTCCAGCGCAACATCATGATCCGCAAGTCGCTTGCCAGCCGTTCGACCAGCCGCACCTCGAGCGATGATGAGCTCGACGTCGGTACGGTATCGCAACAGCAGCAACAGCATCACCACCACCACCACTACATGCCGGAGCCGCCGCGCGGGCACAACGAGCTTCACAATCACTACCAGCACCGCTACCAAGAGCCAACTGAATGGTTGCGCGGCGAAGTGCGCAGGGCGAGGTCCGATTCTGAGCTTTCCTCCTCCGCCTCGTTGTCATCGCGGAGTCGATACACGGAGCCCCATCCCGGTGTGGAGGTGGAAATCCCCCTGCCCCCGCAATCCAGGACGCCGTCGCCGGCTCGGATGACGGTCAGGGATTCCATGCCTCCTCCTAGTGTCGATGGCCACTACGCACGACCGCTTCCGCCACTGCCCAGGGCGTCGTATGCTCCCGCTCGTTTCCAGTGAGCTGGTTCAGAAAAAATATTCGATGATACACACGGAGCGATAAATTTTCGCATTTTTGGTGTTGTTTGGTTTGGCTTTTTCGGAGTAAAACGGTGGTAGATGGGGTTTAGAGAGGCGGAGGGGTTCTGGTGCATTGTTCGCATTTCTTGTACTATTATTACCTTTTCTCATCGTATGTATTTTGATACCCAACATTAAACATATTCTTCATTTGCACAATAGCTTGTCTGGTGACTTCTTAGCAGCTGGGCCCTGGTCATCAATCAGATAACGATATGGTGTTTGAGCTGTTTGATTTACCCTTTCTTCAGGTATTGGCAGACGGCTAGAACATTCGGTGACCAAGACTCCAGGCAACTGCTGCTGGCCAGGTGAGCTGACAAACATTGACAGTAAAGTTGGTACCACGTGATGGTGGCGACTACCACTAAAAAAACGATTCGTCCACTGAAGCGAGTTGGCTCGGCTCCGATTCCTGCTGGTTCCCCTGCTGACTCATCTAGCGGCCTCAACCCCGTCAGTTCTGCCAGGCAGAAGGTCAAAGTCCTCAATCCTCAATCCGAAATTCAGCCTCAACTCTTCCCCCCTACATCCCACTAACGTCACTCGCTCGCCTTTACGAAGATCGTTTGCATCCGCCGCAACAGCGTCACAAAAAGCCCTCGGCCTGCTTTTTTGAGCACATTGCGACCGTCGCACACGACCTTCAAGCCGACTGCTCCGCGATCTGGGACTCGAGGTTCTTTGTTTCGCCACTCACGGACGCCTTCACTGGTAGAATCGGTCGGCTGGCAAAAAAGAGCCCTCCCCTTTCTTCTCCCTCTCCTCTCTCTCCCTACTCTTGCGACTGAATCACAGTCGGTTTAACTGGTGAGAGAGGAAAACTTCCTGCCGCAAGTCAGGGAACTATGGCTCACCTTTATTTTTTTCTTGCGTAGTTAGGGCATCCTCCACCCAGCGCCTTCGCCGCTTCCCCGCTGAACGAGTTTGGCACGTTCAACACAAAGAAAAGCGACCAGTCGCCTGAGGATTCCCTGATACAACATCGTTACCTCCTGCCCCGGCGAGGAGTTGAGATTGCCTACTCGATCTCCAAAACAGTGACTAGTAGAATCGTCCTTTTGAGGCGATCCATCCTTTGCTCACCAAAGTAATCCGGTCGCTCAACAGCCGCCAAGCTGCATTCGCCACTCTTTGTCCAACTCACCAACGATCTCCTTTGGACACAGACGAACACTGCGAAAGAGAAACTACCAACTCACAAGGCGGTAGTCAACAAGCGACAAGAACTCCGGCGAAGAAAGAAGGAGCTCAAGCGTCGTCGCAAGGTTTTCGACGAACTCAACAACATCTATACGCCAAAGCCATACAAGCCCAAGATGCTCGGCCCCAACGGTGCCGCGACGGACGAAAATGGCAATCCCGAGGGATTTAGAGAAGACCTCAACATGGTTGTCATGTGTCCCGAGTGCAAAGAATACCCACCCAACCTGGTAGAAGAATTTTCGTCTGGCGATATGGTTTGCGGCTCCTGCGGCCTCGTCGTCGGCGAGCGTATCATTGATACTCGCTCTGAATGGCGTACCTTTGCCAATGACGACCAGGGTAACGACGATCCATCCCGTGTCGGTGACGCGGTCAACCCTCTGCTCAACGGTTCCCAGTTGGAGACTAGCATCGCTTTTGGTGATGGTAGAGACGCTAAGCAGCTTGCTCGTCTTCAGAACAAGTCCCAGAACGACAAGGCGAGCAAGTCTCTGATGCAGGCCTACAAGGAAATCGGCGCTTTCTGCGACAGTATCAACCTGGGCAAGAACGTGTCAGATGCCGCCAAGCACATTTTTAAGCTCACGTACGACCACAACTTCATGAAGGGCAAGCCACAGGAGGCTGTCATCGCAGGTTGCATTTTCATCGCCTGTCGTCAGACAGGTGTTGGTCGTACCTTCCGTGAGATCTTCCAGGTCACACACGTCAGCAAGAAGGAGATCGGCAGGGTTTTCAAGCAGCTCGAGTCCTTCCTGCAGAAGATTAAGGAGGAGAACCCTCGTGGTGCCGGTTCTCTGTCCAACCTGGACGGTTACAAGGCGAGCGCGTCCACCAGTGCCGAGGACCTCTGCACTCGTTTCTGCTCGAACCTCAACTTCCGCAACGCTCAGAAGATCGAGAACGTTTCTCGCGCCCTCGCACGCAAGACATCCAGCGTGTCAGAACTGGCCGGACGATCTCCCCTTTCCGTTGCCGCTGCCTGTATCTACATGGCGTCTCATTTGATGAAGGAGCCGCGAACTTCCAAAGAGATTGCTTCAGTGGCTGGTGTCAGTGATGGTACCATCAAGACGGCTTATCGCTTCCTCTACCAGGCACGCGACAGGCTGATTGAGAAGGAGTGGGGCGCCGACAAGAAGGCAATCGATGGTCTTCCGGTGAACTAGAAGATCTCCGGTTGTCCTTACAACTGTCACGCCAACTACTGCGCTCACGTGGGAGGTGCTGGGGACCTCAGTTTCGCAGGGGGTGATGATGCCGATATCATATTCAAATTGGAGGCGCCAGATGAGGTCCAACTTCCGTTTAGCCCAGCAGAAGTAGGACCAGCCGATGGCCATTTGGCATCATCCAACCCTCTTGCAGCCGGCTGCAATGTTTAACCGGTAGTCGCATATATGGACGTGCCGAACTACTTACTAGGGCATTTAGGGGTGGTTTCCCTTCTGTCTAGTTGTCCTGGGCCGTGGTTCGATTTAAGTCGCCTGGAATGGCGCAGTCTCATAGCTCTTGGAACATCAGAGCAAGGAGGTCGACCGCGAATGGACAAATTGTTCTTGCTTGCTTCATGGGTCGTAAAAGGATTCTTTCGTTTGGAATTGGAAGTACGAGAGGTTAATTGGTAATTTCAGCAGATATTCCCTGATGGCTCTTGGACTTGGTAACCAGAGAATAAATTGAGGAAAGAAAAAAAAAAAAAAGACTTAATTGAATCATTAAGCAATTATTATTTGACAAACAGTGCCCGGAAGCTCCGTGATGTATTGTGATACAGGTAGTAAATGATAATGGGTTGATGCGCCCCTTTGAGTCCGATCATGTACAGTGTAAATCACAGTGTGAAATTTTGCGGAACCGTAAGCACCAACCAATCACATCACGTGTTGGAAGACCCCAATTATTTTTTCCCACTCTCCTCTGAGCCTTGTCTCGCGTCGTCGCGACTCCATCTCGACCTGCGCTATCAACCGTTCAGCCTCGCACACCCATAACCCTGCGACCTGCATCAACATAGTCGCTACCCCCTCACCACCAAGCGCATACCTCCCAATCCGCGTCGCCTTCAACATGGGAGGACGACGGTCTAGGTCAGGCAGAGCTGCGGCTAAGCGCGCCTCTGCAGCGCTCCGTGAGTACAGCCTTTTCTATTGCTTCCCTTGTGATCGTGTTGAAGTTCTTTCGAGATTCTCTGTCGCCAAAATGAGTGCACGAGGCTCTGGAAATTTCATTGTTGTAGTTGTTTTAGGGGTGCTCCCAGTCGCGTTCTGAGACGCCAGCTCTCCTGGCCGACTTATGCGACCCTGCGTCCTGGACAGCTCCTTTTTTTGAAGATTCACTGCCATCCCATGATATCTATGGACAGTGGAAATGCGCAACAGCTTTGCTGACCAGTATTCCGTTTTAGAAAGCACTCCCAAAATCTTCGAGGGCATTGACGATGACGAACCCGTTGCTGAGGCCGTCGAATCTGAACCTGATATTGAGGCTCCTCCGGAAGACGACGAAGACGATGACGAACAGAAGGCCGATGAGTCCGGAGAAGAGGAGGAAGGAGCCGACGATGATGGCGAAGAGGAGCCAGCTAACGACGACGGAGAGGACTCCGAACCCTCGGCCAAAGAACCTACTCCTCCGACCGAGCCCGTCGTCCGCCGCAAGCGACTCGGAAGGCCGCCAAAGAACAAGCCGCCCGGATGGGACAATATGATTACCGTGCCTGCATCAGAAGCCGACACGCCTCGTCGGAGAGGTCGCGGCGGCTGGCGTGGCAGAGGCGGTCGCAGACCAGCTCCCGGCCAGGCCCCACCCAAGCTCAAACAAGTCATCGACAAGGAGGGCACCGAGGTCGATATTGTCGACGACGAGTGCGTGTTGCCCGAGGACCCAGAGGGCGAGACCAAGGTCGACAAGCTCGGTAATCTACAGGGCGGCCGACAGTACCGGTGTCGTACGTTCACGGTCAAGGACCGTGGTGAGAGGCAGTACATGTTGTCCACGGAGCCGGCGCGTTGTGTGGGCTTCAGGGACAGTTATCTCTTCTTCAACAAGCATCCGAAGCTGTACAAGATTATCGTGAGCGATGATGAAAAGATGGACATGATTGAGCGCAACATCATCCCTCACTCGTACAAGGGACGTGCGATTGGTATCGTCACTGCACGATCTGTGTTCGTCGAGTTTGGCGCAAGAATCATTGTTGGTGGACGGAACATTATAGATGATTACCGTGTCGCGGACCAGCGCGCCGCTGGCGTGGCTGAGGGTGAGCTTGCGGATCCGGCAGACGTGTTCGATCCCAGCCAGCCGTACAACTCGAATCAGTACGTTGCGTGGTTCGGAGCCAGTGCGGTGTACCATACCAACCAGACGCCGGCCGCGTCCGATCCGCTAGCTGGGTTGACGGAGGTCAAGAAGAAGAGGGTGAACGTCAACGATACCAACTGGCAACTAGAGCATGCTCGCGCTGCAAGGTAAGCCTTTTTTTTTTTTCCTGCAGCGCAATTGACGAGACGGTGGTTCTAACAGCAATGTAGTGAGTTTAACAGCCGCATCAACGCCATCCGCATGGTCAACCTTCGCAAGGGCGCCTACGACATCCACACGAACTTGATGCAGCAGCCAGTGAACACACAGCCTACCCGCGCCCGCGTCGAGATCGTCACCTCGGAAAAAGGTGCCCCTGCCACCGCCGCCTTCCCCGCCGTCCCGTCCGCGGTCCAGCGCAACTTCAACGTGGTGGACATTGTATACGAAACCCCGCGCGCGGGCGTCCAGTCTGCTGGTAAGCGCCCCGACAACGTGCCGGACTTCCTGAAGCCCTTCAACGGCATCCTCGCCATCGGCGACGATCTCAAGGCCCTCTTGCCACCCGAGTGCCGTGAATCTCTCGAGAGACATCAGGCAGACCAGAGGGAGTTTGAATCGCGCTTCGGTGACGAAAAGGACACGATGGCGCGCGGCGGCATCCAGATCGACAAGGCGATAGTGCCGCAGGGTAAGCATTCTTAGGAGGAAGCGTATGCCACTTGGGGATGTTACGGGACCCCCGACGGACGTTTCGAGACGGCCTTCGCGCGGCCTGCGTGTAGCTTCTGCGGGGTCGAGGTTCGTGAGGCGTGTGAACATGTGCTGGGCGCGTAGCATCTGGGCTTGGACGACGACTTGATTTGCATTTGGGGAATTTGTGGGTTCTGTTGGCCCGGCGTTCAGGGGTGGGGGATGGGTGGTTTGGGAAACCGGACATGGTGGTGGTTTTGCCATGCTAATATCTTTGCTTTCTGGAAGGAACTTTTGGCGGATAACCTCGCCACGGGAGGGAGGGAGAACAAAAGCGAAGAGGGGATGTGTGTGGGGGGGTGATTTAGGCTTGTATGTAGGATTAGATGATTCATGATGGCTCAATTGAGGAATAGGCCAATGTCTTGTGTATTGTGATGGCGCTGTGGTGTGTCTGCTATGGCAACATCAGTACTTGATACTGAGCACTGTACTATGGAGATGGTTAAACGGGCGCTTTCAGGAGTCGTGTGGAAACATTGAACAAGTCCGCAGCGATTTTGTTGTGTCGGTATTCACTTGGGACTTTGATATTGTCAACCGCCTTTTCGAAGCTGTTTACAGGCTCAGTTCTCTACGCTGAACCAGAAATAAATGGGTACAGACAGCCAGTGCCAGAGAGTAGACAACGTACAAGTTCCATTTCTATGACCAATAGAACTAGCGAGGGATTAAGATAACCTCCTTTTACTGAAACATTCTCCTGTAGTTCCCGAGCGAAACATTCACCGGCGTAGTTTTTTGGGTTATACAGACGACGAGCCTCTTGTGTGGGTGTGATGGAGATTGACGCCAAGTCTCCAGGACTTGCCTTGTGCTTTACTGGCCACGGAGGTTCACGCAGGAAAAATACAGTTCACATTTAGAATCATACGTAGTCTTGCGTTTTCTGTGCCCGACGTGACTATGTTAGCTACTCAAAGATCCAAGCTGTTTAACTTATGCACTCGAGTGCTTGTAACGCGTCAGGCATGAGTAAAGAAGAGCATGATATTAGCTCGACGGTCTTTTAAAACCCCCAATTGCTTCTTTGCATCTTAGAGTCGTTACGTGACACTTAATACTAGCCTGGCTCCGTCAAGATTATCAACATCAGTCTGATGGGATGAGCACATACAAGACGTTCAAGACATGAAGCGGCACGTAGTATAACCGCATGCTACATCAAGTATGTGTAAAGTTAAGACTATTCTATTACCAGCATGTACTAGTGATTTACAAACATCGGGGGTAAAATGGCTATTGGATCACGAGTGAAGTGAACGGGTCCCATAGCCATGCAAACACAATAATTGGTATTGCCTCGGGAATCGGATCGAAGTGACTCAGTCAACTCCAACATGTGTCCGCATTGTAATCTTGAAATCACACAACAAATGAAGTTTTACCTGTTGAGTGGTCATCTGACATACATCCCCGTTCCCGAGGACTAGGTTTCTAGATCGCACACGACACAAGCCTAACGTGGCTAGGTAATAGAGCTAGCTACCACCCATAGTTCCAGAGCCGTGGTCGTGTGCTCAGCCTTGGAGGGACTCGACTAAACAAGTTTACGAGACAGCATTGTAGTCCAGCTCGACGGCGGCTGCCCGGAAACTAGCCCACGGAAGCAGCGGTGCGGACGACGGCTGTATCCGATTCGCGGCCACACGAGAGAGAGAGAAGCACACTCTCGCTATGAAGCATCATGTGGGACGTTCCGGCCTCTCGGTCCTTCCGGTGCCCTCCATCACCCTCTTCTCCACGTATCCCGCTCATCCACTACAACTAGACTTGATATTTCAGACGGCGAGCGCCGATATCCCTAGAGTAGCCCAGCCCCGCACCACCATCACGTCGCGCAGCCTCGGCTGGTGCGAGGCGAACAAGTCTTAGAAAACTACGGACAGACGAGAATGTGATGCCAAATGAACTGATCTGTCGGTAGTGAGGACTAACACCGAAACGTGCCCCTAGCTACTCAACAGCTTCAAGTTTCCTGTGGTTTTGTTTATACAAACCAAACATGTTCGTAGGTTCCAAAGCCTCAATCCAACATTTGAACGCATGTAAATCAGTTTGCAACTTGTCCAAAGCTCGAAAGCAAACGACTGCCCCAGAGACCAAGGCGTCAAGCCATCAATGAAGTACTACTATACCGCTTCTGCTTCAACTCACCACTTTGACTTGCCTGTTTCAGAGACCCATCCGACTATGTTAGACTTGACAGGTGCTCCCTCTTGCTTCTTCACGAACCCTCTTCTAGTAAAGTCACATTGACCAAAGACGTACCCAAAACTCTCAGTCCAACTTCATCTGGTCTCAGCCGTGAATCTCAGACTCTTCACCAGACGCAAAAGTAACACCGGCTCAACCGGCTCAACCTCTGAACCCTTACCTCAATTCTAACCCCTAAATCAATGCAAAGATATCCTCAGACTGACCACCCCCAAAGCCCTCACAAACCACACCACGATCCAAGTTCATCCCGAAAGCATCCTCTTCAGCAAAGTCCCCCAAAAAATCTTGCAAAGCGCAACAACTTCTTCGCATAACCCGTCCCCCCCGGATTCCAGACGGACAGCATACAAAGTCAAAACCGCTTCCCGGCACATAGCTCGGCGCACGTCGCGGTCCTTCCCCCATTGCCCTCCCTCGTACCTCCGACAAACGCCCGTGGCTCTTGACGTAGGACGCTTCCCATCAAAGCTCGCATCGCGGGCGGGCCGCGCCTATCAAAGCGGCAGCTAAAAAAAAAGTCCAAAAGGCACACAAACAATACGAAACAATGCAAAGTATAGAGGGAAAGACGGAAAGCGAGATATAGTTTTTTTCCTGCATAGGGCTCATCGGGGGCCTCATCGGGGCCTGCGGGCGTGACATCATCTATGCTTTATTTTACTGTTATTTACTACACTGCACCTGTGCTGTATGTAGCTGAGGCCGAAGCTGAAGCAGATACAGCAGCTTGGGGCTTGTTCCCGAGGAGGACGTTTGCAATCACCCGTTGGAGATACGCCGTGTTTATTCCTAAGGTATCGAATATGCATGTACGTTCTTGATGTAGATGTACGTCCAGCTGGAAGACTGTCGCCCGACTGAGCCATTGCTGCGCTTTTGACTCCTTTCCCTTCGGACAAACATCTCCAGTCGCCTTTACTCAAGAGCTAGCTTTTTTTTCGTATCCATCTTCTCGAGTACTATTTTTAACACTTTCAGTATCCCCATTCTCCTTCCGTACGCCCAACGGCCCTTTTGCCAAGTTGTCACTGGGGGAGGGATAAAAAAATCAACTCAGCCCGTACGGCAACGCCCAGACCGTCGCAACTTTCATCCTACGCCCACACGAAACCAACCCACTTCATCCCGACTTTCACGTCCTTTATGCCTCATATACAACCAGGTTTCTGAGTACGCAGTAAATAAAAAATTGGTATCCGATACCCTCGTTGTCAGCTAGCCGAACTCCGAAAGTCTAACGGTCTGCCGGGACCGGACACGTTTCGAACCCCTTTTATTTCGTCTATCGGCGGAAGAAACCAGATGTATTATACAGAAAGCGAATATCATATATTATCTCTTGTCAGACAGCAGGAGTTTCGTATTAACTTGAATATCTAGACAGAAAATTCTCGATTATGATATATCATTACTATCATATATCGTATTTGTTGACATTAGTCGTAAACACATATTCCAAAGTGACTATTACTCTGCTATGGCAACTAATCAGAGCACACCACAGACGAAAGCATCCATCCAAGCAATTAGACAATTATCTCTCACCTCATCAATCACCGCTCGTTGCCATGTTGTCGCTCAGAACGCTGCACAAACTCAAACCCGAGTGTCCAGCTTAGTCACCCGCCAACGGACGAGCAAACAACATCCAAAAGTATAAACCCTAACGGCAACATCCGGCATAGTTTTCCCTCGCCACGGTCACAGGACTATGATGCAGTAGTTAGCATTAGCATCCACAGACCTAGCCTAAGCCCGAGATTAACCTAAGCGGCCAGACCGCCAAGGTGGCAGCAGAGGACCGACAAAAAAAAAAAAAAAGGCACCGAAATGCCACGCACACTCTGGCCTGCTTAGATGTAGCTTGTAGCTTGCGTAGACAGACGACACGGTGTGTGTACGCGTACGGGACCCGTGGCCCAGCGGTCGGTGGGCGAGCAAGGGAGCCTCGAACCACCGTTCGATCGCCAGTGCCTTTCAATAGTTTAGCCCTACGATGACCCAAGACATCACCAGTTCAAATCGAGCAAGACGAATCCAGGCTAAGTCGGCGTCCAAATCCCCCCAGTGAGACGTCGGTATGCCAAGCAGGCGTTCGGCGTCAAGTTTGGTCACGCAGGTCCTTCTCACCGCTTGCATATCGCTACTTTACAACCACTACCAGTTTCGGGAGATTTTATGCATGTGTGATCCATTGCCAGCACTATTGCAAACCAATTGAGACGGACACAGGTTGCGGGAAGAGAAGAGCCAAAAAGGCCGCCAAACCAAACAGGCCAACCAACACAGGCTAAGGCCACGCGGTACACGCATAGCCGTTTTGCGTCTGGCGCGACCTCTGAAAGGGCTGAGTGTATGTGTTTGTGTGTGTGGACGTGGCGGATGGACGACTGAATGAACATCAAGCCTCCCTTCCGGCAGAGGGATTGCTCACCTGCCGTGGCTGCAATGGCGCAGAGAGTGCGTAGTCAGACCACCGGGTGCCTACTTTGTGCCGTAAACTAGAGCACGCCCGTCGAGGAGTAGGGAAGGAGTTCACCCAAAAATCCTTCAGAGTCGGATGTGCAATGCAATGCTGTCCTGTCCCATGTCAAGGTTGCTGGATTCCGCGCCCACCGTAGGCAACAGGAGAAAGAGATTCCGTATCGCCCGCTGTACGTGACATAGGCGTCTCGGTGCACGAATGAGGCTTCGAGTAGGTGTGCGAGGTAGGTGGTAAGCGCTTGAACGCA